TGGTACAAGGAGACGCGTTATGCAAAGTAAATATGGATATTTGGTTTCAAAATAGGGCCTTGGCTTTTGTTGGGAGTGTTTCCCACGTATTTTGTCTTTTCAACCACCCTACATTGTTAAATTGAAGATTAGTTCATTAAGGTTTGGCAAGAGCACAGTCGGCTTCGAAACATTGGTGCTATTTTGGTCTAAGCTAGCAGGTTGAATTTTATCACGCAAGGTGCCATTCTCACCCTGAATATCTGTAACTCTAACATGGTATGACACCTTGCCTTGCAATTGGCAATATTCCATAGCCGTGGGAATTGCGTGTTCTACAAAGTGGTGAACAGGTCGCAGTATTTTTAAATTCGTGACCTGCTAAAGTTCCCAGCATGAGTGCTGGAGGCCCCTCGCTAGGCTAGATAAAAGCAAAACAGCTATACACAATATGAGATGCAAAATATAAGATTAAATTAAGATACATGTCTACGTCAGCCTATCTAGTGCTTAGATGACTGATTCTTATCAAATTGCCTGTCGAATTGGCTTGGATTTCTTGTATAACTGCCTCCCCTTATGAGGGCAATTTGATGCTATACATTTCAACCAGATTGAATTTGTGGACCGCTGAATACGAAATCTTCGAATGCTAGCAATCGTTGAGACATTAAAAAGAACACGGGCATTGTGTGATTTGTTTGTGGAAGTTTGACTATACAGACGAATTTCTACGAGCTTTGTTATCCGAGTAAAGGTAAGTCTGTTTTGTTTTCAGGTTTAGCGGCCGGCTAGTTTTAAGACCAACTCAGCCTATCACTATAACTGTTCGTAATCTTTACATAACGGTTTAGTAGGTCAGCCAACACGTGTATAGCTGCTGGATATTTAGGGTAAAAGAAGAAATGAAAGCCGAGATAGGTTCCTGGCTTCCATATTAAATAAATATAAAGATATGTCAGTTTTTCGGATAAATAGCCAGTGTCATCTAAGAGCGTTTGTCGAAATCTAAGTGAACACCCAAATCTCAACGGTAAATTGTAATGTACACATTTTGTTAAGGAACGTTTTAACCAGACCCTGACTGAAGAAGGAGAGTGTTTAGCTTGCATGATAATAGCGGTTGCGTGCGTTTAAATTCGCTTCATCAGATAAGGAACGTGCGTGCAATATCTTATATTGAGGGCAAAGTTTAACAGGCTTTAACGGTTATAGATCGTGATGTGATGGTTGGGTAATATTGCCCCCTGTATTGCTGAAGGAAAGTGATATTGCCTTTATTTATATAATAGACAAAAGGTGCTGCTTTACGAATGAGAAGTATACTGTAGTCTTTAAGCGTGTTTGGATCAACTAATTGTACAATGCACTCCGGTCAAAATCTTCCCATAAAAGAAAGGAACTTGCCGTAATGCTCTAATCAATTAGACTTAATGGACTAATGGCGTGATAATGGCGGTTTATAATATCAACATCTAAACAGAGGATGAAGAATTTCGAAGCGTTTGAACTCTACACAAGTTTATTTTCAGCTTAAATTAAAGACTAACACCCTAGCAGTTTATTTTTTGAACTATAAAATGAAATGAATCACACGTTAATTACCAGTCCGATACTGATAACATTGTGTATTCCTAAGTAGTTTTTCCAATGGCTAATGTATGTAATGTTTGAAAGCGCCAAGCGTGAGAGCTCAAATTTCCTGTACTTATTATAAAAGATAATTGTATGGGAGGTCTGAGATATCGCTCTTATAGAATACATAAAATCAACGGAACGATCCTCACGGAACATCGTGTGGTTTTTCCCGCTGAGTCCAGGCCACTGATGTTTTGCCTAGCACAACCTCTCATCTCTGACCTCTTAAAATTGAGATTGTCTACTATTGTCAGAGTAAGATAACAGAGGACATCTGAGTGCCAAGCTGAATCGCTTTTAATAAACATTCGCTCAAAGATTCAGGTTCCAAAAAAGGTAAATCCTCTCTTAGGAACTTTCGTGCTGGGATTTTTAACTAAAACTGTTGTCTTCATTTTTGTTTGTTTGTGTTATTTAATTTTGAGCTCAACCAAACGACGTAAACCACCTAAAAAGTCTGACCATAGCGGGAATCGAATCCAGTTTTCACGGTATTTAACTGTCGAAGCAATTGAAGGGATTATATTCCACAGTGATTACATCAACATGATCAGGAAATGAGCCTGCGTGATACTGTGGATGCAGCCGGCGTTTGCTAAAAGTACTTGAATAGAAACGATATTTACTTGAGAACCGCGGAGCCTGGTACGACATGCTGGGCTTATTGTCAGTGAAATCATCACACAAACCATAGACGCGGGAAATGTAAGATGAAATTAGGCTCGAACAATCGCTCCACACAAAAGCCTACAAGTTGTGCGTTAATTACTTTGCCGACTTCGCCATGTGAACTCATGCATGTTGTTTAGCCTGCCTAGCGGTCGGTTTCAATGAACTGGTTGGCACCATAAATATTTATGGTTGGTACTCAAGTTAAGTTTCAAATCACCATTCACCCTCGGGGATCACGGTCATAATTTCTAAAGAGGACAAAGGTTGTTCGTCTGTAGATTAGAAAGAAAATTGGATTAAAGAAATTGGGTTATAATTGTTGAGTTAACTTCTGGGGGATTGCCGTCAATAACATAGCATTAATGAGTTTAGCTTTCCGAAATTTGCATATCACGACAGGTTGCATCTTGTTATAAGTTGTTGTGAGTAAATTTTATCGTTTCCTGCAGACATTGTATTAATATCTTTAAGTGAGTATATTTTGAGGTGCAAATTATTTGTAACATCGACCTGAAGATACGCCACGTATGCCACGTTAGAGATTTCCATTAGTAAAGGAAAACATTAGCAAGGAGTTTTAATCGAACTACAACGCTTTGCCCGCCAAAAATATCTCTCCCTGCTCGTTTTGGATTGGACAAATATCCATTCCCTTATTGGCTTCTTCCGTCGAGACAATTTTTGTGAAACGCGCATGATCAAAATAGCCTCTGACTGAATGTTGAAGCTGGATGCGTTTGAACACACAATGTTAAATGTCGAAGAGCGCAGCGCTTTGCCTAAAAATTTCTCGTTTCACCGTTCCTATGTCGACGATGAAAGCCTCTATTTTTACCGATAACGGAGCGTTCTGAAACATGAAATGCGGTATACAAATCTAAGAGAGTGTTATAATACTGAAGTTTCTAAAAAGATTTAAAGATAAGCTTATCAGCATGGCAGATAAGAACCGGAAAATTCACCACTTCAGCAGTCACCACGCTTGAAAATGGATTGCGGACCAGAATAATGTTGGTGGTTAACCTATCATGTGAAATCTGGTTAACCGCGAGGATTTTCTAGTTTTAAAAAGGTTCATCAGACGGGTCGCACATGCATTCCCTCATGGGTGTGTACTTGTACCATTGTGACAAATTATTTCCGCACCCAAGTCATCACAGGGAAGTCACAATACCACAAATAGCCATAATGTAGCAGTTGACATTGTACCGAACCCATATGATCCGAAAGTCTGGCCAAGAATCCGGGCAACCAATACATCGCCTTCTGGCAGACCGTGTTGCGACTTTTCCGATTATGGTAACCACAGAAACATTTCAGTGATTTCACCGTGAATATATCAATGTCTGAGGACTCTCGTTAAGAGAATCAGCCATCAAAGACTCAGTTAATGACAGTTCAGAACCAGAATATGAAATATATCAATGACAGCCAGATTCAACTCGATCAGTTGATTGCTTTTTAAGCCTCGATATTTGCATTTGCACCATTTGTTATCTCGTTCGACTGATAATGATACATACCACGGTGGGAATCGGATAATCTATCCCAATGCGTTCACTGACTTGATTTTGAAGTTAGAACACTTGTAATCGGATTTAAAACTGTGTCGAATTCGAAACTATAACAAAAATCTTTAGTTTTTGGATTAAGTAGGCAACTATATTTTACCTAATGTAGTTTTCAATATAACGATAATCGGTTAGTTTATTGTGTTTTTTACACAGCATATAATAAAGTTGCTGGCGTCCATGTTTAATGGTCTCAAGTAGTTATTCGTCCGCCAATGTAGGCTACTGATGATAAATTGTTATCTAAGAAATATTTTTCTTTCCCACCAACAACCAGAGACGCTAGAACCTCTTGAGACATCTTCACAACAGCAATTTAGTTTGAAGTGCATTAAAAATGACGGCAATTTCCTTTATTATTCATAGCACATGTAGTCTTGGTTGATATGAGTGGTTGTCTGAAACGAATAACGATTTATACTCGCACTATTCATGGCTGCTGCATCGATGGCAACTGTTTGCGCAAACTTCAAAGACTCTTTCATCGCCTCCCACACACGCTAAATTCAGATGCGAAAATACGCTTTCCTGTCATCTGCTCTGTCTTATTGCACATCTCTATCAATGCACAACAAGGGTCGACAATGTGTACATTATGAAAGAGCAGTGTATTGTAACTGATATTTGACCATGTCATATTTGGCAGTTGGTTGGCCTACACGTTCTTCATACAAAAACGTTATATAACACTCTTTCAGTCTCTTTGGCGAGTTATGATTGAAATTAAATATACTCGTGAATTGTGATTGAGCCAAAATATCTTTCCTTCCTGTTTTGACACATTTTCAACCACAGAATATGTCGATCATCACGAGACTATAAAGTAGAAAGAGAATGGTAGATTAGAAGCTTTTTCAAACCCGTTCGTTAGCCCAGAATTTTTACCATCAAGTTGAATCAATTGTGTTTAGTAATCAGACAAACAATATAGATATGTAAGTCCTAACTCTAACAAGCTTCTCTTTTATCCTTGAGGACGACCCCGGAAAGGCTAGAACCATGGCCGCTTTGTCACTGAATTTCCGTCCAATATGCAAATCATCTAAGATTAGATCTTTATTAAGAATTTTACAATGATGTTTGGGATTTAGTGATGTTATTTTCATAGTTATATGTTTCGTATTGTTTCACTGCTTTATTATTGACAATCCTTTTTGAGTATGGCGTTTCTCCGCTTGTTTAAGCTTCGGTAAATCTCTTACAGGCAAAGACGAAGCTAATACTTTGTTAACAAATATGACAGTGAAGGCTTAGTGGGCTTAGAATTGTCGTCCATGAAATTATATGAGGTCAGGTGGAAAACATTGCACAAATCTTACCATTGAAAAGTAACCTCGCAGTCTATTTTAAAATGCAAGTTTGACAGGGTATCACCTAAACTTATTTGAAGTATCCTAGGAATTTTTAACCATTTCAGGCTTTCTAACAGTTAATTCAAAAAGGTTTTTAGAGGAGGCGTTGATAGTGATAGCCGATTGTATGTCTGGTTATAATTAGGCTCTGGTAATTATTCGTGACGTCATTTTCGTAATAATTTAGCCAGCATCATCGCGGATTCTAAACATGGCTTCTAGTAAAGAAGAGTACAATTATAAGCAATTTCGCGATGAAATAATGGCTTGAATTTCACCATGAGTAAATCGGAAAGGTGGTCGAGTGCTTCGTCGGACAGCGACGTGTCTTTTGTGCTGTTTGGAGGTAGTAATATTCGTATATTTACATTCGAGTGCCAATGTTTTTTTGTCCCCCGACGAACGTTCTTGTCTTGTGGTGAGCGGTAAACTTGGTAATCAAAACGCTACGGTTCTAGTTCCACCATGTGATATAGCTTCAATTTCTTGTCGTATAGGCGAGCACCGAGGTGAACTTCAAGGATCCAACGCTATACACGAAATACTTAAAGAGCGAATCGCGTTTTTATCAGGTATATGGGATACGGCCAATATATACTGTTGTATATAAACTTCGTACTGTATTTAATAAAAGCGATCGCATGGATATTATAATAAAGGCCACATCGACCACAGATCTGTCAGATTTGATACGAAATTGTATTTTTATTGCACGATCTACCACAGCGATTACCGATTGTCAATTGCCTGTAAGCGTGTTATCCTGTCACTGAATTTTAAAGTGCAAGTTTGTAGTAAATGTTTCAATGCGTTGAGATGTAAAATTTGGTTAAGCGTGTATTAAAACGGTTGTATTTTCACTTCTAGGTGGCAAGGATAAGCGTGGAGGGCCTATAATTACAATTCCAAGTCGTGGAACGAACGCAGAGGTTAAAACCGAGGATTTTAAAAGGTTGTTGGTCTACTTGGCTGGCCTTCCTAGGTACGTGTTTTTACTTTCTGCGGTTTCAAATCAATATTATTTATTTTTTTTCATGTCGGTTGCTTTGAACGAGGGATATGTAAGCTTGAACTTGATCGGTAAAGAAGCGAGTTTGGCTTGATAAATAAACATATGTCATCTTGAACAGCAGACTCGGAAAATCATCGGAGCGTAGGAAAATATCAAGTTTCTCATTCGCTTCTTGACCGCTGCGTTTTTAGGGTAATTCGTGACGGGTATTTCAACACCCCATGCTAATAATTGTCTTCAAAGGACATTGAATGTAGTTGTATTTTTAATTTTACAAGGCCCGTTTACTATTGATTTAGGAGATGGTTATCAGTTAATATTACCCGCGTAAGGCATGTGATACGAGAGGGTACCATTTGCCGGACTATTGGAATGTAAACTTTGACTTTCCTGAGACGAATTTTCATCCATTGTTTGATAAAGCTTAACGCGTCGCGATCCGTTCCAATTTAGATGTTTTGACGGCCTCGATAAGCTCGTATGCCGTAAAGGTGTTTGAAAAATTATTGCATTTTGAATGTTTTGTTAGCATTGTTGGGCGACCTAGCTCATGCTGTGCGGTCGCTTTTCATAAAAATAAAACACTGCATGAGGATCGCTAAAGCTAGCAAAGTACTTTTGACCTTTATTAATACTTTCATTGTCTTAGTCTTTGTTCGTGTAAAGCCAGTTTGTCTGAATTTGGGAATGACTTGGGAGCTTTTACAAGGCGGAAAGTCATCCCTTGTCCTGTGTTTCTGTGCTAAAAGAGCTACATTAATAGCCTTCATTACCTGTGGAGGGAAACAATGTGCAGACCCTAACTGCGCTACTATCAAATATTTAGGTGTCAACTTTCATAGATTTGCAAGGATTTGCCATATCAATGCTGTTTCTATGACCTAAAGTTTGCCCTTTCCAGTATATTGCATATCTGTTGCATTTTCCATATATTTCTTCATGAATTCCAGTTTGGGCATACACAATGCAAAACATTCAAGGCAAAATGAATATATCATTCACAGGCCTTGATTGCAATCAGTGTTTAATTACTGAAAACAGTGCCTTTTGCAGATGTTTCCAAGGAAACAATGACCACAATTTACATTCCTATGGCAAAATCAAATACAGTGCCATGCCTCTAATGCTATAGTTGATTGTAGACATTTCAAAATGCTATAGATGATTGTAGACATTTCAACCACTTTGATGATACTTTTTGACATGAAAAATCAACCAAATGCTAATTATTGTGGCATATCCAATTACTGTAAGGGCACCTCTTTCTCTTTTTACAAACTGCCAAATTTTATAGGTGTTGACTGTTATATTTGAGCTAAGCCAAAAATGATTAAGTCATTCTAAATCACCATGCATAATGTTGATGAGAAGTTGTCAGTATATTATATTAATTATATCTTTTGATATACTTATACATTATTATCCTGAAGTCTTTATTAGGATTTGAGCAGATCTGGCATTACCTTTAATGTTCAGTTATTCACCGGTGGGCAATTTGTTGAAATTTTATAAGCCCCTGTTGAAATATAGAAAATTATGTCCACATTGTTGTGTTTTTGCCAAGATTATTGAAACATTAATTACTTTAAAAGGTTTGCCTGTATATAAGCAGATATAGAAATATGTGAACCTTATATATACCTTAAGGTTATCAATTCTGAAATCATATTTCATGATAATATTTGCCTTGGTCTAAAGATCCACCACAGTTATCTGGTATGTTGGCCCAAGACTTGAGAATTTTTTAAAACCACAACTGCATTACCACAATAATGGCAAAGCCATCTTTACCCATCAATTATATACAAGGATATACTACCTCAGAGAAAAAAAAGGAAACTACATGTGAATTGACCACAGTCACAGTCTGATAAGGGTTTGAAGTAAACACTGACTAGGCAGATTGAAGTGTTAATGGACCACAGACTAGCTTGAGTACTATCCATGGGTAATTCGCAGTCCTTTTCTCAGAAACCCATTTCTACAAACGTTTGGTAACCTCAAGAAAGTTAGCTTCAGGAATATTTGTGTGAATAAAATAGTACACTATTGCTCATATAATCATAGTTCTGATCAACAGGCAACTACTGGGTATATGCAGTTATTTTGCACATGTGTTTCTGAGAAACCTTTTGCCATAGCTGAATGTTACAAGTTGAAGCAAAATGTACAACATAGCAGCATCATTATCAGTATAGAACATTGCATGTGTACTGTGGAAATATAAGTAAGATTTTTTCATTCCACCTGCCAACCAATACGTGTGGTCTTTCGTTTGCAATTGAGAATCACTTAAAAAACAAAGAAACCTGACTCGTCTTGATGAAAAATTGAAACTTGAGCCTACTAGCTAACTTTGTTGCAAAAAGTATCATATTCATAACAATACGTTCGAACAAGTTTTCGACTATGTGAAATGTTGTGTCCTGAACATAGTTTGGACAGTACTTTGTCACTTCTTGCTCTATTGGTTTGACACAGGACATAACATGCCATACAAAATGGCATTTTAGAGACGAGTGTCTTTGATGTATAAGTTTTATAATCGTTTAATATCTCTTAAACTGTAAAACAACTAAAATGTCACATTCGAAGATGCGTATTACACTCTTCACATTTGTCGAGCGAAAATTCCTGCATGTGTGAATTAGCGTTTTATTAAAAGCATCCTGCATTTTGCTATTTCATAGGCCTTTCAAGTAACACATACCTGTTAAAATTATACTTGGATAACTATAATAATTTCATTAGGGACAGGTGGCCTCGCGGCCGTCATTGTTATTTTAAGAACGCTTCGTTTTCCCAAGTGTTTAAAAGCACAAATGTATGTTGACAGATTTTCGAACTGTTTCCAATGATAATACTAATTACATGGACATTTTCGTCAGATAAAAAAACAATTGTTCTGTCACCTATATGATCTCACATCATCTCCTTGATGAGTGGCCTCTCCTAATATCGCTTTCTAGGTATTCACTGAAATTCCTCACAAATGCCTGATAGAGTGTAGATGCATGTACCCAGCTTGGGGCTATAAGATTATCTGGCGTAGTGTACTTCACTGAGACACTGACTATATAATGGCATTATCAACCTTATTTGACGGAAGGCGGTTCATGAATGCAATTGTCCCAATTAGAAGAACCCGTGCATGCTAGACGATGTTCACGAGCAGTATTTGCCGTCTTCATCAACGGCAAAAACATAGACGTTTCTTTATAAGTCGAGCTTTTGGGATATCAAATGATAAACGTCGACGTTCAATGTCCTTTTTGCCACGTCAAGGAGGATTAGGATTTTACTGTGTTAATGAAATTTGCGTTGAAATTCGAAATATTTCAAAAGAACGTCAATACGTTTTGGCAGATTTGCTCCTTGCTGTTCGAATCGAAGCTGAGTTAAATCGAGCCTCCTAAATTACTTTTTTACAATAGCCCCCTCACAGCAATTATAGGCGGATATGTCTGGACACTGATTCAAGCGTTGCCAAGTGATCAGTCTCGAACCTTTCCGATAAATTATTTTCGCTACAGGTCATGTGAATTTTTATTTCTAAAGTCTACAAAAATATATTACTTTTAAAGGGGCGTTCTGAACTTTGGACGTTGCATCATAAAAGCTTTTATATAAAGTGTATACGTGTTGGAAGAGCGTGTAATGTTTACAAAAAAGCGATGTCTTTTGACGTGATTCTTAAGTACTTTATGCTTCTGCTTCTTATCTTAACATAAATTACCATTTCCTGATTATCGTGATAAAAGATAAGTCTCACAAGTGCCCATCTTGCGTGAACACCAGAATTTAGGCTAAATTATGCAATGCGATCTTCTTTAGTATTTTTCTGAGTTTCTTAAGTGAGTCTCATAGCAGGAATTGCTATTCCTTTAGTATTCAAAGCGAGTTGCTGGTTGCTTTTTTTATAAACAATCCTCGAGCGTCTCCCGGTTACGAGGAACAACAGCAAATTTAATATTATACTCTGCAAATGTTGATGAATATGTTTTGTTTTTATCTTTCGTGACTTGAAAGATTTCATATCAATTGCGTATGTGGCGTAATTGTTCTTCTCTGATGTCAACACTCTTCAGGGTTTCCTGGGGAAATTCACTGGTCATTTATTGCTGACATTCGCTAGGATTTATTATCGTAAACAAGTCACCATCGTTGACAAACAGAAACATCATATGAGCAACTTTACTTGTTCAAAATTTTCATCATTTAAGAGGCTTTTAAAGTTTCTGGCTTATCCTACCAACGACGACGTCATCATTAACTGACTGACGTCATTGCTTTTAGTTTGCTTATGCAACAAACGATGACTTAATTTAGATGATGGAAAAATCCAGTCGCCAACCATTGAATAATATAATAGTTTAAATAGTTTGCATGTTAAGTTGATTTTAGAATTTTCCTATTTCATCTTCAAATATTTTTAGCGGGTTATTCCCTATCAAAACTAAAGAGGAATAAACTGAAATACATTACAAAATCATCTGCCATTAGTATATAACGCCCAAGTGGCATAGCGTGGCAAATATTTCGAGTACTCTGCTGAACAATGTGTTATCAAATAATGCATGTTTACTTTCTATACAAGTAAACATGCATTATTTGATAACACAAGCCTTAATCGTCTCAGGATTCAAGATTCATGTGATCCTTTTCTTACAAAATTGTTGTGAATTTGCTTGGAAAATAAAGGCTTGAAGATGATAAACAGTCAATTTTACCAACAAATTTACATCAAAAGTAGAGTGGAATTCGTTGCAAAAATTTGCATACAAACGTTTTAAGTAAAGTGGGGATCATGCATATAAAAGATGACTATTTTTGTGAGATTTCCTTTGTTTGATCTAAATATAACGTCTGTCTTAATTCAGTGATTTTTCATTATATTTCCCACGATAGATCTTTTTCTAGACCTTCGTTAATAACTGGAAATTATTTTAGACATTTTCTCTGCTGTTTCTTAGTGACCATGCAAAAGATCAAGGTTTTAGTATTGTTCTTGACATGCGTGGTAGCACATGGTTGTCTATCAAACCCGTGCTAAAGTCATTACAGGTATTTCTCTATTAATTAACTGTATTGACGATGTTTAAATAGACATCACTGCATGTATTATGGCTAGAATTATAATTCTCGTATTCTGCCTTAAAAGCCTTAATCGTTTAATTCTATAGGCATTGCTCAGATACGAACCGATGACTAGGTATTTTAGAAGCCCCCCCTCTAATGCATTACCTCATATTGGTAACCCCCCCCCGATCCACTAGTTTTAAATAGGTTAAAATGGATACCGTGGTCTAGACGCTCCCTAATCGTGAAAATTATCCACAAGCTTTCCACTAGGATATCTTAATCCTTCTTAAGTTTGGGAATAAAGCTTTAAGGCTATCGTCTGGAATAATCGAAATCTTGTAGAAAGAAACTTGACTTATTTCCAATCAGAGAGTCTCCGAGGCATAATTTACATATGCCCTTTTTTGTAGACAATCACAATTTTTGTTAATTTAGTTAATTTGGTTTTGTCCATCGATATCTTTCTGAAAGATTTGCTAAAACATTTTTTTGATCTTAAAACTATCTTTGTCCTATCTTCAAGATACAAGATCACTGCACTGATGCTTGTTTCAATACTCTGGGTTATTTTTCTGTTAGCAAATATTTTCAAACTAGATTTTCATCTCGTTTAGTTCTTCATAAACAACAATATATGTATCGCACTGAATGTCCGGAGACAAAATTTTGGATATATTTTATGTAGAGACTCATTTATATTTCCAATATTTGTTTATGTTTCCATAACGAACGAAAATAAATAAAAGGAAATGATCTTAAAACAGCTGCAGAGTGTAATTTACGAGAGATATGAAGAAATATTTCAAAGCAATATTTCCGTTATACTCTTCCGACTTTTGTTTGCGATACTGTCCCAATCTTAGAGATTTCCAAAAGAAATTTTCGCCTGTGTAAACAACAAGTTTATTTAAGACTACAAAAGCCACAAGCATGCCTTCGAAATGAGCGATAAATGAACCAAAGCATTTCTTTTAAATACAGAGTTCAAAGTTTCTTTTATTTTTATATAACGTTTATTGTTTTACATTACCTTAGGAGTGTTTTCCATCGAAGATTCATTCCGTTTATATCATAACCCGAAGGTTTTTGGGAGAGACACAAGGCTTCATCTGGAAGTGGCAAGTTCAATTTTGAGGTATATAGATTATATTTCGTTCTGACGTTCTGTCATCAATTATTAATTGCCCGAATTGTTTGGGCCAGATTAAATTACGGTCATGGAAAGATGACCTGTAAAGTTGATGGCAGAGTCTGTGCTTTTGTACAAAATCAATTCATGTCTTCTGGATCGTAGCTAAGATGTCATATTTCAGGTTTGGGCTTGTATAATTTTGTTATATTTTTCCTCGATTTCACGTTGAAATCTTTAGCCATTCATTCTTTTTTGTCTGAAAAATTTTATCATGTTTAACGTCTACATTGCAAACAAGTTTGTCATTTTTTCTTCTGTTGCCCATTACGGTGTTATGGAGCAAAGTAGAGTTATTTCAGAAAGCTCAGAGGATTAGTTCAATGTTTGTAAACATTTATGATCCGAAATGAGGCATGAGCCGCCGTGTGAAAGTCTTAACAATCTATATAACCTAAGCTGAGCTTTACCGTGGATACATTGAGAAAAAAATGAACCGAATATCATAAATATTTGTAGTCTGCAGTATATGAGTGTTATCGAGTTGTACTTCACGCATGTCCAAAACGCTATTTTTAAGCATATACGACTTCTTCGAAGCGGAGTAACCGAGAATAGAGTAATAAAAATCTCCACAAAGCGGCTCGTATTCGCGTTTTGAATTGATAAGCATTCTGAATAACGTGGCTGTCATTTTCATTGTTCATTTAAAATTACCTCAATGAATATTTAAAAGTTCTTTAAAAAAACTCAGTTGATTTATAATTCTGAACGCATTTTTTGTCATAATGATACCGCATATTCTTTTTCTTCCTTTTTTTCGACGTAAAACGTTCGTACTTTTGCAAGGTCACCGGGACACTATTTTGGTTCATAATTTTTTCATGAGTTTTAAGTACAAATCTAATCAATTTTTGTCCATTGCTTATAAGCGTTTCATAGCGGTTCCCCTTTGGATGTTTAACGCGACATAAACGACGTCTTTGGTATATTTCTCCAACCCAGAGACAATGTTTCAAAGTATTTTCACATCTTCACTTCATCTGAGTTGAGGAAACTTTATCTATTTGAAAGAGCTCTTATATTGTTTTCTTACACCTGCCGATATTGTTTGCTTTCCTATATCAAATAAATTAATTTGTAGTTCGCCAAATTGCAAAGTGTAACACGGCCTGTGTGATATCTTGATACTCGTGTCTAGTTTTATTTTGTTTTCCTATTGGCATCAATGTATTTTCGGCATTTTTTGTGCCACGGGGTCGCACCAGAGCGCTGTACAGCCCGTTGTGTATAGAGCGGTGCTAATGAGGTATAATTTATTGAAGAGGGAAAACCGATCTTGTTATTGATGTTATCAGACATGCTATTCTCTCAAACATTGTGCTAAGTTTGCTTAAAATGTTAGAAATGCTTGAGTATTGCATTTTCGCTGTAAAAAAACGTCATAGTTGTCATTGTTCATTCATTTGGTACTTTGTTGGGATACTTTATGTTGTAATTATTGTCGTGTTTGGCAAACACAACAATTCCATTGTTGTGCAAGTAAGCAACTGAAGACGAGCATGGTTATTCCCCTTGATATCATCAGGGGTTAGTGGCCACGTTACTTTAGTTGCCATAGCGAGAACGAATAAAAAGCCTGGTATGTTTTTGACGTTTTCATTCCGCTTTGTAGGTACGGTTTTATAGAATGTTAGTTAGCAGAATTTCGAACCAACATGCGTTGTGCTTCGGCCATAACACAGTGGTTTTTTGGTTCTCAACTTTCCTAAGTGCGAAGTGTGTTTCGTTTTCAAACACTATATTGCTTTATTTCAGGTGACATTTAGCTCAACGGAAGGGCTTTGCAAATACATCGAGCCCAGTAACCTAACTTCGGGATTTGGAGGGACACTTGTGTACGATCATGATCAATGGGTGATCATGCAGATGGTAATGAAGTACTTAACATTCGTCTTAGATAGAAAACTCGTCCTAAATTTGTCGATGATTAGTTTTCCGCATTTGAAATGAATCGACTCATAAGCACCTTATACTGGACCTCCAGGAACAACAGTTCAAAATTGACACAAAAAAAGCCGAAAATACACTTAGTGTAGTTCCTGTTTCTTCAAGTGGGAGTGATACAACATTACTTTTTTGCCGTTAATTTACGTTTTTTAACTTCCAAGGCACTAGAGAAGTTCAATTTCGAGGCGATGTCCTTGTTGACAAAACTGGAGGAAATTCACGAAAGTTTAATACACCAGGATTATGCCGATGATTTGGTGACCTTGCGCGAGCAAGTGAAACACAATCAGCATGTCAGAAAATGGATTATCAAGGCGCCTATCGAAACACTGGAGGAAGAAGGAAGTAAACTACTGGAGTGGATAACCGAGAATAAATTAAAACACCCCGACGCGGCCAGCGAGGACTGGAACACAACTAGTGCTAGGATTAAAACAATTTTAGAAAATTTACACGGGAAAAGGGAAAAGTTAAAGGACTCGTGGCATATCAGGAAACACAGGCTAGAACAATGCATCCAGTATCATCTTTTTCAACTAGATGCTGAGAAGGTCAGTGTTCGCATTGCTTACAGATTTCAATAACTTAAGTGAGGGAAAACTCACATTAGCTCGAATCAAAATAGTTAGCGAGGGTACATCTCGTTTTCCGCATTGTCTTACTGCGATGATTGGTCAAACTCGCCCAGCGGAAAACAAGCCCTGAGACAGTGAAATGAACTAAAACCTGGAACGTTAACCTGGCCGCCATCTTTGAAGCCAAATTTGAAGGTAGTTTTTAAACGCTTGAGACAGACGGTCGTACAAAGAGTGATCATCTAGGAATATCTGGAACTATATAAAATACAATCATTATATTTGCTGATTTTTATAAAGATTGAACGAGTCAAAAACTCAGTTTTTTTGCTTCAAATTTTGGCTTCAACCAAGTTTAGCGATCCAGGTTTTATTACAGTTCACTGCCCTGGAAATAGATGACGTCACTCGTTTCCAGGCTTCGCCCAAATCGCAAAGCATTTCTCAGTTGTTCCTATCAGTATAGAGCGCTAGGAGGCAACGTATAACGTATTTGTTTCTGTTTTTCAGATGAGACAATGGATCAAGGAAAGTCAGGTGGACCTTGTAGCAAATTTTAGTGAAGTTGGCACGGACGAAAGTTCTTGCACAGAGCTGGAGAACGAACATCAAAATATACAGAATTCATGCAACGTAAGTGAACTCAGTATATTGTGTTTGTTTGCTGAAACTATGAATCGGGGCGCGCGTATACAGTTCAAACACGTATTTCATTGTTGCCTTATTCATTATGGGATGAAAAGTGTGGAATACTCTTATCTTATTGTATCGACCGAATCACGTTTCGTGCGTTGCATTGAAGTGCTCTCAGGCATTCACTCCATATTTATATCCGCGTTTAAATCCTTCGGCATTTCGTGAATCAAAACACGCGGAGACATAACGTTGTGATAGTATGGGTTTCCTATGCCCCTTCCCTCTTTGATTTGCCGAGTTTGAAGTGCGACATATTTTCGCACGATTAAAAGACCTTGCGTACAAACGAAACGATTTCTTTGTTGAAAGCGAAAACGATTGTCGATTTTGTATGGAAATCGCCTTGGCAATATTTGCCTTTTAAATCTCATCTAAGTCTACTCAGACTTGCTTTGGGGAAATTTGATCTTTTTGAGCTCCAGGAATTCTCTGTTCGATTGAGTGACGTGATACCAATCATTCTTCATAGCGGGCGAAGCGACTCGTGTATATTAACCTCAGTCAAGTAGTTCTGCAATTTGCCGCGTCCTATTCGACCGTTGTCAACATGAACAAGAATCTTGGTGAATGTGGCGATGAAGCGGATTTGAGTCGTTCGAGGAAGTTGTAGTTTTCATTTTTTCAGATCTTATGATCTTTTATATTTGACCTGTTGCTTGTGTAGGCGATCAATACTTTCACGTGATTTCCTTTCTGGCGTATATTATAAACGGTTTCCAAACCGATGGTGATGCGAAAAGGATTGCCGTAATAGGAAGTTAAGGAAAATTCATTAGCACATACAGACAGTACTTTGAAGAAGCCTCTCGAATGAAAGGATTGCACTACATTCCGCTATATCGACAGCTCTTACCTTTCTTCTGTATATATACGCTTCCTTGACACGAATGAAACGATCAACAATCGTGTTTAGTAACAAGAGTAATTCCACGAACTAATTCAGGAAACGTCATGTACGATGAAGCCTTATATTGCTGCCTATTTGTCTACAGAGTTTTTCGAAAGAAGCGGGCTGGACATTGTATGTCAACAAGCAGGTTCCGTTGCAGTGCTTTTTTTCATCAGAGCTATACGGAATCTTGTTTCTCTCTTAGGCTTGTTGATGAAAGCTACTGAAATCTTGATGGAATTGTCTTAATTCACTTAACCTTTCGCAGAGTCTGTCATTGCCTTCAATTCCGGTTCTCTTTTCCTGCGGTAAACTTTTTCTAATGAAAGATTAAGTTGGACGGGGTTTTTTTTACCTACAAATTACTTTTTTTACTTACAAATACCTGCTTGCTTTTTCCTCGCTTCCCTGACAGGTCCTGGTGATTACTTCCTCAGATCTGACAAACCTGCTTGCTGATAATTGGTCCTCTTTGTCACAATTAAACCTGTTTTTATTTCTCTCTCATAACATGAAGCTTGTTTTTGTTCTTCTGCTCAGCCACGCCGAGATCTCTCTGCGGTCTGATTAACCGAAGACAATAAGCTCAAACTGTTCTCTTGCAAAACATCTGTTACTGTAATATTCAGTTTGTAACTCCCTGTCATGATGCTGTGGATGAGAGCTTTAATCAAGATAAGTAATCGTGATAAAGAAATTCAGCAAAATGGCCAATCATTCATGTCACTGTTCATTTTGCACGTACTGTAACGAAAAATGATCTCTAACCAACTGGAATTGTCACTCCGAAACGTTACCTCTTTTAGTTTTTCGAAGTTCTCAGCCAAAATATACGACATTAACATTGTTTTGTGTGTAAAAATTAAGCTTTTGAAAACTCTATTTAGCGTTAAAATTGCAAGAGCAGAGCTGAAGGGAGAATATTTAAAAATTACAGAAGTAATTGATGTAATTTTTCGTTGTTAACTGATTAGCAGTTGTTTACGCAACTTCAAGATATTTATCTTCTGGCGAACGCATTGAAATTTCCACATCGAACAGCCTTCAATAACTTTGATTGGATTCACAGTCCTACCTCTGGTTATTGTATCTCAACACAAAATTCTGGTACGAGACAAATTTGGGCATGCAACAGTTGTCGTTCCCGTTGCATTGGAGCTCAGTGCATGCTAACAAATGAGTATCGTGCTGGATGATAATTTTCTCACATCATTAACCTTGTTAAACGCCCTAGCCTACTGTACGACATATGAGCATTTCAGGGTCAGAGGAGCCCACATTCGACACCATCCTATTATGCACTATACGTACAATAACAACGTTTTAATTAGACACGCGACAGTAAATTCATGCATTAAAGGTGCCCTACATTCAAGAGCATGTGTAGCACTGTGCAATGTAGCACAATACTGTGCAGTACTGCATGCTCGTGTGAAATACAGTCTTAAGCAATCCATCCGTCGAGCAGGTCATATTCAGTGTGCGTGGTCGAATCATACCTATTTTTACTTGTTATTTACACTACCAAACTCGGAGACAAAAGGCCACAAGAACGGCACAGTCTCGAGATAATTTATTATTCCTTCATTGGATATACCGCCCATAGCTCACATTGCTACCTCCTTCCCTGTTTCAACTAAGAATCAAACGGTCAAATCTAATTTAAACAATTCAAACTACAGTCTGAGTTCTTCATTCAAAGCATCACATCAAATACAGTTCATGCAGAGTCTTTGTCCACCTTTTTATTGTCTGCTTTTCAATTTCTTAAGGACACATATTTAAATGCAATTGTTTCTCCGCTGTTTGTTTTGGAGAGCCTAAATTGTCTTTTGTTTAAAGTTTCTATAAGTTTCTCTTTCCTGTTATTTTCCTGTCTCGAAGGCACTCATAACCGAAGATTCTACATATTTAACAATTCCGACGAACAACTATCGGGAAAACGTTTAAACCACATGCATATCGAAGTTCGTGTTAGTTGTGTGTGTTAAAGAGACGAAGACAATAATTATCCGCGTTCAAACAGCAGGTGATATTAAAATTCGAGCCTCTTTTGTAAATTATTCATCAAATACCGCGGGAGTTTTCGTTACTGCATTCAAAACTGGGTTAAACTTGCCATAGTCTCGTTTGTAAACAGTTCTAGGACGTAGATTACTTTTCACAACACAAGAGACAGCTATCAGTGCTGGGTCTTTATTTCAATACTTCGACGTTTGCCTCACAAAATTGTTTCTTCGATACTCGCACTTTTAAATTTCATATCATCGAAGCTTTTAAATATTTAAAAAACTAAAATGTAATCATTGCGTTTTTTCCTGACTCATTATATTTTACCAAGAGAAAAAAACTCACATACAAATATAAATTTGACCGTCAAGAAATGAACTATATATATTCCTGCCATCGTTTTGTGTCAAAGATGTGAAACTGTTATAAAAAGGGGAAGATAAATCTAGATTAAGACATGTAATTCATCCAATATCGTGGCCGAATTATTATAATTTATTTCACTAAAACAGCTGGCGTTCCGTGCTCATGCAGAATAGCATCAGAAACATTTTAGGAATATTTGAACTGTGGTTTTATCATGTAAGTTCTTCATGAACGACAAGCATTTCATATGCCAGTGGATCTTTATTGTTACTTTAAATTCACGCTGTGCTTTTGAAATATGTGCTTCAGAATGATGACGATCTCTTGCTGTATTTATTTTCAAACATTTACGCCAAGTGTGTATCTCGAAGGACTCGTTAAAGATGCAAACAAACATTCTGTAGCCTTGTAGACAGTTTCAGCTCATAAAAGAAGGTAATATTCCTTACGATCATACTCGTTTTTTTTCCGTATTTTATGCTCCAATGGGCTTCACAGCCTCCTAAAAATTATATTTGAAATTGCTCAGGCAATATAGTCGGTAGATTGATTACAGCTTTGCTAATTTGAAGGTAAAATCGATCCATTCCCTGGGATTATTTGCCAATATTTGTCAGTCACAAGTGTATATTTAATGATATTTAAAAACTGGAAATACAGATTATCTTTAAGAACGTCTAAAACTCGGGTAAAACATATTTATTTGACGAATATCCTCGTTAAGAGAGAACATTCTCGATATGAACTGAATTCTTTTTACCTCGTAGTGAATGTTCCAAGCGTATATATAACGTTTTAGCTAGGATACAACTTGGTATCGCTTCGAGATACAGTTGTGTAATGTTTTGGTTTATTTTACCCTGCAACTACGTGCACTAGATGTTGTACATTGTGTTTTTTGAAGTCGTTGCTATAGTATAATAAGTTATTTCTGATCATATTCCCTCTATTATGTGAGTTATACTTATATATATCGATGAGAGTTATTGTATTTATTTTCGTTAATGACACCGATTCATTTTAATCTCTTGAACGTTATCACATATTCATGTTTCTTAGTCGAAATTTTCGATCTTGTATATTTCACCAGACATGCTCCAAAAACATTTTGACACAATATTGAGCCAAACTGAAAATTGAATCACATTAATACTATTGACTGTATTATGTCCCGTCTTAGACATTTTGTCTGGCGACATATTTTCAATTCATGCAAACACCGAGATCTTTTCAAACATTTTCTCAATGCTTAGTTAAGTATATGTAACTGTTATAATCTATATAAATGATATATCGGTCGAGGGGTTTCGGTGCTCAGGCCTAGGAACGATCAATTTTATCTTTAGTCGAGTGATTTGCATTATATAAAATTGAGATTTTGTTTTGTTGAGCTGATGAATAATTAACGCAAGATATGGCTAAAAGTCAATTAGTATCATGCCTCTTCTTTGACCAGTTGTAAGAATGGAGGTTTGTAAGTAATTGTTGTGTGTTCTGATACTTTCCCACTTATGAGCCTGTATCCATAAACACAAGTGTCCCGGTAACTCGATGATTTGCCATCTTGAAAGGAAAAAAATCTATCTAAAGTTACAGGACTACGGCTTCATCATACTGAAAAGCTTTCCTCTGCTGTTCCTCCAGTTTGAAAGGCTTCTTCAAAACAGAGGTCTCTTCTTCAAAACATAATGTTTCTTCACTGTATTATAGAACCATTTTCCAATTCGAAAAACCTTTTCTACCTAAATTTCCTTTGCTCAAATCAACCCAGATGACATTCTTCAGGTTCCAAGCCTGCCTTCCATTTTCAATCCTTTCTTCAACTTAGCATCGCCTCTTCAGGTTAGCGACTTCTTCAGGGACCACGCCCTAATTGAACTCAACCATCAACATAAATTAGGGTTCCTTCTCTAACCCAGACACGATCCCGCTCGGCTTTAAAAGATCCCCGTTCTGTTTGCGGTAAAATGTTCCATACAATTCCTTCTTCTCCCGCATCAAAGCGGGATCCCAAGTCAAGTTTTCGTTCCATAAAAAGAGCTTAAACACTGTGGATGAGAGCTCTCTCTTTTAATGTCTAAAAGCAGATGGTCCTGATAGTCTCCAGTTGGGTCTCCTCTGACAGTTCCCAATTGGGTTCTGCGTGACAGTTCCTAATTGTTATTCGCATGCAGGAGGTCTTCAAATATGTCACTTCTTAATTGGAGAGCGCCTACTTAACTACTAGGACGAACAGTCGCGCGTCTATTTTTAATTCTCACCGCAAAACGGTGGCTAATATAAGCAGCACAACGTAGCTTTTCAAACCCCAATTTGATTCAAATTGGCAATCCTGTAAAACAATCCTAGTGACACTTAAATTATTCGAAAAGTACATGCAGGTATAACCGAATCATCATTGCTCTCAATGAAATACTACAAAGTAACTTATTTTGGCTGAATAGAGATGCGGTGGGGCAGTTTTGTGAGGTGTCGGCTTTATGTAACGGTCGGGAAGATATTTCTCACGACTTTTTTAGCGTTGTGTTTATCAGAGGAATCAAAGTTGGTGCACGTTTTCCTATTGTGCACAGAATGGCGATGTATATGCATATGCAATAATGACTTTTGTTAGGCCTTTAAGAGGATCTTAATGGATACGTGGGACCGCTAAATGCGACCGCTGATAGTGCATCCTTTACATGGGATTCGAGTTTCTTTGGGAATTTCTGCCGTTTGACGAAACGAAACTATATCAAAATATCTTTGATGTTAGTTGTGAAGTATAAATATTAATCAACCTGCTAATTATACACGTTCCGTAGAACATGTACCACAATATCGCTTGCGTAGGAGTACTCCAGTATTCATATATAGTGGGGGTATAACAGACGTCGTCTGCATGTCACTGGACAAATACAAATATCATTGGCATAATCCAACGTGCGTGGCACTTATCTCGCGGCATGGCCTTTGCGGGCCTCGCAATAAACAAGAGAAACTACGTTTTAGGAGCTTTGCTAAAAGACATCTCACGTCGAACGTATAAGGTATATTACATAGATTCGGCTGGTACTTGTATATTCGAGTGTTTACACAATATTCTTGTAGTATGTGTGACTTTAACTCGTCATATTCTCAGCAGAGATCACGAGAGTTGAGCGTTAAAACGTAAGCGTTAAAATACGTTTATAGTCGTGTCTGACAAACACAGTTTCTACGGTACTTGAGCTTGAACCGCATCCAGATTGTACTTCACCTATTCTGAATGAAACATATACGACAATTTCTTAACGAATATTGAATAAGCGCGAACGATAAATTGGTGTCTAAATGGGGGAGGTTAACTACTTTTAAACAACTATACAATGAACGAAAGAAGGTTAACGAAATGACGCGAAAAACATGTTCGTGCATGGCTATAGTCGATTTTGTCACGGCGACGTCATGCTTGTTGATTTCCCTTGTCTAATTGTTCTAAATATACGTCCCTTCCGGAAACGTTATGTGTATATTGTGGCGACTACGACCTTGGCTGTGCTTAGAGGCTTGTTAAAGTTGACATTATTGTCGCCTGTTGCCGGTAGGATGTTTTGTATGTTAAATTACGAGCAAGTTGGTGATTTCGAAAATGTTTGAATGTGTGCCAGCGATATAGCAAAAGCGGTGATGCCAACATATTTCTAGATGAAGTTGCTGGAGAGAAGAGTTTGATAGATTTCATAGAGGTGGTCAAAAAGGATTTATTGATTGTATTTTTATTGCAGGAAATATCTGAGAACATTAAGAAAATCCTCGAAGGAGCAGAAAAGTTATTACAATCGGGACATTATGAAGCGGATCTTATTGAATCAATAGCCGGTTCGTTAGAACAAGAGTGGAAACAATTCGCTATGGACATAAATGAGCGTGGTAATTTGCTCGCTTGTTCAGTCGGTTTTCACAAGAAGAGTGAAGAGGTATTGTGCAATACCATACCGTATACTATATTTACACGACAGCGCTGTAACCCTTTTTACCAATGCCGTAACCATCTTTGACCATACTATAGACGCTTTCCTTTATGCGGTAAGAACGGCCAGACCGGTCCTGTTGTGTTCCAATACGGGCAAATTACTGGTATTTTAGAGTTTCTTAAGTAATCTGCATTTAAGTATATCGGTATTTACATCCGCCTAGCGCGGAAAATGCAGTTTCACCGCTATATTTTCAAAGAAATACTCAAATTCAATTCAAAATAGGACCGGTCTGACCATTTTGGCCGCTTCATGGAAAGCGCCCTATGACCCTCCAATGCATCAGCTGTCATCACCTCGTTTTAACGACGAACGAGGGTCATCTGACATACCATATTCTACACCATAAAGCACTTCACTCTCCGTTGTCAAGAAATTGTAGCAACATCAGTCAAAGAACTGCTCTTGCATAGCCTTCATCGACAAACGCTTACAATCCACAAGACGTTTTGTGGTATTTTTTTTTCCAGTTTTTTTTTTTACCAAATTTCATGATGAATTTGGTTCGTTTTACGTGAGATATACCCGTGAGAGTTTGAGAGATATATCATTATTTGAATCTAGAACACTGGCGAAATTTTGAGAATTCATAGTATGAAAATTGTACGGAAGCTATTTCCATCGTGAGGAAACGGATTTGTTTAATTATATACACAGAATCATGCAATTATTATGGATAAAAATACAATTTTTATACCGTGAATTTATAAAGTGTTGGAACTATTTGGCACATAAACAAATGTTGATAATTATCACCCTCGCCTGGCAAAGTTCCAGCAGTTTAATTAACTAAATGTCCTTGCATTGCCAAACGAAAATGATAGCTGATGGATGTGGTCTCTTCAGGCATCAAGTACGAACCCTTGTCGTCTTTTACACAAACTCTTCCTAATATCAACTAACACAAACTCTCATTTTCGTTTTCACTTGAAATTTGACAGTAATCTCGTAAAAAACGTCCATTGCAAACTTCAATCGACTCTAAAACTCATTTCGACCTGTGCAATCTCGAGTATAGATTCTTGCTTGCCATAGTTCAAGACACTCCGTTTTTTCTTTGGCGAGATACCGTCAAACTCTTGACCAGTATCTCCTTCAGCACTATATTCCTCTTGCTATATTTTTTCATAGTTTTTACGCCGTGTACGAACGTGGCAAGACCATCTGCACGACGATAGCTACTCGAACCTCACTGATATCGATCAATTGAGTCAGTTATTAATCCAAGAGGGGAATGTTAAGAAGGAGATAGACACATCCTACGAAGCAGTCTCGTCAGAAAGCAAGCAGCTTCTCGAGGCTCTACAGCAACCGATACTCGCCGGAGACGAACGGGATTCGCCGGAATTCTCCGAGGCCGCGTCTCATGTCATGGAACTATTTTTGAACGTTCATGAACATCACAGACAGTTGGGGATACTGTGGGATGCTAAACAATCCAGGCTTCGGGAATTGATTCATCTGTTAACCCTCGAACAGGATATAACCCAGGTATGACTTTTTAAGATTTTTTTACTTGATAACAATGCCGCGTTTCGATATTTCATTGGTTTGTGAGTGGTTGTCAGTTACGGATACGATATTATCTTTCAGATAAGATTTTTAAATTTAGTTCAGTCTTTCTTAAAATAGCTGAGAATTTTGCGCGATGCAGTTTTTTCTCTAAATTTCGATAAATAGGCGGACAATCCTTGCGTATAGAACGACCTGGCTGGTAGCTGTTGCCAATATGAAAATAATCCACATTCTAATATTATGTAATCGACAAGTAAATATAACTTAATCCAAGACTGTGTGGTTGTCATTTTGCGACACGTCAACGTGGGCATGAAATATTACTAAGCCAGTCAGACTGTCGCGATTATTGAGCCGAAAGACTCGTCCTGAGCTCTTGTTTTCCCACAAAAGCATTCAGTTGTTCCCGGTGATAATCTATATAATACTTGGCTACAAATGGACAAACCAGTATATTATCTTAGCTTACTTGTGGCAGTATTTAAAGTTGTCTTTCACCTGCGGTTTGCCAGCGAGATAAAACACCCTAAAGCTAGGTAAAGGTGGGGAAAATCTGAAAAAAACAACAGAGATTTTATCATTAGATGCAACAAAGTGCAATACGACATCTAGGCGTGTTTGTTTATGTATTTTTCCTGTTTTACGTAATTCCTTTATCCACAGCAGAGTACTCGAGCGCTAGAAAGTTCTAAGAATCCACAAAAAGTTGTAATAAAACAATTTTGCGCGGGCCGAAGACGGGGGAAAAATGTCAAGGGTTATCTTCGAAATCTCAAAAGTATGTTCCTTTATGACCGGCTCCCAAAATGGTACGCATCTTTCCGACAAAGTGACGATGAATGCACATCTTAAGTTATTGCACATCTTCTTTTCAAATTCCAGGGTTGTTAAGCAATAATGTTATTAATCTTGATTGTTTGATGAAGTAATTTCGTGCGATGAATCAGTGTTCGGTATTAATAACGCTGTTTGCTATGACAAACCCAGCTGCAATCTACATATATACTTCGCGTAACATTGTTATAATATTCGGCACCTTATCATTTTGTAAACGGAAACAAGAAGCTAAGGCTCGAAGGCTTCGAAGTCCGCCATTTATGGTGAAAATTATGCTGATAAAAAGCTACGACATTCAAGCTTTCAGCAAGCTTTTACCTAACTCAGGAAGCCAAATATCACAAGGCAGTTCGCTCTTATATTTTAAACAGCCAATTTAAGCTCATCTTCACCCCCTGGGCAATAAAAAACGTTTTCAAACACTTGACCAGCACTTTTAGCGGTCCGGAAGTTCCATAGCTGTCATAGTCTCATAGCATAATTCTGTTCTGGTTTTTCGAACTCTCTTTTCTCTGCTCTCCCTGTGAATTCAGCCATTATCATATGGGCCATGATTTCTTCCTACGTTGCATGATTTATCGATGACTTCATCGTTTCAATACAACTTTTTCAAATGCGTCTTTAACACTTTGACCTGCACGTCCAAGGTGGTGACATTTCGCAAAATCATGATGTAATAACATGTGATATATACACCAAACCGATATCGACCTTTCCCATGGATAGCATCTAATGATCGTTCGAGCCTGTCTGCTAGCCAACACAAGGCCGTTATAGCAAGAATTCCCTGGCAAATAGGACGCAATGTACGGACGATTAACGAAATCATTAAAGCTCAAATATTCATGAACACCCACAGAGCACGTTCCGGTCCACGGACCCTTCTCCGTATTTGGTTTTCAGCGATCAACGTTAGATCATTGTATGTAAGCTGCGTGAACGAATTAACCATAAGCTTGACTATATATGTTTGCTGATAACCGAACAATGTATACATCAAGTACAATATAACGCGACAAAGACTCGGGAATCGCTTGTCTGAGACGACAGAGAAGTGTACTTAGCTACGAATTGACGTGTTTGCTTGCGAAAAATGGATATTTATAGTATACGTGGTGAATCCTATTTCACGTTGGTAAGCTTACACTTACACATCCAGTTAAAATTTTAGTGCCTTTCCGCGGTATATATTTCCGCAGTAGAGGACTATGTATAATGTTATGTTTTGGTATAAAGTGTGTTGAGTTATATCAGGAGAGAAACGCAAATACGTTTACTTACATGAGTTTGATAACACATAGGTTTAGCCATGTGTTTCTCATAATGTGGGAAACTAAACGGTGAATGTCAAAACAGTGCTCTTACATTTCGCTTAGATCATCATTTGTGTTACTATAACGGAAGATCGATCATCTTTTAGCGAAAGCAATTAGTGGATGTGACAATCCAAGAGTATGTTTTTGTTAGCAACGAGTTTTTCTCGTCTGATTGTGGAATTATGTATAGAAAAACGATTTCCCTTCGCATTGGCAAACTCAGAGGGGTGCTTGAACGCTGTCAAGCTTGCCAGCTTTGTCAGATGAATATGGCGTAGAAAAATGCCTTCTGAACTATACTGCGTGCGTTCTCTATCAGTTTATACAGCCGCATCTGACATAATGTATTCTGACATTTGGCTCTGTTATGATTAATGAAACATAATTCTTCAGTGTGCATGCAATCCGTCTGACTTGTCAGACATGGAACATGAACGGACTTGAGGTTCCTGTGTATATACACCTAGTCAACGTTTCTTCAAAGTAAATGTTCTTCAACTGATGTTTCCCTCTCTCTTCATTTTCCAATCTGCCGTTGTGGCGCAAACAGACGATGGCCGGCATATAACCGGATTAAATAGATTAGTGTTTCGAGAAATCATACTCTTAAAATAAAGCAATTTTTGGCAAGTTTCCATTGAAAATGTGTCAAAAACATCGGTTCATTGTGCTCTGTCTATTTGCTAGAAGGTTTCGAACAAGCTTAAGACAGTTGCAAACTCACATCGGGGATAATTCACACGTAATTAAACATTGATTTCTTGCGTTAATGTGTTTTGTTTTCATTATAAAGTCATACCAACGCTGAGAAACAATGAATCACTCGAGAACAATTTAAACAACGAAAATAGAGAATTGTTTTACCCAGCAAGAGATGTTTTATAAAAAGTACAATTTTTCCAGCTTCCAATTAACGCATTCGTGTGAAGATCTGAAGTAGCATTGTTTATAGATGTTGTATTTTTCTCCTGGCATTCACTGAAGAGTTTATCTCCTGTTTGGCAGCGTTTGAATGCAAGTAACAACAATGAGTTAAGCGTCTGTTCACACTCTTTACGAATGCCATTTTGGTTACATCAAATCCATTTCGAAGCGGTCAGTTTACATGTAACGATCATTACCGCCTTTTATGATAAACATGGACATAGTCTCCCAATTCTGATAATAATTAAACATCTTATATTCATACTTGACCTGGACGAGTTTTATTAATGGGGGTAGGGTGGGTTGGGTAGTAATTTTAACTGCATCCACGGTAACCGTGCATTAATACGTCACATGATATGTAGCCAGCCGCTAACTGGATTTACAACATATTTAAATTGTTACTGACTGAGTCTGACTCGGCACAAACACGCTGTCGTCAGATCTTCACCAGTTGCGCGGCGTTCCAAATCCATAACGACCAGAAAAATGCTAGGAATTGTGAAGGGAAAACAAAAGTTATGTTTCATGCTTTAAAATCCTTTCCACGCAGGTCTTGTATATTTTGCAAAATTAACAACGAGAGCCTTCAGTTTTATTTGGTTTCTTCATTTTCCCCAGAACTAGATTGAAATCCCGAGCATGCATCGCAGCCATTTTCAGCCGAATCTGCAAAAAACACGTTTCGTTTCAGAAATGAATCGGAAATATTAAAACCGTTTTCATTTACACGTCCAATTGAGATTTTGAAAGAAACTCACTTTAGGAATAATTTATTTATGAGAGTCCACAAACCAGATGCATATTAAAACTCTTTTGAATGCTTTTAATCCATTTCATTTGTACACATGCCTCCTCCGAATGTTTTAGTCTGTTTGCGAAACTGTGGTTGCGGTAAGAAGTTTTCAGAGGGAATTTAAGAGCGGCGTAGTGTGGAAAACACATGGCTTGCACGTCGTATTTGATTAGTTCCAAGTGTCATATATGGAATACAATCATTTCGTAAAAGTTACATCTTTTGTGGTAATTTTGTCTGACTGATAACGCGATTACCTCCTGCGGATAAGATGCAAAATGTTTAGTTTGTGGATGACATTGCGACGTTGCTTCTTGCTGACTCACACTGGGAATACCACGATGACGGGTTGAAAGCTATTGTCCACATATCCGTGCAAGTTTAGATCGGAATTTTATCTTTATCTGTTTGACAGAACTGGAATTATTCAATACAAATATTTTTTTAAGTGAATTATGCAAACAACTCGAAAAGAAAAATGAATCGAAAAGGTCGAACTTGTTCCTGCACACGGCGCACGCGGTGCGTTCCTATTTTTAGAAATATGAAGAAATTTTAAAGAAGTTTCATTTCATTCATTTGTTAGGTAATCAAATGGATTGATGAGCACGGAGAACCATTCCTTGATAAACATACGGATGTTGGAATGACATCAGAGAAAGCCGAAGCTCTGCTGAAACGTCACGAAGAGTTTGAGGCAATTGCAAAGGTGAGTGTTTTCAAAAACACAACTGGTTGAGTTTGAACGAATTTGAACGAATTTGCTTCACTAGTTTGAGGTGAAATTACAATCTAACTGGCGTCGGTTGCATTGTGTGAAAGCCGGATAGCGCTATCCACCGGATAGTGATTTTTTTAACCGTCCGTAAAATGCTTGAAAAGCAATATCATTGGAACTAACAATTAGGCCGAGAGATTTGAGAGGATCCTCGATTTAGGAATACCATTATTTAAAGTTGAACGGAACGCATGCAGTCAGGCAGGCACGTGGAGTCTAAAACGAGTTCATTCTCTTCAGAACACTTACACAAACGCAAATCAAATCAAAGAAGCGATCAAGCAATTGCAAGACTCGGGTGAATGTCGTCCTGACGAAGTACGAAAGAGAACTCAATATTTTGATCGACGTGTTCAGAACTTTGTGCGTCGTGTTGAGGAGAGGAAAGAAATACTTGAGCAAGCTGTATCATTTTATTCCAGCACTAAAACGGTAAGCCTTTCATGATCAAGTGAGATTAAATACATAGGATTATCACGATGCGCCTGTCACCCTGATGTAGCCGTGGTGATTGTAGACCGTAGTTTGGGTGTTCACGTAATCACGGGGCGTCTATGATAGCCATTTAAGATTTTAAAATCCGTTGAAGTTTGCTTGTCAAGTATCAAGTATTCAACAAGTGAATCGAAGAGATGATGTCATACAACTTTTGTTTCATTATGCAAAAAACGTATCGCCATTTCCTGCAAAGCTTTGTTTCAAACATGGACAAGAGAGCAGAATAAAAATCGGATATTTTATCGAGCCTGATGCTGTGAGGGGTTTTACCGGAAAAAATTGACGGTCACATGATTCGTATTTGAACGGCAAGGCGTTGTCGGTTGAATCTGGTCTCGTATTGCGTTCTTATGCTCTGGTGTGGGAAGAAATGTTCACGCCAAAAATATCGATTTTTTTAGTATATTGCGTTTGGCGGTTGATCCGTTCGAGCAAAGAGAATATATTAAACCCATTCGCGGTGATTCAGATGCCGAACAGTCCCATAATTAAACGTGTTGCTTACAGACGCGAAGGCGCCTTCGCTCCCTTGTACCAAGCGACAACAACGGAAAAAAATTACATCCGATGACTGAAGTGATGATTCCTTACTGGACCTCGCTAGGAAGAACAGTTTAAAACTTATAGAGCTTTGAGCTTTCCAGTATAAATAAAATTAGTTTAGTTTAGGTTTTCTCCTGTAGTAACACTGGATCAATAAGAGATGATCCTTACTGGACCTCTGGGAAGAACAGTTTAGAACTGATAGAGCTATCCAGTGTAAATAAAGTTAGTTTAGTTTAGGTTTTCTCCTGTAGTAACACTGGATCAATAAGAGATGATCCTTACTGGACCTCTGGGAAGAACAGTTTAGAACTGATAGAGCTATCCAGTGTAAATAAAGTTAGTTTAGTTTAGGTTTCCTTCTGTAGTAACACTGGATCAATAAGGGATATTCTTACTGGACCTGAAAGATTTAGAACCGTTTAAGCCAATATTAATAAAACATTTTCAGACATTTGGTTTTATGAAAGTCATCCCATCACGTTCAGGTGACAAAATAATATTTCCGCGGGAAAACACGATTGATTACTTAGGATTGATACATCCAAACTCTCCGTTTCAGATTCACGAAAATGTCGACCGAGTGAAAGCCCAGCTGGAGATCGAAGAACTGTCGGACGATCCCGATGATATAGCGAAGGTGCTTCTGAAATTACGTCATGAATGCGAACGAGCTTTAGAAAACATTAACCAAAGTATCAACGATGGCAGGCTCATTGTTGAGCACGTGACCCGGGGAACGCAGGACGTCAAAACGTCCGGGTCATGTGACCATTTGGAAGAATTGATCTCAGAGCTCGAAGCGAAGAAAAACGTTCTTGAAATGGCGTGGATGAGAAGACGAGAACAGATGGAGCTATGGCAGCAGCTGTGGGAGTTTGAACGAGATGGAGAGCAGGTGAGGGGATTTGATATTTCGTGTTTACCTTCCATAGAGAATTTAACAGGTAACCGTCTCAGCTCCAAGCTTAGCTCTTCCAGAACTTTACACAGCCACTTTAACTGTACATGGCGACCAGGCGTACGTCATATTGTGTTGTTGTAATGGAAGGCGCTCAGTTAAGCATCTGACACGGTTACATTTGAAATACGTGCTCTGTCTCGAGTTCAGCTTGAAGTTATGCGACGGGTTGTGTTGTGAAGAAAACTCTTCCCCCTCGTGTTTGTACCGAATAATGCGCTGTCATCCAGCGTATGTTCATACGAGCGAGAATAGATCATAATCTGATGTTGAGGAGGAGCATTTTGGACGTGGGAAAGTAGAGTTGAGATGAATAGTTGTATAATTTGGGAGGAAGTGTCTTCCGATATTACACCGGGTAAAACGAAACAAGATAGTTAATGCATACAAAATACTTTCGTTTGTGACGGCTCAAAGTGACAACCGTCACATTTTGCATTTCAGAGCATTTTTATAGCCTCGTTTCCCGGGCGAGCAAGACGAGAAGTTCTATCTCTTCTTCCCGCCAAACTATTGAGACTAACTCGTGAGAAATTATCTGTTTTTTTTCAACACGTCCACACGTCAAAGTCGTAGATTTAACTAATCACTCACTGCTCTCAGCCACACTTTTGTAACACACAGCAGTCAATTCAAATTTCCGACAAGAAAGACAATTCGTATCGGGTTATTCAACCTACGAATCTTGTATAACCATACGGGATTATACCCCCTCCCGAACACGATAACAAATCTCCTTTATGCATGAGTCGGAAGTCTGACGCGCGCGTGTAAACAGTGAAAACTTCCGTATGTTGATGAAGAACAAAACCTGGATGGAGATGTGGATTCGTAAACTCTAATATAAATTCCAACTTTTCCCGTACGCACATTCAGCATTGTCTTACGCCTGTCAGAATGAAAAAGGAAAAAAAAAAGAGAGATAAAACACTTACATTTACATGCTACAACACGAATATATAATTTATCGTAGCAATATTCGAATAAGTGTCAAGAGAAGGTCAATATTAAAATGTTGGTATAAAACGTGTTTGTATCCCCTTGACGAGTCATGTGAAGACGATTATCATTCATAGGCTTTCATTTATTGAAGAATATTTGCACTAGTCACATTCGCACTGGTTGCATCTTTGAGATATCTTTTTCAACCTTTCAGGTAGTTCAGACACAAACAACGACAGCTTATTGTAGAAATATACTACCTACACTATAGACCACCACGTTTGAGATATCTTTCATGGGTATAGTTCAGACACAAACCACGACAGCTTATTGTAGAATACTACCTACAGTATAGACCAACACGTCTAAGATATCTTACACAAACCAGCTAGTGCATTCTATTGTAGAATATTATTACCAATACTGGACCACTACGTTTGATATATCTTACACAAACCAGGATATTCCATTGTAGAATATTAGTAGCAATACTGGACCACCACGTTCGAGATACCCTTCTGGTGGTTCATTAAACAAACCTCTTGGATGTACCGCGGTTATAGGTCTATTTATTGCGCTAATTCCGAGCGGGCGACCAAAGAAATTTTCTGTTCACGAACCTAGCTCAGGAATCCACAATTCTCAAGCCTAGTCTTATACCGTGTCGCCTCCTTCATTCTTTCCTTCCTCCTTTTGACATTAGGTGAAGAATCACTTGGAAAGCTGTGAAGCGGATCTCGAGAAGGGAGGCTTAGCCGACGATCTGAACGGCGCGAAGCAAATGCTTGAATCATTCCAGGAACAATTGAAAGCTATCGATACGCTCTCGCTGAGAACTTTCTGCAAAGGCGAGGAACTCATAGACCTTTTAAGGCATTCTGACGTTGAGTTACGGGTTCGTAATCCCAACACGCCGGAGACGATAGACGCTCACCATCACATACAAAACTTACTCGAATTTCTACATCACCAACGAAGCTCGTTTTTGGAATTTGCCGAGGCAAGAAAAAGAAAACTGGAACACAGACTTGGATTGAAGAGGTTGGAGGCCGACACGAAACAGGTATGTACATGTTAACACATTTTATCCAATGCGTTTAAGCTCGCTGGTCGAATATAGGATTACGTAAATCAGCGGTGTTTGTATATTATAGAGCGGGTGTTTGTCTTTTAATCATATTTATCCTAGAGGTATATAAGTTAATCTTTGCCAGTTGTTCGGTGGTGCCACTAAAACTGTCGCCACGCACAGAAATCTGTCACTACACCAATCTTCTGTATTGGTTTACTGTTTTTCAGTTCAGAGGTCCCGCGATTAATATATGTCGCGTGTGTTTGATAAAGTATATAGGCTTACAGTCATGCTACATATACGTTATAAAAGGCGAATGGATGTTACTATGGATTTAAAGGAGACACATTTGATAGATAGTGGCAATGGTTATATATTTAGTTACTTGCTTGCTCCAAATTACCCTAAACTAAAGTATAAACAGGGTATAAGAAATTTTAATTACCGTTAATTGTAATTGTCTAATTTGATGATAGCTTTTTCGCCACATTTCCCGGTTTAACGTTACACAAACTATTTGGGCTTGTAAACAAAAGCACGATCACACAAAACGTATCCGTACAGTCGCGCCAAGACTTGAAACAGCGTATTTCTGACGGAAAATCTCGCGACACTTTCTAGGGCTCCGTAGTATTACTATACAATGAATCCTCACTCATTAATTCTTAAGCCATTCATCTCGTCTGAATTGAGATCTTATATAGTAGACAGTACGAATGTTCAATTGAATATGGTGTCTGTACGAGTGCTCTGCACGAAGGTTAGATCACCGTTGCCTCTTAATCATTCTCCCTTAGTCGTGTGTAAGAAATGTTGCATGAATACGTCTAGTTTGACTATGCCAAATACCGAAGACACTTGTGAATGCATTCAATTAAACAGTAGCAACACTGAACGTGGAGACCTGAATTTTGAAATTCTCCGCGAACAATTAAAGTTGCTGTATCCAATGTAAATACTGTCGTATAACTATCCAGTATATGAATGGAATTTCATGTCTTAATCCTTCATGTTTGTTTTTTTGTTACAGTTTACCAATGAATAATTTCATGAAAATTGTTTGTGGTTGTACTAAAGCTGAGCTAAAATTTATCCTAGGAGCAGATAAAGTGTTGTCCGGACTATTGAATCCATTCCTGCGTCCTTATGTTCATGAGTTGGCTGTATCACAAGCATATGTTAGGTTTTATGAAATTCCTGATAGGTTATTTAAACATGACCTTGTTTAAACTGTCTGCACGCCACACGAACGCCAAACCCGGCTCGTTTTATCTCCAGATAATTGAAATTATGAAATAGTTTCAACCCCATAGGAAATCTATCTGGGAACAAGTATAATTGCAGTGAAAAAATTGCGGTTAAAATTCTTGTCGCATGTGACTTATATGTTCAAGCTACCGTCATGATCCATGATGACAAATTGTTTTGACAATATGTTTTGATAAACAATATACTTAACAGTAATTCATCGAAAATGTCGTGTTGTTTACCATTCCTCGTGTACGTTTTAGCACGATTTTTTTAATATATATTTTTACTTGTAACCTCCATCACGGTTATATATATTAACCGTGCATGCATGTATCACATGTTTTGCCGTTTAAAACATTCTCGCGTTGAATTTTGGTCGAAACATGATCCATTTCATTCAAGCGATAAATGATCCTTGTAGTGGAAATCCAGACTTGACGTATTTTCCGTAAATGCTTCCGACTAAACCTTAAAATGGTCCAAAGAACATTTTTATGAAGAAAATCTACGGGCGGATGAAACTCTTGATATTCCTTTTGCATTTCAAAATCAACAGGGCTCCTCGGAATAAGTAAGATTATCATTTTCATAAAGAAAGCAATATCGCTTTTAAGCTCTTCAACTGCCGCGTGCTTGAAATTCTGTGTTTTCTTATTTACAAGTGCGACTATTCTGCACCGTTGTGTGGGGATACGCCAATTCCAAAGCTCTCAATTTTTCTTTCGACTTACCAATAACCAAATTATCAATACTCTTCCGAATTAAAATGTTGCGATCGTTTTGGTTTTGCATTTTCAACACACAAAACTTTGTTTTGATTTCATGGTGCGAGCATTTCTGTAGCCTACCCTACTGGCTACCTCCAATAATGGTATTGTGTGGTATTTTGCCTATTATTACCCGTGTTTACATTTCAAACCTGAGCAAGCGTTGACCGATGCCTTTGAACTGGACTTTTTCTGTGTAAACGCGTTCTGACGAGGCGTTGCCAAGGTAATCATAGACACTAGAAAGTATAGATTTCCTTGTCAAAGCCTATCGAACTGCAAAAGTCGAGTTCAAAGCAAAGGCAGTCCTATGCCCGTAGTTTAAAAACACCTTTTTTCTTTGGCTATTGTTTAATCTTCTGTTAGGCAATGTTTGTTCTCTTTTGGACTGTTTACTTACCAAGCAAAACTTGTGACAGACAAGGGTTCCTTTTATAGTATAGTTCAGATGCTGTGAAATAGTTTCGACATAGTTTGATCATATGAAATTCATTGTATTACCGAGTTATTGAGAACTTTCCTTGTGGATTTCTGGGAGATTTACTGGCCGGTAAATACTAGTATCTTTAACTTTAGGCACAAAGTTATGATGAAAATAATTTGGATTATTTTCTTGCACACATAACTTCCTGCTGACCGTGCACCATCTGTCGAAGGATAATTTTTGTTTGATCTATTGCTTGGTAATACGTTTTAGACTTAACTAAATAGGCTTATATATGTGTTTGTATTTTGCTAGGCCATTGGATGTATTAGGAATGGCGAAAATATGTTGCTATCAAATATTATCCCTGGATTCTCTTTTGCCGAAGCCAAGGACAGCCTCACGGAATACGAACAGTTTAAAAAGGCTATGGAGGTAACTTATTTTATTACATATTTCGTTTAAAGTCCCACCTAACTGATTTATACCGAGTTCTCTTGTGATATTAATCTTTATGTACAGTGTTGATAGGCATTATGGATATTAAGGACTCGACGTGAGCTCAGTCTGTTTGTGTTTCCTTCGCGAAAACCATCTGAACACGATTATTTCTTTTTAGAAAACGAGGCAACGCGTGGCTTCTATACAAAGTCGTGCAGACGAGTTAGTCAAACAAAATCATGCTACACCTGACCAAGTCAAAAAATGCTCAGATCTTGTGTTTACAAGATGGCAACAGTTGATGAAGAAAGCCAACGAAAAGCACCAAATTGTTATGGCGTCGTTCAACTTCTTCCAAACATCAGAGCAGGTATGCAGTTGTACTTTTTACCTAGTGTTTTCTTTGTGTTCCCTCGGTAAGATTGGGCAGAATATCGGAAACATTGGAAGGAAAGTTTGAAATTTTGAGCAATAGCTCTCACGTCATCGTATTGACTTTTAGACGTCGGAGAAACGGCCTCCGTAAGCAGTTTCCTGTTCGAGTTCTTCATGATAACACACGATTTCAAACACTTTTGTCCACGCGCACATCTCCGCTGTCGTGTGTACCACGCGTGTGTGTTCACGCAATTTAGAGTGACCTCCTAATGACGTCACGGGTTAACGTATTACGCAATCCTAGTTGGCAAATCGTTCTCTCGAAATTTTTCTTTCAATCCCTTCAGAACTTTGATCAAAACATCAACACTCTTTTCTTACTTCAGGCTTGTGGTTGCTCGGTTTTTTAAAAATTTTTTCCATCGGCTGAACGACGAAAAATTCTGAAATGGTTCTTCTTGTTGTCTCCTTACAAAAAAGAATGTTAATTGAAAAATTAGGATAAATACTTGTTTATGGTTTCCCTTATAAGTGCAGTATCCTAATGTCAGTCAGGCTTCTTTATTTCTTTTGTATTTATTTCTCGTGGTTTTCCTGGGATTCAAAGGTTGTATCAAACGACTGCTCGTCTCAAAGGTTCCTTGTGCCTTTGTGGTTTCTTCTAATTTCCTGTCTCCGGGCAAAGTTTCATCATCATTAGCTAAATAAAGAACGAGAACCCCCTAGCGGCTATAAACGAACGGCTGCCAATATAATCTCGATCGAATCTCAAGAGTGTTCATTTCCCTGTCCCCCTACGCCTTGTCATTCACGCTGGGATTTTCCCTCGAAATTAAGGTTTGTAAGCGACTGGCTTTGAATCTATCTCATCCACGTGCTGTGAACCTTTCGAGTTGGAAAATGAATTCACATTTCTCCCAGATGGATTAACGCAGTTAAATCGATTTAAAATCGCTTTGTCTGGACGTCTGTGTTGATCAAAATAATCTCTTCTCCTGTACAGCAGTAATTTAATCCGGTCTTTCCCGCCTTTGGTTTGTGGTTTTCATTGATTACGGTTGTTCACAACCCATCCTAGTGATGAGCGAATACACGCTTGTTATTTTTGATAATAATATCATGCTTCGCCGCCAGGTGAAAGCCAAAAATCAACATGACACCTTTCTGAGCAAAATACAAGCTGTATTTGAATTGTAAACATTGGAACAACTTCGGGGCCAAAATTATTGCCAGGGTTTTCAGGGACAGGTGTAGTCGAATCATCGTAATCTGAAGAATAGTATAAAAAACATTCAATTTCTTGCGCTAAAAGCCGATGTATTTTTATTGTCAAGTATCCTGTATAGGATAATACGTTCCCATTTTCTGCCTACCAATTTCCTTAATTGCCTCGAATTTTCCTGTTTAGTTTTTAACAATAAATTGGCTACGAGATGGCCTTGATGGATTTGAATTTTTAATTTCCGCGTAGGTTGTTTTTCACAAATTTGTGGCAATGCCGATGCGGCCGTGTTGCGCCAAGGATTAGTTTTTTTTAAAGAAAAATGATGTTCGAAGATTAACGGCCCACATTCAAACTGTTTTTGTTTTTTCTCGTTCGTTGAGGATGACAAAGGAGGATTTTCGGCAGGTCTTTGATTTTGAACCCGCTGTGCGGTTTAGTATATACCTACCCTAGGGAAAAGTTATCTTGGTAATTGGACAATTATGTCATCGATTGTTTAAAGTCGATGAGCATTCTATTATTTCATTTCAAGTTTCGTTGGAACGACCAAACGAGTTGGCTGGGTGAGCACCTAAACAAACTCTGCTGAATTCAGGCAAATCTCAATAGAACTAAGACTAAACTAAGACTTAATTAATCGGCTTGGAAATAATCCATCCACGTGAGCAGGTGTAACCCACGTAGCTCGCATTCCTTGTGCCTGTGCGTATTGTACACGAGTGGTCGAGGCAATAATCTTCGTGCGAAAGCATCGCTCTCGTTTCAATTCAACGTCTGTGTCCTTCACTTCAAGGCTTCTTCAGCTGTTTCCATGCTTTTTAAGCCCTTTCACCCATCGCATGTATTTTGAAACGTATTATCAACATCTGACACGTAAGGTCACGTAATTATTGGTCTAATTGATGATTTAAAGTCAAAAGAACACCCTTTATCGCCAGCAAATTTTCATATAGCACGCCATTAAAGCCATGCATTTGTCGTAAATTGGCAGTTATCAAATAGTTTACATCGTTTTAGCATTCCATTGCATCGTTTTATATTAGAGTCACCTGTAACCATTGCGTGGCCTATTCAAATATATTGGCCTTGTTTTGACCTACAAAAGGCGTAGAAGTTTGACAATATCAGGTGACAAAGATTGTCACCTCAATGCTATCCCCAACTTCAAAAAACTTCACAAACAACCCTTGCGACGTATCGCATTATACCAATGACCCCAATGTTTATAATCTGTTTGTGCTGGAAACAATTTTTGAGCTGGATTAAAGCGCTTTGTATCCTGTGGCCTTAATCCCTACAATGCGTATAAAGTTTAGGTGGGTGATACCTGCATGTGTTGACGCGCCCGTTATCTGTTATGTGTTAGAGGAGACGTGATTCAAATTGAAACACTTCAGTCTATGTGTCATACTTTTTTGAGGCAAGAAATCATCTTTCGTATTTTCGGCGAAGATTTCATTTCTCTGGAATCTGCTGTTGTGTGGGCGATATACATACATACGTTCCTAAGTCCTAGGCATTGTTAAATGTGACAATAAAGTTGAAACTGAATGTTGGGAGTGTTGGATGTTGCAATTACGTTAATGGTGAATGTGTATTTAAGCCCAACCGGGTATACTCTTCACAGCATCGACGTCATAACCAATAATTGACCGGGTTTTGTTTTCACGGATATTATGATGCACTCCGGTGTCGCGTAACCGCTCATCTGTGTCTGACTGTAAACTTCGCTCCATGAACTCGGGGAAATTCTAAAACGTCCTTCGTGTTTGCCAACAAACCGTTCGCTACAGTGTTTTATAAAGATGGCAACTTCACGGGTATTGTTCGTGAATCACGATACAATATCCTGACGCAAGACACTGGAATCTTAACTTGTACATTCTTCAAAGCCTGGTAGTTACAAATCGACATGGAAGCCATCTTAACTGGTCACCTGAACGAAAGGCTATGGGATTATGTTTCGGATTTCTTATTCGACGAGGTATTCTCAATCTATACTTATTTTATACGTGCTGACCTACACTGACGTTCCATACGCCGTATACCCTTTTCAGATACTTTCTCTCGACCTTGTGCTTTTAAATTAGCTTATCTTTTGCTAGATTGAAATGATTGTCCAATGAATTATTGTCGTGTTGAATCATGAATGTCTCTCCTCTCTTTTTCTTCTCTCGTTCATACGAACTGTGGTGTTTGAAATCAATTTCATTACGAACTGCTCGTTGTGTGGGTCGTGTTTGGTTTGGTAGTCAGTGTATACCTTAGAGTATCAACGTTAATAGATTAGGAATTCTAATGACGGTCATATTTGGGATTTCGTAATTGATGTTTTGGCTAATGATTTCGTCGAATTGACCTGTAGTCGCGACTAGAGATTTCAACAAATGTACGTTATCACCGAACGCATATTTCTCATGAGTGCATGCAGTAAGTCACTGTATTTCTAAGACCTAATCCTACTATATGCATGTTGAATGTTTACAGCTGAGCGTATCGATTTCATAGTTTATCTATAGCCTTGGGGTTAGTATTGAGTAAGCGTGATTGTTGACCTTCACGAATAGTCTCGTCTTTCAATACTGAACACTTCCCAGCGCTGTAGGAAAGAACACAATCCCATAAAGAATAACTTTCGCTTATGACTGCGACACTGATTAGCAAACTTGTTCTCGAAGATTCTCTAAACTGACAAGCAGTTCCAAGTGTACCCCTTGAGGAAATATATTGCCTATTGTAGCTCGAATTCTGGCCTTTGCGATTAGATTTAATCTATTTCCTGAAGGATTTCAGCAATTGTACAATGACGTTCTCCTAAAGTTGATTTTAAGAAGTGTTATGAAGTGTAGAAACTGCGTTTTCGCCACGGGTGGGCGGGTTTATATCGCCAGAAACAGTGGGACTGTGGGAAACTCGTGTTTTGAAGACCAGTTGTGATAAATTTTCCTTTGAAATTTACTGTAGCGTGTCCATAACTATCACGGTGTTTTTGCTAGTAAACTGCACGTGGAACTAAGGAACTTTAATTGTATCGTTCTTCTTGTGTGTGTTGTTCAAAACTATATCTCTACGATATCAAATTACGGCGCCTTTCGTATATAGGAGAGATTTGAGAGCTATCAGACTGAGACTAGCTTATAATATTGTGTTTCGTATTTGATCTGTAAGAGCTGTTCTTTATGACCTGTGATTAAACACTGCCTTATCTACTTAAGTGGCGACCAGAAGATTGGAATGCTGTGTTCGTTGTCAATCCTAAAAGAGAGTTTATTGAAGAAAAAACTGTACGAAACCGATATTCAGATGGTCCAATCTTAGGAACCGAACATTCATAGTCCATCTTTTTCTTAAAATAGCCATTCAAGATTGATATTGTTGCACACACTCCTCTTTATATTTCGTCGATAGCTGACACTGTCAGCTTGAAGAGCAGGGACTTAACCGCGCGTACGCTGGTGGGAAGAGCATGCAGTGCAGATCATGCTCCTAAAATAGAAGTGTATTTTGTACATTCCCTTCATGTAATCTTGGCAATTTTGTTTGCTATCGGGATTAACGTCGTTTAATTTGACCGCAGAAATACCTAGAGAATTCCCGGTCTTTAAGATTGAATTTAAACTCATATGTATATAGCAAGACTTCTTTGTGAACGCTTTCCTTGGTTACGGCATAGTTATTGTAGTGGGAGGGTTTGGAAGACCGGGTCACGTGACTAAAAAACTTATTGTCTTTAATCACGTGGGAACCAAGGTGCATCGAACAGAGTTGTTTTCATCGTAAAATCATATAGATTAAAGGAAGCGCGACACAAAAACATTGTATTTTGGCGTCTTTTTCGCGATGCCAGGAGCGAATTGCTCCATATTTGGTTGCGCGACAAGTCGAAAGCACGTCGGGGTAGGAATTTTTAAAATCCCTTCGGAAACAGATGAGTTATCGAAGAAAACTCGCGAAGCTTGGATAAGTGTTATCACCAAGGACCGTGTTGTAGACGAAGGTTTGCGTCGACAAATCAATAGCGGAAACCTGTATGTGTGTGAGAAGCATTTTAGGAAAGAAGAATATGAGACTTGTAAGTATATTCTTATTTTTGATTTGATAATATTATTCCTAAATTTACATATCGGTGCGGTTTTTAAGCCCTTAAGATCACGACCCTTCAGAGTCGAAAACAATAGTCCCCTGTATGCATATAATTAGTTGTTTGGCACAAGTTTGCGTCAGAAAATCCCAGTGGATAATGTACTATGTGTAAACCAAAAACTCAAGATAGGAGTTGTTAAAAAAAGACAAATTTAAGGTGATATTTCGCCTACTGTATTTCAATTGTCAAACGTTTTTAGGGGTTGTATTTCCATATGAAATTTCATAGTAAATAATTTGTCCTTACGACGATGTCTATATGCAGTTACTGTGATAGGTAGTTCATTTGTTGATTATAGTCACTCATGCTGTAAAGTTTGCAATAGATATCTTCTAAAAGTATGATTCCTCTGATCTTTAAAGATTATCAGTAATTTTTGCAATGTCTATCGTGTTTCATATTGAAACTCGTAAAAGCTATGCTAGGGTGATTATATATATTTAACAGTAGGTCTTTTTCTTTTTCAGTTTCTACTCGTAAGATATTAGCTCGTGGAGCAATTCCATCCTTAAACTTGCCAGTGAAGAGTATACCACCTCCACCTCCTGCTACACCAAGGCGTGATCTAGTGCGACAGCAAATTGATGATCCTGTCCTAGTGGTTTATCGAAACTTTAAACACTTTCAACAAAAGATATTACCATTGAAGATGAACAGATGGTGCAAAAAAGGGGAAGAGGACAGTATAGTTTTTGAGTTTTTCCAGCCACCTTATACCCTACCAAAGCTTTCCTTGTCAGTTGTTTCTGAACTCACCTTTTCTGTTGCTGTGTACAACTGGTTTTTACCAGATGACCATTATATTTATGTTAGTCACAAAAGATCTTTAAAGCATACATCCATCTCTACCCTAATGGCCACTTTGGAAAGTGCTCAAGTTTGTCAAGGTCTAAGTAAAGAGAAACACATTGTCTCTTTATGTGAAGATCCCAGTCCGACTTGTGGTGCCAGCAGTGTCATGAGACATACAATCCCAATTGAGCGAAAGTGCTATGAAGAAGATGGTCCACCATTTCAGGCTCATGTGTTTATCAGGTCAGAGCATTGTGAGTTGCTTTGCAGCAACGTCTCCTGTTCTGATTGTATCAAAAAGGAAAAATCCCTTACAAAAATGAAAGAGAGTGCTGTCAAGAAAGGAACAGAGCCTCTGAAAAGTAATGCACCCCTGTCTGGCTCAAGTAAGGAGAGGTTAATTGCCACTGTTCAACAGCAAAGGCTGGTTTGTAAAGAACTTGAGGGTCGAATTGCTGAACTGGAGAAAGAAATTGAGAGCAACAGCATCCCTATCGACGAAACAATGGAAAAAGATATCTTGGCAATTCTTGCTGACAGAAGTGATGATGTAACCCCCACATGAAAGTTTTCTGGGAGCAGCAAAGGAAACTACTAGCTATGCCAAAATTTGGAAGAAGGTAGTGAAGCATGTTTTTTGCATGACATAGTTTATCTATTCATACTTTTCACACACTGCTGGGAGGTATACTGCACCATGATTGTAGGCCTTAATATTGTTGTTTGAAATAGGAAAAGACATACAACAGAAGGAAAGTTATTGTAGACAGGGTGCTGAAGGCCATTTAAAAAAGATTGAATGAAAAGATATGAAAAAGTAGACTGTATATGGCACCCAATCTTTAATTCAATAACTAGAACTAGAAGTGGCTTTGTATAGTCAACCTGTACAATACTCTTAACAGTTCACCCTAGATTTATTATCCTGGATTGTGTGAGAAAACATTTTTGTGCCTTTGGCCCTTAGACTGGGAAAAATATTACTTATTTTATTTTACATTAGGCAATTAGAGTCTCCTGATGGATTATTATATACAGTCATTAATATGTTTTTATTATTGCCAGGTACCATCCTCATATCATCCGTTTCTGCCTGTCTCTTCATGCCAAGTCTCCAGCAGCATACAAAGAATTGCGAGAGTCTGGTGTTTTGGTACTACCAAGTGAGAGAACTCTCAGGGATTACCGAAATTTCTTCAAGCCAAGGGCTGGTTTTCATCCTGATAATATTGAAAGATTAAAGAATCAAACAAGCCAGTATTTTGACATACAGAGGTATGTTGTCCTTTCATTTGATGAAATGAAAATCCAATCAAAGCTGGTCTTTGATAAACACTCCAATGAACTAATTGGCTTTGTTGATCTTGGAGAAGAGGAACTGAATCTTAGCAGTGGATCGTCTGACCTTGCGACCCATGCCCTGGTATTTTTTGTACGTGGTGCTGCAAGTGTTCTTAAATATGCCCTTGCGTACTTTCTTACTAAAGATGGTCACTTCATATCAGATAATGCCTTTGTTTTGGAAAGCTGTATCTGTACTTGAGCTTACGTGTAATCTCTGGGTTTGTGCCACTGTATCTGATGGAGCATCACCTAATCGCCTCTTCTACCAACTGCATTCCGATTTGGTCGAACCAGGTACAGAAGTGGTAAACTACACACCAAATCTTTTTGCTTCAAGTCGAAAAATCTACTTCTTCTCTGATGCACCACATTTGCTTAAGACTACCAGAAACTGCCTATTTAATTCTGGAAGTGGTAAGCGCACACGCTACATGTGGAACAACAAGAAGTACCTGCTCTGGGAACACATTGCCAAACTATATTACTCGGATCTTGATTCGGGTCTCCACCAGCTACCTAAGTTGACCGTAGATCACATTGCCCTAAAGTCCTATTCAAAGATGAAAGTCAGCATGGCAGTGCAAGTGTTGAGCAATACAGTTGCACAAGCTCTACAGCGCCATTTCTCATCGGGAGAAGCAGAGGAAACCGCCAAACTGTGCAAGATGATGAACGATTTTTTTGACTGCATGAATGTTCGATCCACCACCGAGCACCAGAAGAAGCGCAACGCTTTATTAGCTCCATACAGAAGTATGGATGACGAGAGATTCAATTGGCTGCAAAATGTCTTTCTGGAATACCTAAACAATTGGAAATTGTCGACAGAATTGAGAGAAGGAGCATTCACTGATGATGACAGAGGACGTATGTTCTTGAGTACCCAAACCTTCAGTGGATTAAAGATGTCAATCAAATCAGTTATAGCAACAACCAAGTTCTTGTTGAGTGAGGGGTTTGACTTTGTTTTGACTGAACGTTTTTGTCAAGATGACGTTGAAGAGTACTTTGGCTACCAGCGTGCCCAAGGACGAAGAAGTGACAACCCATCAGCTGCAGAATTTGGCTATAATGACCTAAGAATTGCCACCTTGCGAGATGTTGCACCCAAATCAATTGAGGGGAATGTATCAGGACGGCATTCCGGAAAGAAAAGTAAGTGGTGCAATGTGAGCGATGAGCAGCTGCCCAAGAGAATAGTAAAAAAGAAGAAACCATTAACTGATTGACACTAATATTTCAGACAATACATATACAGGCTGCATCACCCCCTCCCTATTGAAATAGAGCTTTGTTGAAATTTAAGTGCATGAGTAACACAAATTAAGGTCTTACTTTCAATTTTAGGCATCTGTGGGTTTAGAATAATAATACTATCTGTCACAGACTAGCAAAATGTGCTGACTGCCTAATAAAGAGTGTTGTTTTTTTCAAATTGCATCTTTAATATACATAAGAATACATATGGGAAGCTTTTATTTTCATGAGTAACTTCATTGAGTTCACTATTTTTTGTAATGTGATGTCACAGCCTCTTTTAAATATTGCATACTGTAGCTGTACTGAAAGCAATTTTTATGAACTAATAATGTACAATAATGATCTTCGAGAAACCTTGTAAACTTAATAATTATATAGAGTATCAAATCACCATTTATTCAACCTTTAACCTCAAATGTGCTAGATTACTTATGACATAATTACAAGCATACTTCACTGGCTTTCTTCAGGTCCTTTCGTAGAGCTTTAGTTTTCTGAGTACGTTGACTCAGTTTATACTTATTTACAATATCTTTAGCCAATGAAAAAGATCTGACAGTAACATATAGTTTCACTACATTTTCCAAACATAAACATTGACATTCTTTTGAAATTTGTACAGAACAGTTTTGAATGATATTGTTCCATAAGCTTTTAACAAGAGGGGAAGTTAATACTTCATTAACTATAATGTCTACTGGAAGAAAAGTAACCTTGTCTTTATTTGTACTCTTTCTGAATGCCAACTCAGCAACCTCTGCAATCCTAACAATCCATTCATGGGGTGCCCAAAGTCCACCTCTTGATAAAGATGAAATATATTCATTCCTCTCTGTTTCCTGTCTCATTGATGACATTAAAGCTTGAATTTCTTTGTTGCGGGCGGAGTTGCTTCTGGAACAATTTTTGCTCTTTTGGTAAAATGATCGTATCACATAACCAGTAAGGTAAGATAATGGTCCATATTCATGAGGTAATAGGGACATCTCCTCCTAAAATTTAGTCAACAAGTAAATCAAAAAAGGTTATCAGGACTGGCAAAATACTTGTGATTTTAACAATCTAAAATAAGAACTATACCTTTGATATTCCTTGGTCATCTTGACCTTTCTCTAGGAATCCAATCAGGCGTTGGGGAAGATGGATTAACATAAGAAAAACTATTTTCTGTTCTCCATAAGGATGAAAGAATTTTTTCCAGTTGGCATATGAATTTCCATAAAACTCTGTAAGAAATTTGTCTTGATTTCTCTTCCTTTTAAATTTCAGTAAGAGTTGATTGACAAAGCTGACAAATAAATCAGTTGGAGAAAGCTTGAATATTTCTGCTGTTTGTTCCTCTTTATAAAGTTTTTCGTCAACCAAATGTCGACCGATGTCGCGGATAATAGAGCACACGTTTTCCACTGATAACACATTTTTCTCAATTTTAGATGAAGATGAACTCTCACCCACTTGTTCGACGTGTTTACTCCGCTGGTGCTTCGTTAAGCCACCTTTCGATTTGCAAACTTTCTCGCAGAAGTTGCAAGGAAACTGCTTCTTTCCTTCTACCTGGAGGGAAAGGTGTAATAACAATTAAGGTTTTAGTAATACTAACGGTATGAAGTGTAACTACCGTATGACTATACCATTTCTATTACCTCTTCAAGCGAGTGTTCAACTTCGGACTGAACCTCCTCAATATCCATCTCGAGAAGTGCCATAGTTTGCTCGAAGTCGGAGCAAAGGCTAACAGGAAACTCGGATTCGTACTCATCATCTATATCCATGTTTCCAATACGTAAAAGCTGAGTTTTATTGTGTCTATTCGAAGAGTATCGCTGTCTGAAGGTTCACTAAATATACTTGTGACTTGAAATATGATAGCTGGCACCCCGTCGATACTATATACAGCGGAAGCAGCTGGACCAATAGCACATAAAAAGGTCTCAAACGTTGCCTTTCGCATAAGTAAAGTACGACAAAAATGCAATATTTATGAAATCGTTGTAAAACTATCGAAAAAATCCAAATTTTCTGATCGGCAACATAAAATTATACTACAAAATTAAAATGTATGCACCTTGACTGTCACGTGATGTCTTTCTTCGAGTTCAAGTATCGAATAGTCACGTGTCACTTTGAAGTTTGCCGGTCTTCCAAACCCTATGGTTACGGTCGTGTGTGATCTGTCATGTTTCTTAACCGTGCGAGAGAACGATGCTCAACATCGATCTTATGTTTTTGCCTTTGAGCTTAGCGTGTTCTTTGAATTGAGCCGAAATGTCAAATGCGTCTCAGAATATATAAAGCCCTTTGATTTGTATTGTTTTTCTTTTGAACGTGTACTCTTGTACAAAATGGTTATAAGCAAGTGCAAGTGTAAGCAGCTACTACGGTGGCCAGTGTATTTTTGTTGTTTGCGTTGGCTGTAGAATACAGTATAATATTGTTTGACATGCGCTGTCTCAACACCGAGGGTGGAAATGTCTGAAAATTAAACTTCTATGAATTCTCATCAACTCTATAAAACTATACTCTCTGAATTTTTCGCAAGAACTCTCTGAATTTCCCGCGAGAACTCTATAGAATGCAGTATAATATTGTTTGACATGCGCTGTCTCAACACCGAGGGTGGCAATGTCTGAAAATTAAACCTCTATGAATTCTCATCAACTCTTTAAAACTACTCTCTTAATTTTCCGCGAGAACTCTTTGAATTTTCCGCGAGAACTCTCTGAATTTTCCGCGAGAACGCTCTGAATTTTCCGCGAGAACGCTCTGAAGTTCTGCTCGACTACCCAGCTTATTATAATTAAATTCTTATCGTTCAAAGCAAAATGCAAATATATTCAGGGAACTGTGTCTACACACGTTTGACAACTGTCGTGTTCAGGAACAAAACAGCAGTTTTTAATTTGACGAGTGGGCACATGAAAATTTGATGTACATTTTAATGGGGTAAATAATTTAATTTAAGAACATTTCCTGAATAACTTTAACACCATCGCACATCCCATCGCAACGTCTGCATCATGATAAGAGAAAGCTGTGGACTATCTTCTGTCTATAAACAAAACAAACGGACAACATCTTACAGATGTATCTGTTCTGGAACAATTCTGAATTCTTTCTAGTTCCTAGAGGTCCAGTAAGGACCATCTCTTATTGATCCAGTGATACTACGGGAAGAAACCTAAGCTAAACTAACTTTATTTATACTGGAGAGCCCTATCAGTTCTAAACTGTTCTTCTTAGATGTCCAGTAAGGATCATCTCTTATTGATCCAGTGTTACTACAGGAGAAAACCTAAACTAAACTAACTTTATTTATACTGGATAGCTCTATCAGTTCTAAACTGTTCTTCCTAGAAGTCCAGTAAGAATCATCTCTTATTGATCCAGTGTTACTACAGGAGGAAACCTAACTAAACTAACTTTATTTATACTGGATAGCTCTATCATTTCTAAACTGTTCTTCCTAGAAGTCCAGTAAGAATCATCTCTTATTGATCCAGTGATACTACGGGAGGAAACCTAAACTAAACTAACTTTATTTATACTGGATAGCTCTATCAGTTCTAAACTTTTCTTCTTTGAAGTCCAGTAAGGAATATCACTTATTGATCCAGTGACACTACGGGAAGAAACCTAAGCTAAACTAACTTTATTTATACTGGATAGTTCTATAAGTTCTGAACTGTTTTTCCAATAAATAATTGCCTCGGTATTCTTCTTTACTAACAGGTCAGCAGCCTGCTTCAGAAAGTGTTGAAAGATTACAAAATCGGCGATGATCCTTGTGCGCAGTACTCCGAACTGGAGTTGCGCGATCGATGCAGCGTGATTACGTCATTACTGGAGAACCACGCGCGGGAACGCGAGGAGATTGCGAAAGGCCACGAAGCGGTGTACGGTTACGCAGACGCTTTCCTTAAGAACGTCTCGCCGACCACTGAGAATGGCGGAAATCTTGCCGCGGGCTTACCCAATGACGCAAACAAGGAAAAAATGGAACAGCAGGTGAAAGAAATTTCAGAGTTGATCCGAGGACAAAAGAAATTTGCGCTGGATCTTTGGAATGTGAAGAATACCGTTCTAGGGCAGTGCAAGGAATTCCTGGACTTTGAAAGTAGTGCTAAACAGGTACAACACAGTTTGTGTCACGGAAAACCAAGTACACAAAGTGTTCTGTTGGACAAAAATTTAATATTATCTTGTTTGTTTCTTCAAGGCCTTGGAATGGATTCACGATCAGGGAGAGTTTTATTTGTCATCGAACGCAACGATCCCGGACAATGAAGACGAGGCGAAGCAGCGTTACGAGGAACATCAAAAATTCACTGAAATGTCAGAGGTATATGAGGTGACTGCCGTGATTTTTTACCTTGGGCTGCCTGTGTTTGTACGCGCGCGCATTCATTCAATGGTTGCAACCGTCCAGTCCCATAACCACCACGTAACATGGTGAATGCAATTAATTATTGCAGCAAATCACTTTGTTGTAGTAAATATATTTTATACATAAATTTAAGCAACGATCTCTTAGAAATCGTCAGCCATATTTGACGATGTTGGGAAAGAAATATATGAAAGTCAATGAATGACTTCACAGCTATATTTTCCTCTTCAAACACCCTCGACTAACACTCAATATCTACCTTTTCTAACGTGCATTCTGGATGTTTCAGGAGATCAGAGAAAAGGTGAAGTGCTTGCTTCAGGATGCTGACGAACTGTACAAGCAGTCGTGTTTCCATAGTGACGGCATCACGCAATGGGCGACAGCGGTCGATAAAAGATTCAAAGATTTCACGAGTCGCATGACGAAATATCTGAATCAACTCGAGTCCAAACTGGGTTTCCCCATCACGAAATATAGCGAGGTAAATATATGAGAACATCACCATCGGATAAACTTACTTTTTTGGTCACACAAGCTAAAAAAATTTTATCCCAAATACTAGCGATAACAAGGAGGAATTTTGTTTTAAACTATTTCGTTCAGTCAAAGCCAATCAGAACGCCTAAATTTTAAATACTTCATGTAAAATGGTATATATTGTACTCTCTATAAAAATTTATGCATTCTGATTGGGTTATTGAAAATGTAAACAAACTTTCTGATTGGTCTAAAACGAAATTCCCTCTTTTTACTAACGATACTTTTTCCCGAGTATATACAAATTCTTACCTTCTCGAAGATTAGAGTTGCTTCACACACCTACTTCGAGTCAATGCTAAGAGCCGATATTTGTGAATTCACTTTATTGTATCTCTTGTGAGATTCACGAATTCGGTCCTAAGCGGAAGTTAAACAACGAGAATGACCAGTTTGTGATAACCAGTTGCGGTATATTTCATCACTGCATGGTTTCCAAGCTAGCAAACCTGCGCGTGAGGCGAATGATACAAAAAGTTAATAAAGTTATTGTCTAACTTCAAACAAAGAGTCTTTGCATTTTCAAATTACTAGTACCAGTATCCGCAATTGATATTTTAATTATATAATCAAATTGTACTCGACGATATTAGAACCTGTGGTTTATTTTGTCGATTTAACACGTATTCTTCTCATAAGAAAATTTTGTTTCGCGAACCTGTATGGCTCCTGTCAGGGTAATTGCTGTTCGACTTTTGTAATAGCTAGAAGAGATTGGAATCGTTTGTAACTGAAGGTCACGAGGATTAATAATAGACCCAACTTCCTGTCGAAACAACTTCGTTCAAAACACTGAAGTTTTTGCGGTATAGTCTTTCTGAAGCGGTTTAACACGATTCAAAGCGTGTTTCACTGGTAAAGGTTTCCAGCAAGTTTCGATCTCGATTTTGCTTTTATTTCTATGTGTAATAGGACATTGTATTAATTTGACTACTGTATTATACTCAATCATTTACTGTAACTGGTTTTGTGTTTACTTACACAGAATGACGAGGAAATGCCGGATGTTTCGGTCTTGTCACAAGCTCAACAACATCCACAGAGCCTCGCGATACGTGAAAAGACGCTCAACTTACGAGAACTCTCTAAAGACAGCGGTATTCACGAGCTCATGGAAGAGGAAAAGAGGAAATCTGCAAGAAGGAAAGAGTGAGTGCTTTCATTTTCTTGCAAATGCTTTAACCTTTGTCTCTTCTCCTGTCCATCGTATTTATAAAATGTTCTTGGCGTCCAGGGAAGGATATTTCGTAGCATTTGACGTACATGGGTCATTGTTCATCAAGTGGTTATGATCACCTTTTCATGAACTAAATTTTCGTGGATTTTTTTAGTCAGAGTAAATCCCTAGAATGATTTAGAATGATCTAGAATGATTTTTCTTCAGGTTCATTATGAACGAATTGCTTCACACTGAAAGAACTTATGTGGCTGATTTGAAATGTATTATTCAGGTAAGCTACTGTAGTTTTGTTTTAATACATGAAGAACCCGGGTGGAAACTTGGTTCTTATTTAATATTTTTTTGCGTTGCAGAATTATATGGAAGTGATGTCTACAAACCCGAATGTACCTCAAGGTCTGGTTGGAAAAGAAGATGTTGTCTTTGGTAACATCAAAGAGATCTACGAATTTCATCAAAGGTTAGTAAATTTGTCTGTAGAATTGGTCGATATTTTGCAAACTTTGAATGAGTGTCAAGGATCAGGTCAGGTGCATGAGTGAACAGTTTCCATTCTGGCGAGACGTTTTGCGTCAAACAAATCGCGTGCTCTCCGTTACAGCGTGTTCCTGAATGCTTTGGAGAAATACGAGACCCATCCAGAAGATGTTGGAGAATGCTTTGCAGAAAAAGCAGAGGAATTTAAGATGTACGTGTTCTACTGCAAAAATAAAACGTTATCAAACAACCTGCTCATCGAACATGGAGCGACGTTTTTCTCGGTAAGTCTTTGCAGGGTATTGTCCAGTGTCTTGTAAAAAGCATAGCCTTGGTACTTGAGCTTGGGATAAGGGGAATCTTTCTCTATGAATCAGCTGTTAACGGTGTGGGAAAGACGACTGATTCAGCTCTCAGTCTCTAATAGACCTTTTTCATAATGACGTCAAACGCGGAAAGTCTAATGTTGCACGAAGTTTGATTGGCTCGACAGTTTTGTGGAGCCAATTAAATTTCGTGTAATATCAGACTTCCCGCGTTTGACGTCATTATAAGAAAGGTCTATTGTCAGTTCTTTTCTGATCACAAGAGTTTTCGTTTTCCCCAGGATCTGCAAGCGTCGTACAATCATGGTCTCTCCATTGCTGCTTATCTCATTAAACCCGTTCAGAGAATAACAAAATATCAACTCTTGCTTAAGGTTTGTACCACGCTTTTTACATAGTGAGAAAGGGACGGGGGGGAGGAGAGGGGTGGCAAGATGAATGATTCGAAACGTGAAAGAGGTAGCTAGAATATCTTGTATATAGCGACTCTTACAAATGGAAATCATTTTTCCCTGGTAGGATCTGTTGACGTGTTGTGAAGGTTCAGAAACAAGTCTCGAGGTACTTGATGCTTTTGGGTTTAAATTGCTATCGTCTTCTGTGTAGTTTTTACATTTCCACGGTAAATTCCAATCCTGTTTTCAGGCTGGCCTTGAAGTCATGTTGAGCGTTCCTCGACAAGCCAACGATGAAATGTCCATTAGTTTGATTCGAGGGTTTGATGTAAGTTTGCATTTTCATTTTTGATGATAATCTTGGTGAATGTTTTAGTCTAACATTCGTGCTTTTCTCATTTCAGGAACATATGCATTGTTTGGGAAGAATTCTCTTACAGGTACATTCAATACCTGTTCGGAAGTTATTTCAAAGCACGTATAGGTGCACGCACGTCAAGCTATCCTAAACGTCTGTTCACACGATCCAATTTTGTCGGGTCCAATTCACTTTTGAAAGATGTTTTATAGTCTGTTGGCTTGCAGTGTATATGGGCAGCAAATCGACTAAAGCAATGCAGTACTGCTTTATCAATAACAAACTACATTCCATACGTCAGAAGTGAATTGGATCCGACAAAGTTGGATCGTGTGAACGTGCCTTAAGCGATGAATCTAACCCGTGCATTACCTTCGCTTGCTGCTGTAGGACGTCTTCTTCATGTGGGATGCCAAGTTATTACGACGAAAAGGCAAAGAGAGACATCTATTTTTGTTCCAACAAGGTCTTCTTGTTACAAAAGAAGTGAAAGACGTTGACGGAAAAGTCGTATACTTGTTCAAGTATAAGCTGAAGGTAGAGATGAAAAAAATTTAAGTAAAAAAATTTAAGTAAAAAATGTACCTAAATTCTCCCTTTATATTAAATGCAGTCCATTCTGTCAAAATTGTTTAAATTATCTTACTTGTTAAACTCGTAAAAGTTGAATTTTTTGTTGTGAAATATCTAGTGTTCAGAACTTGGCGTGACTGAGCACATTGCCGAAGACGGATGTAAGTTTGCGATATGGACTGGACTGCCACCTAACAATGACGATAGGAAGATACTTAAGGTAATATGTGTGTGTTGGCTCGTGCGACCCATGAAGACTTCATGTCTCATTTCATGAAGACATCGACCTTGAATGGACTTTAGTCACGTTTATCTTCTAATCCTGTGTTTATTTTCTACTACTTCAGGCGAACACACTGGATGTGAAACAAAACTGGGTAAAACAACTACGTAGTCTTCAACAACAATTTCAATTTGGCGTTTTAAGAAGCAGAAGTGAGTTGTCACACATTTTAAACTTTCTGAAATTTTAAACTTCATTTTTCATTGCGAGTTTGGTTTGTTGTATGAACTGTCGCTGCATTCACAGCTAGGAAATTATTCCAGTATTGTATGTCAGTTTTCTGAACAAGTTTGAATCTTTGTGATATTGAAGAATATCTTCTGCCCGCGTGAATTCACTGAAAAATAGCATATGTGAACACGTAGTGATCTACAAACACGTTTGTGACATTTGCTGTGTATTCTTTTAGCCATGTCGACCTGTTCAAAAGGCGCTTGGAAAAATCCTGACAGGTATTTGTCCTTTTCAACAAACGTTATGCATGGAAAGAGTTTCGGTTTCGACTCTCTGACCTGAATTCAAACGACCACATGTTTGACACAGTAAAATACTAGGGAAGCATGGAATCTGTGAGCGGGTTTATGTTTGAGACTGCACAATTTATGAACGTGCAAAGGATGTGTCGTGTATTAATTTCACCATGAAACATGGCGTATAACGTCATGTGACGTCATGCCTAAATTGAATATTCTTACCACGGGGGGATGCACTAAATTTTTAGCATTTCATGCCTCACACAATGCAAAATTGTCGGTGTTGATTTCATCGTCTAGTCATTCTTCAGCTAGAGATGAAGGTAGTCTGTGTACAGAATGCGATAACTCGAGGCGTATTCTGTAGCAAGATGAATACAAAGCTTTAAAGATATGTTATACGCGTTTCTTTGTCACTGTAGAGAAAGCGGTGTCGTGGATGACGACCGTGTGTCCTGGGATTTCGAGTATGGAGATAAGGTATTGTTTTGTACGTTTACAATATTAGTAAGCTTTAGTTAGCAGTGACTACGAGATTTGCCATTTCAATCCTGCGGGATTCCCGGTGCTGTTTGCTCACGCCATCTGACGAAACTCTTAATCCTCGTTTTCGAGGACGAAATTGATCAGGAAACTCAAAAGCTCCAGGATTACGAGTTTTGCGTGATGGCGTAGCAAATAACATGCGTAATCACGTAGACCCTCACTGCCACTCGAAAACTATGATTGTTGAGTTGATAGAAGCTGGGAAAACTACGTGCGTCTAATCTTTAGGCCACGTTTTTCAACTCCTTCAGCTAAGAGTTCCTAGGGTCGGTCTGCGTTTCAAGCACTAAGGAGAAGTTGACGTATCTTAGAGCTTATAAGTGATTAAAACATTCTCTCTCACACCTAAAAAAATGCAGATATGCCTAGTTATCAAAGCCTTATCCGACGATATATGTCGACGATGGGTTGGCACGCCGAATGGTTTCCTTATAACCCCTCGACATCGCTGCGAAACGTCAACATATACACGATAGCAAAGACCCGTGTTGTGTAATTGATCGTAGTAGATCGTAGCTCACTTTCGTTTTCTTATATTTCACCTTCTGCATGGGCATTTTCGGAAAGCGAAATATTGGCATAATAACTAGTAAGACATATTTCCATGCGCTCGCTCAAACGTTGATTTACAGCGCGATCCGGTGGCCCATTGAACTGTCAATTTTCGGCCCGTCTTTTGACAATCGTGTTATGTGGATATGCAAAATCCATTTATCAGCTTGATGCAGGTAAACAAATTAATATTATAACCGCCCAAACGAGGGCTAATGTCGATTAAGTTATTACGAACACATTTATAAAGGCGACATTTCCGCGGCAAATTCTCTGTAAACAAGTTGCATTTCACGAGTTGAAATCTCCGATCCAATTCCGTGCACATCTTGTTTCTATTAATAAGCTCACGAATGCACTTAATTGATCTTTTTCATGCAAGAAGTACCAGATTAGCAGGGGGTGATGTTTAATTTTTTATTCGCAACGTTCTCGCCTGATTTTTGAAACCCAATATACCAAATAAACTCTGGGTAACAACAATAAGAAAAGCTTTTCAATACGATTGACTCAGTGCTCGTGAAATCAAAAGCATGAAGAATCGTTTACGTCGCTCCATCGGTGGCTACGATTCCTTAATCATTGTTGATGTCACAACAATACTAGTCTATCATCGATACAATTTGTCAGACAAAGTGAACGTTTTATTTACGGCGTGTATTTGTGCAACGAAAAATACAAATAGCATAGGGCTATTATTAGCTATTAACTCTGCTTTTTTACTATTGTTACGGCCCGTCTACCTAATTCCGGTTTTGTTGGCGACCTAGCTTACGATGGGAAAAAATGATGAGAAATAATTATTTCCGTGTATATTAAAACCATTTTCAACGATACCTAGGAATGGTGAATTTCATATTTAGTGAATCCAAAAAGCGATACTATTTCACGGACACTTTGTAGTCCTAATTGAAACATTTCAAGCTAATTTACGATGCGGTTGCAATTAGCCGAAATTCTCTTTAACTAGCTTATCACATATCCGCCATGTAGTATATACATCCAGTAGTTCCTGCAAGTAGGGCGTGTTTTGTAAAAGTAATTTACTCTCGTAGATTCTTATCATAAATTCATTGCAACGATGATTAAGAAACGTTAATTGAATTCCTTGCCTACATGATGACGCCACACCCAATGGTAGTGGGGAGTATATAATGAGCTCGTTTTATATAAATCTGTGGTCAATCTTCGATGTTACACAATCTTTGCCATCAGACACATTATTTGACAAGCAGTTCGTGCCCTGAAGGATGAAATCTATAAGGGGAAAAAAACGGGTTGTTGTAACCTGTGGCTATAGGCGAGACTCGAATCATTATGGGCGGTCACAGCGTTCTTGACCTTTGAATATTTCAAATAGAGCAATGAAATCTCAATAAACATGTTTGCTTTGCTTTGTGCGAGTTTTAATTGAAAATTAAATTCACGTTAATTTCCACAGAGACGAACGATGATACGATGTCTCGAGGGGGCTTATAGTCGCATTCAATCGCCGCACAAACGTTTGAACTAAACTGAGCCACCTGGAATTGATAACAAGAATAGTAGACTCATGACGACTTCAGCGCTTGTCATTGAGAACGTGCAGACTTAATCCCATTTCGAAATCATCCTAGAGATATGGAATATCATTTATCTTCGACTATTTTCGAAATGTGTGGACAAGGGGAATGATAAATTATGAATGCGTTTATTTTTCGCAGGGTTTAAGTCGAGATTAATTTCCTTGCTTAACTGTAATACGACTGGCTGTCTATAGAAGTTATTTATACAAATCAGTTTGATATATTTGGCAATTGTTATCTACTTAAAGAAATCAACAAATTTCAAAACACCGATGTCTTTTATGTTAGAGAAGATTAATTAAAGTCGTATCCGTTTGAAATATTTCGTTTGAGATGATTATCTTTATAAACATTTTATCACAACGCTAGGAAAACAATTCCGAACGGTACAGTAATGGCCAGTTTCTATCGAAAATCTAACGAAAATATCTTCGCAGTGGCCGTTCGCTTCCGAACGAAATGTTATTAACATCCGAGAACTACAACACAATAATCAAATCGAAAAAATCTTGAGAAATGTCCGTAAGACCGAATTAGGCCGAGGTTTAACCTCCGTCTCATCGCGGTTCGTCCTCGGTCTGACTTCGGTTCAACCGCGATCAGACCGAGGTTTGACCGAGGTTTTTGTTAGGTTATTGCTGGACAGTACTGTATATGAATACAAGAAGGAAGAGGTCTTTAAATTCCAGCGCAGCCTCTTCTGAACACAGCTACACCCCAGTGTTGATTGAACCATTTAGAGATAACTTTGCCTTGAGAATGTGAATTGTTGTGGGGCATAAAAAAGGAATCCCCGAAAAATTAGCGCTTTTTCGAACAGCTCGGTTCTTCAACGCAATCAATTCTAGAAATTTATTACACAAATATCTTCTTTCACGCGTATTTATAAGGCCTCGTCCACACGATGCGAAAGAATATTTCAAGAATTATCGATCAACTTGCAGTCTTTTTGTTTTCCGGTCTTCTCGTATTACGAGCTTCCCGCTGCGATAGTTTTTTGTGCTCAATGCAATGATTAATGCACGACTATGACATGGCAAGTGGATGCATAATTACTGACCAAGCCTTGTATTCAAATTGTTTTGAATTTCTGTAGGCTTGTGACGAGGGTTCTGCGACGGAGGTAACATATTACAGCGTGGAAAACTACACGAGATTAGCCGAAGACGAGATATCTGTGAGAAAAGGACAATTCGTCGAAGTCCTCGAGAGTCCAGCGAACAACTCGCGATGGAGAATACGGTTTATAAATCCCGAAACTGAGCCACAGATTCAAGAAGGTTGGGTTCCGTCAGACGTGTTGAGAAGACAAGAAGAACCGAGGAGAATTCGTCGCAATTCGGACGGCTCCTTATGCAGTAGCGAAGGTAAGACAAAACCTTTAATTTGTGTTTAGTTTTCATTCATCTGTGAGTATGTATACACAGGTGTTCTCATTTTCTTGTATAATGGCTTTGAAATAGGACGTACAGATATTACGTAATTCGTATTGAATCTTCAGCTCAATACAAATGCTGAATAGTAGAGTATTGCCTTGTTTACAATTTGAAACTTACCATCGCGATATTGGTCTTTATATATCAACGTCGTGTCATTAAGATCATGTTACTTATTGTGTTTCATCGTTGCGCTGTTGCTGTTTGCCATAACGGCTTCGAGGTATCTACACTTTTCACATCTGTGAGGCCATACTGGAATCATGCATTCAGGGATTAATGGTGCTTCTTTTCGCCATTTGAGATCTGCTGGAATGTACGTCAAAATTCCCCAAATAATTTTACTCAAAAATCCGGTTAACACGTTGCTATATCAGCGATCGTGATGTTATCGGGTTTAGACGGATGCTTTATGAGAAACTCTCGCCGAGCGAGTCGAAGCACGATATGAATGTGCAATAAACAGCAGTTAACATTGATCTAAACCTGAACTTCACCACAGTTATGTAAAACAAACCTTACGTTTCAAATATCGCTATAAATCTATGCTAATGTTGTGAAATTGTTAAGAGTGCATGCATTTAATATTCTGTCGAGCCCTAATGAATTGCGAAGGACATTTTAAAACGTTAATCTGTTGATTGAAATCTATGCTGAGTTTAGGATAAGACGCAACAAGAATTAGGCCCCTGCAGTTTCTCTTTATTTCATTTCATGGGTTTTAATTAATAAAATGCTATAATTAAATAGTCGAAGTGAAAAAAAAACAGGGCGTAAAAACCTGTTGGTTAACTTGCAGGTCACCATTTACGTTAGGGCATTGCTGTCGTTTTTCACCAGTTTATGTGACACTCATCATGCAACACAAGGTTCCGCATAGTTCAGCAATTGCGTTCTATTCTAGCTGTGACCTTTTTGCCTTGTATTAATCTGGCATAATGATTTTCCTAAGTTTCCTCCATTCATCAACGTATAGTTCACGCAAACAAATAGCTTACTGACAGCTTATAATAGTTGTTTTGTCTAAAAGTGAAGGGTTTTTAAGATCAAGTTATATCGACCCTTTGGCTATTGGCATTGCCTCGTCGTGAGCAGTTCGGTTCGGATTGTTTACAAAAATAATGAAAATTGTTTTGTCTGACTTAAGCGTTTCCGGTGAATTTCAACAAGTTTTTGTGAGGTTTTTGAATTTTTTGTGTGTAAATAAACAGGTATATAGACACGTATATGGTATTGCAACTGCAGAGTCATGCAGTCATTTGATTTGTACGGAAAACTAAGTAAATTATGACATGTATACACATGCAGACGTGATTATCAAAACTGTGACACCTGTTTAGCACCGTAAAGTATTTTTTAAAGTTTGTATTTTGGGACAGCTGTTTTACCGTTTGACCTCACGGCATCAACCAAGCCTCACTTTGCTTTTCTTTATGTATCGTATTTTCACTATTTTGGGCAGAATATTTTCTTTAAAAACAAAATGTTATACGGTTTTATATGCCGATTTACATATGTGCGAGTGATGGACATTAAATGTGGTATAACAACTGACTAAAGTAAATATATAAAAATAAAAAAATGTCTCGAAGACGCTGTAACACGCTGCTCCTTGGTTATAATACAATTGTCATCAACAAATCTTTGATTGATAATCAACCGGTGTATATTTTCTTCCATAACAGGCCTTGCGAAATAATAGTCGTGCATTGAAGCAGAAAATGAACAGTTCATATTTGTTTCGTATTGAAACTAGAAATAGCGGGAGAAATGGAACGAAATTACAGCAAAACAATTTAGCAATGGCCCGGCTTTTGTTGTTTATAAACTCGTAACAGTTTATCGACGGGACATCACATTGTCAACTGCAATTAAAATCTCGTCACGTGAATACTTTGCAATGCTTTAATAAGCTAAACTTTTAATAAGCTTTTATTCAAACCGTTTCGAGCACCGTATATACTTGCTAATCAGCTAATTTTTTAGAGTCAAACGGCCATATTTCACCCTTCTAGGCGTCGCGGTCCGTTAACACATTTTAATATATATTGCATTAAGTTTTTTGCATTTTTTACATAACGTTTCAAGTTTCGAACTTCCATCATCCATCTCCAAACTATTTCCTCACTAAGCATTGACGTTTGCAAATAAAAAATAGTCATGAATCTCCCTGCTTTGTCAAATTACCATTTGCTAACGCATGCTGTGTCACGCAAAACAATATTTCTTACGTCTAAGTCACATTCCGGGCAATTTTCCCTACAATGAGTGTTTTTGAAACGACCAGCATATTTAATTGCACCTATACAACATATAAAACGTAGTTGGCAGTTTCCATGATTGTTACTCACGTAGCTTTTTGACTCGCAAAGAAAAAGCATATATACATCAGTCAAAGACAATCCAGCGCTTCCTGTATATCTGTTTCAGTTTACGCTCGCAAAGTTTACAGCCATTCATTTGTGAACTAAACAATTCCTATGGTGTATAATCATGAAAACAGTTAAACAATGTTTACCGGCGTGGAATTTGCCGAGGAGACAAAGTAAGGGGATCTTTTAAAAGATGTGTAGATTTGAAAAGAAAACAAGAACTTTTATCGTGATGGATGATAAATCAAAAAGGATCATAAAAGATTAACAGACTCTCGATTGTCAGTTTGGTCATCACTTTTGAATCGTGTTACATAGTAGTTGGGTGCTTTCGATCCTCTGATGCTTAGAAAACGCTTATTCGAGGATATAATTCAACCGTTTTAAGAGCAATAGAAGCTATATTCTAAACAAAAGACCTCATCTTGTTTTGTAGGATATAACTTTACATATTCGAATATTCTTTAGATTCTAATTCGTTGTCTTCCTGCAATGACCTGAGTCCAGCTGCGTCTCTCTACAATAGCCCAGGAGTACTCAACGGAGCGACATCACCCCCCGTACGAAGGCGAGCGAAATCAACAGGACAGTTTGGTACTCTGCGGTAAGCGTAAGAAAAACCTGTTTGAGCTAGAGTTAGCCAAGCTATCATTCATCAACTTTTTTCATCTTTCGTTAGTATGAAACCTTGGAGACGAGATTCAATGAAGAAAAGTACAAAATCCCTCCAGGCCTCTCCCGTACCGCGCAACACCAGGATCTCTGGCGGAGGAAGCAAGAAGCTTCAGGTTTGTCTTTTTTTCCCCTTGCTGTTTGATCTATAGTTAAGATACCGGCCATTATCGACTAAGATCTAGCGAGATTATGGCAATGCTTAGTTTATCCTTCATCACTTGTTGTCACTGATAGATTTCTGCAGAATAAATGTGATTATCTCAATTCCGTGAAAGGTTTAACTGTTGGCTTATATGAGACGTCTTCGTTTAGGCATTACTTGGCGCTAGTGAAAATGACATCGATCTGTTAATCAAGACAAAATCACCAGCGCCAATTTCCCCACACAAGGTAAGGCAAAATTCAAACAAACTCAGGACTAAGTGGACTAAGAAAACTGGCTTTCCTCCGTCAACATTTCATTTTTTGTTTTAATTTGCAGAATGGCGGGTCCTTGGAAGAAGATCTGTCACTTCCTGAAGAGACTCACGGGCAACTGGTCGCGGAAAACGGGCGTAACGGCTCGACGGAAATAATACACGACGAGACGGAGGAAATACGACAGAGCAAAGAAAGTCTACAAAGCAAGGGAAGTTCCGAGGATTGTCTACGTGAAAGTAACGAAAGTTTATTAAACGATGAAGAGGATGACAAGGGGAATGGTGTCACTTGCGATGAGGAAGACAACAAAGATTGCGAGAGTCAGGAAGATAAGGAAGCGATTGCTCTGAAAAAAAGGATGTGAGTAAATTGATATTAAGGAACTTGTATCATGTTATATTTAGAATACCATCGATTGAGCGTCACATTTCCTTAGGTATGTCATCAAAGAACTCATTCAAACTGAACAGGATTATGTGACGGATCTTGAATCTGTCGTCGAGGTAAGTTTCAAGTTCTCTGTTTCAAATCTAAATACGAAACGCTACAAAGTGCTCAAAGGTAGCAGAGTTTCATGGCGTGTTTTTTAATCTTCTGAAGGGATACATACCAGAATTGTCGAAAGACGACGTCCCTGAAGAGTTGAAGGGAAAGGAAAGAGAAATATTTGGAAACATGAGGCAGATCCTTGAATGGCATAAAAGGTATCAATGCGGAATAAATATGCTTTCTTTGCGGTGGAATATTCATGGTTTCAACATAAACATTCTCTCACCAAAAGTCTTTATGTCATTTAGTTTCTTCTGTAAAGAGCTTGAGAAATGCGAAGACGCACCTGAACGAATTGGAACCGTTTTTCTTAAAGCCGTAAGTTTAGAAATGTACAATGTCTTATTCTCCATGGTTTGTTATGAATATGTGTAGTCATGGTATTAAATCTCTCGTAATCTTCTTAATCTCGCAGGCAAAACGTTTAGAAATGTACATTCATTACTGTCAGAAGAAGCCGAAGTCTGAAGGACTGGTTAGAGAATTTGAAGACACGTATTTCCAGGATTTAAAAACCCGTCTTGGCCACCGATTGGCTCTCTCAGACTATTTGATTAAGCCTGTTCAGAGAATCATGAAATATCAACTTTTACTGAAGGTAGTGTTCAATAGTTTTCTCTAGTACTTACCCTGTCACTCTGTCTTTTTCTGATAAAAGTATTTAGGAATAATCCTTGAAACAATTTTCTTTGTCTTTAGGATATTTTAAAATACACAGAAAGAGCCAACTTGGAGTCGACCGATCTCAAAGTAAGTTAAAAGGGATAATTTATTGGAAACAGCTCAATCGAAATTGGGCATGTTGAAGATAGTCTTTCTGCAATCATTCTATATCAAGATTCAGACTTCGTTTTATGAAAAGGGATGGTATTAGTTTAATATTTCTTTGATGTTATTTTTGATAGAGCGCTTTGGATATCATGCGAGTTATCCCGAAAAAGGCAAACGATATGATGAATGTTGGGATGTTGGAAGGATATTGTGTACGTACAGTAATCCTTTTGTTTTAAAGACCGTATGATGTTATGAAATTTCGTTTGAGAGCAAGGTGTTTGTTTCCACAAAGCTACTGCTGTGGGCAACGCCATCGCAGTGCCGAGAGGGGTACAACTAGGGTTTCTTGTGTACTCGGTTAATGATGTTCCTCGTATTCCCTCAGGGTAACATCAAGGCTCAAGGCGACCTCATCTTGCAAGATATTGTGCAAGTGGCTGATTACAAGGCGAAAACAAAGCCGGCCAAAAGACGTGTGTTTGTGTTCGAACAAATGATCATATTCAGCGAACCTTTTGAGAGAAAGAAAGATTGGACTGTCTTCATATATCGACACAGCATCAAGGTATGTTCTTACTAAACTAGTATTAAAATTAAACTTTGTTTGAGCTGAGTGAAGACGTTGAAAACTTTGTTTGACAGTTTGACCGCATGTTCTTCCACACAAAAGTCCATGTTTCTTGTTCTTCCACATGAAATAAATCATTTTCCTTACCTTCAGACCAACTTCATGGGTGTGACGGAGAATTACGGTGACGATCCATGCAAGTTCGCAATTTGGACTCACCGTAGTCCGAGTGAAATATACGTGCTGAAAACGGAAACACCAGAAGATAAATTGAAGTGGATTAAAACTTTGAAACAGTTACTGGAGCACTTAAAACAATTTGCAAATGGTATGGCAGCAAAACTAAACTACTCATTATACTGTATTTCATATGTAAAACCATTTCGCTGGTTTCCCCCGTTTATTCAGGTTACCTTCTGTGGTAACTGTGATCCACAGGATAACTGAAGCCCTAGAAAGAAGGATTGAAGAGTTCAATTTTGTCGTGTGTTATTGTTTATCTATTTTAATCTTAACTTTAAATGTGTGTTTTAAACTTCAGAAGACGATGATGATTGTTGTAATGACTCCTTAAACGAACTAAATGATTTTGACGAAGGTGGGAAATCGTAAACTGCACGTTAAAGTCTTTAACAACAAAAACTTATCTCAATAAAGTTCTTTCGTAGTATTTAATATTTAGTTGAACAAAAAAAGATAACGAAACAAGCGTATCGCTAAACAAACAAACAGACAAATCTTCCTGTAGGAAAAAATTAACAGCAAAATCCCTAATATGAACTAATGAAATTATAAACCAAAGTTAATAAATGCATTTATACATTTTAAAGACAAAAAAATCCAACATTTAAGCAACAATATTTACAAGTTTAAATTATTTAACTACTTTAACAAGTTTTTAACTGAAGAGCGCCGAAAGTTATGAGTATTTCGCTTTCCTAAATGAGAATCATTCATATTTAGCTCTGGTGAATCCTATCGAATATCAAGGTGGAAACTTTGATCCTCTAGGGATAAACAGGTGAATATTTCCTGAAGATTTGAAAACACGCCATGTTTAAACAAGCCATGTCAACTTTTGCCATAATCTTTCTAGCGTTACGACTTCAGAAGGTCAGGTCACACCACCGGCCGTTACTGAAGAGAATTCACGGAACAATCTCATTTCTCCGGCAACCGTCACGCGACGACACAGCTCCGCAAGCAAGGTGAGTTAAGAATATTTACCTTTGAGTAGATCTCCGAAATATCCCTTCTTCCTCCGTCCGCACCACAAACAGTACACAAGACACACGTTTGCAATAAATATATGTTATTTACTAGATTGGAGGTCCGTTTAGGGAAATATTTCCCGAGGTCTCAAAAAAGGCCGAGGGACGTTTTTGAGACCGAGGGAAATATTTCCCTATACGGACCGACTAAACGGGTAAATAATAGTTTTTTTTCTTGCGGTCCGATTTCATGTTTTAGCGTTGGCTCTGTGCTTTTAAATCTCCAACGGGTCCGTACGGCCTCATACGGACCGCTCGCGTAGCCAATCAGATTGCAGAAAACGCTAAAATATGAATTCGGACCTACTTATGTACACATACATGAAAACAGCAATGCTGATGAGGCTAGCGTGAATAAATAATTTTACATGTATATGAATATTTCTGCTTTTAGACAATGAGTGTGCCTACTCCGAATCAGGTCAGGCATTTTAGTCTTATTCCACTCGATACGGCGAAGACTCTAGAAGGACTAACAGGAGTTTTTTCCGAAGGGGTAAGTACATATTGTTGTCAAGAAGCGAGCGTTTTCTCCTTGAGCACATGGTTCTGACTTTCTCTCGATTTCTAGCGAGGGAAAGACAAATACACAGCCACGTCTGACTACAAGGCCAAAGCGAAAGATCAAATCACTGTGAAAAAAGGCGACATCGTTTACGTAGTTTCAAGCAAGAAACACGACAAGAAATGGTTGTATGGTCACGTTTCCGGGAGTGAAACCTTCGGACTTGTCCCAGCGCGTGTCTTGCACAAGGACCCGGATGAAAATCACGTGAATGAAGACGGTAAATCTTATCAAAGTAGATACACTACAGAACCAAAGCTTGGTTCTATCGCTCGTATAAAGACATTCATTCGTGTGTAATTTTGTTGATATATACTCGTAAAAACACACTCAAACGTTTTGTATTTTTTGTAGATTTGGTAATGAACGGACCAGACAAATCAAAACTATCTCGCAAACACAGTTTTCCGTAAGTAAATCATCGCTTCTGCGATTCTAATAGCGAGGTTCAGATTTGACTTCCACTACCGCTACCGCTACCTTTTGCTGACCTATTCAGCATTTGATTGGTTAATCAGTTTATTTCCCATTTAATATCTCGGTAGTGGTAGTGGAAGTCAAATCTGAACCTCGCTAATAACAAGTTCTCTACGAAGTTGATGAAGATAAGTTCCTCAGCTTTCATGCTTCAAACGTGAAGTTCACGAGTTAAACTTGGATTGTTCATGAGTTGAACTCTAATTTTCACATTTGATTTCTTTAGGAACAGCGCTCTACGCCGGGTAACGCAGAAAAAAACGAAACAAGACTTCTTCAGTCATATCTCAACGCAGCTTCGTGACAGCATCGAGAAATTCCAACACGATTTCCACGACGATGAGTTACTGGATGGGGCATCTGAACAAGTAGGTTTTGTTGAAATATGAAGTAGAATAAAGAGTTGTACAATTACAAGAAACAGACCTCATTTCATAGCTTGACAAGTTAAATAACTGTTTTTCACTTTTTTAGTTACCAAACGGAAGCGCTGTAAAAGAAAGTAAGTGTTTTGTAATGATTGCAAATGATGAATTTCATGTTTTCCGTAAAATCGTTTCATGCTGAACTGGGTTTGCATTTTACGCCAAATATGCTAATTACATTATATATCCCCAGCGGGTCCTCGATGTCGCCTTGAGTTAAGGGATGCGATCATCAATCGTCCCAACACTCTGCGTCTGTCCTGCGAAATTGTGGGAAATCCCGCGCCGACGTTTCATTGGGAGAAAGACTCGAAGCCCCTCGCGGCCACGGAACGATTGAAGATCACGCAGGAATCGCAACGCAGCACGCTCGAGATCACGAGCAGCGAGTTTGAGGATAGCGGCGTCTACACGTGCACCGCAGTCAACGACCACGGTCAGGTGACGACGTCTTGCATTGCGCAAGTCCGAGGTAATTTGAATTAATAGCGTCGGAGAAGACTTAAACTAAAGTAACTGTATTTATACTGGATAGCTGCTCTGAGTGAGGTGTATAGTCCCGTGATAGATCCTGCGATCCCTATGTGTCCCGCCTATCCCAACCTTGTATGAAGAAAACAAATTACTATCCATTGATGTTCTAGATAAGCCCTCATCACCTTCGAAACCGACCGTTACCGAGATAACATCCTCGTCGGTCATCGTAAAATGGAATCCTCCTGCGAGCGATGGCAATAGTGCTATTACCGCGTACACTGTCGAATGTAAAGAGACTGGGGTTAGTCATTGGCAAGCACCAGTCCCATTCGTTTCGACGACATCCACGGTCGTTGATGATCTCACTCCAGGTTCAGTGTATCAGTTCCGAGTCAGTGCAAACAATGTGGTCGGAATTAGTAAACCCAGTCCCCCAACGGAGTCGATAACTCTCGATGTCGGTAATGGTGAGTAATCGGCGTTTTTGTCGTAAATCAAGACATTTTTGTCGTAAATCAAGACATTTTCAACCATTGCAATCCAGTATAAGTAAAGTTAGTTTAGATTGGGTTTTCTCTGGTAGTTTCACTGCAAGAAGATATACAATGATTATACTTCTTGCTGCGTCGGCAACTTTGATGTATAAACTTTAGATTTTTTCCTAAGTATCGCAAATTAAGATATGGAACTACTTTAGTTTAGGTTTCTTCCTGTATAGGAACGATCTTTAATGCCCCTCTAAAGAGGGAACGGTTTCAAACTAATAAATTAAAGTTATTTTAAATAAAGCTCAATTTCACGAAGATGTGGTTTGAAATGAGATTAAATTCCATTCTCAGAGAACATTATAATATTGTCCGAAAAGAAATATAGCTACTGGAGATACTAACCGCATTGTAACTATAACGTGCTAGAACATTTACCTCTTTGGACACGCAGTTGTTTGAAAAATCAAACCTTTGTTTTCTATTCTGATTATTATGCTGAATTGGAGACATGATTGAATTGAATCTCTGTGAAGCCTCAAACAGCTGTCATATTGAAAGCCTGTTTACTCAACACTATAGATGGGCCTCATTTCGTATTCTAACCACCTGCGGGATATAATGACCGCTGAGCATAACAACATGCTGTTCCCAATATAAAAAATTACAGGGTGTTTCGCTTTGATATCAGTATATCATCACTGTTTATTTCCCTTTTAGACAAACGAAATTCATGATAATCGCCCAATTGGCCAAGAGTCCTTTCATATTTGACTAACTGTGCGCTTCCTCTTAAATATGATGAATTTAAAAACAGATAACGTCTATAACGACCGCTATCAAATGGCGTAAACACTAATTATTTGTAACAAGAAGACATACTGGTATACATAAACTGTATAAATATATTATATTTATATACAAAAATAACTTGTAAATATACTACAATTGGTTAATCAATAAACTAATCTCAAGGAAAGTATAAATCTGTTGCAAATGGGAATCGTATCGCCGTTCAAAGGCCTGTCTTGTTGAGAGAGTGAAAAGATCAAAACCACAACAAATTGGATATGACAGCTTCAATGAATTATTAATTGCTATTCAGCGTTGCATTGTATAATGCAGACACTTCAGAACACAGGCAATTTTTTTTAAAAACAATGTCTAGTGTTCTCTCTTTTGAAACGAAATGACTGCCTCTTGAAGGTTCGCACTTACGGTTTAAGCTCTGACAAGCCTTCACTACATGTACATCTTAAAGGGAGGATTAGATGTCCTCCATTAATATTTCTGTTACAATATTAGCACACAGTCGACAGACCGCCCTTTATGACTCATAATTATCACTCAACTGGAATAAATTTTAGACTTAGACGCACCGAAATTGAAAATTATTCGCAATGAGTGACATTAATTATTCCATCTTGAGTGCTCTCATAGGTCTGTCCGAACCAATGCTTTCAAATGCTAAATTTTGTAGCTTTCATTTGGTTCGACAAGGCTCTAAAACGTCGTGCGCCATCATATTTTCGCCAAAGAAACTTAATTATTTGGTCACCATTGACCAAACGAGTCGATAATCCATACTCTCATCAACAAGACAGGCCTTGGTTAGGCGTTAAAATTTAATCAATTTAAAATAATGTCATAAGTTTACATGTTAAACAAGCAGTCGGCATCCGCCAGTGCCATTTAAGGAAGAGTGAAGGTAAACAATAAATAATGATTAAATAAATTTCAATTAAACTTGACTATAAACACGAGTTTAAACCATTAAACATGAATTGGAAGTGTGTAAAAGCGATTTAATGAAGAAAGATTCGTTGTAATAACAGAGTTCGGAGTAAAAACTAAACGAAATACTAAACGAAATTTTGCTAAGCATTCTGTAGATAAGGAATGCTTTTTTAAACCGTAAAATTGTCTAAAAGTTTAAAAGATAAACAAAGTTCCCTGAGTCGCGTTTAAATTCTAGTTATCATAACACAGAAGTGGTTACAGTTTTTCGAAATTATAGTCATTGAGGGAAAGAAATGCATGTTTGTTTAATTAAGGAAAAAATTTGGACAAAGGGCTTTTGTTTCAAGTGTTAGTTCCTGCCTGTGTTCAGTCTAATATCACGCACGCACGTCCATACATTTCAAATTTGCATACATCTTCAATTTTCAGCTTATCATTTTAATCCTCTAATCGTGAATCTTTCTTTACAGGAAAATGTCATCGAGACATTGGCAAAGATGCGGTGATTTGGAAGGCAGATATAGATGAATTCCATAACGTCTACGCCGAACTTGGAAGGTAGGTTGTTTAAACTGAAAGTTAGTTTTTCTTGTATGTCAAGTGATGTGGAAATGAGCGAATATACACCTGTCTCGCGACTTCCGAGTTGCCAAGTGAAAATATTTACCTTTTTTGTGTCGTTGTAAATATTTCGATTTTAAAATTGTGTATAATTGATTAATTCGTGCTTTAAAAACTCTACTTGAATAGTGCATGTAAACGATGTGGCAGATGATTTTGAGCCACATTCAACTGAAAAAATATGGAACATTACTTGTCCTGTTTGTGTATTGTGTATTGTTATTTAAGTAGGTCTTTATATTGTTGGAGACATCCGTCTTTCAAAATCCCAATACGAATATTTTACTTTAGGGGAAGGTACTCGGTCGTCAAAAAGTGCGTCGACAAAATAAGCGGGAAGGAGTACGCCGCAAAATTAATCAAAAAACGAATGTGTTCACAGCAAGATGTGGAACGAGAGGTGACAATCCTGCGTCGTTTGAAACACCCGAACATTAATGTCTTCGTGGACTCTTTTGAGAATGATAAAAACTGGATTATTGTCCTGGAACTTTTACCAAACGGTCGGCTGTTCGACTCCATCGTCGTTGCAAATCCTTGGACGGAAAAGGAAGCTGTTGGTTTTGTACACCAGATTCTTGAGGCTGTCCAGCATTTACACGACTGTCGAGTGGCTCATCTAGACTTAAAAGTATGTACAGATTTTTCACTGCACAGATTCACCATGTTCACGTTGGTATTAAACCTTCTGCTTTCGATCTTTTCAGCCTGAAAACCTCCTGCTCGACAGTGGTCCCATCCCAAAAGTAAAACTTGTCGACTTTGGCGGCGCCTTTACGATGTCAAACGAAAATATCATTCCAGATCTTCTTGGCAACCCAGAATTCTCTGGTAAGCACGTAGTTCACTCCCAGATATAGGGAAAAAGGTGAATCTTTGCTGTCATCAGCCCTCACTATCCTCATCATTGATGTTTCCACCTTTTGTCTTTACCGAACACTTTCATCGTTTTTCCCTAAACTGCTATTGAACTTGTATCTTCCCTAGAGATGAAAATCTCTTGTCTTTCAAACCACAAACCAAAGATTTTTGATTGTTCATGTGTTCATTATGTTTCCGTTGTTTTTAGCGCCAGAAGTCATTCGTGGTTTACCAATCAGTATCGAAACAGATGTCTGGTAAGTGTCCATAGTTCCTGTAAACAATATTTCTACCTGTAGATCATTCATTATACAGTCTTATGACGTCGAAATACAAGCAAAAGGTTGAAATATAATATAAATTCATTCTTTTTTTAGGAGTGTTGGAGTCATCGTGCACGTCATGTAAGTAATTTTTGAAGTGAAAATTTTTTACCAAAGTATTTGAATGAAACCTCATACATATTTAATCAATATACTGTACTCACTGCTTTGTCTCCGGCCGAACACTGGCAAGTCTCCCAGAATCTATAAATGTTTTCGTATACCCTAATCGTGTTACTTACGCAAGTATTTTTGCATCTTACAGGTTGACTGGAGTATCACCGTTCTATGACGAACATCTTCAAACAATGTGTGATAACATATCTAAAGTAAACTGTGATTTGGACGCGGATTTCATGTCAAATATTTCGACCGAAGCAAAAGCTTTCATCAGACGGTTACTCATTCGCGAGCAATGGTATGTTTTATAAACAATTGGAATAGTTCAAAGTAAATTATACAAACGTTTAAATGTCATGAATTTGATGTTTTGTTGTCTCTAGGAGAAGACCGGAGTGCAGCGATTGTCTGGACATGAGATGGATGAAAGTAAGTCTTCGCGGTTGCGATTTTTTTCGGCGATTACCTCTTTCTAGCGTATGTTATTGAGCGAATTATGTACACAGTTATAGAAGCCTTGTGAAGCAAAGTTAGCTAATCTGTTAAATGAACTCAATGACATACACCAGAAGACGAAAATCGCCGTGAAAAATCGCTAGATTATTTATCCCGATTTCACAGAGAATTGATGTGCTCTTTGATACAATGTTACCAAGTCCAAATACGAGTAAATTTCACTTGAAATGACCAATGTTTTTTAACGCACCGTGTTCAACATTTTGTCACCTGCAGATGATCTCAACTCGTTCACCTTTCCCCGTGCCCGTCACCCGTCTAAACACGTCACGGCTGGCATCGTTCAACGCGCGCAGACGGAAGGATCAGGTTAGTTTTCTTCATGCTACAAAAATAAGCTGTTTTATAGTTTCTTCATTTCTAAGCTTTCCTCTTTATATTTTAGCACGAGGTCACCAAAATACGACCGTTACTTCTAACCGAGAAGGGAGAATCAAATGTATAATATTGTATATAGGTAGGTCTGAAAGAAATAACGCAGATGATATCACAGATTGTTATATAGGTGCTGTGTATTTTAAATGCGATTGGTTCATTCGTAGTCACATGACTTGCATGACATGGCCCACATATTGTCATAATAAAGTAAAGTGGGTTTTTTTTAAATGAAATTGTTGTGAAACATGTATGTTTTTGTTCCTATATAACAAAGCACTTAATGTACAATGGTACGGGAAATAGTGAGTTTTGTTTTCCCTCGAGTCTCAATGCTTCCCTCGACAAAACTCTTGGGAAAACAAAACTCACTGTTTCCCCCGGGAGCATACATTAAGTGTATATATATATATATATCGTAGGGAAATGGCAACTTAAACCTATGAAGCATTTCCTAGAAAATAGTCCTTACTAAAACAGTCTTTACTAAAAAGCATCACCTAATTCTTTTTGCTTTTTTTTGTAGTTTCCCGAATTCAAATTGTCTGCACATCAAAACATTTGTACAAAGATGTTTTTACGAGTTATTTATCAAATAGAACTGCCAAAAGCGTTTTGTGTTCAAAGAAGATTATTTATTACGCTTTAGATTTTTATATTGATATCAACGCTGTCTTTACTTTTAGCGCGATAACGTTCATAACATATACAATTTTCTAAAGAATATAAATTGTACATAAATAATGCAAAAATTTATTTTTCTATTATAAAGTATAAGAGAATATTACAAACAAAATCTTTGTGCCTTATCACAATTGTTTGCGTGAGTTGTCGGGGTTTTAGGACGTGTTTTTAGTTCGAAGGTTTGGATCATGGGGGCAATGTTTTTCATTATGACCTCCAAGAAGAGATTCAGGTTAAATAGAAAAACGTTAGTCTGAAATCTGAGGGTCTATCAACCTCGTACCCAGAGTCTTTTTACCTCTGCTCCACGGCCCACGCTGCGGAATTACCCTGGGTACGAGGTTGAGGATCTATAGTGGTGAAGAGAATGATCTAGCGATGGGAAAGTCGTTGGTTCGAATCCTTAGGAGAATGTTTTTCTCATCATGACCAGAAAAAATTCAGGTGAAATAAAAAACATAGTTCTTGCCGATGGTCTAGTGTTGAAGACGGTGGTCTCACGACTGGTAAGACGCTTGTTCGTATCGGTGGAAAAGGTTTTTCTTTACGACCTTCAAGAAAAGATTGAGGTGAAAAAAAAACACACCCTACTGAATATCAACAGCTGATAGGCAAGTCGTGAAAACAATAGTCTTGCAACTGGCAAGTCAATGGTTCATATCCTTGGGAAATATTTTGCATTATGACTAAAGAAAAGATTTGGTTAAGCTAGTCCTGAAATCACCAAGCGCTGATGGTCCAGTGGTGAAGACAATGGTCTTGCAACTGGTAAGTCGATGGTAAATGGTTAGATTTCTGCGCTATTTTTAAAACAGGGAAATGCGTAGCTCGTCCCAGTAAGCGCGGTCAAAATCAATATGGCGAAATGGGGAAGTTCCAGAACAAGTGGGTGCAGAAAAAAACAACACCTGGCGATAACTGGCTGAAACTAACGTGTTTTAGCATGAAATATAACCACAAGGAAATGCATTCGGTATAAGCCACAACAAATGGATGCTTGCGAAACAAAGTCGTCTAAAAACCCCGAGAAAGAGAAATGCATTTCTCATTATTGGAAATCGGCAAATAACAGTATTGAAATACTCAAGTTCACAGTGAACACTGGAATAAAGTCGGTGGCTTTGGGCTCTGAGCATTGCCTGTTCCTTGCTCATAATGGCAAGGTATTTGCCCGTGGTTCTAATACATTTGGCCAGCTTGGAATGGGGGATTTCGTTGATAGAAATGATTTGACAGAAGTGCGATATTTGGCTTGTAAAACAGTCGTGAGTGTGGAATGTGGAGTTCGCCATAGCGGTATATTGACTAGTCAGGGGCATGTGTACTGCTGGGGTGATGCTGCCAGTGGACAATGTGGTGTTGGTGAATCAGTTAGTCTCAATACACCAGCCAGAGTGTACTTCATTGACAGCCAAGGAAAAGATACTTCATCTGTTATAACAAACCTTGCTTTGGGAGAATTGCATAGTTTGGGTCTAACCATTGAGGGGCAAGTTTGGGCATGGGGAAGTGGATGTGCTCTTGGCGTGGGAGACAATCAGGCCAGGGCATTGACACCACGGCTTGTGGATGACCTCATTGGTAAAAAAGTAATCAGCGTCACTTGTGGAAATTATCATAGTCTTGCCATGATCAATGTTGACGACTTTGCTGGTATGAAAACAAGTCAAGACACAAATGCAGGAACTCCTAGTGGACAAACTGATCCTAAAAAACGAACTGGGTTTTCAACACGGATCAAGGTTTCGCGTCGCGATGCAAAAGAAACAACTGTGGAACGCAGTCAATCCATGCCAATCACAAGAAAACTAGGTGTTAATCTTGTTAGTTTGAATGACTCAGATTGCACATCTAGTGACAGTGATGATGCTGGTAATGATGTCACAAAGAGTTCCTTAAAATCTGAATCATTAAAACCTGATGATGTGAAAATAAAGGTTAAAAGTGATATTTCTGATATTTCTGAGTCACTTGATGCAGGAATATCTAAGTTTACTGATGCAGTTATGAAATCAGTCTCAGGTGTGTTGTCGTATACATCATCCTTGACCGGGCAGGCAGTCCCATCTGATGATTCCGATGTGCCGTCTTCCACACCCTCAACGTCCACAGACACTCCGAAAACAACTCCTAGAACAACTCCCAGAACAATTAAGAAAAATCCAAAGGTGCAAGGGTGTGACCCGGTCTCAGTTCAGGTTTGGGCGTGGGGTAGAGGAACGTTGGGTCAACTTGGACATGGAACAACTGAAGATAAGTTAGTATGATTTTCTTTTTCCATTTTTTTTTTCACTTCTGAACATTACTCACATCTATCATGTTTTTATAGACCCTATCCTTGCTTAATTGATGAGCTCTGTGGCGTCCACATTGTCAAAGTGGTTGCTGGCAACCATCACTCTCTGGCTTTAACCCGTTACAGTCAGGTAAACATGTCTCGATAGATCTAGAAGTGATGGTGATTATTTCAACTCTGTATATATCTGTGTGGACTGTGGAATAAAAATTCTGCATGAATAACAATATCGTTGTTACAATAGGTGTACGCTTGGGGCGATAACAGCCACGCCCAACTCGGAATTAAGAAGAATGTCATAAACAAACCAAGAAAAGTCAAGGTAATTGTGATAATTACAAGCATTTTTGCAAATAGACTTGGATGTACAGCTGTTCAAGAATTACAAGTGGGTAACCTGTCTCCATTGCCATTGCAATGAACATGCCTTGTCTCCATTGCCAATGAACATGCTTTGTCTCCATTGCCAATGAACATGCCTTGTCTCCATTACCAATGAACATGCCTTGTCTCCATTGCCAATGAACATGCCTTGTCTCCATTGCCAATGAACATGCCTTGTCTCCATTGCCAATGAACATGCCTTGTCTCCATTGCCAATGAACATGCTTTGTCTCCATTGCCAATGAACATGCCTTGTCTCCATTACCAATGAACATGCCTTGTCTCCATTGCCAATGAACATGCCTTGTCTCCATTGCCAATGAACATGCCTTGTCTCCATTGCCAATGAACATGCCTTGTCACCATTGCCAATGAACATGCCTTGTCTCCATTGCCAATGAACATGCTTTGTCTCCATTGCCAATGAACATGCCTTGTCTCCATTGCCAATGAACATGCCTTGTCTCCATTGCCAATGAACATGCCTTGTCTCCATTGCCAATGAACATGCCTTGTCTCCATTGCCAATGAACATGCCTTGTCACCATTGCCAATGAACATGCCTTGTCACCATTGCCAATGAACATGCCTTGTCTCCATTGCCAATGAACATGCCTTGTCTCCATTGCCAATGAACATGCCTTGTCACCATTGCAATGAACATGCCTTGTCTCCATTGCCAATGAACATGCCTTATCTCCATTGCCAATGAACATGCCTTGTCTCCATTGCCAATGAACATGCCTTGTCTCCATTGCCAATGAACATGCCTTGTCTCCATTGCCATTGCAATGAACATGCCTTGTCTCCATTGCCAATGAACATGCCTTGTCTCCATTGCCAATGAACACATTAGCAAATAGCAATATATTTTAACTAGTTTATTATTATGTTTCCTAATCATTCAGTCACTGTCCAATGTGTTGGTATGGGACATAGCGGCTGGAAGTCATTATTCCTTGTTCCTTGGTGACAGTTCTCATCATAATACTGATGTTTACGTGTGTGGAAAGAAACCTAGGTATGTTTACATGCTTCCTTTGTGACATTGAGGGATTACAGAACTTAGGATAGATGTAGAGAATGGTCCCCATTCAACCTGATAACAACCCAATTCACTGTTTTTCTCCAGTGGTCTACCAATGTCTTGCATGACCAGTCTAATGGATTATCGTGATAATTACGCATCCCCTGTTGAATCTGATGAATTCTTCAACCAGAAGAGCTCTTTAAAAAAATCCAGAAATCTTTCAACGTCAAAATCTGAGACAGACCTCAGTACGATCACCACCTTGTCTGAGGGAGTGAAGATTGGTCAGATGACATACTTTAGAAAGGTAAATAAGGTGTTCCCCTTGGACGGATTATAAAAAGTTGAACTTTGTAAAAGTTGACATTATAAAAGGTGGCATACGTAGTTAGATCATTTATAATAAAAAACAGACTATGTCAAACCCAATATAACCAGGGAGCAGCGTGGCAGTGTCTTCAAACAACTTAGCATCAAATGTGGTGGTATAAAAACTGCCTAAATTAGACAAAACACTTCTCGACGTTTCGACCTGAAGGCCTACGTCAGGAGAGTTACCATACGAAGGCCCTCAGGTCGAAACGTCGAGAAGTGTCTTTGTCTATTTTAGGCAGTTGTTATACCACATTTGATGCTAAGTTGTTTCAAACCCAGTTGGTCTTTTTTAGACTGGTATCTTGCGTGGTATCCTTGCTCGTGGTGAACAATGTATTTGTCTTTCTCTGAGGTAAGCTAATCTCTTCCACTCAGAAATTAACCTCATTGATCATAGCGATCAGTTTTGAGAGTTGTGAGACCAGCATTTTGCGCTATTTTGCAACGTTGTCTAATGTATAAATAGTTTTAAACAAAAAACCGAGTTCTTCGTGAAAAAATCACAATATATTTGTAAACCATTTCTCTCCATTAAGGGAACCATCGCGATGGTTGGAAATAGTGTCCGAGCTGGTTAGCATGGAACGATCGTTCTATTATAAGCTTGCTCTAGTCTGGCAGTCAATGTTAGAACCACTTCTGATGACAGGTTAGATCACGTTTTATTTTATGTACTTCTCTAGTCTGTATGCAAGATCGCGCTAGGCAAGTGGTTAGGGAAACCCCGTAAGTTATCAAGTCCAAAACTACCTGACTCAGTCACTCGTTCTACACGGTAATTTATGTCTCCAACTCAACAACTCTCCCTGTTTCCATTAGTTCTACCAACGCTTGCTCAAAATGACCAATTTGATCAGACGTTAACGCAGATCTGTAAAACGTTTCATCACGTTATGCGTCACGTGGCTATCACGTGCAAACGTCTGGCACGTGTCGTCAACGATGTAAATTCCGTCGTCGATGCAGTTAGAATTCTGGACGATGATAAATATTTCAACGCGTTTTCAAAGTAAGTTCTCCCTTTTATTGTACGTCTTTTGCGCAACTCAGTACAGCAAACTGTATTAAGGTCTTTTCAATATAGTCGGTTATTGATAAAGCAGTACTACATTGGCTTCTGTGGATTTTCTATTGACATACATTACAAGACAACAAACTATAAAACATCCATCAGAAAGATCGTGTGGGCAGACCTTTCGTGAAACCACAGACAATCCAGAAGACAATCCGATGTCTTCTGCATTGTCTATGGTGAAACATATTTACAAACTTGTTTTTCCTTAATCTTAAGTATAGCCAGTATAATCTTAAGTATGTCAATTTATCAAGGTATTCAAAAATATTCAGTGACTGCGTTGCCTGTGGTGTCCTGGACTCTTTGGGAAAAGACGCATGGTACGTCATATAATCCTGTATCATAATGTCTTTGAAAAAATGGCGAAAAATGCGATTATGCTGCTATAGATTCATCTATCAACTCAACTCACTCAATATTTTCATTCCAGCGCCGTGTTTATTAAAAGTCGATTCGTTTTTGAGGAGCTTTTGTATGGATTCACGGAGGTACGTCAGGGCAATACTTGTTGTATTAGCGTCCCTCTGCTTCCCAGCTTGCTCCCTATTCACCCCCGTCATCCTTCTAGATAACGTACTTGCAAATATGGTGACATCTTTAGCTTCAAAGATTCTCAAGGATTTTACGGTGTGTTTTAGGGCTCCAAGTCAGAAAGCGAGGCGTTCAAAGATATTCTCTATCTTCCAATACAAAGGTTGTCTGAATTGGCCGAGAAAATTACTGTTCTTCAGTCGTCCCTTTCCGCAGAAAACGTAAGTTTTACAAACATCGAATAACATTTGAGTGAATAAAATATTTAGAGAGAACTAGTGAAGTCATTCTCTGATTGTTGCTTAGGTTTAAGTTTATTGTTTTAATGAATGATTTTTCTTTTTCTTTTTCTTTAGAATTCTGCTGAATGTAGAACTCTGGGCGACGTGGCTTTCCAATGGCAAAAGCTTTTATCCACAGACAATCAGCGTTCGCGTGAAGCAAATTTGACAAAGGAATTTTGGGGACAATGTCCCCCGAGATTAGCGGTACAGTATTTACCGTATTTATATTTTAAGATGCGCTGTCATTCTTGAAGTGATTGAGTTGAATTTACAAGCACCTTTAAAATTAGTTTTGGTTTCTGTGTTTATGTTTAGGAGGCGTACAAAAGACCACATCGTCGTCTGTTATTGAGTAGCAAGGTCTGTGATCTGTTTCTTCCAAAACCTGGTAGATTTTCGTCACACTGGTTCGTTCTCCTCTCTGATACACTACTTCACATCGTGGTGAGTATTGTATTTTTTCAACCCATTCTATCCAAGCCATTCTCCTTAACTTACTTTCTTCCAGCTATTCCCTCTAACCAATGCTTCACTATCGTCTCTAACCCATTCTCTCTCAGTAAACTTTCCCCAGTAAACTCTCCTCTCTAAACTGTTCTTTCCAAACCATCCTCCCCAACCTGTTTTCTCTAACCTATACCTCCTTAAGCCAACCTCTAACCCAATCTCTAGAGACCACTTCAACGGATTTCCTCCTAGCCATTTCCCCAAAGTCTTCATTTATCCTTTTACTGCTATTCATACCAACATCTCCACTGTTACCATTTTTAGTCAAACAAGACATTCACAGCTTACGACTTGTCCACAGTCTGGGCGTCCCCTGTTGCTGATGTTTACGCTGAAAACTTCACGTATGCATGATAAGTTGATCATTAATACACATGATGTGGTATATATATACACAATACTGACAATAAACATGCGTGTAATTGCCTCGAGTAAATCGTATGAATTTTATTGTATTTAGAAATGCAATCAAAATCACAACACCTGAGGATTCCTTCACCGTCTGCTCCAAGACTTCAACCGAAAAGGTACATCTTCACTAGTCGAGATTTTCTCTCAGTCACATGTTAAAGAAATCCTTTAAGGTTATTTTATCGGTATCAACTCCTAGCGTAGTAACACAGGGTCGATAAAGGCTGATCTAATCGCCCCTTTCAAATTTCATTTCTACAGGCACAGTGGCTGGTAACCACCAACCAAGCCATAGCGAAGGTTTTATCAAAGACAACACCGTACAGGTTCGAATCTACCTAGTTTCATACTGTAGTCACTCGTTCACCAACCAGGTTTCGTAACGTATCTCATAGAGTTCGCAGGGTGTTTGGTAAATGTTATTCTATGGTTAATGACCAAAGATTATCTTATAGAAAAGAAGGGATCCCAAGAGAGGGTAGTTGACCTGCATCGTAGGGATAGTTTGCACCACCGAGGTTTTTGTAAACACAACTAGAATTTTGTAAATCCTTAGAGAACTAAACATACCAAGTCATCATCGAGCTTCTTCCTCAGAGAACATTTCTTAAAAATCTTTAAAACTTAACCAGGCAATTTTTTTATGTGATTACAAAAACTTTGATAGCCGCTCATCGACCTCTCACAACAAGCTAAATCACAAGTTTTTTATGCTATGAATTTCTCTACTTCAGGTTAAGTTCGGAGACTGTAAACACAAAGGTTGGTAGTTTCACACCAGCAAAAGCGAGACAGGCAGCACATTTCTTTATTCAAGATCCCAAATACAAAGGAGCGTGCTACACCGGAATGTGGTTGTCTGGAAAACCTCACGGACAGTAAGAACACGACGGACGCTTTAGCTTGTAAATCCAATAAACTCCTACACTTTAGCGCTGGTAGTTAAACTACAGTAACATTATTCTCTATTTCAGTGGTAAGATGGTGTGGTCCTCCACTGCCCAAACTTATGAAGGTGAATTTAGAAACGGCGCTTACAACGGGTGAGCCCTCGGTCATTTTGTCACCTTGGATGAATGGTGGTAATTCGCTGCAGTAATCTATACATGCAATTATTATCTTGCACAGGTTTGGTCGAATGATATTTGTAACAAATACTTCAGGAGGTGTTGCCGAAGAGTACAGGGGGGAATGGAAGGATGGAATGATGGAGGGTCAGGGTGAGATGAGGTAACTTTGTCTACAGTTGATGGTTAACCCTTGAAATTAGGTTAGGATAAGAGTTGGGAATACGTCTACACCTGTATTCTAAAAGCTCAGAGAGATCTCAATTTTCTCATGACTTTTCCATGGAAATATCGCCATGGTATTTTCAGTCAAACAAAAGTTTGATTTTCATTGTTTTGCCTCAAATCTATTCATTGACTAAGGAATAACTTTCTCTTTGATCAGTAATAACAAAATTCTATGAATACAGGCGTTAGAATTATTACCCAGTTGATAATGGTCTCGGAATCGCTGTTTAATTGACTGAAGAGTCAACCACCTGTATTTCTTGTCCAGCTATGGCGACAAGCAGGTTTACATTGGACACTGGGTGCGCAATCTTCGTCACGGTCATGGCGTTCTGCGCATGGGCACAATGACGTCAGCAGCACCGAGCGTCTTCACAGGGAACTGGGACAAGGATAAGCGATCAGGTTTCGGAGTGATGGACGACTTTACGAAGTAATGAAAACATTTTATATAAAAATAGCGATGAGATATTATCGCTCGTTTGCTGGTCGATTTTAGACTGGAGGTTCTATTTTGTAATTATTTTGTTTTTCTGTGTGTTAGAGGTGAGAAATACATGGGCATGTGGGAGAATGATATTCGTAGTGGTCCTGGTCTGATCGTCACGTTGGACGGTATTTACAACGAAGGACGATTTGCGATGAACAAGCTCATGGTGAGTGGAACAATTATGAAATCATCCAGCGACAGTTTGCATATAAGAGTTTATAAATCCAATACATGGGTCAGAGGATTTCATGAGATTTTAATTAAAATTAGCAGGCAAGTGTTTGCATGAGAGTTTTGTCAACTCATATCAAACGATAAGTTGATAAGAGTTGGCAAGCGAGAGTTGACATTGGATTTCATAGCCATCACGTCCTTGACAAACGGTAACACGAGAGCTAATTAGAGTTGGCAAGGGGGAGTTTTTATGCTGTTAATACCACTCGTGCTTTTCAAACGCCGGAAACCTCTCATGTTCGATGTTTCTCGAGAACTTGATAAAGCAGACTCGATTACAATCGAGAAATTTCCTCGCCTGCTGCTGAGAAAAAAGCACCTGTATAATGAATAAAGTGAGAGTATTGGTTCCCTCTTGTAGGGCCAAGGTGTCCTACTGTGTCATGACAATACGAAATTTGAGGGAGATTTCTGCGGAGATGCTCAGATTAATGGCAAGGTGAGACACTCGTGGATTGTATAGAATATAAATAGTTTGCTCGCTTGTTGAAGCATGTACAACATGGGTTATCTAGGGTGTTCTTACGATGCCTAATGGAGATCGTATTGAAGGCACGTTTCAAGGCCAGTGGAACGAAGGTCTCAAAATTAATGGAATCTACTTCAAAGATACCAGCCACAATGAAAACTCCACCATAATTCTGCCGCCGGAAAGGTAACTGCCCTTGATTGCTTTGATTGCGGTTTATAAAAATTTGATTAAGCCTCAATCATTTGCATATTTGTCAAAGGTTTCGTTAACTTTAATCTTCTTGAAAACAGATCCGAAAGTCCCCAGTCACTGTACTATATACCGGCAAGTAAAAAATGGCGTAGCGTCTTCAACGAATGTCGTGATCGGCTTGGTTGTCTTGGCAACGATGAGCCGGACCTGAAGAGGGCCTGGAAGAGTGTCGCGGAGGACTTGGTCAGAGCTCCCGTCATGAAGTCCCTTCATCAAGAACGTGAAGTGATCAGCGATGTTTTGAAAGGTGTCGACTTGGACCAAGCCAAGAAGATTGCTAAAGATGAAAAGGAATTACAGGAATATTTGACCAAGGTGCGTGTGTGATAAATAATTCATGTCTACAGACCCATTGCACTGACGTCGTAATCATTAAAAGTTGTCCTCGAGACGTTTCCTTGCTTCACTAAAAATAATCGTTATGCCAGCGGTGATGGTTTATATAGCGGTCAAAAACAGTAAACGAAGCAAGTCTCTCACTATAGTGAATATTTCTGTACTTTACCCAAAAATTAATTTTGCGAAATTTATGCTTCGTTAATTTGTCCTCCAGAAGCCTTATGTGATGTCATGTGCAAAGAGTGTATAGGTGTAGTAGTTGAACTCGCAAGCCTTTTGTGTGTGTGTGTGTGTGTTAACTTTTCCCTTTCTTATCCTTCGTCTTGTCTAGGCATTCAATCTACCATACCACCCACTGGGGAGGTTGGTTGAGACTTTGGTTGATGTCTACAGAGCGACATATGTTGGTGTAGGAGCCCACAGTCGGTTGTTACCACACGCTGTTGAGGAGCTCAAGTCGTACATTGAACGAATATACTCCATTATCAGGTACGATTCATCCCCGAACTATGTCTAATATGATTTCGATATCTTTAATGTGAAAAACATAAATATCTTTTGTGAAATATTAAACACGACCATTGGTTCTCGGTTCTCAGTTCCATTCAAATTTTCTAAAATTTCCATTCAAATATTCTAAAATTTCCATTCAAATGTTCTAAAATTTCCATTCAAATTTTCAGAATTTTATTTCCATCTTTACCGAGCGAAGAGTTCGTTCATGTTGGCGATTCGAATCATCTTGACGACCAATCAGATGGTGAGATTCCTGATAGTAATACGTTACTTGGACCGCTCATATTCCCGCGCTTTTACCCGCCGTTATTTACCCTGTATGCTTTGCACAACGAGAAGAACGACAGCGCGTACTGGGAACGAGTTTTGCAACTGAACAAGCGAACCGACCTCGCTCTGATGTCGTATCTTGAGGTCAAAAGGTATTGGAGTTTGTGAATAAATTATACACTTCGAGCATATATTATCATACGTTAACATACATTATCATTGTCTTGCCTTGATTATTTGTTTGGAACCGACCTCAGAATATCTTGCTGTATCATATCTTGCAGAACGTTTTGGCTTGCTTCCGAAGAGACCAATGGTTTGGTGTACGAAACGGTAATCATTATATTCATTATTCACTTTCCTAATTATTTCTGTGGGTACGTTGATGTGGTAAATGAAAATTTTCTCACGTATCTAGGATTTGACAAACTGGAAGCACACACATTACTACGAGAAAGCAGTTGACGCGTTTCAACAAATCAGGTAAGGTTGCTGTTATTTCTCCTAAAAGACATACATCAGAATAACGGTCAGTACGAGTTAAAATGTTAAATATCCGGTCCTACATCCTAGTCCCAGGTCTACCGGGACCAACAGGAAGCAAAATTTGATCGAAATCCGAAAATTCCACTTCACACATTCCTTGCCTGAAAATTTCATTATGATAGCATTCGGGTTGTTTTTGCAGCACAAAATTCAGTCCAATGGAAAAGATTTCAGTCTTGAAGGAAACATTTCATCGTATCCACAAGGTAGGAAAAAATGTTCTTAGAGTCAGACTTAAATGCTGTTCTTCTTTCAAGAGCCTAACGGTTCGTTGCCATTTCCAGGAAGTCCAGGAATTCTGGAAAGGAAAAGCAAAATTGATGTCATTGGACGACCTATTCCCAGTCTTTCAGTTTGTCGTAATACGGTCACGGTAGGTTGCATGTAGAGTACAGTCCAGTTATATCATTGCGATCACCAATATCTCGCATATATAACATGCTAACATGTTCCCAGGAGGTTTTTCATTGGGTAGTTCAAACATGACGTCACCATTTGCTTTTTGCCTCCGACATTTTTTGAGGTGGGGTAAACTCAAGTAGCGGTATTCCAGCGATATCAGTGACTCATGAATTCTAGATAAATGACATGCGGTTCTCATGTTTTTTGACATTACTCAATAACATGCGGCTATTCCAGTTCCGGATCGAGTTCTTGCCATACCAATCTTATTAATTTCCAGACATCTAAGCTTCACCGAAAATAGCGCTATTTCAAACCTGGCGTTTCGAACGGCGTTGAAAAGTTTTTTGTGTTTTCCACCACAAACTTTTTGACATCTTTCTTTTTTTGAAAACCATGCGTCGTTTTTTTGTGTTTTGGTCTTTTTTGATTGCCTGGCTTGAATTTGTTTTGTATACCTGACACAGCGTTCATCATCTTGGCTCTGAGATTGACTTCATTGAGGATTTAATGCAGGGAAAGTATCGTGCTGGAGAACATGGGCATATGTTTACAACTCTAAAGGTTAGTTTAGCGATCTCAAGAGTAGCATATCACGCAATTGAGATTTCCTTTCGTTCGGGTCAAGCTGTGGCCTTTGTGATCACGTCTCTGAGAATAATCACCTACCTGTGGCCAACGCTCTTAAAAATTTTCATTCCAGGCCTGTTATTATCAAATACTGAACGAGAACTGAGGGGTCAGACGTACTTCATCATCAAGGCGACAGTTGAAGACCCCCAGCGATGTATCCCAACACGCAACGCTTCGCCCCGAAAGTTTAACACAACGAATAATCTTGCAAACTGTTTAATATTGTATGGTTCTGTGCGCCTAGATGTTCACATTTGCGAATTGCATGCGGGTTTTTGCACTCGCCTTTCATACATTTTTTTCATTCAAAACTTTCAATGGACATGGAACTTGAAACCAATCCTTAAGTCGGTTTGTCAGTGTTAAAATTGCGTCTGGGAGTTTAAAAAATACGTTTCACGAACGTGCGAACGTAACTCTAGCCCAAACCAACAATATAGAATGGTCTTAAATGCAAGGCTTGGGCGTGAATCTTAAATAAAGAATTTATAATTCTTTAAATCATATGCAATGGTGTCGTACATTCCAAGTGTGCTGTAATATAATTTTATTCCAAATTTTTTGGTGCAAAATGAAATGAGTTATGTAAGATAAGAAATATTTTTAAACATGTAAATTGCACATATATACATAATATACAATGGAAAATATATCTTTCATTTCATAGTTCTCGCTATGTACTCTGTCGAATGAAACTGTCAGTCAAACTGAAAAGCACTTTTTCTAAGTTTTCTTATAATCTGTGTCAAGTGTTTTCTTATAATCTGTGTCAAGTGAATGGAAAAACAATTTTTTTATGATGCATTTAGTTGTCTTCAAAGTTTGTCATGCGATTAGATTTTACGTGAACTAGATAGAAGAAAGACTAGTGATGAAATGCATCCCAAATGTTTGCCTAAAGCCATGTTTTTTCTCAGCTATATGAATCAAAATACTTGACCCCAGACGCTCGTCATATATCAAACTGAATGTTATTGAAACGTTCTTTTCCGTGTGAAAATTTCAAGACTTTGGCAAGAAGTGTGACAATTCAAAAACGCCAATAACTCAGAAAAGCTTACCTCCCTCCTTAGGTAGCCTTCCATGCAGCTTACATAAATAGTTCAATCGCTTCATAACTACGTAACTTTGAATACTTTGAATACTTTCATTGATCTAAAATGCTTTTTCTTTGTGTGCTGAAAATGGTCTCCAATATCAGGTGGCATGCTTTAGGCAATATTCCATTGTTCTTTAATTATCTTTGAGTTTGGCCAGGAGACGAAATACGACGTGACATTGTAACCAAATGATTAATGTCGAAATTTTTGGATTCTAGATGAATAATGAAATATAGGCCTGCTCCAGATTTCCACAGATCTCCACGGAGCTTTGCATTGATCTTCACAAGCTCCAGTGTATTTATAGATTTCTGGTATTCAGTGCCTCGCTAATGTTATCTTTATGCATTTGAAATGCAAGGCAGGCACATAAACATAGCAGAAATAATTAGCAAAAAAATTCCATGCGAATCCTTATAGGGATTTTATTAAATTAAATAAACAAGCCCTTGAGCGCTTGGGTTTAGGCCAATGCAGGACTAACTTTTTAATTAGTATTCGCGTTTGATCTACTTTAATTACCATGACAACGACAGAAATACTCATCCAAAAAATTCATGCCAGTTCACCGTCCAAAAAATGAGTCAAAATTATAAACATGTAGAATCATAAGTCCTTTTCTACGGGATCAGATTTTATCCATCATCTAACCTCGCTTCCAGCACGATCTCTGACACATTTCCTGTGAAAAAATTAATCCAAAAATCGGGTTATTTGAAAGTATTATAATCCAACATTCAACTACCTCGCTAACTCAGCTATAAATCCTTATAATCTTCCTAAAGTATGTAAACATACCACTTTCTAAAATGGCTATAGGCTATATCACACTCAAGAACCATGCTAGATTAGATATAGCCAATCCGTCTACGAGAATATTTATGTAAGACTTTTATCTGTGGCCTGATATGATAAGTTTTTGCATTGCAATCGCGTTCCAAATGTGTTTGAACGGGTGATATTAAATAACCTATCTTGATACGGTGGAATCAGATAGCACCGATAAGTATGTTATGTCATGTTTTGTTTTTGCATTGAAGAGGAATGGTTATAGGTAAATAGTAGATAGTGAAGATGGAACACAAGATATGAAGGATTAAAGAGAGATAATATCTAAGGAAGTCAATGATATGTGTAGTGTGTTGAGGCCATGTTATAATAGAAACGAGTTTGTTGTTTACACATACGACTGTTTCTCCTCCAGTGTGGTATTATGCCAGAGCAATCGAGCAAGTGTTATTCCTTTACTATCTATGGAGTCTGTCAAACTGCATGATAGAGTTTTACAATAGGTGCAGAGACTTCCTGTAGTAACACTGGATCAGCAAGGGATGATTCTTACCGGACCTCTAGGAAGAACAGTTTAGATCTAACAGATCAGTCAGATCTATTCATTATTAAGTTAGTTAAGTCAGGTTTCCTCCTGTAGTAACACTGGACAACATAGAGGATGATCCTTACCGGACCTCTGCGGAGCACAGTTGGAACTATCCAGTGTAAATATATCAGTAGTTTAGATTTCCTCCAGTAGTAGTAACACTGGATCAATGAGAGATGATCCTTACGGGACCTCTAGGAAGAACAGTTTAGAACTGATAGAGTTATCCAGTATAAATAAAGTTAGTTTAGGTTTCCTCCTGTAGTAACACTGAATCAATGACAGATGATCCTTACTGGTCCTCTAGGAAGAACATTTTAGAACTGGTAGAGCTATCCAGTATTAAATTACTTCAGTTCAGCCGGGTTTCCTCATGTTGTGGTAACATTGATGGATGAAGAAAAGATTATCCTTAACGGACCCCCAGGAAGAACTGCTCAGAGCTGATAGAGCTATTCAATATTATAAAGATATTTACCCAGGCACCAGCACAAATGAATCGGTAATTACTGACTTGCTGGAATTCAAAGAAAAACAGTTCGGAACTGATATAGAGTTATCCAGTATATTGAGTTTATGTTTCTTCCTGTATAGTAATTCAGGATCAACGAGAAATTACCTTTACTGAACAGTTCAGAATTGACAGAGCCCTGATACTAATTTTATACCAGAGTAAATAAAGTTAACTCAAAAATATCCTTCTCAAAACCTTTAAAAGAACACTTCATTTTTACGATTTAACAAAATAAATTGGTATACGTAGCACAATAGATATAGACAGTATAGAATATTTTAGTATTGACATAGGCCTGTATTTTATCAAAGTTTCGCAATGGATATTTCGAGTGGAAATTTATTACCTTTATTGGTAAATCGTTCGGTGGTAACGCCATAAGTGCCTCTTGTATGAAACTCGAAAAAAAATTTAGCAACGTATCGTATTCCCCTCTTAAATGCATTAACTTTGATGTCACCTTTGGATGGATTTGTCATGATGTTTTCAAGCTGATGTATAAGACCACTTGAACAACAATCACCAATAATCAGCATAAGATTTTTAATAATAAATTCCGGTATGTTAAATCCTGATTAAGCTTCTTCTGTATGTCACAAGGGTGTATGCCTATTGTGAAATTATTTTTGCAGCTTAATTCGCGAAAATGGAAAAATGTTTACATGCATGAATGTACGCTGAATCTCGGTTAGTTTCAGTATAGTTATCATGCAAATCTCGTGGATTATATGTCGAGTATTTTCCTGATGTTCTCTTTCAAGACGGTAGGAATTCAGTGAACATCGTGTCCTAAATGCAATCAAGCACGATTCCTAAGCACTTATGAAGATTCAGACGTACCAAGTTACGTGCATTAAACGCAAATAACTAGACGTGATGGTGAAAAAAATCTAAACAATTTTTGGACATGCCACGCATGGTTTGAGAACATCTCTTCAAAACTCACAGGGACCAGAATGGACGCCCTACCTCAAGTCACTAAATGAACCAATCGCCTTGCATATAAACTACAATGCTCCTCATTACCCTCTATATTTTACACTAACTAACCCGCGCAATCCTCCCTCCCCTCCCCCCTTTCTGTAAAGAACCGATGGCAGCCGAAAGTTTCTAAGTATGATATAAGCGCGTTTTTCCATCGTTGACATTTTTCAATTAACCATATTCAGACAACTCAAATTGATACACCATTAGTATTGAAAGCAACACTCAAATAGCCACTTTAATGGGAGAGCATTAAGTCTGACCTGCCCTGGCAAATATTGAATTACCAACCTCCTACCAGCAGAAAACCTGGTTATTGTTAAAATCACTCGACCTGCAAGGTTAGGTGTGAATATCAAAATATCTTGCTTCGCCGTGCTTGCCTGTGGTGGGCCCACATTTCACAAAATATTTTGATTCCTGACCACCATGAAAACACAGATAGCATTACGAAGCATCCATTATCACTCTGTCCATGAATAGTTAAATCTTATTTCGGTTTTCATTGCGCTAATTTGTGTAACTAAGTGTTGTTTAAATTTCTGAATTTGGAACCGTAAACATATAATATTCAGTTGAGTATTCTGTTGAAGGGTAGGTTCTTAATATCTTAAAGAGCGCGATGGTGTTAGCAGCTCGCGGGTTGCCATCTGCCAACATCTTTTAATAAGTTTGGATTTAGTTTGAGCGTTTTCAGCGAATTTTGACTTCTCTCAAAACCTAATCCCTTCGCTATACGTTTATCCTCGCGGCAATTCGTTAATCGTGGATAAATCTCCAAGAATTTCATTCTTTAGAAAATTCAACTGTTTATAAGCTTCGACCGTGGCTTTAAATGAATTTTCTTGATTCAACTGCACTATCCATCCAGTTACGTTACGTTATTCAGATCATATAGAATTCAGTTTCACCTTGGAGTAACCCTGGGAACGAGCATCAGACCAAAATACATATTTCTTCGGTAGAAATCTCGATGTTTTATTTCATTTCACCTCTTTTGCGATTCTGTTGGCCATCATGCAGCGCAGCGATATTTGCAGAGTCAATTTTATTATAAAACATTTCAACGTCACTCCGACTGTACATATTATGTCATTTTTACACCAGAACAAAGCGTTCAAATTAAATCCAATTAACACAACGTCATTAGGCTGCCAAAAAAATTATGATCCATTCATGAGAATCGTTTCATCCCGGTCCGGATTGAGATTGTTTCACATTTATTGCCGTTTAAGGTTATACACGAACCTTTGTTCGGGCGGTTCTCACCTCTCCCAATACAAACCTTGTATAGAATAGCCATTATAGTAAAACAGACTTTACCCCTCCCTTGGATAGACCTGTCAGTTCTAAACTGTTCTGCCTGGAGGTTTTGTAAGGATCGTCTCTTATTGATCCAGTGTTATTACAGGAAACCTAAACTAAACTAACTTTATTTACACTGGATATTTCTATATCAGTTACATAAAACTGTTCTTCCTAGAGGTTCAGTAAGGATCATCTTATTTTACTGATCTAGTGTTACTACATGAGGAAATCAACTAAACTGACTCTATTTATACTGGATATAGCCCTATCAGTTCTAAACTGTTCTTCCTAAAGGTCCAGTGAGGATCATCTCTTATTGATCTAGTGTTATTACAAGAGGAAACCTAAACTGAACTAACTTTATAAATATTGGATATCTCTATCAGTTCTAAGCTGTTCTTTCTAAAGATGCAGTAAGGATTATCTCTTATTGATTCGGTTCTAAACTGGATCATCGCTTATTTGAAAAATGGAAGCTAGGTTTACATTGTACTTTCAGGCGAGCCTATATAGATATGTATTTTATCGTAATAATGAAAGCTCGTGGGATGCCAACTTTTTATTTACTCCCACATGGGGAGTGATTGAAAAGAGCACAAATATATATGTTCCTATGTTGACAATGTATTTTGCTCGCATAAAAACATAATCTGTGACAAACGTGCTTTACTTGACTCTATATAAAATAGCGAGATTATGAAAATTTGAAATGATAGCGTTGCATATAAAATGATAAATCTCTCATGAATTGCGGACAATGATAACCTTTCATTGAGTGATTCAAGTTTCAATGTTTTAGTTTTTAGTTTTCACTGGGAAAGCAACGATGAAACACGCCGGGATAATTTTTGTGTCGATTTCCTCATTAATATATATTCTTATAAAGTAATTACGAATATCATTTCAAAATAGATCACCAAATATACACTATATTCATGGTCCTTGGCACGAATGATATAATGAGAATTTGTTTAACGGCTATAGAAACGGTTGGAAATTGGTTTAAATTTTCTGTATTTCTTTTGACTTAGGGTAAGTCGAAAGATAAACAATTTAATCCAAATACTGATTTACCGGCTCTAGAACTCTCTTGCATGGCAAATGCCTGAACAAACATTACTCAAGTCGAAACTGCTCTCTCCACGTCTGTAGCTTAAAATGTTCATTTCGAAATGTTATCAATTTGAAATATTCTCGCACGGAGTTTTCATTGGGACACTATTCTATGCTTTTGTCGCAAAATTCGTGAGAATAGCCGATGAATAATGGTTCTGGAGGAGTTTGCAAAGAAAATGTATATTCAAATACATGTGTATTTATATAAAATTCCAAGCATTATTGCTTTGGACACGTTTGATGTAAAACGATGTCGTATTGTGTACGAAGAAGCAGCTGTTTTCATACGGGATATTTTCTCAGTCATAGGTTGAAATCTACACGCACGCACGCAATATATGAAAACGCCTATCATTCCTTGGCATGGGATTTAAACAAAGCATTCAGACACACTTGCATGCTTTTCGGAATGAATTCATGAGAGCTATATCAATGCCAATGGCCTACTCCGATAAGATCTTCCTTCTTCAAAATCTTTTTCAAAAGGTTAGCCCCAAGAGAACTCATTTTAGTCACTGAATCATGCCCATTTACACTATTCTATTATTTTCATTTAAAATCTTCTATCTGTACATCGATTTTAAAATAAATATATACCATATAATACTATATATATACAATTCTTTCTTTTAAAATATTTTTTAAACTGTCCACAGAAGATCTCTTCACTAGCGACAAACGTTTTCACTTTGAGCTTACATTTATCTATATATATATTTCCAAATTTTTCGAGCATTTTGCTGAAATACAACCTGTGTATATATGCATTAATAAGTTGTTGTTTTCGTCCATTGGTATTTTTCGAGGATAAATTTTACTACTAAATTTACAAAGTTGAGAAAGGTAATAATTACTTTTGAGTTCAACCGAAACATTTTGTTGCTATTATATAGAACTACTGTATCTATGTCTTCAATTTATCCGGTTTAAGACGCGTGGGTTCGTGGATGAAGGCGATAAATTTTGTTGTGATTTGCATGCATGAGCGGAAGGTGAAATCGCTTCAGATATCGCGTTTTAAGACGCTTTGAAAGCAAAAGGTCTTCACGGGAAACTTCAGAGTATTTTCCAATGCATCGTAGTTCAAGAAATAAGGCTGTAATCCGTGCACGTATATCAGTATAGAATTCATGAAATGTAACGAATTCAAGTCTACTGAGGCCAGCTCATATCTCATAAGCACGCTTTCACAATTCTTCTACCACGAATGGCAAGGAGCAGCGGTAAAGTACGGAGATGCTGGGAGATGTGCAGGGTAAACACCGCAAAATTCTCCTCCGTGCGGTGGAAAATACGATGTGTAGTTGCCAGTTGGGTTGTGATAGACTAAGCCATCTCTCACGAGCATCGGATAGGCTGAAATGCTGTGAGCCATGCTCAGGCTATCGAAGGCATCTTCCCCGTGCTCGCTGATGTGTCTTTTCTGTTTGTAGCGATGATTTTGGAACCAAATCTTGACTTGTGTTGGCGTAAGGCATATCATTCTCGCCAAGTGTTCCCGCTCAGGAGCGGAGAGGTAACGTTGTTGACGAAATCTTCGTTCCAGTTCGAAAGTTTGAGCTTTCGTGAACAACACCCTTCGCTTACGTTTCTTCTGCTTCCCCTTGGAACTTTGTTGTCGCTCGACTTCAACACTTGACGCCACCAGCTTTGGCTGTTTTTCTGAAACAAGTAAATATAATTTTAAGATGCTGTGTCCTCGCGCGTAAAATACCTAAAAAATATGCTTCGAATGCATCAAGTTAGTGTAAATCTAATCTCAAACAGCGCTTAGAAAATCTCAGCTATTCTGTAAGCCAAAATACTTCAAAGGGTAAAACTACGTGTATATGTATATAATTTGGTTACATCGTACTGTTAATCTGTACCCTTTTCAAAAACAGCTTTAATAGTGTTAACCAGCCTGGAATTGGCGACATTCAGCTTCGGAATAGGCGGGGAACTGATGATATTAATTTGAGAGAATTAAGTGACACATCAATTCATTTATTCCTATTGTTTTCGAGGAGCCTGTGCGACCACCTTCTGGCGTTAAGTTGTAATAAGTACTTCTAAAGAATACGAAAGTCAAACGAAGGAAGTACTTGGACCCGATGTATCATCGTGCTTTCAATTCTAAAACTTCGCACATGCACAATGTGCCGAATCTGGTTATGCGCGTGTCCCTAAGCTGACGCGACAGGATAGACAGGCATCGATTGTACGGCTTTAAGCCCAATGCCTTGATTCCTTCCATTCTTAAGTTAAGCGCAAATAAGCTTCCTTGGTTTAGCTCTGAATAGATTAGAAGGTCTTTGAAGTTTTCCGTGCGCAGAGCCTTCTTCAGAACAGATCAGCACCCAGTTGTAAATCATTGCTCTCTAAGACGCTTAACCGTACCGCGAGTGTCGTTCCTATCATGTTATTCAGCGCAAAAGAAACGAACGCTTAGACGGCCAATATCGCTACGTGATCTGGGCTACACAAATAATAACGTCTTCTTAAATGAAAGCCAATTCACTTTGAAAAGAGGAAGTCCTCCAAATGAATTGGCAAATTTTGATTCATAAGTGCATGCACGGCATGCCATCCAGCCTCGCTGGATCAATTGATCTTATACGACTCTGATACATTTTGAAATGCACTCATTTGAACTCTCAACTATTCCAGGAGGAATATCATAGAAGATCATCCCTGTTATTACCTTTTAAAGATGACTCCTTCAGTTCTTTCGCTTCCCGACTTGGTGGTCCATCCTTGACTTCATTGGCAAGCTTTTTCGTTGGAATATCTGGATTCTCTCTTTTCGTGTCCATCTCCTTCGATTGAGGCATATTGAGAATATCCCTGACGGAAAAAGCAGTTCTACTCGAATTAGAGGTCTCCATGACGGTTTCGAAGATCGCGACTTACTAACAGCTCTTTGTCGACGAGCGTTGCTTTCTTGATCCTTCAAGACTGAACGCCTGACCAAACTAAGGGAAGTGCAAAACAGCCCACTTTATCTCAACGCTAAGTAGACAGAGTAATTATTTAAAGAAGGTTGTGGGACAAAAGGCGTGCGTCGTTTTGACACCTCGATAACTGACGATAAACATTTCAGCGTTGACAATTAGCAAACATGTCAATATCACGGTGTGCTACTCGGAAGTTGGTTTGAAGGCTATTAGTAAGCGCAGAGGACTAATTCCTGCCATGTAACAAAATCTACTCCAAGTCTCAAAACACGTCGTTGGCTACACAAGTTTAGCGGCTCCAACCGCATACCCTAGGAACGAACCATGACGTTCTGTTACCTGCCGGTACCAACGTGTTTTTGGTCAGATTAAAAACCTCATTTTGGGCAGATTACCAAACTGCAAGCGAGCTAGACACGCCACTGTGAATACACCGGATGCTCACATATGTGGTCACGAGTGTTAAGCCGTATAAAATTGGTGAACTTGAAATCCCATTAAGATAATAAAATACGGTAAACTATATTAGCTACCAACATTCTACAGGTCTCCACAATGAGATAAATTTAGCAGGCGTTTAATGGTTTTTAAAGCTTTACGGATAAGCGTTTAGATCATTAAATATTTGGGTTTGAAAATATGTGAGTTTGTTGTTTTGTATCATGGATTTGGTTGTATGTTACCATGAATATACAAACAAACTTGGGTTAGGTTCATGGCTACGCCAAACACGAATTTACACCATATTAACTAAAAGACTGTGCTTTGAACATTCGGGCATAAAACTCCGCGAATTTATTCACCAATAAACTGCTTTGCATTTCGAAAATAAAGTTATCGCAGTTTCGTATCAAAATGTAGGTAAATAAAACAGATATATTCATATTGAGACACCAAATTTTTAGTTGAATTTATTCAGATGACATTATTGTCAATTCTGACATGATAAAACTGCATGGTCGTTTTTGTAAGGAAGGAAACACGGTTCATGGTAAGGTTTACACAACCAATGCCTTGTTCTTTTCAATCTGTGTTATACTGGAGCAAACTTTACATTTTAGTTCAATTTGGCTTTGTTTACCCACGATTATGAAGACCGGATACTGGTGTTGTTTGGACGATCATTTGTCACAGAAGTGGCATTGGTTGTAAAAGATGGGAGGGTTTTAACACTTGACAAACACAGCGAGTCGTGAATGCTATTCGATCGCTGCCTAATCGATTTCTGAGTGGGCTTGGACGGCCTAATTCAACAAAGTGTTTTTGGCAAAAGCACATATTCTCGCATTATAAATCCGAGACAATTAACCATTCGATAGTCGCTGAATGAATAGCTATTTCCGCAGTATGGCGTTTCATTGCCGTATGTTTCTGAGATATAGCTTGTTGTAAACACCTCTGATTTTGCTCAAAATCGTGGAAACCCTTGAATCGTTTTTAGGCATGCAAGGAAACAATTTGAGCCAAGGTCGGTGCGGTAAACTAAATTTGCGCGCTCGTTTAAACCCTTGAGGCAAAACTATAGATGCAATTGATTTGATTTTATCACACACAGAAAACTAGGCGTTTCAATTTTCAAGTGAATACAAGTTAAGTCATCAACGTTTTGACCTGGGCGAAGAAACTGAGGAAGTTCAGATATATATATCAGACACAACTGCCTCTCCAAGTCTGGCAGCGTCGAAACTAAAATGTTTTTAGAAGCGTTGAAATGTCGCAATTATTGGCAAGCTTTGGACAAGCTGTACATATATGCTAGTATCCAATAACTTTAGATTTCTTTTTGTATCTTCAGCAATATTTCCTGCTTTGAATTATTCAATGAATTGGGTTTCAGCTAATCTCCACGTTATCCATACTATAGACAATTGGAATGGTATTTAAAAAAAACGTCAGTGCCTAATAACTCTGTGAAAAGCCAGTGGATGACCTTGGAATACAAAGAGAGAAAAAAGTTTTTTATGAACCATGCATTACTCTTGGAATGTTGACATTCGATAAGTCTCAATAGGATTTAAGTAGGACGTAATTGCGATTAATTTAGTTATCGTTTGAAGTTGATATACTTTTCATATAAATCACTTTTTGAATAGTAAATATTTCCAAGTGCTAAAACAGGATATCATGCGGGTCTTATCAGACCGGTTGAATCTTGGTTGCGATAAGAAATCGGGCCATTAATATGATGATATACACCTATCAGTCATTGTACCAATATCATTGGTTTTTATTCTGGTTAAAAAGCGTCTTACTATGCATCTTTAGAGTCAATCGTGCCAATCAAAACGAGAGGGGATTGGGGTGGAGGCTTGTGTGTAGGGGGGGAGGGGTTGAATGGCTTCAGGGCCGGAATTATCGCTTTGAATCCTGCCAAAAGTTAATGGTTCTTTAGCTGGGAAACTGCATGGCTTACAATTAACACAGTTATGAACAATCAAAATTTGGCCAAACTTCTAAATAAACCACAAGATGTTTGGGATTGCTGATTACTGTGATCCGAGTAAATTTGCATCAATCATACTTTCAAAAAATATTTTGGTTAAATCCTCCTCAAATAAAACGATAGAAATTCTAATCTAGTCTAAAAGTGGCAATATTTTCGCCAGAGATTGCGATTCCCTCGAAACCCGCATCTTCACCTTTCGTTGAAAGCATCCCAAGGCTATCTTCCCCGAAAAGGTTCGAAACGGAAAGCTATTATCACATTCTAAACAGATCCACCTAGGCGGCAGACGTCTTCGTCTTCTTGTTTATTAACCTCTCTGACTTATTAAAATGCCATTCTTTAAAAGAAATAATCCTTCAGTCAAGACTTAGTCAACTTCAAGCGCTTTTGAGAAACAACAGTTGAATTAACATCTTCAATATTTTCGTATCCGGATTGCCGCATACTGGTACAAGGCGCGCAAAGCCATATACGACATTTTTTTCCCATTCTGTGTTTGTTTTGTGCAGGCTAGTTCAATATAAACGGTCCCCATGCCTGGCGCTAAGAGCCTAAGTGGGGATGTGCGGTGTGTTGTATGTGGGGTGTGTTGTATGTGGGGTGTGTTGTATGTGGGGTGTGTTGTATGTGGGGTGTGTTGGATGTGGGGTGTGTTGGATGTGAATGTGTTGGATGTGGGGTGTGTTGGATGTGGGGTGTGTTGGATGTGGGGTGTGTTGTATGTGGGGTGTGTTGGATGTGGGGTGTGTTGTATGTGAAGTATGTTGTATGTGGGGTGTGTTGGATGTGGGGTGTGTTGTTGTGGGGTGTGTTGGATGTGGGGTGTGTTGTATGTGAAGTATGTTGTATGTGGGGTGTGTTGGGGATGTGATGTGGGGTGTGTTGGATGTGGGGTGTGTTGGATGTGGGGTGTGTTGGATGTGGAGTGTGTTGGATGTGGGGTGTATTGTATGTGGAGTGTGTTGTATGTGCGGCGTTTTGGATGTGGGGTGTGTTGTATGTGGGGTGTGTTGGATGTGGGGTGTGACCCCCTGTAAAAAATAAAAATTGAAGAAAAGGTGTTTAAGTCTGTTAAGAGATAATTTGTCGACGATCAGGGCTGAGCAGTAAATTGTTGTTGGGCGGTTATCTGAGGACAGCACAGGACTAGGACTCTAGGTTGCGCTAGAATAGGGTGACTCTCTTGTGGAAATATATGGCTTATGATCATCCGAGTGATATACGTCTAATTCGCTGGATTACCTCATGTTCTGTGTAAATATCATAAATATGATGCTCGCAAATACAGCTGTACCTTTGAAAATCTGTTGAGTAAATAATATTAAACTGTATTTATATTATTTTAAACTGAAACACATTTTATGTGTCAATCTTACTCTTGCTCACATGTAATGCGCCGAATCACAAGCTGTAGTCGTGATTTTAACATGCCCATAATGGTGGTTTTTGAATGTTAGAAATTTAACTGCTCAAATTGAAAGCGCTGTTTATTTTTACATGAAAGTATTAGCGTAGCGAGTTATGAGATTAGGCAACCCTTTGCCGGCCTCGCATATAATATTCTTCCTACCTCTGTTTGTTTAAGAACATTAATAGCGTATATGATAGCCATTTAATTGATCAATTTTTTAAAAGGCCCCCAATTCACTTCATGTTTTCATCCACTGAAACAACACTGATATGTATTGTCGAGTGGTATTAGGAAGCCAGAATTTAGCGATTATAGAGATGCCAGATTAGTTAGGTCAGCAGAATGTAATGTAAAATGCGCACGAGGATTGACGCTTTAGATCTGAACTCGCGGGGTTTCTTAAAGCGCGCATAACATATTCACTTTCTTTACTTTTTATCTACCATTCTTAGAGTCCTGGGTTTTTTATAAGTTCGTATTTAGCAGGCGATATATATGTTTTGAAAGCCTTGCCATGCAATTAATTCCGTGACAAAGGCGATATAATTTGGGATTTGAAATCTATTTTTACCTCTGATAGCCATAGACTTAGCGTCCTTTTTTATACCAATTTAAGTCCTTAAACGTGCTATGATTGTGCACAGTAGTCATGGGCATGTTGAGATTTGGCATATGGCTTGATTTAAAGGTAGAAAGGTGGTTTATATGAAAGTAAGTATAAAGTATGGCCTGATCCTAAACGAATACATCCCAAGAGAGATAGTTTCCTAACCATGGTTCCTTTCGTTGGAGTGGAGTTCATACCCCCCTGGCCACCCTCGTCCCCCCCCAAACTCCAGCACATCCTAAATTTCAGGGTGACTCAAATACATGTTATTTATGAAATTCTAATGGCTGCTATTATTAAGAACACATTTAAACAAGAATGATTCACGGTTCTCCGACATGATTTATAGTTTTACTCTCCCCGATTAATTCTGTCAAAAGGCCAGCGTCGGTCATTCCGGACATTGCTCAGAGCTTAGAGTTGAAGTGGCCTTCGTATTTTCTCGAAGTGCTTTGAAACTTGAAAAGGAGATCTTAATGTGTTAGGGTCAGGGTTCAAGGTCTACCACTTTTAATCCGCTTTCTGTTCTCTGGAAAGTGTGTTCATTAAGCCGACGATAGTTCATTAAAAAGTGAATGTTTTTCAATGCAAGGCCATCCCACACACAGAGTTGAACTCACACTTTAGCAGACTCGAGAATGCCTCGCGTTTCAAAAGGGACGGGAAGTGCTACGCGTTTGCCATTCTGACAGATCCAAGCCAGAAACGGCGCTTTTTTCTGCTCAACCGCGTAAATCGAGACGGAGAATTTCATGGTGAAGCATTTGAAAGGCATGCAGCAGAAACGGAAGTATTTTTGATAACCCGCGTAACTGAACGATAAGTCATGGGAATTGGAATCGCAGGATTTGGGGGAATTACATTCGATATGATTACATAAGTTTACCATGAAGATTTAAACAAACTCTATTATCGCTGACTTATTGGCATATTGGATGCTGTCATATACGCCCTCTCTGCGTTAAAAAAACAACTCTACTTCAATATGTTAAATGTATGTCATTTGGCAATTGAACTTTACCAATTCATAAAGATTTGAAGCAATAAAATTCTTCAATGCAGTTTTTCCAAAAATACTTTCTCTTTATTACTCTGTGTATAATTAGGGAAATTAGAGAATTCATTGGTCTGTTAATTTGTTTACTTTCTTCGCCAAAACAAATAGAATTTAGCGAAAGAAAGGAAGGAAGGAAATATTAGATTAATTGGAGGCCAGAAAGAATGCGAGATATTTCGAGAAATGTATTAATACGAGGCTATCTCTCTGTTTATGGATGTCATGTCATAACTCTACTTACACAAAGATATTCAATTTTTGGACAAAAATGGTCAAAATGCTGTTCGTTCAAGGTGAAATGCTTTTAAGCTAACATACCTCGCAGTTAAATAATTTAACGGGGTTATCATGGACGATAGTTCTGAATCTTATCAAAACCATTACGAAATCGCCCGAAGACATATCCAGACGAATTTTTACCCTTTCATCAACCTCCATCTGAATTTTTCATGGAAAGTTACAGGTTTGCTGAGTCTGCGTACATGACGTGTGTCTTAAGAGTCAAAAATTCGCCTTAAAATAAATACGAATTTTATATCTTTGAGGAAGAAATTTTGGCGCAGTGAAAAGTCACCCAAGGGTATAATTACAACGCCACCTCACCGGAAATTGTGTCGAAAACGTCACAGCGTAAAATAGTAAATATTTTTCATCATATTTTTGAAACTATCCAGCTTATTGAGTTATTGTGGGATTAATGTTGAACGCACACCCAAGGTGCGAAGATCCGAAATAATCTTTTACAAAAGAAATTTTTGTCATACTGTTTTTGGCGTCATGGTGACGCATTGGCTGTTATAGACCAACCACATTTATACCACATTGTAAATGTTCCAAATTGTTTGAAAAATGTTTCGTGAGGGTGATGGTAGGTTAATGGTGGGAAACAAAAGCGTTCTTGTTTCATTTTTTGGTGTATTACGAACACTTCTAGTCTTCGAAATTTTCGGTAAAATATGTGTCCTTGGATACCCCTTGGATAAGTCGATTGTGGCGAAGAATTGCAAAACTTAATGAATGCTCAGCTGCTGAGTCAGGTATGAAAGAAGTTGGAGTCGCGCCTGCCTTGCACCCTGGCCCTCCGTTCGTGGGTTCTCGTGGGTCGTGGGGCGCGGTGTATTCGTTAAAGCTCCTTGAAGATGATTGTTAAACAATCGCAAGTAAGGTAATCGTTTTATATCCTAGTACACAAGCTTCGATACTCTGGGAAACTTGAACATAAATTAGCATAATTTGCTCGCAATATTTGACGTCATTTGCGTCATTTTCGACACTTCCCGTCCAGCAATCGTTTTTCTCCGAACGAGGAACGAGAACAATACGAGTGTTGCCGATTGAGATGGGATGCAAACATGCCAAGTTTCAAAGAATTCTACGGACGTTTGAGCAAGATGTCTTTTCTTCCTCCATGCACGAGATAAGCGAAACTCATTATGCACGGATGATTTGAAGGCAACTTCCTTAGGGCTTGAACTTAAAAGTTACTTTTTCGCGACCCCCTATGATGTGTTTATGTGAATATTCCCAATATAGTGTTGACTGGGTTTTATGACACTTTGCAACAAGTTGTTTTATTATTAATATGTTCATCTTTCAAAGGTAAGCCGTTGCATTATTTCACACTGACTGCATTGATTTGCGTATTGTTTGTCATATTGTCTTTCACTTTTGAATGAAAGGTATCGATATGGATCATTTTTTTGCTTTCATTTCCCTTGAGGTAGCAACTTTAGATTGTGATTCTTTTGCAAATGAGGACTTCCTAGTTTTCAGTGTAGAAACTAGCGAATCATGTTTACAGTAGGAAGTAGGAATTTTCATCACAAAACAATAGTGAAATGATATCCTTGTTTATATTTGCGTACTGTACAAATAATTAACTGTTTATAAATAATTTGTCTAATTGTTTATGTATGGATATATTGAATTTCTAGGAAAGAGTTGTTTATTGAATAGCATTGTTTTGTAATTAAACCAAAGGCATTAAGCCCTATTAAATATTAAGATTTATTAATGATGCTGTATCCTGATGAATTCCAGCTCTCTTGTATTTGCTAAATAATTTATATCTTGTATGTCAGACTTGTCTTTCAGAATCGCTTCAACAAAATTGTATTGAATCTAAAACTTATTTGTTTAGTTCATGATATAAACTTTTTCATCATGGCAGAGGAAGATGATGATTTTCAATTTATATATAACAATTTCCCCCCGGATCCTCCTGAAATAGATGAAGGTGACAAGGTTACCTGCGATTTAACAAGGTTCGATGCACCTCCACAGTTTCCATTCAGCGTGTGTTCACGTCAAGACCTTCAAGTTCTAAAGCTCTTCGTTGATAATTTTCCCTTCATCCCAAAGGAGCTCGGGAACTTGGTTAACCTAGAACACCTTGTTCTTTGTCGATGTGAAAATGAAGTAGATCCTGACGCACGGTGCATTAAAATCCCTTGCACTCTGAAGAATTTAAAAAACCTGAGAGTTCTTGATTTACGGAACAATCCGCTGGGAACCTTTCCGCAACAGATTACCGAGTTACTGAATTTGGAAGAACTTCATCTCAGCAACTGCACACTGCTTGGTGTTCCCGATGAGTTAGCACTACTTCAAAGTCTAAAAACTTTAGACCTGAGTAGCAATATGTTTAGCACCCTACCAATTGCAATAACCCAGCTTCGCAATCTTAATATATTATATCTCAGTGATGGTCAGCTGCAGAGTCTTTGTGGCGAAATAAAAAATTTGGTCAACTTAGAAAGACTTCAGTTGACCAATAACAATCTGAGCTCATTACCTGAAGGTCTGTTCGAACTGGTCAACTTGAAGAAATTGTACCTAAATAGCAACAAGTTGACCTCACTTCATGAGAATGTCGCAAATCTCGTGAAGTTGGAGTACCTTGTCTTAAACCAAAACAAGCTGACAAAGATTCCAGAAAGCATTGGAAAGCTAAAAGAGTTGCGTTATCTCAACCTCCACGAGAACATGTTGTACAAACTTCCCGAAGAGATTACAAATCTGAAACAAATTGAGACACTTTTGATTGACAATAACCCACTGCAAAACCCACCTGTTCAAGTTTGCAATCAGGGTATTCAAAGCATATGTAATTACTTTCAAGCGAAGAAGAACACAAAAAACATTCATGCAAAACGTCTGAAGGTTGGTTGCTCATGATATTGTACTAAATTTTGAAATTTAGAAAATATTTTATGGGCCACACATGTAGCCAGTATTAGAAAGCAATCTTCTCTACCCCCCTCTCTATTTACCATAAACCTTTATCCCAGGTTGTAGTCCTTGGTGAATCAATGGCAGGAAAGTCAAGCGTTGTGAATGCATTAATCAAATGTGACCCGACCGAGATCAAAGAAGATGACCGAACATTCGGTGTTGTGTTCTTCCACTGGAAACCTGAGCCTCACGTGGATGAACTTGAACTCATGGTCGTCGATTGTGCTGGGCAGAGAAAATATCAGATGACCCACCAGCTCTTTTTGTCTGAAGGTATGTCAATTCATTAGGAAAAAAACATTGCCTCTAAAACTAGCCAGCCTTCAATTGGCCATTGTTTTTTATCAATCCATCCTGATACATACATATGCCTGACCATCCTGATACATCAATCCATCCTGATCGATACATACATATGCCTGACCATCCTGATACATCAATCCATCCTGATACATACATATGCCTGACCATCCTGATACATCAATCCATCCTGATACATACATATACCTGACCATCCTGATACATCAATCCATCCTGATACATACATATGCCTGACCATCCTGATACATCAATCCATCCTGATACATACATATGCCTGACCATCCTGATACATCAATCCATCCTGATACATACGCCTGACCATCCTGATACATCAATCCATCCTGGTACATACATATGCCCGACCATCCTGAATACATCAATCCATCCTGATACATACATATGCCTGACCATCCTGATACATCAATCCATCCTGATACATACATATGCCCGACCATCCCACCAATTCAACCATCCTGATATATGCATCCTGATATATGTTTGCCTGGTCCCAGATGGGTTTTTGTGGCTATAGCCTAAAATGTATATTTGATGGGCTAAAATTTAAATATACAAATGTCATTGGTATTTAAAGTGCAAAGTGAATGAAATTTGTTTCTAAGGCGCTGTGTTTTCCTATGCAGGGGCTCTGTTCATTTTAGCAGTGGATCTGTTTCGCTTTATCTTCGAAGATGAAAAGTGTTACCAAGAGAATATTGGTCAGTGGATATCCATGGTTGCAGCCCGCATACCCAGGGCCAGGATTTTGATCGTTCCCACTCACATCGACGAATGTAAAAATGAAGAGGAGATTGATCTGAAGTGTCGAAATATTTTGACCTACCTGAAAGAGCAACGTCAGGAAATGGTCAGAGAGATTGAGGAAAAAAGCAAACATATAAAGAAGACGGAAGGTCGTTGCATTCCTTCAGAAGAACTTGCGAAGATACTGGAACAACACAGGGAACAAAAAGACAATTTGCCCATCATTTCACTAGAGTACAAGGTATGGCAAATGAAAGAGATTCAGTTTTTGAGAGTTGAGGCACAGGCTATGACCGCTTCATGCTCAAGACTAGGAAATTTTTTTTGGACACAAACCATCACAGCTGATTGTAGAAAACTATCTACACTGGGCCACCACGTTTGAGATATCGTTCTCAGGTAGTTCAGACACAAACCACAACAGCTTATTGTAGAAAACTATCTACACTGGACCACCACGTTTATTTGGTCCAGTGTAGGTAATATTCTACAATAAGCTGTTGTACTTTACAAAATACTTCCATTACAAATACTTCCCGCCTTTTGTGCACAGGATGCCAACGACAACCGTGGTGCCTGGAACGAGTTGAAAATGAACGTGATTCCTGTAAGCAACACTAGCCTCGAAGGAACGCCTCTTTTAAGACAAGAATTAGTAAGAATTGCTCGCAACAAGACCCTCTCCCCAAATGTCGACATCGATCTTCCTGAATCGTGGGTAAACATAGAGAAAGAGATAAAGAAATGCCGAAAAAACGAAGATATTCCCTGGTTGTCCATTGCGAAGCTGAAAGATGTTCTAAACGAACAGGGTATGGATGTCAATGAGGGAGAGTTGCAATCCTGTGTAAGCTATCTTCATGCGATTGGAGAGCTGCAGTATTTCAAGGTTAGGCAGAATTTACTATTTTCAATATACTGTTGCATATGAATTATCTTTCACCAGGCACCATTTTAGTTCATTTACAAGGTTTTTTAGTTTTTAGTCTTTTTCCTTGTTGTTTTGTAACTGTTATCGTGTCGTTTGCTATCTCAACATCCACCATAACCCTTTCTTTTCTTAGGATATTTCTGGTTTGGAGAAAAACGTGATCATCAATCCGTACTGGCTGGGTTCAGTTCTGAGGCAGTTGTTTCGACATGATATGGAAGAATATCTGAATTACAACGAGTGTAGTCGAAATCTGGGCGTCTTTCCACAGCAATTCGCCTTGGATAAGATGGTGTTGTTAAACAGTGGGGTGATGTCACAAGTTCTTCTAAAGTAAGCTCACTTTTTCGCGTCAAGCACATGTAAACAACAATATACTTGAATGCAGAGTTCTTGAACGCTCTAAAATACCAGTAATTTGTCTGTACTGAAATACAACAGGACCGGTCTGGCCGTTTTTACCGCATAGGAAAGCGCCCTTACTGTTTTATCCAACCGTTTTAAACATGCCTGAAAAGCTATCAATTTCAGTTCCTTCAGAAATCTTGAGAATACTGTATACTGTTGGAGTATAACATCAATATTTTCATCTCTTATTTAGATGCATATGGTCAAAATTTCTTGATGACTCGGATACGATATTTCCTCAGTTATTGACAATGCTAGCTCATTTTGGTTTAGCATGTGAGATACCAGCCGCGGTCAATGACTTGGATACACCTGACGGGTCTCCGCCCCCTCCGTGCTATTTAGTTCCATGGTTTTTTAAACATAGCCGCCCCAGGTCCATGAGCAATGATTGGCCTTCGCTGACCCCCCGTAACCAGGCAGGTGTCTTTGTGGTGGATGTTATCGTGTGGCGTGGCGTTGTGTTGCGTGTCGTTGTGTTGCGTGGCGTTGTGTTGCGTGGCGTTCTGTTGCGTGGCGTTGTGTTGCGTGGCGTTGTGTTGCGTGGCGTTGTGTTGCGTGGCGTTGTGTTGCGTGGCGTTGTGTTGCGTGGCGTTGTGTTGCGTGGCGTTGTGTTGCGTGGCGTTGTGTTGCGTGGCGTTGTGTTGCGTGGCGTTGTGTTGCGTGGCGTTGTGTTGCGTGGCGTTGTGTTGCGTGGCGTTGTGTTGCGTGGCGTTGTGTTGTGTGTTGTCCTGTTAAGCCCGTTCTCCACTGGGCGAATTAGTTCGCGCGAACAGATAAAAAGTAGGAAGCGATTCTACTTTTTCGCGGCGAATTTTTGAGCGAGCGGCGAGCCAATCACATCGCTGGATTTCAGATTCGCCTCGCGTCGCGCGAATAAATTCGCGTAGTGGAAAACGGGCTTCAGGCGGCTTTTGTGTCGCGTGGGGTTCTATCAGTTCTGTGAGTTCTGTGACGTCCTATTAGGTTGTGTTGCGTTAAGTTGCTTAGCGTTCTGTTGTGCGTTGTGTTGCCTGCTGCTGCGGTGCGTGCTGCTGTGGTGCGTGCTGAGCACTGCGGTGCGTGCTGCTGCGGTGCGTGTCCCTGTGTTACGTCGAATATCGGTTCGATTCGTTTTTCTCTTCATTAGATTGAAGTGACGGTTGGTTTTGCGCTTCTACGATATCTCCCGTTTGGCTTGTTTGAGCGATTCAGCGTGCTGTGCCATAGACACGAACCACAAGACTACGAGCATTGGCAGAATGGATTCTACATGAAGTTTGACAGCGTTTTAATACACAGCAATATCTTCTCCGTTAAGAAATGCGAAACGCTGAAAGTGTGTGCAAGGGCACCGAAAGATAAACTTGATGATTTGTGGCGGACATTGTTAATATTATTAGAGGTATGGACGCTCATCTTCGTTGGGTGGTTCTGTAGAAGCAATATCTAAACGAGGTCTTGTCCCAAGGCATTTATTTATGAAATATGATGCTTTCTACTGGAGGAGGGGGAGAATGCTTAAGAAAACCTAGGACAACGAATATTTCTTCTTCTGGGGCCAGTTGTATAAAAGCCGGATAGCACTATCCACCGGATAGCACTATCCACCGGATAGTGGTTTTTTTCAATCTCCTCCAAATCGCCCGTTGTTTGGTATAACTTCGATTAAATCTTAGTATTCCTAAATTAAGGATCCTCTTTAACGATTGTTGGTTCCAAAGCTGAAATTTTATTGCTCTTCAAGCATCTTTAGAACGGTTGAAAAAATCACTATCCGGTGGATAGCGCTATCCAGCTTTGATACAACCGACCCCTGATCAGGTCCGGGGTTTTGTGGAAAGCTTACTAAAGAAACGAATGGTTTTTTCCCTACGCCTAGGGTCTTGAATTTTTTTGCGAGGCCATTTTTGTTTTAGAATATCATAGTAGAATGTAGCCCAGTATTGTCAACAACCTGCTACGAAACGATTTAAGAGAGTTTAAATATTTTTAGGAAGTTCAGAAACTGTTAAACGAGTGGCCTGGTATGAATTACAAGAGAATCTCCCTCTGTCCAGGGTGTATTAGACGCGAAGCATCGCAACCTTATCATTTTTACTGCGACTGGTTCAAAGTCCATAAAAGAAAGACAGAGAAGACTGTTTGCCGAAATAAAATTGATGATATATCACATGAGGTTCGACTGGATCATTTGTTCCCATCCGAAGGTAAAACTGACGTTATTTTTAATAAATAGAACAACTGACTCACTTGTAAAACTGGTGTGAGAGTATCAATACAGTCAATACACTTAAGGCGCTGATACACCATGCAACTTTCCTTGCAACTTGCAATGCAATTCTACTCCTGAGGCATCTAAAGTTGTCAAACACGAACATTTCTTACGATCCGCTAATGTTTTCTTAGCATTTCGAACACACTTTAAAAATTATCATCCCTCAAAATTATAATTGCATTGCAAGTTGCAAGGAAAATTGCATAGTGTAACAGCGTCTTTAAACAGTTTAAAATTGTTGTAATATGGAATAAATTGTATTTCAGATGTACTAAATTGTTACCGCAATCCCAGGGTGGAATATTCTGATGAGATTCCAGATTGCATCGTAGAAGAAGGTGAAATAAACACAGCTTATTTTAGTTAGTAATTTTGTTAGGGAAAGATTATATGGGCCACTTATTGGAACGTGGCTTTGGACGGGGGAGATTCTTCATACTATCAGACTCAGATTTTCATAAACACTTTAATGGATCTTTTGCATAATAGACCAACTTATGATCTGGGTAACAAGAAGAGAAAAATCACCACAGTTAAAAAGAGCATACTGAAATTAGAATGATTGCCAAGTTTAGCTAGAAAACCTCAAGTAGTACGAAAAATATAGCCAAGCGAAGTAGGCAATTTTTGTATACAAAATTTGCCGACTTAGCATGGCTATATCTTCGGCACTTTACCTACCTTCTCCGCAGACCCTTTTCGGGCAAATATGGCGGGCGGTAATATTTTGCGGGTAGGATTTACAATATTTCGCAGCCAAACTTGGCAGTTTCACTAAGTTTGGCATGTTCTTTTCGGAAATTCTCTTTGTCACCAGTATCAAAAATTGGTCTATTATGCAAGTGGTCCGTTATGGGTTTGGCAATTTTATTTATAGATCTGTTTGATACGATTGCGCTGAGTGTTGGCACAGATTGGACGTATTTGGCACGTACGTTGGGCACGAAGCTTGTTCGGGTGAACAGCATAAAAGAGGAAAAAAGAGGAAATATACGTGAGCAGGCTGTTGAGATGCTGAGAGAATGGAAACAAAGACTTGGTAGCGAGGCGAAAGTGAAAGTTATTATCACTGCGCTGAGAAAAATGAAATTAAACGAGGTCGCCGATTCTGTTGTGCAACAGACTCGAGCAAGTGAACATTCCGAGAAATCTCAGTGATGCTCTGAACGAAGACACACCTGCAGGAATTCTATTTTCACCATGAGGAAAAATTCCAACAGTTCAGAAGAACCAACATTGAGATAACTTTACACAGTTATCAATTTTGGCACTCGTGAAGAATTATGAGTGGTGGGGGGGGGTCTCCCCCCAAGCTGGTCAGCAATGAGGGGCAAGCCCTGTCGAGCTTCAACCTTCAAATGAAACAACCTTCGGTAATGAGAAAGGTTATGCGAATGATTTCGATAATTTCTTCCCATATAGTTCTTATGTTGGCTTTGAAAAAGAGCCCAGAAACACTAGAATTATAATAAGTAGGAAAATAACCCAGGCGTTGAATACGCTATTTTTTAAATGAATTTTTTTTATTTTTCCGAGATGAAAAGGAAAGTTAAACTGTATATTCACAATAATTTTTCAACTACTTTTTACTGCAAATGTACACAACTCGTTTAAAATAGTAAATAAAAGCGCTTCAATTCATATCTAATGTTTGCAAGATGGAAACCATTTGTGAAAATGGGGACCATTAGGATTTTAGTAGCGTTTCTGACAGACTGAATTTCGGTGAGTACGAAATCAAGTTTTAGGTAAACTGTCGTTAGAGATCTGTGTTGTAAAAAGGGAAGCCGGATAACCTCGCAGACGAACTTATTGGTGAAAGAAATCACTGGTGGTAGATGGTCATAAAAGTGGTCATCATCTGTACATACAACGGCACCAACGTCCAGGCAGAAAATTAGGGAGTTCTGTAGGTATGCAGGCTAAATTTCCCGCGCTAACCCGCGAGATTTCAAGATTCGAAGGGAAGCCAACATGGCGACTGGTAATTTGTATAAACTAATGTGTGAAGTTAAAGGGCAGGTGAACTGGAGATCGGCGAAAACCGCTTCGATACCAAATAGGACGCTGCCGGGGGTGTTGTGTTTAAGCAGTTTGGGCGATAATTTTTACATTCAATGTAAATACAAGCAGGGGAAAACCAGTAGAAAATACAAGGTGAGCAGTTTGAGAATTTATACTTTAGGTTTCCTAAGAGATCAGCTCAGTTGTGATTCTTCTGTCTCTCAGCTCGATGTAGGACAACTTGTCGAAACCAAATTGATTGCACGGGAAAGAAAACTCGCTATTTCAATCCCGGAGGATACTGGTACGTGTTTTAACCTCCAGGAAGCAGACGAGAATGAGATCAATGAGTTTATATCTAGCTTGGATAAAATTAAAGAACGTGGTAAGCAAGTTTGTGCACATTTCGATTTACTCTGGTATTTACTCTCTGAGAAATCTACCCCTCCGTCTGATATCACCTCCAAGGGGCAAGGGCAAACTACATAGACAAATAAAAATGATCTGTTGTTAGACAACAAATACTTGAGTACGTACCGCACATCTGAGCTCATTGTTGGCAGTGAAAGGCATTATTTCATTCATTATTATCACAATGATTACTTGGTTTCTGTTCTCTGTAGTTTTGTCCAAAGCATTGTCGAAGAATACCCAATTATTTGAACATATTGGTCCAGTTACGAGGGTCAGTACCTTATCTGGGTCAAAAGAAGCTCCTCAACGACTTTCAGGTGCCAGAAAAGATGGTGTGTTTAATTATGTGCAAATATGTTTTATAAAATGTTTCTTATTTTGTCAAACCAACCATCCAATTCATCTTGATCGATCATCCCAACTTGTCATGCATTAGATGTGGTAAAATACTTAATGTATGATGTATATATGTAGATTTTTCTTGGCAAATGCATTGATATTTTATCAGTGTGATTCCAATTACTCCATTAATTCTTGATGCCCATTCACCTGCCATTCAGAACAACTGGACAAAAGCTCCATATCCCAGAATAATTTCCAAGAAAAACGAAAGTTGGTGTCACCAAACCCAAACACTGAACCACAGGATGAAAATCAAATGGCACATCCTGAAACGAAAACTCTGAGGCAGATAAGACGGGAACGAATCTTAAAAGAATTGTCTGAAAAAGGTGTGTCTATTGAAGAAGAAAAAGAAAGGATAAGGGCGCAATTAAATAAACTGGCTTCCAGTGGAACTAAGAACACTTCACCAAGGGATATACCAAAAATTATGCCGCACCCAAATAATCAGCATAGGCAAAAAAGTCCAGGTTTGTTACAAAATACAAAATCAGAACTTCTCTTGTCTTCCTTTGGGTTTCCTGAGGAAGAGATGGGCAGGAAAGTGTGTTTGGTCTAATTTGTAAGTTCCTCACCAGAACTAACTTATAAACTGCCCACTTTCATACAAATGTTTTAACATTATGTAGAGAGAACGAAGGGTAAAAGAACAGAAAAAGTAGCAACGGTATTTGAAGACACCTTTATTAAACTACCAGTTCAATCTACTGCAGTACACCTGCAATAGCTTTAAGACCTCACATAGAACAGCTTTACGTTCTACGTGATCTGTTTGTTTAGGATGACTTGGAAAAAGAAAATATTAATATCTTTGGATCAACACTAGAGAGGAAAATAACTCCAGTTAAACAAGTCACGTTCAGTTCTCCTCGGAGACAGTCTCCTTTGAAAGAGAATGAAAGTACGTTGGCCGTTGGCGTCGTTTCTAGATTTGTTTTTTACCTCTTATCATTTCAGCTGCAATATTTTCAAATTGCACTGGGCTTTTTTGGATTTCGGGGTCCGAATCAGCAGGAGCAATCAAGAAAAATACACTCTACATCAGTTCTTTTCGTTGTTTGACAGTAAAAACATAACATTTCCTTGTTTTCACAATGAAATATTACGTTATTGAAGCATCTATATCTGATATCAGACTCACTACGTGTTGTATTTTTTGAAACAGCTTCTCCGCAACTTCGTCCAGTCAACGCTAGCTCATTCTACGGAAGCAACAATAAAACGTAAGCAAAAGGTTTCATTTTGTATTTTACGAAAGTCGCCATTTCACTATAGCAAGGCCTGGGGTTTTTCATGTGCTTCGTCTACATATATCTTTACGTGATCCAAAGAGACCATTGATATGGATGTTTTTAACTGCAGAGTATTAATAATGATTTCTCATTTCAACACTTAGTAACTGAATCAATCTTTTTTTTAGTCTTCGAGTGAAACGAAGTGCACGGAAGCCTGCAGTGAAAAGAAGTCTGGACATTCGATTTTCTTCCCCCCCAATAAGAGAATCACCGTTCTTCACAACCCCCCTGGCATCAAGTGAGACTCGAAGTGCCAACAAACCCTCAAAAGACAGTCGGTCAACTTTTCGGAAACAAGCCAAACTTTCTTCGTCATATTTTAAGGATTCGGTTATCACTTCGCAAGGGTAAGGATTATGTTACTTTCCGCTCAATGGCGGCAAGTTCCGAACGAGTTTCCGACTTACGAAACATGCCGACCGCCGTAAAAACTAATACACAATATTAGTTGTATCAGAATAATGTGCCTGGAGCAAAAACGAGCCTGGCTATAGCCCAAACAGCTTGTCGACAGTCGCAAAATGCTGTCCGTAGCGGCCTAATCATGTATTATTTAAATCTTTCAGATTCTCAAATCTCGGTAATACTTGCTACATGAATGCTATCCTACAATCGATCCTCGGTCTTGTGCCGTTTGTTCAAGATCTTAAAAATAACGACATACTTAAAACTGTTAATCGAACGTCTTTCTACAGGTAAGAAAAGCCTTCTAGAAAACTATAAAACGATTCTTTATGTACTTCCTAAAAATACAGGTGCACTGTTATTTCTAAAATGTTTCCCAAATGTCTACAAAATTTGGATAGCTAATGGCTATAGCGCTTGCGAGAATTTTACATCAAACATGGACAGAATAGTTTGAAAGAGTTTTTTCTGGGGTTTTTTATTTAGTTGCTTAACAAATTTGTTTCAATGTAAAAACAAAGATGGCGCAAGTACAGCGAAGGAAACTGCTCTAAAAAGATTGAAAAATTCTATCAACTGCGAACGTTTCAGTGGTTATGAGCAAAACGTAAGTCGCTCGTCACCGTATCAAAGATTAATCGATGTATAGTGTTGTTCTCAGGAGTTAAACTTTTCTCTAGGATGCACACGAATTTATGTACATTTTCTTGGATCAAATGAAAGAAGAAGTCCAACAGGCCTTGGAAGATAATTCTGAAGAAACGATTGCTAAGGTAATGCAGTATTAGTTTTTTTTCGTTCAACCGTGGAACCAGCCTAAATTGACCTTCTTGCATTGTTGTTGTTTTAGGTCTGTCCCGTGGTGAGAAACTTCGAAGGCTCGCTTAAACATGTTATCGAGTGTAAAGGGTAAAAATTGTGTGCCATTAAAGAGTAATACAGATCTTTAGGTTTAATATTTTCGGAATATTTTCCTGACAGGTGCAAAAACGTCGTGACTAAACACGAAATATTCAACCATTTGTCACTTTATTTACCTCGCTCGTAAGTTTCATTATTGTCATCAATATTTTTTCTTGGTGAATATATGAAGATACGATCATAATTAATTTATTTTTTTTATATATTTCCTGTTTTTAGACATACATCCAGCCTGACAAGATTACTCGGGCGTTTTTTCCAGGTCAGTATTGTGTTGCCTTCGCCGCTTTCAAAATGAAATCGATTCTTAAGACTTAAGTCCTAATTCATTTATCCAAGGTGGAAGAGCTCGAGAGGACTTGTGAGAAATGCGATTGTGAAACTGCAACGCAGTATGTTAAAATACAAACTTTACCAAGGTATAAAATTACACTGTGCCTATATAGCAGATATTATCATGTTAAAAACGAAGGTTAGTTCTTACAGGAACATTCATATTTACCTGCTTGGCGATATGTTGATATGCCGAGTACCTAAATCTGTGTAATTTAAGACGAAAGCTAGATCCGATGCTTTCCTTTCACTTCGAAACACATTGAAAAATAAATATGCAAATGCCTTACAACGTCTTCTTTGCAGAGTCATTATTCTACATATTCTTCGAAGCGGGTTTGACCAATACAGAGGCACACAAGAAAAGATTTCGAACCAAATTCAAGTTGATAGATTTCTTGTTGTAGGTTCGTAAACGTGTCTCAGTAGAGATTACAAAGAGATTTTGGAATTTGGAAATGATTTTTTATCAGGCTGACTGTATTTGGATATTCAATAGGAATCTCCTTTCATTGAAGGTAGTTTTTGTTGTTCTGACGTCTCAGGACCGCAGCCATTTTTTCGTCGAAGGAAAAGGTACAGTGGAATATCCTGGTACAAAATTATAATAATCTATCGGTGCTAGTCAATGAAAGACTCGAATTTTAGCGCCCCACAGTCCCGTGAAGTGAATTGTCACCTTCTTACCATAAACATTATACTTACATTACATTTTTCAGTCCATCTAAAAGCGATTTCGTAGCTGACTGTGATCTGACTCCGTTTTCTGACGAGGATTTCGCTGTTACAAAACCGCGACGACGATTAAACATGTCAGCAGCAGACGATACTTTGAGGTAACCTTTTCACAACACATATCCGTGCTTTCTCAGGTCGCAAAATAAAATAACTACAACCAGTTCGTGTCTGATACAGATGATTAATATACTTCGTTTATTTCATGTTATTATTCAGTGATACAACTCCGGAGAAAACTGCATTTTGCACGCAAGAAAACTCGTCTTCCTCGCTGAAGAAGAATGCGTTTTCCTCGCAAAAGAATGCAAAGAAAAAATATCCTGACTGGGTATATGCACAAACAAAACGTCCAACAGTAATCAACTGCATTGATTCCAGCGATGATGATGATTTAAACAAAGCTAAGCTAGCAAGTTTAAATCTTCTTTCCGAGGAAGAACAGATTCGACGTGCTAAGATTGAAAGCTTAAAGGAAGAAACAGAATTACAAAATTTCGAAATTACAGTGTCGGTGGAACCGGTTTCAGACTCTAGCGCAAGTGAATTCCCGGGGGTGAAAACTCTACAAGAAAATAAATCACTTGAAAGCGAAGAAGAAGAAATAAGACTCGCCAAGGTTACAAGTTTAGATGAATGTTTTCCCAACGTTGAAGAGCGAATCGCGACGGAAGGAAATGAAATCCGCGGTGGTTCCAACACTAAACGAAGAAACTTGTCAAGCGAAGAAGAAACAAAAACACATCTTGAAGAGTTAGAACGAGTAAATACGACGGATAAAACGCAAGCAAGTCATGGTTCATCATCTAAAAGAAGGAAAATTGAACAGACGGGTAATAAAACTATGGATATGGACATAGTTCCTGCCGATTATGATGAGAATAAACACTTGAAGGAAGCTTTGGAGATGAGCTTGCGAGATAAAGTGAGTATACTTCGGTGATGAAAGTGGGCAGAATATGTTGTCTGGTATAGCCGAAACGTGATTATTGCTGTCCTGGTTCATCCAGGCAGCCTGATTTAAATAACATGAATATTGTTGTAGGATTTGGAACAATCACAAATGGAGGAAGCCATAAGAATGAGCCTTCAAGGTATTCTGTGTTATTTTCTAATGTACCTTAACGATTCTAATTTACTTCTGATTAATGATTCTAATTAATTATCCTATAATGTGCTTCTAATTATTGATTCCAGAACTTCTAATTTATGATTTTAACACGTCTAATTGTTTTGTATACAGATGGATTGGATAATGTCAAGCTAAATGATATAGTTCTACCGGAAACATCAGGGGATGATACCGACATGAAGGTACAGTATCATTGATTTTTTTCTTATATTCACTTTTATCTTTACAACCTCAGCCGGTAACGTGTTTGCTTACAATATTGTCTACAGGAAATGGGTGAAGAAAATGCTTCGACGGATGATTTCAGTTACAGACTTGTCAGCGTGGTTAGTCACGTTGGATCAAGTGCATCTGTAGGTATGCGCATATCTTTCGTGTATAACTCCACATGAACGATAAAACTGAACAACTTCACACACTACGAAAAATTGCACCGCGGTAACATGGCCTTTAAGCTCACCTAATCAGTTTGCACTTCGGTACCTTCTTTCGGAAACCATTGACTTTCTTTTCTTAACACATGCAGGCCATTACATTAGTGATGTTTATGATATTGAAAGCGAACAGTGGACGAGGTACGATGACATCACCGCAGAAAAGGTAATTTCGATATTGGGCCATTGGCATCCGTTTAAATTTACCAGCTCAATCCACACTTTTGAAGACCTAAAAGGATGGCGATTTTGAGATAAGTTAAAGGTTGCAGCCCTAAATATACCCAGCTTATGCTGCTGTATACGCCATCATGTATATTAAAAGATTCCTTTTCTTTAAAGATTGAGGAGTATGCTGTGAGATACTGCAAACGTTCTGATGGGTATATTTATTTCTATATGCACAGGTATAAAAACTATTTTTAAGCCTTTCAATTTTAAATCTTTTCAGTTAATTGTTATCAGTCCTAAAATGATTGGCTTTTTTGTTTTAACAAGATTACACTTGAAAATAATATTTGACCACCTGCACGTCCCAGTTACCTACACAAGCATCTTTTAAAATATTGTATCTTTGTTGCATTACAGAAGTTGTGTCAACTTGCTTCAACAAAAATCAACCATAAGCTGACTGGGGTGGCAAAATACTGACTTACAATAATAATAAACCGAAATGAAATTGTGTTTTTAATAATAAAAAAATGATGTACGTATACAATATAAGTTTGTGCTCGGGTGATTTTAAAAAGCCATTCATCACAAGAATACTTGCGAGTTGGCTTTGGAATTGAGCACCCGTGCTTATTGAAACCCGTTTTGTGGGAGTCTATTAGGAAAAAGTCCGTTTATGGAATCACCTGGGAATCACAAGACCGACCTAGGGATGCAAGGCTGAGTCATTGTTAATAAAATTGATGCCAAGTAACGCAGATACGTCATTAAAAAATCCAGTTATGGGATTATGTCATGGCCCGTTAATAAAAAAATAGTGCAAGTTTGGTTGGTAAAGATTGGGTCTTAAGTTTTTTCTGACTTCGACAAAAATATTTTTGAAATTTCCGAGAAAAACTGCGCTCGCATAAAGTTTGAAAATCAAAAATGATGATATAAATCAGCAGTGTTTGCGCAATATTACATGATGTCATTGTGTATATTATTAGTAACTGCCGGGTCATATGACCATATCACACGGCAAGACATGCACAATAACACAAACACTCGCAAGTTGCATAGAAGCTTCTGAGTTCCATCTACAAACAGCACTACAACGAGCAGATTTATCAACATACATAATGGGTATTGGTGTCAAAATAGCACAAGCTTTATTGGTTGCGTTCAATTTAGTCTTTGTGGTAAGTGATGTGGTCGAAATAAGTCGTTTTTAAAACATTTCTGTATAGACGCAAGCTCGTTAATTTTATTTGCCTGTTTATACCGAATTTTAATTAAACTTAGGCCACGTAGCTGCTAGCTAAAAGCCGAACACCTTTCAGTTTTTTCTTCCACGGAATATGCCTAAAAAAACGCGATTCGGCACGATAGAATCACGTCAATTCCTCCGGATTTGCAACAGCAAATTCCCTAATACAGCAAGCTACATATTTTGGAAACCGAAGTATGTGATGCATGTCTTTTCATTAATTCGTTTTATTGTACAAAAATCCAGGAAAATCAGTTAAAATACCTGCTAAAACGTACCCTGTTATTATAGATACGCGTATTTAGATATTGACTACTTCCCCTGTACGTTAACTGGACAGAAAATAAAGCAAAAACACCTTTGTATGTTTCCCTACAAGTTTTCGCACCGTCGCTTCCGTGAGTCGCGAGAGCATTACATAATTTCGTTTTGCACTTTTGCAAGTCTAACCCATTAAGGACTAATCGGTGGGTCACCAACTTACGAATTGCTTTGTGAAACGTAAAATCTACGACTGTAGACTTTTGCTACATCCGACTGTATTTGCATGTAACAAAATACAACATAAGTTCCTTTGGGTTAAGCTAAAGTAAAAGTTTGATCAACACGCCTTAATGAAACTGTCAAGATGTGTGTGCACAGCAGGATTTAAGGCCTTCTCGATATCAGGGAAATTTAGAGCTTCAGGAAGGTCCTGACTCCTGAGGTTGGCTATGTGTTTAATGTACGGGTTTAATTTGTTAGTGTCTTTGTGTTGCAACACAGGTCTTTCAGCAAACACCATTTTCTTTTCAAATTTTGTGCATGACCAACAGAGCAAAACTATTAAGTAGCAAAGGTTTCATGTTCCTATGTGGCTTTGCCGCTTTGGGCTTTAGTGTACTTGCCTAACTTAAGACCTAACTGTTATTCTGAAACTTTGTTATATTGAGTATAGCAGCATGATTCCAATGCTTAGTATTAAAGGTTCTAAATAAGAATTTCTTTCTATTGAAAATGGTATATATAAATGTCTTTTTTAATATATTAGCTTTTGTCCTTGAAGATTTCATTTGCATATATGTTATGTGAATAAACAAGCTAATTGATATTAGTACCAGTTATGCACACGTAACAACATCTCTGCTATATGTATCCTAGCTCAAAATATTTTTGGTTTTTAATTGGTCATTGCTGAATGGTGTATGCCCTGTAAATCATCTAAATTCTAAGTTTTGAAAATTTGTGAGTGCAAGCTTATTGGGCAATCGTCTTCAGATTTAGGCTTGGTTCACACAGGACCAGACAAATATGGGACCATGCTTGGATTTGTCTCGTTTCCACATGTGAACATGTAGCTCTGATCAAATTCTTACTGTGTGAACAGCAGAACCAGGCAAATTCAAGTACAGTCCTGAATTGGACTGTACAATCCTATACAGAACCTATTCTTAGTTCTGATCCTATCCTCTTGCTGTGATCCAATCAAACACTGTGATGCTATCAAATTCAAACAAAATGCAAATAACTCAACCAAGATTTAAATATAGCTATTCACTGCTTAGCAATTTTAGAATTCCATTGTGATTTATAGCTTTCAAGAGAAGACAAGTGAATTCCTTTTTACTGTTCTCCAGAGTCATGTTAAAAATATTTATTGATTGTAAGCACAAAAAGCAAGCTCAAACTAATTGGCTGAGATAATAAAAATTCAGTTAAAATGCATATATTTTCCACTAAAAATGTTCTGGGGGGAAAATATTTTGACAATGTTTATCTGGCAACTGTTTTTTTCAATTATAGTATTTTTTTTCATGTAGCTGATTGGCCTAGCAGGCATAGTTGTTGGTGCCATTATTCGCCTGAAGTATGATGACTATGAGGAGCTTTCATCACACAATGTTGGAGGAGTCTCGATTTTGTTGATTGCCCTTGGTGGAATCATATTCATTGTGTCTTTCTTTGGATGCTGTGGGGCGATACGAAAAAGTGTCATTATGCTTACCATTGTACGTAGCCTAGTACAGGCATCTCTAAATGTTGGGGTGGGGGGGGATCACATTGGGATTGGGGGGGGGTAGCAGGGAAAGATGTATATTGAGGGAAACTCATTTTTGAAGCACCCAATAGCTAAGGTGCTGCTGTGGATATCAAATAATAAAAAAATTAAAATCATGCCACCTCCAAACACAAAATATTCTAAAATAATTTTTCACTTGATTTAATTCTAATTTAGCAGTAAAAGACATTATTTACCATGTTAAATCTTATGTTTTGCATACTTATAGTTTGTGGTATTGCTGGTGATATTACTTGTCATTGAAATTGCTGCTGCAATCACAGCATATGTCTACAAAGACAAGGTGAGAAATATAACTTTAACTGACCATACTGAATGTTGTGATATTTTTTTGTCACCTAAACTCATTTTGTTTTATATTTCCACATTTCATGGTGATTATCTGTTTGCTAAATCAAGTTATTTAATGACATGAATGACCAGAATAAGATACAGTATATCACTATGGGTGTATGACACAGATTGATATATACAATGGCTGTTTTATAAATTTTCTTCTTTTACGCAAGCAAGTTTGGGTTCTTTTTAGATGAAAGGTTATCTTGAAGATGGATTTAATGATGCATTGGATAATTATAATAATTCGGACTACCGAAAAGCTCTTGACACAGTACAGAAAGATGTATGTTTTTTCTATTTCCAGACATATATATGTTCAAGATATCAAAAAGATTTTTGATTTGATATGTTTATTATTTAATTCAATTATGCTGAATGTTGTGACTTAATTATTTTTGTTAGTTTGATTGCTGTGGCGGGACTGATGGTCCTGCAAGCTATACAAGCAGAAACATTACCATCCCATCTTCCTGCTGCGCTAAATTGAAAAATGGAACTTCATGTAATGAACATAATGCTTATAAAAAGGTAATATCATTATGTGGGTTGCTGCAATAAACATTAATATTATAAAAATGTTATTTTTGTTATAGTCAAGAGTTAATTTACAAGCTTCATCTACATATTTCTAGGGTTGTGTTGATAAATTGTTTGACTATCTTGAACATCATTTGGCAATTGTTGGTGGTCTTGCTGTTGGTGTTGCTGTTATTCAGGTAAAAACGGGAAGAAAAACCCTTTAATTTCAGACATCATAGCTTTTTCTAGATTGAAAACTTTTTTTCATTTCAGGTTATTGGTATCATCTTTGCTTGCGTTGTTCGTCGTGATGTCAAGGAAGGCTATAACTATGTGTAATTTTAGTGTTAAAGAATTGCTGTGAAATTATTATTCCTTAAAGCACAATATATATATACAACAAATGCATATATAATATGTACATAATTGTATGTGTATGATTTGTAGTATGTATATATCATATTACAAGTGATTTGTAGTAATTTAGAAAATCAGCAATATAATTTGTAGTGAACAAGGGCTATACCCAGAACAATTACATAGTTTTTCCACAGTATTTTACTCTGCAGTGTTACTCAGTTGCAAATATTGACAGTGTATTCTTCAATTATTACATTTTATTTTATTGTTCCATACGTTGATACAACAACATGATTTAAAATCAATACTGATAATTACAAGTTATATTTCACATTATAGTTTTAGTAAATGAGAATATTTGCTGTAGGTTTAGAACCATTTAAACATTCATTAGCATGAGGGGGATTCGTTTATTATTTTGTTAAATGGACATGGTCCATATTATATTACCATTGCTGTTCATGTAACATATTAGCACAGTTTATTTTGCATCGTCATGGGTCGCATGACCTTAATACATGGTTAATTTTCCATCAATACGCTTCATACTACATTGTCACGGTTATTTTAATTTATCACGGTTCATTTTGCATATTAACTTACTCTTTCGAGCAGCGTGTTATCACTGTTATGAGGTGGGAACCTGCATGTCTGGAGGTTCCTCAGCAGTTGCACGTCTGTTTCCTGTTGTTGTCCATAGCGACCTTTCCACATGAAGAATATAGTGGAATAGTACACGATAATGCATTAGTACAAAAATAATGCATGAAGTACAACAATAATGCATTAGTTCTTATGACACTTTGTTACGATTCTTTCTCGGACTATAAAGCTTGTTAAATGATGAAAGAAGGTGTCGAAATGCAGACAGAAAGCGTCGACGGAAATTAGATATTTGGAAATACATAATCCTTTTAAAACTGAGTCGTATTACAAACAACAACACAGTTGAAATGTGGCTTTGTAAGAGTGAGGAGCAGGCATGGTTTTCCCCGAGTTTCGAGCATAATTAGAATAACAATACATATTGTCGGGGGAAAATATGGGCAGTGGTGCTTCGGTCGGGAATATAGATCGTGAAAACTGCGAGCAATTTGGAGACAGAGTCGAAGTGACAAAAAGCCTTCCAGTGGAAAGTTTTGGTGAAGACAAAACGTCCACAAAGGACGGAAGGCTAGATAATGTCGTGGAGAAAACCTTTAGCTCTGTCTCAGTTAGCGAAGAGAAATTTCGTGACCGTGGTACAGCGAAGGTTAGTAAATCGAGGAAGTCCTTGGGATCTTTGCTTGGTTTTACAAAAGGAAGATGGGACGATGTTGAACGCACGAACAGCGATCTCTTCGCGTATTCCGCCGAGGCTGCGGAGATAAAGATCGCTCGTTTAACGAAGAAAAACAATGATTTACAACAAGAAAAAGAACGGCTCAAAAGGGAACTGGAAAGCTTGCGAAAGAGCAACGCTCGCTGGCAAAATGAACGTGAAAAGGCAAGAGAGGACGAAGAGCAGGCGAGAGAAAGAGCAAAAGTATTTGAGGATGGTAGGTATTGTCCAGGGTATTGTACTTTGTACTATTGAGCTACTAGGACTAGTCGTACTATCGACAACCTTCCGACAGTCTACTTTAAAACTGTAAAACATCTGTGGTGATGTTTCATTTCTCGAAGTTTTCCTGTAGTCTGATCTAGACATTCATACTGCACGCACAATTCATTGAAACTCTTATTCAATTATTTACATTACCAACCACAGCGTGACATTCTCCAGCAGTGTTTATACGCTATGCCTTCCTTCCTTGTATCATATTTGCCACACCATTTAAAAGATTTACTCTAAAAAGGATTCACGTAAGGCTAAATTGTAAAAAATGCATGCTATAGTTTCAATTGTTGATCTCCTTCACGAGATCAACACAATCATTATCAGTCATAACAACTCGCATCCTGACATGCAATACGCTCCAACATTTTGTGTGAAAAGTTACATTTTTTAATGTTTGTGACAAGAAATTGCCTGTCACGATTCCGCTGGTTGAAATTGACCACCCTGCATTTGATGATATAAATATGTTTAAATCCTATTAAGATTCCATGGAACTATAGAAAATTGAGTTACAGAGGAGACACACTAAGCTATTAGAGAATGATTCCATATGGTGTTTTTTCAATTTTTTCAAGAATTTTTTGGCTGTTTGGTTGTTAGGAGGCTAATTGAATTGAACAGGATATATGATTCCTGCATTAGGCTCATTAATGGACCACCACAAAGGAAATGAAATATGTGTGATTAATCCTATAGTTATTATAATAATCTTTATCCAGGATCGGTTTTTATTCCGCAATGGATTAACTTGTAACAGGATGCAGAAAAGTAGAATGTGTGCAATATGTATTTCGAATCAAAATAGTATGTTTATCATTAGCCTTTTGAAAACATCACTAAACTCATCCTAACATATTAGGTTGAAATGTTGATGAATGAATATAACGAAAAAAACCCTTGTCCCTTAACGGATTAAGGAGATGTGATTATTGCAATTTGACTTTATTATTATAATTAATATGCCATAACATCTAAGTCTTAAATAATGTTGTGATAAAGCATCATGTACCCCGTCATTCCATTCATACGCTGGTGATTTGCACCATACCACACTAGTGAGTGCATCTAGGCATGAAATTAGGGATTTAAGTTTTGTCAACAATATGCCAGGACATGCATATTTTTTAGCCATTATTAACACATTACCGCTTCACCTTGTGGACAGATGCCCCCTGTTGTGTTAAGTAGAAAATTTGAACGTTTTTTGAGAAAACAAGATGTTAGAATAAAAGCAGTTTCTCCTACCAGAATTTTCCTTTTTCAATTATTCATCTAAATTGTCATTTGTTCTAAAGTGTACCATGTAAAGCCATTAGTTTAATCCACAATTTGTTCCCATAATTATAATGGGAAGAAAATAGATGTCTAAGTAGATTTTCATATAAGAGTGCTCTCAACATCTGTATTGAAACATGCTAACAATGTTTGAAAAACCTATCAGATTTTGAACTTTACCTTATTGCATTTTTTCTTTATTAGTTGATAGTGTTTTTTTATTAGTTGATAGCGCTGTCTGATGTTTTTTTGCCCAATGTTGATGGTACTATCAAATCTTAAAATATATTTCTACCCTAGCTTCTGTTGTTTTGCAACAATGTATGTTTCTCTTATCGAGATGTGTAAGAAAACATTTTTGCTTCTTCAGAGCTGGAAAAAGTGAAAAAGCAGTTCAAATCTTACAGCAGTGACAAGGAAAAGGAGATCCATACACTTATGAGAAGAATTCATGAGCTAGAAAATTCTCTGAGATCAAGTACAGCAGGAGAGACAAGCAGCTTATATCCCTTGCCAGAGAGTTTGATTGATTCCTTTGAAAACGATGCTGATGTTGATAATCTTAGTTTGTTCAAAGCTCCAGGAAGTCTTTTTGACGAAAAAAGTAAGAGATTCCAATAGTTTTTGTGACGAAAAATGCTGATATAGAGGTTTTTAACTGTACAAAATGCCACGAAAATCCATCATCTTTTAGTAAAATTCGATAATAATACTGGAGGGGTTTTAAAAAAGTTTAGAATTGACAGTTGTGAAAAAACGGGGTGATGAATAACAGTCTTAATGATGGTAATTCTGAAATTTTTCTTGTTCTATTTTAGTACCAGATTTCAATACAGTGTTCCCTCTTTTGGCGCAAGTTATGACAACCTTAAAACCACCCAACAAGAACCAGACATTCAGATTCTTCCTGTCCGCAGATAAACAAGCGAAACGTGATGCAACCTTTTTTACGAAGGTCAGTACATATACCACGGAAACTACACAGATTATTTGTCACAAGATTCGACAGAGTTTATCCTTTTCGCTCACGCGTAAAAAAATATAATGCTTCTACGCAGGGGATTAAGAAACGAACCACCCATTTTTTGCTCAATTTCCTCCAGACTTGGAACTATCTGCCAGAAAGAAGTCGATAAAACTCTTTTAGCAAAATCTCATCGAATCGTCTCAAGCATCATTGTTTTCTAACGACATGATTCAAACTTAGGACATTCTTGTAAACTCTATTTCATTCAGGTTATTTTTCCTCAACTGCAAAAACTTTGTAAAGAAAATGGGAAATTTCTCGTTATGGTGGAATCCGATGGGCATGGTAGAAAGGTATACGGTTTTTCATGCGTTTTTATCCTGGAAAAGACTGTCTTTTCGCACTAGAATTGAGGCTAATGTTCCAGCTTGTTCTATGTCTTTCAGTCAGAGATGAGAGACAAAGGATGGCAGTCGTACCTTATCGCAAAATGCGACCTATTCTTCGGGGTGCTTGGAAGTAGTGTCAATAGGTTAGTGACATAGTGTTTCTCATGATAGACATGCTTTTTTGTTGCCGAGTCACAACAGGATAGCAGTCTGAAACCATCTGAAACTTGTTCACAACAGGCTAAAAAATCTGTCATGAAGTTGTTTACGCACCAGAACCATTCATTAACATTGTATTTTTCATTATACCCTACACATTATAGGAACAACAGTTAATTTAAAAAACTTATCATACAACCTTTTCTATAAGTCGTGAACACACTGGAAGCTTTAGCCTTTGCGGCCGTAGCAATAAGCCAATAGCAAGCTAATTACAGGAATTTCCTGGAATTTCAGATCCTTACTTGACAAGTGGAGAAGTTTTCACAATATTTTCAATACTCGTCGAAGGCCGATTTTTTTCTGCTTCAAGGAGGCAAAACACAACGCGTATGTATACTTTGTAAACATGCATGTTTCACTTTAAATGTTATGTCTGGGTCGTTAACTACGAAAATATGTTTTTGCAAAGGTCTGATGGCACAGAGGTCACCCATTTTCTTGACAGTATTGGTGAGAAATCAAAGGTATTGTCTATGAAATTAAATTGTTTGGGAGAATATATTTCTAGAGAACTTACTACTCTTTCTTCCAAGGAACAAGGGTTCCTCTCGTTAAGCAGCTGTGAATAGCGTTAAATCTTAACCTAGGTGTCATTTTATACTCATGCTACAAATCTGGTTGAGGAAAACAACGAAGTTATCCATGAAATTGTGAAAGAGGTAAGGTCATTCGGACCAAGTAAGCAGAGATAATCTTTTTTAAACCATGAGGCTTGACGACCCTCATTATAACAGTATTCCGGCTAAATTTTCACTTTTAGTAATCGTATTCGTGTGTTTTCTTTCAAAAAGGATTCACATGCGAAAGCCTAAATCCTATATATGTTTCCATGTTATGACGAGTTTTTTACAAGAACTAAAGTACATTTGCCGTTGAAGTTCACTTTTTGACAATATTCATAGTACTTAACGTCCGTGTACGAAACTTGGTACAACAGTAGAAACCAACGGTCTAAATTCATGCACAAGTTCGCTGTTAGCTACCAAAGTTGTGTGATAATGCGGTGCTTTCTTTCTTTTTTCTTATTACGTCATTGTTTCGTTCCAGCATTTTGGGCTGAGTGCTGATCAGAACGCAGAAGAGCACTCCAGCAGTGATATTTCAGACGAGGAATTGATTTCAGATGGCGAGTCGAGTTTACGACAGTTGGACATTCTACGAATGTTTACGATGTCTACCGAGAGTGATGTGGGGTTTGAAAGGGTACGCCTGTCGTGACGAATCGTTAAAAATAACAACCCTTATTTGGACCTCTTGAATGAGCAGTTTGAACTGATAATTTGTAAGACAAACCTTTCTGGACCTCTATAGTATGGATAGATAAAGCTATCCAGTATGAATAAAGCTAGTTTAGTTTAGGTTTCCTCCTGTAGTAACACTGGATCTGTAAGCGCTAATCCTTTCTGGACCTCTAGGAAGAACAGTTCAGGACTGATTAGAGCTATCCAATATAAATAAAGTTGGTTTAGTTTAGGTTTCCTCCTGTAGTAACACTGGATCAATAAGAGATGATCCTTTCTGGACCTCAAGGAAAAACGGTTCCGAACTGATTAGAGCAATCTGACAGTATAAATCATGTTAAATCATGCGCTAATTGTTATTATTTTTTGTAGTATTTTGAGAAATTAGACGAATACGTGAACAGTGTTGGTCAATGCCCACCGTTGTTGGTCACCGGCGCTTCTGGATCTGGAAAAACTACACTATTAGCAAAATGGTGAGACATATACTTTTGGATGCTGTTGATTTTGTGCCGCTGGCATCGCTATATTATGTTTTGTTTTGAAGGATCACAAGGCAAATTGCGTCTGGGGAGAATGTGATTTTGTATAATTTTGTTGCCAGTACAACCAACAATGTTTTCACGAATCCAGCGCATGTTATGAGGCGATTCACATCACAGGTATATGATACACAAGTGTGCCGTGAAATTTTGATGTCATTTTGCATAATTCGCGTCTCTTCTCGTTCAGTTTCTTGGCTTATTTCCATGTCTCTGTGCCATGCTGCATTGTGATCCAGTAAAATGTGAGGAATATTTCCTGAAATTATTAAAAACAGTTCCTGCCAAAATCAACACAAACATTGTTATCGTCATCGACTCAGTTGACAAGCTTCAGGTAGAATGCCAATTTTTTATGCTGTGTTTGTGAAATGTGTTGCTCAGTTCTGCTAAAACGACTCATTTCATCCTCACCAGATGTCGGTTAGCTATCACAGTACTGTGGTACCATATAACTATTGTTTCTACTGTTATTCAATGTAGAATTTTTCGTCCACGCATTATTTAAACTGGCTGAACGAAGTTGAGTTGTTGCCAGCCACTGTGCGCGTGATACTTTCGGTAACCACTGGCAACGAGCCATCTCATTTGAGGTAGGAACTTTGGTGATTTTTTGCAATTTCCGTGTCACTCCGCGTGAGTTTTTAGACTTAACTTCATTGCACAGGTCGTGGAATCTAGAGATCTCGCCTTTGACGTTTGATGAAAGTCGTGATGTTTTAGTCTCATGTTGGCGACACTCAGATATAACACTCCGTAATAATGAGGTCAGTTTGTTTATTGTCTAAATCATGTGATAGACATTCCTCGTGGGGGGGGAAATCTAAGTACTTGAGGAAAACCGTTGGGTTGCCTCCCCCTCCAATCCACGAAATATATTCCACAGTTTTGAGTTGTCTGAGAGATTTCAAGGCTTGATCTCATTTTGGAGGGGGGGCGGCTTGATCTCAGTTGGGGGGGGGGGTGGCTTGCTATGACAACTGTTCAATATCTTACCTAAGTCGTGTCTGCTGTCAGACTTTTGTAAACATTATCAATTATGTTTTTCTCAGGCAAGTAAGTTATTGAAGAATCTCTCACACACTGCAATCGCATCGCCGTTATTCTTAACAATGCTCTCGCGTGAACTATCAAGGTATGCTGGGATGGGATGGACTCGATGGCCAATGATATAATTTGTAACAAAGAAGATATTTTATCCCGTATCTTGAACTTTCACAGGACATCCGATGTTGTCACAGATATTCAAGAGTACGCTCTGTTTAAGGTATGTTTAACATACTAAATTCCTCGCTTACTGATAACAAAAACTTAACTCGACATTTTGCAACAATATATATCCCCTCTTTCACAAATATATCATCTTAATTGTGTAATTTTTGGCAGAATGTGGTGGAGCTGACTGTCTCGACTTTGAAATCATTGCAAGAAAGCAAAGGACCTTTGATAAATGAGGTATAGCATTTTATTTTGACTACGCGCTGAAATGAATGAAGCGATTCCCATAGACTCCTTGCACATGACGCCGCAGGCCACAGCAAGCATCTGGAGAACGGTGTAAAGTCTGCAATCTTTATACGAATCTTCGTAAACTTCCACAGATATTGTCTCTGGTTGCCTGCAGCCGCAGTGGTTTGACCGAAGCAGAATTGATGGAGATTCTTTCGTTGCAATGGTCTGAATGGGAACCTCTTTTGAAATGCCTGGTTTACGATCGACCAATACTTTGTGATGTCAACGACTTTCTTGTTGTTTCTCATGAGCAGGTATAGATAGTCGCGTCAAATTCAATTTGAACAAAAGATAATGAGATAAACGTCATTAAGCTTCATTATCATCTAATTATCTATATATACATTATCTATATGCGATGTATAGACTAGTTCTGAGATTTCATTCTTTTAGAAACATTGGCCGTTTTCACACTAGAGACGCATTATGCGGCTTCAATATATTTTGTCTGGTCATTCGTCTTCAATATAAAGACGGACAACAGACGCATTATCCGTCTAGACGAACTACTGTTGGTTATGCGTCCTTAAGACAAAAAACTGAAGACTAAACGTCTGGACGTATTATACATCTGTTGTCCGTCTTTATACTGAAGACGAATAGAAACCAGACAAAAAATATTGAAGACGCTCAGTGTGAACTAACTAGTGTAACTCTCTTGACTGAGATGTTATTTGGGGACAAAAAATACGCTTGACCTTTGGTTGAGAGGTAAAAATTGATTGAACACCGATGCCTTAATTGTTTTCCTAGATATTAAAAGGAATCTTCATTCATTTAAATGGTGAAGAAACTATGCGTCAATCCAGAGAACGTCTTGTCGAATTTTACACGGACAAACTAAAGTAAGACAAACTGTCGTTGGTTTGGTTCACGTTCTCGTAAACATGCAAAGGAAGATAGCAATTTCTTGGAATGTGTTCATTTTTTCTTTCATAGACATATTGATATCGGTTTCATCTATTCTCCGCAAAAAAAAAAGAGTAGAAAGAGTGTTTATGAATCTTTTTAACGCTTTAGAAACGACGGTGTGTCTGCCTCGGTTATCGACCAACTTCCATGGCTTCTTGTCCAACGAAACGACAAAGAATCTTTAGAGAAATTCATTTCCCGCATCGACGTTTTTCTCGTGTTTATAAAGAGGTAGATGGAATACCTTGGCGCTTTTTTACCACTGCACTTTCCGGAAACTAATCATATTTTTTTTCACCCAAGGAGTCTGTTTTCCGACTTGTTGTCATATTGGCAGAATCTCAACTACGAGTGCTCAGCATTCGCAAAAATATACATGGATAAAATACGAAAGCAGGAGGGAGACACGCCGTGTTTGGAAATCGCACTCCGATACGAGATCCTTGGAAGATTTCTGAAAGGCATCGGTTTGTTTTCATTGGTAAGTCTGACATGAAGCTAAACTAACTTTATTTGCAACAGCGCTGTTATTAAAGAGCTTCCAATCGTTTCTACAACCACAAAAGCAATACAGAATATTCTGAAGAACCCTTGTAGATTTCGCCGAAATCTCCTCCTATGAGACACAAGCGATACTGTGAGTCTCCTGAATTGTTTTTTTTTATGTTTTTTTACAAGGCGATGAAATGTCTGGAACGCGCCTTGGAAATGAAGGAAATGGTTCTGGAATCCGATGACCCGTGGGTGGGACAATCCTTGCATCATTTAGCTGATCTATATGTCATGCTTGGAAACCTGGAGTAAGAATTTAGTATCTCCAGTATCGCATTTCGACATGCCCTAGAAAAGGGCAACGTTGGACATGTTTTAATCATCCTGCTCAAGACTATATAACGAGGCATTCTTTTTGATTTCCCTTGCTTAGATCTGCTGAGGCATCGTATAAACAAACTTTGGAAATCAATGAAAACACCTTAGGCAAGGATCATCCATTGATTGCAAAGGTATAGACATATTTATCATGTTGCCTTAGTACTGCGGCCGGTTGTATCAAGCCCGTTTAGCTTAAACGGTGGATAAGTCAAATTTAAATAACACTCTTACATCTCTCTTGCATGAGTCAACTGGAATATTATGCACTCAATATACAGTTGTAAACAGTATCTTTGTATCTTAATACAAAGATAACCTTAGTTAAAGACATTTTGTTTGCTTCTTGAATAAAACGATAGACTTGCTTTCTATTTTGAACTTAGCCACCATTTAAGCTAAACTGGTTTGATACAACTGACCCCTGAATGCTAAAACTAAAGCTTTGAATTTTAAACTCTTTCTTTGTTTTTCAGGAGCTTGAATGCTTGGCTCATGTAAAGAAGAAACAAAAGAAGTATGGCTTTGTTTTTGCTTGTCATAATCTCTGTAGTTCTTCCTAGGCATGTCAGAAGAGTGCATTCAGTTTGGCCAACCAGTGCATGGACTTTGAGGTTTACCAGTTTCGTATTTCACAACTTAAAATAATAAACTGACTATGCATTTTCTCATTGTGGTAGAGAACGAGCTTGTACAGAACTCGAACGCAAAGCAGCCAGGATACGTCGGAAAGCTTCGGTACCAAAAATGTCTATGGTAAGTCAATTAGGTCGTGGCACTGCTATATTGGTAGCCCGATGATGCCAATAAGAGTAAGGGACTGAGTTTTGAAGTCTGCACATCTGGGGCGGGTTTTTCGAAAGGCGTTAGCTAAACGGTGGATAAGTGAGCTGAAATATTTCGATGCAAATAGTTTAATTGTCAATGAAAGTACATATTAAATGCATAAGATGCAGGTTCAGTCATTCACAAAATATATGAGAGTATTTTTAAACTTTGGCTTATTCGCCGTTTAAGCTAAACGCCTTTCGAACAACCGGTCCGTGGCTGGCTCGTCTTCTTTTGAAATGAATCAAAAGGTATTTTATTAATCCCCAGTTTTTATTTTATCCAGCTGTCATTCTCAAACAATCTGGACTGTAGACTTATTCAAGTCAATAATCTTGGTGCCGGAAGAAAGACCCCGGAGACTGCGACTTCACTTCACAATGTCGGGGTGTTACTATCAATGGAAAAAAGATACCAGTAAGTTATGGAAAAAAAGATAGCAGTAAGTTGTGGTGAATCACAAAACCGGTGGGTGTTGATGGTCACTCGGTTTAGCACTAATTTAATATATACTTAGACAAAGAACGGTTGATCCTTGTTGAGATACTTTGACTTAGAAGATTACAAATATTGTCGCCTTTAGAGATGCTGAAACTTTATTTAAGAAATCGCTTGCAATGCGGGAATTCCTGTTTGGCGAGAAGGATCTTGTTTTGACACAGTCTTTGGATAAGCTCGCATCTTTGTACTATGACAAGAAAATGTAAGTCTAACTACTTATTTCTATCTTTTGGATAGCCCATGTTGATCACTGCCTATCAAGTCTGGATAATGCTGTGTTGCTTTCTATCGATTGCAGGTATTTTGATGCGATAACTTATCACAAAAGATCTCTGGTGATCAAGCGAGAGGTGAGCGTTTTCTAGACTCGTATAGAAAGTACATGACATTGACTGACCTCTTGCATGAAGCGATATCTAATGCACTGTGTTTGTATGCTTTGAAAGAAATTGGAAGAGGGTGATCCAAGTTTGATTTCAACTTTGAATCAACTGGCAATCGCGTTTAGAAAAAATGTACGTATATTATCTCCTCCCACTTCAAGTCTTGTTCAACGTCTTTCATGAAATCCAATTTGTGGATATAGTCTTGTTTCTCTTTTTCAGGGCAACTTTGAGGCCAGTGAGTCTACTTATAGGTATATCAATCACATGCATTTTATACTTGTTACTACCATGCAAAAGACCATTTTGGAACCAATCACATGCTTAAAATGAAAATATTTCACTAGTTCATTCCCCCCCAATGTGTGTTTTCCTCAGCCGACGCTCTTTACAGAGAACAGCTTAGAAATTCGAATTATTTGAGATATGAACTGAGGGTCAGTTTGGTTCAGTCTTGATGGGAAAAATTTTCGTATCTAGAGAGGTGTTGGTAGAGTTAAAGAGAAAGCACGACGGCAAAGATCAAGCAATTGCTACGGCTTTGCATAACCTTGCTGTTGTTAACTCTGATCAGGTAAATGTATTGTCAAAAGATGTGAGGATTCATAACAGGTTTACTTTGGGGGATATCCTTGAAATCTTGTGTTAGTTGATGTTTAAGAGCTCTCTTTTGGTTTGAAAAAACTTTCCTCTAACAGTGCCAAGGCATTAAACTGGAATTACGTTTTTAGAAAAAGTTATGTGAGGCTCTGCAGCTATTTGAACAAGCTTTAAAAATCTACGAGGATTGTCTGGGAGAGAATCATCCAAAAGTGGCAGATAGCTTGAGAAATATTGCAAAGGTTCATCTTGACATGGTAAGAAAAGCAGACTTCTTCGTATGATTCAAGTAGACAACCAGTAAATGTTTCGAACTGGACCAAAAACATTGCAAAGCAGTAAGTACTAGACTAGTCAGGCTAGTATTAGTAGCAACAGTCAGCACTTAGTCAGACTAGCAGTACTGCAATGATCAACTAACATTGAGGAAGGTTGAAAGAAAAACACTGAATAAAACATTGCAAAGCAGTAAGTACTAGTAGCAATCGTTAGCATTCAGACTAGCAGTACCGCAATGATAATCTGACATTGAGGGTCGTTGAAAGAAAAACACTTCACAAAGCGGAAAGTACTAGACTAGACAAGCTAGTATTAGTAGCAATCGTCAACACTCAGTCAGACTAGCAGTACTGCAATGATCAACTGACATTAAGGAAGGTTGAAAGAGAAGCACTTAACAAAGCAGTAAGTACTAAACTTGTCAGGTTAGCATTAGTAACACCGGTTAGCACTCGGTCAGATTAGAAAGTACCGGTACCTTGCAAAATCATTTTTATACTTGCAGGGCAATTCAGATGACGCGTCGTCATATTTGCTTCGTTCCCAGACGATCAACCAAATCGATACTGACTTGTCGATGACCACTTCCTCTCTCAACTCCTCAATGAGTTGGATAAATGGGAGCACACTGGAAGTTATGGATTGTTAACAACACACAGAATTACTCACAGTGTGCGATGGCTGTGATGGGGGAATTAATTCACAGGTGAAACGGATTTTAACTCCGTAAGGCGATGGTTTTCAAGTCAAGGACAAGTGAACGCCTGGCATTTGGTGGACCCGTTTAGAGCAATTTGGTGAAATACCAGTGAAATTGGTACCAATATAGACAAATTTTCCTCCAAGCGCTGTTACTGTACCTTTCCTATAGACGGATACCAAAAAGAGAAGATTAAATTGAGAAAAACCACTTTGCCAGTTAGGTTAAGATTTGTACTTCTGGTCTCAATGAATCGAAATATGATGGACAAGAGGTGCATAGCAACACTCTAGTAGAAGTAGGCTCTACTGAAATAAAATTTCAGTTTTGTATAAATTGAAGGGCATATAGTATGACATTTTCTTTGACACGACACTCACGTCGAGATGTTGTATTTTATATTTTTATAAAAGGGTGTTCGCCCAGCATGAACCGTAACTTATTAAATTATTGTGAATATAGTTTATTTTAGGAAACGCACTAGAAATGCCTTCAAAATGCAGGATATATCATATTAGGTATGCTATAAGCTTGTGAGTAATTATATAATATATTGTATATGATATTGATTGTGATTAATTTACAATGATTTCCATATTTGTTGATGGTTTTAATAAACAGATGCACATCATTTGGTCAACGGTCCCTAAGGTTTGAATCCATATAGTTTATTCTATATCCAAATAAACAAAATTCGAGTATACCAGTATGGGAAAAGGGAGTAATATAAACTTGGAATATTTCGAGAGTCAGAAAGGGAAAAAACTTTCGCTGAAAACGTGGGCCCCGTAACGATGAAAAAGTGGGTACACTCATTAGAAAATTTGCCACGCCCCTGGCGTCAGCAAAGGTCAAAATCCGCCATGTTTTTTGCTACAGCAAGTTCTCCAGGTGATATAGAGCTCAGTGTTCAACGTACGAAAAGAAACATGGCTGCTTCTCCAGGAGCGGAAAGTTTTTCATCTTACGTATGTTTGTCAAATAAACCATTACGGTTTGATCCAGTGAGCCGAGAGAATAGCGTATTCTTTGATGAAGCTAACAAACAGGTACGTACGTTTATGACGTTCATCCATACTGCATGCAAGTGTGTTTATCCAAACGTTTTATATCCATACATACTGCATGCAAGTATGTTTTGTTTATAGTCTGAATGATTTATTAATACGTACGGTATGTTTCTGCAGGTATTTTCAGTACGTCAAGTTGAAGGTTACACCAGAATCATCGTAAAAGGACCCGACCATCAGAAAATTTCGCGTTTTGAGTAAGACATTTACTTCATTTAGTTTTAAATCCTAGTCGATCTTCCTGGAGCCTGGAGGCAACACGGAAACCCTGAATGAAAAGTTAGCAAATTGCATGCTTGAGATTCGCGGAAAATAATAGTAAATAAATAGACATCAAAATTGCATTCTCAATATCTCATTTCTGCAATAGTGTAGATATACTTTCCCTACTGGTTGAAAAGAAATATGTTCGTTAGTTATATACTAATACAATCCAGTCACTGATGTATTATAAAACAAGACCCAAGCCTTACACTACCTTAACCTGTGAATGAAGCTGCCTTATAAAGAATGATGATGCCTTTAACACACTTGATTCTCATTATTGTACAATTGTTGTCATTTAAAGCATCCCAGACAAAGGTCATGTTGCATCAATCAAGTTTTCACCAGACCAGACCATTCTCGCTGTGCAAAGAACAGCTAAGACTGTTGTAAGTTTTTCTATATAGAACAAAATTATTCATGTCCGAAGCTTGGCTATGGTTTAAGCATTGTTAGCAACTGTTCAATTATTATTTCCAATAAAAATTTCCCTTGTAGGATTTCATGAATTTCATTCAAGGTTCAGATGGAAAGGAATATCAGCAATCATGCAAGGTTTTAGAAATTAAAGCTTCTTATTTCTTCATAAACTACCACATATAAGAATTACCATTTATATTCAAATTTGTTAGAGCAAGTCGGCCCAAATCATTGGGTTTAATTGGACTGGAGCCAATGAGATTGTGTTTAATACAAATCAAGGATTGGAGCTCTATCAGGTCAGCGTATATCATGTGAAGAATGGCGTTCAGCATATCCTTTTCGAAGCAGAATTTAAGCAAACTAAAGTGATTTTATTTTCAGGTTTTTCCAGAGAAAAATAGTCTTAAATTAATCAAGAACTACAGTGTACAAGTCAACTGGTTTGTGTATATGGTAAAGTCTTTTTTAATGGTTAAGAGTTGGTTAATACATTGCAATTATTGCTCAGTATATTTTATTTTATCCGAACAATATTTTGCAGGCTGACATTACATTATTGCTATTCTCATCCACGTCATTAGGGAATGTGATTCACCCTTATTCAATCAGGGTATGTGTGAAATGAGTAATAGATTATAAGTCTAATCTATGAAGTATGACCCTATTTAACATATTATTAAATTGTATAGGCTGGTGCAGTTACCAGGCTGCCTAAGTTTGAAGTTGAACTCCCCCCTGTTTCCACACAAAAACCCAAACCAACCCCCCTGCTGGAGAGAGATGTCACAATTTCAGTGCTGTAAGTTTTCTGATAATTGGGCAAATTTCAATGTCTATTGTGGCTGTAGCACAACGAAATATACCTGTTCCGTGGTTTGTTTAGTTTTTCTTCTCATATACAGTAGTACCTCTTCAAAACAACACACTCTTTCTTAAGGTATGGTGAGGTGTATGTGATCATTTTGAGGACACAATCAAGATCTAACAGACCTCGTGGAGAATCGCGATTAACAAGTGGGGCTGAGGTTGTTCTGTATCATTTGTCCAGGTACTGAATATTAAGACTGGATCAGTTCATGTTTAAGTGACCCCATGCAGCACTATAGCTGGAGGCTTAATTGGCAGGATGTATATTCATATATTATGCCTGACTCATTCAGACATAATATTTTCCCATAGAGTGATGCAATTTTCCCATAGAGTGAAAACATGAATATTTGAATATAGACCTGACAATTAGATGGTCGAGCCATAGACCACACATGAATCCATGTCAGTGGTGTTTTGTACTTCAATGACAGTCAAATTTTCAAATTCAAGTGTTGTCTTCTTCAAATGAATTTTTGGGTTCTCCGCTCACTTTCAATTGTTTTAGTTCTGTTATTTTGACCAGAATTTTTTATATATAAGTAAAATTGCAACCCAAAAGGTATAATTTATGATGGCCTATAAACAACGGATATGTAATTTCCACAGTGATCGTCCAGCACGAAAGTCATATGTTCTTCAGCTCAACACCTGCGGTCGTTTTGCTGTAAATACGGTGGTATGACACGTCTGGGACCGGTTGTTCGAAAGGCGTTTAGCTTAAACGGCGGATAAGTTCAAAATGGAAAACAAAATTATCTATTTATTGAACAACTGAGCTGAACTAAATATTTTGATGTAAATAGTTTAATTGTCAATGAAAGAACATATTTAATGCATAAGACACAGGTTCAGTCATTCACAAGATCTATGAGAGTATTTTTAAACTTTGGCTTATCCACCGTTTAAGCTAAACGCCTTTCAAACAACTGGCCCCTGGAATATTTCATGGCTTGTTTTGTTTAAACACACCCCATATTCTCATTCACATGCATGATTTTTGTTTTTTAAGGATAATCTTATCGTCGTTCATCACCAAGCTTCCAAGGTATGTGTATTCGACTAGACTAAACTTTAAAGTTTAAAAAGCCAGAACTCAATAGCGGCTTAAAGGCATCAAAGGAACTTATAGTTTTTCCTTAGACTGTATCACTATATGCATGCAAATATCTTGTGATGCCATGTTCTCGTATTTCTTATTAACTCGCTGATTTACGTCATCGTTACTTCCTGACAAATTTGTATAAAGATCGCAGCTTGCTTGTAAATAGTTAGTTTTGACAATGACTTTGAAATAGAGTCGAAAAATCACCTTGAATATTGTGTCTTGTTTTTTAACAACTCATATCTTGGGTTTACAAGATGTTCATTTTCGGAGTATGTTTTCTCTTATATTTCGCTAAACTTAATCGTATTGATATTCAAGTTTCATGGAAGTCTTTCTCAATATTCTCTGTAGACAAGCATGGTGTTTGATATAAAAATGAAGGGGGTATCTGATGGCCAAGTTACGTATCTCGAACCAGTTCTAGCTCCCCTTTCTATTGAGTCGTTCACTTTGTATGAAGGTGAGTATATACGAGGTCTGGTTAGGACGTTTTCTCAATCCATTGTTCCGATATGAATGAAAGAAAAAAGCTCAGCTTAGAAGAAAAAGCAAGTTGTGAGATGAACACTTTATATTGAGTGGAAATAACTTAGCTGCAAATGTTGGTATAAAATCAATTTTTTATCTTTTATTTCGAGGTACTGCAGCATGCAGCTCGCCCGAAGATCGTAAAATAACTAATTGTGAAATGTGTATCCTTTTATGAAAGCGCTTATAACAATCACAAGGTCTAGCCGCATGTTTTTCTATCCATGTACAGTAACGTCTGGTTTTACCAAACGGTGTTTCCTCTTGACAAACTCGATAGATTCGGCGAATTGGATCGTCTTTCAACCGAATATAATAATTGACGCGAAACTTGGTAGGTCTATAAAGCTAAGTATTTAGCCTTTTGAATGACAACAGATTTCGTAAAACTAATCAATGACAAAGATTTTAATGGCTTGCTAGGGCATACTGTATTTCAGATTCCTGCATGGAAAGTTAAGCATTACCTGATATAATTATATTTCAGGTTGCCTTTGGGGAGTCTACATGAAGTTGAACCCACTTCTGAATATGATAGCGGACAAGGTTGGCTTTTCGAAGTTGTATTTAAAAGAATAGGCACGTTAATGCGTACTGATGTACTCAACGAATCTTCTCAACCTCCAGGCAATGTTGATCGAGTTTTTGCTTCTAAGACGAAATTCCAAGGGGAATATTATCGATGTTTGCAAGCAAGGTAGAAATATCGTAAAACTCCTCTTTCGTTGATAGTGTGTGAAATGAATATTCCTTCGTTTATTTTCTTCAGCATTAATGCCTCTATCTCATTGTCCACTGGCGATGATATCCAAGATCTTTGATAGACTAAACCGCGCGTATTTTAACTGCTTGGAGAATGAGGGAAACTCATCGCAGGTGAGTTATAGATGATGTTTTTATTCCTAGGTTACCCTCTGATCTAGCGGAAATGGCAGATTTTTAGAGGGTACGTACACGACAGTTTCATCTCCATAAAACAATAAACAATGTCTGACTCGATGATAAGGGAAGCCACATTTCCAACTTTTTTCCCGGCAATCAAACTTTAGTTTCACTAGACTGGATTTTCATTATTTGTCGCTTTAGAAATTAAACCATATATCAAGGGATCTTTTTCATTTAACAGACAGACCAAAGCAAACGAACTCCAACGTCAAACAAGGCCAGGTATGTATACACCCTGAAGTTTTGCTGGAATATCTCGTAATTGTGACCTGTTTTGAATGGAGGATTTCGTAAGTATACTCTATATCGAGTTTGAAGAAGTACAACTTCCCCAGTACGACTTTGTGTTTTCACGTAAAGACCGCACACACACTTATTTACACATAACAAAAGCGTTTCCGTATATATAAAAGATTACTGCAAAATCGTCTTAAGGTCTGTTCACACGATCCAATTTTGTGGGATCCAATTCACTTCTGACGTATGAAATATAGTCGGTTATTGATAAAGCAGTCCTGCATTGGCCTCAGTGGATTTGCTGCTCATATACATTACAAGACAACAGACTATAAAACATCCATCAGAAGTGAATTGGATCCAACAAAATTGGATTGTGTGAACAGACCTTTACTTGATGAATTCTGTCTCATCCAGAGAGTTGCTGGTTTCTGTCAAAGGGAATGAAAGGCCCTATAAGGAACTGACTTCGATACCTCTATATCTTATTTGCAGAAATCGTCGTGTTGTCGATCAGGAAGATATGTACAGAGATGTGTTCTCGCCTGTTGTTGCACACGAGGTATAAGAAACAGAAGGATAGGGAAGGATATGGAAGGATAAGGAAGGATAGGAAGGATATGGAAGGATAGGAGGGATAAGGAAGGATGAGGAAGGATAAGGGAGGATAAGGAAGGATATCCGATCACTGCTTGTAATTATCTCATAATATGACCTCGCATGCAATGTTTTCTATTTTAGGACACAAATACAAGTTTATAGTTTCCGTGTTGATCGAGTACATAAGATCGTTGAATGAACTACAAATTGTTGTCGAGGTGAGGTTGCATTTTCAGTGTATCGTATGTTTCACGTCTGAATGACCGCCGATAGTTGCCAAGTGTTTGCATGAAGTTTTATCAGCTCATAAACTATCATGAAAACTTCGACATATGTCAAGTCATTAGCAGCGAGCTCAAAGGAGAGTATATCCTTAATAACTTTGCTATTATTTTTCATTATTCTAGTATTGTATTCACGAACTCTTGATCAATATTCTTGTGCATAATAAACGCTACTATCAGCTTCATCAAGTGAGCAAAATTTCCTATTCAAATCATGCATTATGTCTCTAAATAGATCCAAAGTATTTTCAAAGATTTTTTCAAACGTTTTAAGCGTTTTTTCACCAACGCCTCTTCCAATGAACTATAGAAAAATTTTAGAACTTCAAACACCTTTTCATCTTTCTCAAACAGCTGTTGCAGTATCATGTAATTACTGATTCCAAGCACCTGGTAAGTTTATGAAACCCTACGTTATATTTTACATTACAAAGCCTACGCTATAAAGCCTGTCGTAAACAGGTCGTTTTCACCGATGGGAAAGAGTCCAGATGTAAATTCATCTTAATTGTTTTCTGTATTCAACTCGGCTATTGACCGTGCACCCATAACGATATTCTATCACATCAACCACCTTGACATGTTCACGACATTTACAACGACAGTAAATGGAAACGTTGCTAAATCAGTGTACGTTTTAGACTCGGTTTTTAACTCGATTTCATCTCGTTCAAGGCTTGTGTAATGTTGTCGTTGGAAAAAGCTTACCCCCCGGCTTATCAGTTGTCTCTCGACATGCTCAAGGTAAGACGATGATAATAGCACGTCTAAGTTTAAACTTTGAAATGAAAGCTCTGAAAAAGCTGTTTGGTGTATACTTCTCTTTGAGTTGAAGAGTGTAGCTTTTATCTTCTTGTAGAGGTTAAATTCGGCGAATGAAACAATTGTTGAAATACTATTATCCAAGGGTCAGGTAACTATAGTAACTTCATTCATTCTAAATCCCTGCATGGGGCCGGTTGTATGAAAACTGGATAGCGCTATCCACCGGATAGTCATCTTTTTAAAAATTTTATCTTTGAAAGCAACAATTATTAAAGAGGATACTCGATTTAGAAACACTAAGATTTAATCAAAGTTATAGCAAACAACGGGCGATTTTATACAACCGGCTCCTGGTCATAATTACAGCTGCATCGACTAGATAATTACTTCGTATGACAAGCACAAGACCTTGATTCTTGCTGCTCAAAGTTCCTCTATTCTTTCTTGATCATACATGGATAGAAAACCTTGTTTTTCTTTCATTTCCAGCTATTACCAGCACTTCGTTTCCTCAGAAGCATAACAAGCGAGGACTCCGTTTCGCCGAGGAAATTTCTCGAGGCGGCACTCAATACAGGCGACTCAACGCTATTTTATACTGGTTAGCGATGACATGAAATCACTGTACTCTTGGTATAGGTCATTTTCATTTGACTACATCTCTGTGTCTTGTTCTTCTAGTTTTTAAATTTTTTGAACAACGTAATCAAAAGTTGCGAGGGCATCCTATGTTTGTCCCAGGTATGTACAAAATATCTCAAAATATCTCGAACTTAAAGTTAAAGCTGCTTTCCACTTACGCGTTTTTTATACGCACGTACACGTACGGAAAATTTTAAATTCTTTTGAATTTTTATTATTTAATATCTAGAGTCAACTAATGCATACTAAAATATGCAGAAAACTAAGTTATTTCGATTTATTCACTTAGTTTTTTCAAAGGTAACATGTACAAGGATTAAACTTTTACGCGCGTGTACGTGCGTATGAAAAACGCGTAAGTGGAAAACAGCCTTTAGAAATACCCAAATGGATGATGATTTTGGCCGGACAGTTGAGAACCGACGAGATTATCATCATAATGTGGAAGTGATTTTCTCGAAAAGGGTTCTCGAATTTACAGCCACGCTTATGGCACTGTGTCGTGTCTCTTTAGGCGAGCACTGTGAACAATTTGTGGAGTTATTTGAGACGAAATTCGGTGATGGAATACAGAAACTGCCTTTGAAAACGTGAGACGGTCATTGTTGTTTTTGCATGGAACGAGTGTTCTGTAATATTCTCATTGACACAGTGGTAGGTGAAAACGCTGTATAAAGACTAATAATTTGTATAAAGAAAAGAGCTTCGAAGATGGATTCCGAAGACTGGCACTTTTTTAATGAATTCGAATGCGGAATCGGGCGGTCACATGATTTGGTGAGATTACTGGTAAATGTAATATGCACTCTAAATTTTGGGATGGGCAGTCGTCACTTGTGACTTGACCCAATCATGAATCATTGACGTTAGTGAAAGCTGGTGATGGATATACATTTTGGTGAATAATTTATTTTGGCGTATTCTGATAATTTGCAAGAATTCATATCTGTACATGACTGGATGCCTTCAGTCATATTTTCCGACTGGGTAGATGTCGAATGATGTGTAACCTAACCTAATCTTGTTCAATACAATAACGATACAACGTTACAACATTATTGCACTGTAGAAATGTTATCATTGTTACCCACTGTTACCCCCCTTACTTCTTATAGTTTGCATAATTTGCGTCTCATATGGGCGGGTCCCTCCTGCTTGCGGGCTAGCCACCCCAGTTCTCTATTATAAGCTCAGCGCAAATTTAGTTGGAGCATAGCGAAGCTAGCTTTAAAATTACGATTTTTGCTTAAAAGTTTTAAACTATTGCAAAATACAGCGATGGCGCTACGATGGGGTATTCTGGGTGCGGGAAAAATAGCAAGGGACTTCGCTTTGGCGCTCAAAACTCTTCCTGAAGGCGAAAATATAATGGTCGCTGTTGGATCAAATTCCAAAGACAGAGCAAAGACGTTCGCGCAAGAAAATGGCATCTCCAAATCGTATGGTTCTTATCAAGAATTACTCCAGGATCCTGAAGTTCAAGTCGTGTACGTGGCCGGATTCACAAACACTCATGCAGGGACTTGTAAAATGGCTTTGAATAGTGGAAAACATGTCTTGTGCGAAAAGGCATTTGCAATGAATTTAAGAGAGACGAAAGAGGTGCTGGACCTTGCTAAGCAGAAAGGGTTGTTCATAATGGAGGTATTTATTCTTCGTTATTTGGTGTGTTAACCTAAAACAGCCCAATCCCATTTGTTTAATTTAAATATATTGCTATTTTTTGAGAAGTATTAGTATTAATTATGAGGTTAGAATTGGTTATCTAACAGCCCTGGTCTCCTGACGAAAAACGTGGGTTTTGTATGGAGCAACAAACCGTTAGTGTATGTCCGTTTACTAGTATAACCCAGATTATTAGCATGTTATCCTGTTTTAAAGACTATAGTATATATAAAGAGCCAGAAGAGGTTGCCTGTATTATTTTTAGAAGTGCATGGTAATGTGGGGGTAAAAGGGTAGTGGGTGGTCAGTGGTGGTGGTTCCTGATTTGGGATGGACTAATTGAGAATTAAGGGGGGAAAGACAGTTTTGCAGTGTTGTATTATACAAGTTCTGAGAATTAAGGGGGGAAGGACTGTTCATTCAAAATGTATTATGATTTTGAAAAAAAAATCCCACAAAAGCATTATATAATGCTGGAAAGATGTCTTATATATATGTAACTAGCTGGTCATTACTCTCAGAAATAGTACCAACAGTCAAGATTACTGCTTTTAATTTCTAAAAGTTTTAAGCAACATTGAGTTTTTACTTTTACTTTTTACTTTCACTTTTGAGATAACATCATTGTTATTATAGCAATGAATAATGTTGACAACATTGACTGATCACTATTTTTTATCATAGGCAATGTGGTCAAGGTTTATTCCATCATATTGCTACCTTCAAGAACAACTCAACAAAAATGCAATAGGCAAAGTGTCTGTGGCGATGGCAACATTTGGTCTTAAAATGGATACCAAACCAAGAGTATATGATAAGAACTTAGGAGGCTCAGTCCTCTTGGATATTGGGATCTATACATTGACATTTGCTGATCTTGTGTTTAATGGTGAGAAACCTGAGAAAATCACTGCTTCTGGTCATCTTTTTGAAAGCGGTGTTGATCACACGACTAGTGTTACATTGATGTTTAGCGGGAAGAGGATTGCTCAGTTGCTTTTTACTGCTGGTATGCAAAGTATTTTTATCTAAGTTTTTTCATAAACTGTTCTTTTATCAACAAAAATACTACGGGTTAATTGATACCAACCACATGTCTAATATCAACTAAAATTATATGTACAATATTCCAGGTGTGGTCTTGCCAAACACAGCGACAGTTATTGGCAGTGAAGGGTCAATTTCTTTTGAAGCACCATTTCACTGTGCCACCAAAGCGGCCACTCCTGATGGTATGAAGGAATTTTCCTTACCCGAACTGGAGCATCCATCTAATTTTCAAAACTCTGCAGCCTTAAGGTCAGTATAGTTGAAACATAAAGTAACTTTGAATTGGAAGAGGCTTTGTTTCTATATGCATATGTGGCTTCAGGTTTTATCAATTACTGCAGCCTATATGTAGAACTCAGTAGCGTAGCCAGCCTGTCAATTTGTCCCTGAAAACAATAGATTTCTAAAGACATGAATAATTATAATAACTCGGAATTTACATAGCGGGACAAAACCGTCAGGCTGGCTATGCCACTGGTAGAACTTAATTGTTGGCCTGTATGGGACCACCTTGGTGCATTTTGTTGATCAGATCCATCTTTCTAGGTATGAAATTGATGCCACAAGGAAGTGTATATTGGGCGGAGAATTGGAGAGCGACATAATGTCGCATTCAACAACCATCAGGATTATGGAATACATGGATGAGATCAGGAGACAACTTGGAGTGAGGTTTGATCAGGATGCGGAATGATAGTAAATGTCAATTTTTTACCCTCTGATGAATATTAGATATACAATACACCCTTTTAATTATCTAGTTTTTCAGTATCATGTGAACATATTGTGTAAGAATTTAGCTAATTATTACGTCTAGAACAAGTGTTTTAGTGAACATAATTTTAGTGACTTAGTGGCCGAAGGTTTTGATTGTCACCCTGCCAATCAACCTCTTCCGTTTTGAATATGGGACGATTGAACTGGGCAATCAAATTGCAGCAAATTAATAAATTCACAACAGAATTTATCAAATTGTTAGAATTCAATACATTTATTGTACTAAAAAGGCTTTTATCTTTCTTCTGTGAACGAAATTGTTCATAATTGTTGAATGAATCTACCATGCGAACAGAGTCTTTAATATTTTCGTTTCGTTTCCCCTTCCTGAGCAGGAGAAACGAAAATAAGAAACGAAAATAAAGCTCTACTCGCAAGGTAGAAGGAATCATAATTGTGGCACATTTTTCGCGTGAGTGAAATGTCTACGTCAGGTTCTGCATGAATGATTCTATGAATGTATGAAAGATATTTTTGTGACGTAACACACGATAATGAATATCATATGATATGATGAAATGTTGTTATTCAATCTGGTTTAAAACGTGTTTGGTCCCTGCTGTGTTTTGCGTGCACGAGAGAATCTCTGTACTTGTGTCGGTTGTGTGTATTTGGGAGCAGTGATTTATTTGATACTTCGCACTTTTATTTGGTAATATTAAAGCTTTGTCGGCCACGAGGAACCACAGTAACGAAATACAGGTCTTAGCTTTTGCTTTCTTCAAAGGTAAGTTTACTTCTTGTGTATCGCTGTACTATAATATTTATACAATTCGTTGAAGAAAGTGTCTGATCAGTGGATTTACTTCGTACGTATCATGCAAGTGCTAATGAAATGAAAAGCTGATTAATTTAATTACGTATAGCTTATTCTGATGTAGCTTTGGAAATTGAACAAATACCCGTAGTGCTAGAAAATCCGGTTAAAATTTTATCTTAATTATTTTGGCGGCCTCCGTCGTAGATGCGAGGTTTCGGCAGGTAACGATCACATATTCTTACGGGACGAATATGTTCCTTGCCAATCTTAGAATTTTAATCCAACCAGCACGAAATGTAGCTAAATATTTGACATAAAAACGAGGCTATTGTATACAAACTTAACTCAACAGTAAGGTCCCCCCCCCGCCTTCCTAACCTGTTGTTGACCCCTTGCTTTTGCATTTTCAATTCAACACTCTTCGACTTGTGAAAGTCGGTAACGCAACTTGCTTGTAAAAAAACTGTTGGAAAATATAACCAAACTTCTTAGTGTTTGTTGAATAGTTCATTTAACTAAATTCTTGCGAACTGTTTCATCACATGCTCTTTCATTTTTCTAGGCGACGAATAATGTCTCTTTTGAAGCCAGATTTTCATTTGTTCGCATTGAACGCCAGCTTAGACCTGGCAGAGAAAGTTTGTTCAATATTGGGCATCCATGCTTCGCCTGCATCGGTTGGTTCTTACGCCAACAACGAAACAAAAGTGGAAGTGGATGTCTCAGTGAGAGGAAAAGATGTCTTCATTATTCAATCCGGTATTGGCGAATCACAACTGGGAAGTACCAACAACAGCTTGATGGAACTGCTTATTTTTGCCTACCATTGTAAAACGGCGTGTGCAAAGAAAGTGGTCGCTGTCATTCCATACCTCCATTACTCAACTCAAAGTAAAATGCGACGCAGAAGTTCAATTCCTGCGAAGCTCGTCGCGAGCATGTTGTGTCGAACTGGCATCGCAAACTTTATCACCGTCGATTTACATTCGAAGGAAATCCAGGGCTTTTACAACCGTCCAGTTGACAACCTTCGCGCATCGCCTTTTCTAACCGCGCATATCCAGAGCCATATACGACCGCGTGGGGAACTGGTGATTGTCGCCCTCAACCCGCACACGGCTACTCGTGCTAGTCCCTACGCGGAGCGCCTTCGTGTGCAACTCGCAGTGCTCCATGGGAAGGTAGAGGACGACGATCCTGAATCGGACAACGAAGACGATGTCTCGTCACCAGCTTTCAACGACAGCACGGAGTTTAGCTTTGACAGCGTCCCGACCGAAAGGCGAACCCGTGTCGAGCGCCATTCGATATCTTACGACACTCCTGGGTTCTTACCGAAGAGTAAACCATCGATGTATGTCGTCGGAGATGTCCGGAATAAAGTCGCTGTCATTGTGAACGATCTAATTGACGATGCATCACCTTACATAGTCGCCTCTCAAGTTCTCAAGTCAAATGGTGCGAAGGAAGTATACGTAGTTGTTACCCATGGTATTTTATCCGGGTCTAGCCCCGAGGAGGTAGAAAGTTCCGATATTGATGGTTTGGTTGTGACAAACACAGTTGAACACGAGGGGAAAAAGAAACGCTGTGGTAAAATTAAGACGATTGATATCAGTAGTTTAATAAGCGAGGCGATCAGAAGGATTCACAATGGTGAATCCATTTCATATCTCTTCCGAAATGTTTCTGTGGACGACTGAGCCGCTAGCGTTGGCCATTTAGTGCTTCCACAATCGCGTATGGAAGAACCCCACGATGAAAACGAGGCTAGGACTAATCATGCTTGAATATACATTCTTCAACACACATGCAGATGAGCTAGAAGAAAACCTTGACTTTTGACCACGGTGAAAACATTCATTAATCATAATTAACAATTAAAGCCATACTTCAGTTTTTCAAAATATAATATCCCATCGTTTCAAATAAATACATATGTTTTTTCCCTTGGAGGGAAGTGTAAATAACTGACTTACAATATATACATGTATATAACATCGTTTGTGCAGTTCAGAGGATGAAATTTTAACAAAATACAATTGTATTAACTAATCATCAAATAAAATCATATGTGATTATTAACAGCAATAAATGTACAATATTAGATGTGCGTGGATACATGGAATGTTTGGTTGATTGTGCGGGGAATCTAGGGGTATCCGCGAACATTTTTAAAACGTTCCTATGTGCAAGCTATAACCGAAACTTAAAGTATTACTGGAACGACTTTTAATAGGAAAATCACAAAATTATCGCACAAGGTTGTAAATGATATGAAATATTCTTAAGGATTCTATGATGGATGTATGAAATAAGATTCACAAGAATTGTGAAACTGTAAACAAATACTCTGAATGTCGAAGTGTTTGACCAGTTTTTCCTTGATGACTTTCAGATGTTTTCATAAGAAAATGAACGAAGGTTTCGTTCATCGGATAACGTGATCTGCATGGCACAATGGTAAAGTACCAGTTTTGTCTATTGATAGACAATGAAGTCGCCGTAATTTCAGTAAAATTGTTTAACAACCTTGGTTTCAAATTCTGAGAAATCCTCTATTAGGTATGGGTATCGAACTTTTATAATAGAGTTCTCCAGACTCTTTATAGGAGTTGGACGTTGTCATGGAGTGATTCTTTTTATACTTTCGTGGAAAGGAGGCTCTCTCGTCTTTCCCATATTACCTTTGGAAAAGACGTTTCCATTTCTCTTTATGGGTTCATGTAAACAAGAATGGTTTTCTTAATGCTTCTTCTCCTAACCTAATCTCGTCCTTGTGCTCTTTAACTTCCTACAATAACAACAAATTTGTAGTTTATCAAATTTGTTAGCTCCACGTACTTTGTCACATGGCATGGTGCTTTCACAAAATAAGTTGCTTCCTCCGTTTCTCATGAGGTCCCTTGTCAATTCTTACCTTTTGAAAGTTAATATCCAACTGTTCCTTCTCATTCTTATGGAATTTCTTCAATTCATCGACCTCTTCTAATTGTCTGTTTTCCAGCTATAAAACGAGGGGGATAATTCGTCTGACTTATAGTTAGTGATGTGATGGAACGGGAGCCTGCGTTCAAGCTGTATGGCGCGATTGAATTCATAAATACCCTTTGTCTTTCTTCCATAAAATCTTTGATATTTAGTCTGTCTAACTCTCGCAGCATCCTAGGATAAAACGAGACAAGACGTTCCAGTTACATTACTTCGTTCTGTTCTAATTTCGGTTTGCGCATGCTCATGAAATATACACCTGCTTCAGACTGCAAGGTTGGCTGATGAATGTCCTAATGGATCGTTCTTCAGAAAACACCTACAATTTTTAGGTTCAAGCGAGCTAAGCTAAGCACAGATATCCAATGCCTTAATCTCGTAAGCAAACCTACAACTTCTTAATCTCGTAAGCAAACCTACAACTTCTTAATCTCGTAAGCAAACCTACAACTTCTTGATCTCGTAAGCAAACCTACAACTTCTTAATCTCGTAAGCAAACCTACAACTTCTTAATCTCGTAAGCAAACCTACAACTTCTTAATCTCGTAAGCAAACCTACAACTTCTTAATCTCGTAAGCAAACCTACAACTTCTTAATCTCGTAAGCAAACCTACAACTTCTTAATCTCGTAAGCAAACCTACAACTTCTTGATCTCGTAAGCAAACCTACAACTTCTTAATCTCGTAAGCAAACCTACAACTTCTTGATCTCTTAAGCAAATCTACAACTTTTAGCAGAGTTTAAAAAAACTTCTCTGCCTAACGTAAACAATCCTAACGGTGTTTACCTCTCTCTTTCTTCTTTGCATTTAATTTGTTTTCCAGCATTTTTGGACGTTTCTACGGACTGTTTTCCCTGGTTCTTTCGTAGATCCGAGCATTCCCTCTCATGCCTCTGTTCCATCACTTTCAACTGACTATCATGAGCGGCATCAAGTAACTTCTTTAGAAGCGAACATTTCTGCAATCAAAATCGATCTGTTTTAAATATGACCTTGAGAAATATGCATAAGCTCTGGCGAAACGGACGCAAGCCGATGCAGACATCTACTTTTGAATGCTGGTTGGAATGGCTTCGTTGGTTAAGGGAGTTAATTTTTCTTCATAAATTCAAATTATCACCTGTGGCGAATGGATGTCGTACAAATCGAGCTCTTCCTTTACTTGCTGTGAAATGAAGTTTGACCATTCTTCAGATTGCTTGTTAATCACAGCTTTTACCTAAAATAGGTAGAGAATGCTTTTAGAGCTTTCTGGGACAAGTAATGTTCTACGTATAGTGAAGGTCTTTTAAGGGGCTGTTTACATGAGCCCGGTTACCCGAGATTCAACGAAGCGTGAGATGATTTTGAGGTATTGAAATGAGCAGATAACATGATCCTGGCAGTCGTATAATCACCACAACAATAGCATGTGCTTGTTTGGTGTCATAAAGACTTCTTTCAATACCCACAAATATTTCAAATATTCACAAATATTTCAAAGGCCTCCCACGCTTCGTTAAATCTCGGGTAACCGGGCTCATGTAAACAGCCCCTAATTCACTTTAACGCTCAGTTTTTGCGGAGACAAATTTTTCCAAGGTGGGCTGGAGATTTTTGATCTGGAAGTAAAATGTCCAAGCATCGTTCCTCTTCTTTATTTCCCAGCAGACTTGGAATATAAAAGCTTACCTCTTGTTGCTGTACCGTTGTAAGGTATGCCAACTTTTGCTCGTGAGCATTTTGAAGCTGTATCAGATCACTACCACTAAATAATATATCGTTTATATTTCGATAAAGTGACAAACTTCACAACTAGATTCACTGAAAAACATGCACGTCAGTCAAACTTCCTAAATAGAGTTTATCAGTCGTATCGTGAAGATGAACTAACCTGTATTTTTTCTTTGATCTCTCAAAAGTCTTTTTCTCATTCTCTTTGTTCTTCTGAGCGTTTAGGAAAAGTTTTTCCAAAGCTGCGTTGTGAGTTTTGCTCAGCGCGGTTCGTTCCTTAAAATCGGGTTTGACAACCTGAGATAATTTCTTTGCTTATCGTTTCCCTCATTCTTTCCCCTCTATACTTCTCACCCACCCCTACCTCGTTTCCTCCCCTCTCCGTTTCACCCTCTCTATCCCTCCCACTCCGGATTACCAATACCCACCTTCACTAATCGTTTTGTTAAGGTGTCTGATTCCTTCTGATGTTTCTTCATCAACTTTGTAAAAACCTGAAAGAAAAAGAATTAACAACAAATATTAACTTCCAATGTCAAGAGAAAAAAGATGGTGGAAAGTTCTCCCAAACCTTATCTTTCTTTAATTCCTCGATGTTCACTGCTTCGAGATTACTTTCGACTACAGAAGTTGAAAGAGACCATGAAGGATGTTTATATATTGACTGACCTAACACAGGCCTGTTACATGACGTACTGTTGTAACACAAGACAGAACATTGGCTAGTGTTATAGTAACAGTGTTCTCAAGCAGCTGTAAGTTTTTCACTCTGTTGCTACCGTGTTAGTTGACAAGGGACGGCCATTGACAGCTTCCAGGCTTAGGACAAGCTGTGCCAGCGCATTTTAATACAAATATGCGCTTAACCTGCAAGTAGAATGTGATTACTCACGTTGGGTGGGAAGTCGATCCAACAGAAAGTTATTGAATTGTAAACTTGATGCCGAAGATGAAAGACTAAGGGTAACAGTCGATTCTCTTCTGTTGTTAGGAGAGAAATTCACCAGTGGTAATGAGTTGTACGAGCCTTTGGGAGACTTCTGACTAAACCCATTTGTGTTCGTTGGATATGTATCAGATACCTCGTCATAATCCTGGAAAAGTATACCACAAAGATGCAAGGTAAGATTTCATACAATTCTTCGACTTGTTGCATTCTTCTTAATAAAGCCAGTCAAGTAAACTAAGCTTAGAATATCAAAATCGATCATGTTATTTTGAATGGCACTGTGTGTATTATAAATAATCGATTGTTATCAATAATATTGGATCAACCTTCATATTAACAATCTGAATTACTAAATTAATCTTAATCCTAAACCTAGCTAGAATCCTAATCCAAACCTTAGTCTTAACGTTAATCCTATACCTCTTCAAAATCAAATATCCTACAAATCGCCTCAGCTCTTTTCTCAACGGCAGACTGATACTTGATTGGCTGCGAGAGCTCATCAACAACACCTGGAAACCCAATCAAACACCAGTTATCAATCGGCAATGTGGAATATGAAATTTCCCAAAGGGATTCATCAGCTTGTAATGTTTAGTATCGAACAGATATCCATAAATCTTACAAGAAAATCCTTCAAACACAAAGACATTAGATATCCATAGATATCCATAAATCTTACAAGAGAATCCTTCAAACACAAAGACATTAGATATCCATAGATATCCATAAATCTTACAAGAAAATCCTTCAAACACAAAGACATTCAGTGATATATGACAAAATAGTGTTGAAAGAGATAGCGGACGGCATCCTTCAGTCCACAACGGAATATGACGATAACCTGAAGGAAAGTGAATTCAAAGTGGTTAATTCTGCATCTGAACTGGGTATAGAAGTCTTCATAACATTCGCATAAGATAACCTTGTATAATTTCTGGGGACAATTACCTGGTTGAATCGAGCTAACTGGAATAACTCGCTGTCCTAGGACTCGATCACTGTCGTCAAGAACTGTGAAGCGAAGTAACGCCAGTTCTGGCAGTACAATCTAAAAGATGAGTAGAAATGCACTGTAAATTAATTTCACCAATTTAGGAAACATCATAGCAACTGGTCATAGATTTACGGTGCAATGAAACCTACCCTCTTGAACGAGAAATCCTCGCTGTCATAAACGGGATTCATTCCATTACTGTTGACTATTTTGGTTTTATATCTCTTTCTGACAGTGTCTGTGGGCAGGCCGTACAAATCTACTTCCACATACGTTCCAACTCTTTTATCCGATAGAAACTGCCCTGAAATGACCTAAGGGAAAGATTCTTTATTAATGTATCACGTGTGCTATTACGTTGCTATCACGTGTGCTACAGGTGTTCTATCACGTGTGCTATCACGTGTGCTACAGATGTACTATCACGTGTCTGCCATCTCCGGCAAACGGCAGTATTACCTTAATACTAATACACGTCGCCACCACGCCGTCCACAGGAAGTTCAGTAAACGGATCGAAGTTTTTATCGCTTTTTCTCATCACCGAAGGTTTCAACAAATATCTAAGGAAATGGGAAGCAAAGAATATATCTGGTCAATTGGAACCATAAAAGTAGCGAGTGGAAGGTTGGGGGGGGGGCGAAGAATTTACAGGAACTAAAACTGAAGGTAAGAAGTGATAAGGTAACACTAGCTTACCCACATCTGCCATTATCAACAAACTTCCCCGAGTTTAATTGGAAAGCGAGATCTACAAGTAATTAAGAATATGTGTTGAACATTTGCGTTGTACTATACATATGGACCATGACGTTTTACACATATTTTACCACACCTGTTGTTTGAAGGTTCAGAGCAACCATTTGAGTACCAGCGTTCCAGAAAACCTATGAGTATGTTTGAGAGATGAGGGAGGGCCATTTAAAAAATGGCTTGAAAGCTTCCAAGAGATATACTGAAGCTTCTGAATTACATTGTAGAGTGTATGTCACACAGCATGTTTCCTTAGCTGCCAATAGACACAGTGACACATTGATATCGTAACCATCTTTATTCTTACCTGGGGCATGTAGTTACTGGAATCGACACGGCTACCTTTGGGATATATTCTTGAAAGCTGTCGCTGATTGTATCTTCAAATTATTAAGGAATTCACCCACCAAACGACACGCAAAAAATTCTACTCGTTATCATTTAAAGATCTGAATGTATGGGTGCAAGGTTTCCCTATACGCGTCGATCCACGTATAGCAAAGTTTTGAATGAGTTAAGACCTGTGCGAAATCTTTGTAACTCTACTTAAAGAAAAGGATACCTGACGAATTCAACTGGATTGCCTTTAAGAAGTGTAAAAGCGGCAACCTCGTTGAATGAAGACATTCGATAATGAAGGTTCGCTTCTAAAAGAGGAAAACAAATTCGGTTTACCGCGATGAAAGAGAAGTTCTTCCTCGATTGGACTGGCAATGTTGGTTCGGGAATTCGACTTCGTGGTTTTGGGGATGGATCTAGAGTACCGCCCTGGTTTAATCCGTGGGGTACTAGGAGTATACCTTTGAGGCTTTAATCCTTTCTTCCTCATATTTATGGCTTACCTTCGGATCTCTCAAAGCCTGGAAAAGGAATCGGCTGCATGTAGTTGACAAGACACGAGAGACTGGGATGAATGTTGCTAAGCGACGCTGAATGATGGTAATTTGCTAAAATATCCACCACCTCATCTGTACTGATACTGCTCTGGGAATTCTAAGAAACAAAATTAGAATTAGAAATATTAATTGCAAGATATTTCGTGGTGTTTGACCGCACGAGCATTGGATGTTGATTCATTTATATTCTCAAATCCATCTTGCTAACTGCATAATGACCTAAGGGAAAGATTTTTTAATGGATCACGTGCGCTATCACGTAAATATAACGTTGTAGGATTTGAAGGTTGGTATAGTCTGAACGGAGAACCATCAGTGCATGATAAAATTTTGACTGTAGTTCACAGGAAAAACTGCGATAGAGCTTATAAATAGCTAAAGAAATGAGCGATCTTTGGGCATGTCTCTCTCTAACCTACACTTGATAGAATAGGGGTGGGATGGCAACTGGGACATCAGTCCTGTATCTAACTCCTGCCAGTCGTCTATTTGGTAATTTGTTATTTGTATAAACATTTATGTTATTGTAATTTACTGGCGAATTAATTAAACCTAAACCTAATCCTAATCAGGCATGCAGTAATATGCGCTGATTGAAAATGAACTCATCAGGCTGCATCATCATCACCTGTCGTTGTTGGACAATTTTGATGGAGCTTCCAAAGGACGCAAAACTCTCGCTTCGTTTCACATCTCGTTCCTCGTCAGACTGCGTGGAATCCGTACTCGCTGACGAACTCTTCCTCGCTGTCATCAACTCGACCTCGGGCGGCAACTTTGTTGTTCGCTTGTCTTTACTTAATGTCGGGTACATCGCCTCGGTTTCAGTCAGGCAAATATTCGACATAATCACCAAATGTTTGTCGTCGTCATCTTTGGAATCACTTGAATCCGAAGAGTCGATCTCCAACATCATCTCATCAAAAGCATCGAGTGCATTTTTACCCCCCTCTCTAATCACACCCTCAACTTCTGTATTCGAAACTTCCTCCTCAAGCTGTTCTCTTCCTTCGTCGATACAACCATTGAACCGTTTCGCCGCGTCCTCTTCTTCCAGCGAACGTTTCTTTCGTTGCCTGAAGTTGTGCCTACGTTTATCGTTCGTGTTATGGTTGTTTCTCTCTGAATTAATTGACGAACGTAAAGTCTTTTCGTCCGTTAAAATATTAACAAATCCGTCGTCTTCCTCTTTCAGCGCTGCCTCTTCCCCGTCGTTATCCTCAGATAGCCTTGTCATGCGTGGTCGAACGCTCTTGATGTCCTCAAGACGAACTTCACTCGATTTACGGCTTTCTGTGAAAGCAAGGACATGGTTGAGATCAGTGGATCAGGATGGAGCAGTGGAACTGCTGTGGAATCGGGCATTTGCAGAACTTGATCAAGAAACGTTTAGCAGATAAAAAAGATGATGTCGTTTATGTTTTTTATTTATGAATCAATGTTTTTTTTTCAAGAACTGGGTGGTTTAAAACGGAATGGTTCTCTATAGTGCAGGATATCAACGACTTTGTCCCAAGCCCGAAATCTTTTCGCAGATTAGCAAGTCATGAAAATCAAAAGTTTTACCTGAGGAAGCAATACTTTCCGAGTCAAAGTTTGATTCCTGACCAGGTCGTAGCTTCTTATTTTTTATTAGAATTTTTCTCTTCAAATGATTTGGTGAAGGTAAAGGTTGATTCTCCTCCAACTAGAAGGGTATGAAATGAATGAAATTAAAACCTTATAGTTCGTCTTGATATTGAGAGTATATGTATTGAGATTATATTAGAATACAGTTGAATTACCGGGTGGGAGTCGAATGGTGAGGATAACAAGAGATCTCCGAGTATTTCAGTGCAGTAGCACGCAATTTTATACTGCTGGTACTTACTACAAAACAAATTTGAATGTGGTGAATTACACGAGTAATCTAGGGAGATATAAGGAGAAGAGATGGAAAGTTGGTCAGAGATATTATAGAATAAAGTGATCGGACGTTTTGAAGTGGTAGAGAGAAGATGAGAGAAGCAAGGTTGAGATGATATTGACATGTAATAAGAAGAGATGAAGGAGAGATGATCTGAGATATTATGGAATGAAAAGATCAGAAGATGCGAGGTGGTAGACATTGCAGAGAAGATGAGGGAAGCAAGGTTGAGATGATATGGACATGTAATAAGAAGAGATGAAGGAGAGATGATCTGAGATATTATGGAATGAAAAGATCAGAAGAAGATGTCAGGTGGTAGACATTTGCAGAGAAGATAAGGGAAAAAAGCTTGAGATGATATGGACATGTAAGAGGTTGTTGGACAGAGGTTGTAAGAGATATTATCGAATGACGAGATGAGAAAAAGATACGAAGTGGGGATAATTCAGTTACAAAACTGACCTGCAATGATTCTCGAACGAAAGTAACACTGGATACTCCGAGGTGACGAAAGCAGTATCTCTAATAGCCTCGATAACATCCTTGAAAAAAATCATAGGAATTAGAAAGTTTAAAATATGCATATTATCAAGTCGACTTCAAGCGATGGTGCCTCACCTTAAACATGATGTTAGTGCACATTGCTTTGCCATGAGTAATGATGGGATCATCGTTAGGACCATCCCAACAATCTAATTCAATACAACTAAAAACCAGAGATCAATTTTGATCAATGGAAACATTTAAAGGTATATGAAAACACTGAAAATCAAGCTCAAGTGAAAATACTGCTGAAGGATGTGATTGAGATCGCCCATTCAATGAGTTTGAGGGTGAGTGAGTTTTTACAATACAAGGTCAGATTTAGGAGTAAGGTCGAGTCCGTCGGAAAACCGCGTTTTCGACCATGGTTGAGCCCGTCGGAAAACGGCGTTTTCGACCATGGTCCTAACTTGAGTCAGTGGCGGATCTAGGGTTGTGCAGAATGAATTACTAAAGCTTAAAATCGGAATCGCATTGGTAGATTTTAATGTAAAAATATTCTTCTCAAATCTATAACCAATAGCATTGTTACTAAGGTGTTTTGAATTTAATATTAAGCTGTTCAATTTATTCTGCACACCCCTAGATCCGCCACTGACTTGAGTTGCTGGTTTAGTTAACTTGTCCTTACCGGCATCCGCTCAGCAGACATTGTCGATATATTTCTACTGAGGATTTTCCTCCAATCTGCCTTCCTAAAACGTACGATGAATTTCCCGTTTAATTCATGCGTTCAATTCACTTTGTGAAAAGAAGAATTTTGGGGCAAATCATATTACACCGTGCAGAGAAACTATGATATAATTTTAGCGCGTTTTGTGCCTGAAATACTGACTTAAAAATGACTTAAACATTTAGTTGCTTTCAACACCTTCACGCGCTGTGAGTGAGGTCTAATGACTTGTCAGTATTGGCTACACAGACATGAAAGAGATAATCCGTTATTTACCTGTTAAGTACGTGTTATGTGAGGAGTTTACGAAATAATGCGAGAGAGGTTGATTCATATCTTGATGTACTTCAAAGATTTCCGATTTCACGCTAAGATTTTCATCCGACATTAAATATCGTGATAAACCATCAGCACTCATACGTCCTGCATACAAAGTAAAGTATTTTCCTAAAACTCGGGTCTTGGGTGGAATAAATACAGACGGTACTAATCTAATTGTTATTAGGAGCGTTAGAGTCTAGAGGTCGAAAGGTGAAGTATCCTTGTATATTCTCCTAAGAGTATCCTTGATACTGGCTAGATTGTTAGCGCAGTTAAACTATCAACGCGTAATATCGTTTTCGGCTTAATGAAGGACCTATACCTTGATTCACCATTTCTGCACATTTCTCGTACTTGCTAATGATTTTGATAGCTTTTTCTTTGTTACAATAGGGATACAAGATCTCATTCGCGCTTGGATCTCGCTGTTCAGTGTTGATGAATTCCATCAGTCTCGTGGGGGTTATATAAGGTGCTTTACCGGCTTGCCTGGAAGCGAAGACACAGGCGTCAAAATGCAAACGTGGATAAGATGTGTTTCACCATTGCGGATTCTAGTCTTACCATTTGGTAAAGATTTGATCGAAATCTTGTCTTGGGCAAATTGTTGCATACAGTTGGTAAAATGTTTCAAAAGTGAATAGGGTGTGGTCAATTTCGTCATTCTAAAATGGAGTAAAAATAGGTACGTTTAGCGTACACGATTCAAGATGAAAAACCGAGAAGATTCGTCTCATTTTCTGAATTCCATTTTCTACATATATGCTTGGAATATACCTTTTCATGGGGCAGATCCATCGCTTGTAAACCATCCAAGATACGCTTTTCATAATTTTTACCACAGTTGAAACATTTACAGATACTTGAAGAAAAAGAAGGAAAATTACTATGTACGCTTTTCTATAAACTTTCTAGGACACCATTGCAAACAGGTAAATACCTTTTCACTGAAATTTTCCCATTGACCTTTAGTAATGTTGCCTTTACATATCTGAAGAAGAAAATGTTCAGTTTTATACGAACCCACCTAAATGACAGACTCTTTCAAAAGTTACAAGAAGATTTTTTATCTTAAAAAAGGATGAAATAACAGAGACATATGCCAGTCATATCAAAGTCAGATGTGAATCACTCACAATTTTAAAAGCATAGCCATCACACTTAAGTTTGTTGCTTTTACAGAATTGCATATTTGCTGTAAGCCTTCAACCCATTCCTGTATCGAAAAGAAATTATATTTCATGCTAAGTTGGATTAATCTATATGGAGGAAGCTAGTGTGAAGATCGACCAACCCTTGCAACCCTTGAAGAACTTGAACAGAGATATATATTAGTTGTTTCCACCAGATTTTGTGAAACAACAATTGTAAGCACTCGATCCTTAATAGGCTCAGGACCGCTGCATTCCAAGCTGCTTCGTGCCTTTCCATCCTACAAAGATAATTACATTCTTTAAGACATGCTCAGGGCAAAACGTAATCAATGTTATTAATTCCCTGGGAAAATAAGCCTGAGAGTTGTATAAAAATTTGATTAAAGGTGACATGTTTGGGCAATGTTAAGAAAAGGTGATTAAACACAGGTGTACTGCTCTTATTGAACAATAGGGCTGAGATATATTGCATGCTATCAATTCAAAATAATATCTAGCCTGGGTTGTTTTTTGGAGAATATTAGGCTTCAGTGTCTGTTTTGTGAAATTAGCAATTTTTAAGCTTACCCATTTTCAATGATGACAATCAACTCCCTAAATATGGACTTTACGGTATTTCAAAGATCATTGATGATTTAAAATTAGTTTTATTTTTATTTTATAGCAATTATTGAAGGATGACTTCAATAGTTTTTGTTATATTTTAAATTTATTGATAATCAGATCATGACTTACACTATTAAATAATCTTTCGTATTCACGTTTCACACCCTGATTGAAGTTAATAGATTAAATCAGGATTAGTATGGGGGTTAGTATACAACATTTCATGGTTTAAAAAAATTATCATAAAAAAAATTGTGGGCAAAATGGAGTCTATTTTTTTAATCAGTAGTCAACCAGAATTTTTAATTTTTAGACAATTTAACGATAAGTACATTCAAAAATAACTTTAGTAAGTTGGTATAAAAGTTTGTGGTTAGCATTTGCATCTTTGAACATGAGAAAGCAATGAAGACTGGCATAAAGTTATTATGTTTGAATTTGGGGGAAAATATAAGGTCAATTTTAGATTTTGCTAAATGTTAATGACAAGTGTTTTTATTCGTATCTTTAGATGGGGTTCAGCAATTAAGCTTTATTTTAAATCAAAATGTTTCTTAATTCAAGCTGCAGGTTAGTTGAATGTCTGCTGAATCATTAGCCAAACACAGTTATCCAATGCAAAAAGACCAACAACATTGAAAAACTGGTTAAGTTAAGGGTTATGCATGACTGTGCTAACTTATCAAGCAGTGATCACACTGGCAAATTTTTAAAGGATATAGACTAGGCGTACAATTTCCTTGTTTTACGCTGTATTATATAGACATAGTGTCGGATTTCCAATTGCATAATTCAATTAAAGTATGGAAATTATTTTCTATTTATTAAAAGTGTCGTGTATAACGTGTATGCTAAAATTGATATATCAAGCTGTCAAAAAAATAAATCATCTCGTGAAATATCTTAAATTTGACATTTACTTGAACCCTACTTTAAGTCTTTAACTATCGTGTTTTTGCTGTACAATTTGAAGTCTAATTTAATTGTTGAAAAAAATGAGATTTTAGGCATCAACGGTATAAATATAACACATATACGCGTATATGTCAGTTGAATATGTAAATAAAATATAAAACGCTTGCCAAAAATGAAAGTGGGTATTACATTATGTAATAATGTAGTTACACTTCATGGAAATATCAAGTGGTTCAAGGTAATAGGTTATCAATATCCTGACAAGAAAAAGGTTTGAGCATGAAAATGATCTAGCCTTTTATTGCCTTAATGAAACTGTCTCGTTCGATTATGCATTATCTTTCAACAGCAGGTATTTCGTTTAAATATTACAAGCGAAATATCTTTGTTATTTTTCAGGGATCTCAAACGAAATTTACGAGCACAGTAGGGAGCGCAGTTGACGAGTGAACCGCATTTGGGTTCGTAATAAAAACATACAAAATACCGAAGTACCAAACATAGTTCAAAAGCAATTTGGGTTTTTAATTGAGAAAAGAAATTTAAAAGCGCGGCTATTTTGAGATTTAATGAGTAGGCTTGCTGCTAAATGCAAGACAGCTGTGTTCTGGCCATTTGCATTACTATCGTCACAGAAAGCGGCTCAATTTATAGATATCGTTTAAACCCTAATTCATCGGCACATGTCTGGGAATTGCACTTATTGCAGGAATGTTTTATCAAAAAAAATATGTGTAAGAAGCGCTTTGTGATACTGCTCGAAAATATAAACATCGCATGTATTAATCGCTGCGTTTGGGTTTTGTAAACAAACGTTGTTTTGGACATATATAATTATTTCGTACTATAAGTTTCAAGAATTGCGTCGTCCGCGATATCAAGAACTCTTTCGAAATGAAGAGATTCATATTTAAAAATAATTTTAGAAAAAGCGCATCGAATGCGTCTCGTCTCTGATTGTAAAATGCGTCTCTGTTTTGGTTGGACTTTAAATGAAGATTGATCGTGCAAAGGAACTAGCTAATGAGCGTTGAACCTGAATATTGAAAACAATTACAATTTAGGATTTATTGCATGTTTCATGTCTGATAAGGAAATATACGCCCGTTCTACTGTCATTTGTGACAGAGGCAGCATATCCCAACATTATCAAATGGAGTTCTGTTCAAATATTAAAGAGCCATAAACTACGGGGGTCATAAACGCGAGTGATTAAACTCGAGATATTTACAAGCCATGATACTCTAACTTGTAAGGGTGCAAAAATTTATATAAAATGAAAAATAAAATAGTCACCTTCGGCAGAAATCCTCCTAGCTTCACTTCAGTTACATTACTCAGGTCCACACAAGACGGTTCCTATGTCATAAATATATGATGTCAAAGTCTTCAGATAAAATCAATAAATATGGACAAAGCTCGAAAAATTAGCTTGTTTCCTACAAACTATAGCTTTATTGTATTTTTCCTAGCGTTACATAATTTATGTCACAAGTCAAGAACGTAATTGTTTTATCGACAGATAGTTTAAAAACTGCGAACGAGCGTCTATAATAACAGATCACTGACACTAGCCCATGTGTTTGTCAAATTTACGGGATCTTGTAATTTAATTCTTTGGGATTTAAGGTGAAATATTCGGGAAATGTGTGAGATATATGGATATACTTTACAAACCTTTTCAGGCTCACGATAAGCGAGGAAAAAACCATATCGATCGACTGTAAAATGACATTCATGGACTCCACTGGACTCCTAATACAAATTTTTAGTAGACGAAGGATATGTCAGTGTTTATCAATCAGTGAATACTTAGTGAAACTTTTTATAGCGAAAGAAATGTACAAAATGCCCCTTTTGCACTTATTTTTTTCACGCATTTAAATATAGTTTAAAATAAGCCGAGTCGTAAAGAATAATTACATAAAAATTTCGTACGTGATTCGCATAAATCTTCTTCTACCAGTATATACAAAAAATATTTCAAATGATTCGAATTAAGTGTCAACTATTTTACCTCGTCCCATTTATGCAATATTGTGCCGGATTGTAGTAAATTCGGTACAGCAATATTCCATATTTGCATTGCTATATCCATATCAGACTTTGTGTTTGTTTCACTGTAGTTTTAAGTACAGTATCGCTGCACAGTGATCGTCTCGTCCATTAACAAGTCTTTCTCATTTGTATACATTGTTTCGTTTACAAAAGCCATATTACCCGATCAAAATGCATCGTATCCCCGTACAATAAATCATTACACAAATTCTACTGGGTATCATTAAAATATATTCAATAGTATTATTGACTTCCTTTAATATATGTCGATAAAAACATCTTTTCGCGACGGCCTGGTCTGCAACCGGAAAAAAGGTGGCTGCACTTTTGCTGTAATTTCCGGTAATGCTACGATTGGTCGAAATAACAAAGAGCTTTGTAAGGGCTTTGTATTAATGCTTTTTTATTTACTTGCAATGAGTTTGTTTGTATATACAAACTTCCTCCGCCGTGGAAATAATTCTCAATGGTTATGCTTTCATAAATATCGCGTAACTAATCTCGTTACTCTTGTTCCTGTACTGTAATAATATGGTAGTAACTCGGCATCTTATATTGTGGTCGCTTTATCAGATTTAACCCCTGCTTAAACCTTGAAAGATCAGTTGGCTAAAAGATCAAAGTGTTCTTTCTTCCACACTCTAAAAGTCAAGCGAAAAAAATGAAAGTTATTTACAATTTCTGTCCACAGTTATCTCCGTAATGTTACGTCACTACGCCCTCAGGAATGTACCCAAAAATTCACTAATATGTGAAAAAAATGTTTAATTGGTCCGGTGTCCTAAAGGTGTAACGGATTACTTGATAGCGCATGCATTTTTTCCTTATTTATCCCCTTTTTCTACAAAAAAAACACTCAAAAATGTTGTGAAAAATGCGTACTATGCACAGTTATCTCACAGAGTTCACTGATCTCATCCAAATTTTGTGCGAGGAGTGCCCGCGTGGACGATATGACGTCATATCCGCGCTAGGCGTCGCGGGAAGATTAAAGCGCGGGAACTTGTGAACAAAATGGCTGAACAAGAAGGATCGCAAAATTCTCAATATAACCAAAATGATTTACCAGAATTACTAAAGCAATACTACAAACGAGTATTTCCCTATAAATTGTATTATCAGTGGCTCAGTTATGGCGAGGGTAAGACATGTATCATATGAATTTAATATTGAAAATAGATACCATGTATTAACTCTAAGGGAGTATTATATTTAAATAATATAGAGGAATCTCGAGAGGAATTATATTCGTTTGTTAAGAAATCTTGGTTAATGACATTATTGGCAAATTCATAAGATATCTTAAGAAAGGCACGTACATATAGAAAGATGTGTGCAAAAGAGGTGTGTCTTGTCCCTTGGGGTTTGGGGGAGGTCTCAGGTAGCAGGTTAGGCGCCTAAGGGCACAGTAATATTTTAGCGCATCCATAATTTTGGCTGATATGGAGGGAATAGATTATTAAATCTTAAGTGTTACTTTAACTGTAATTACTTCCATATCAACATAATATTTGTTCGCTATGGTTCAAAATGATTATGAACTAGAGCTTGTGTTCAGAAAACCCTATAGCATGCAAAATTTACTGCAATTTTTAAATCAACAAGCCTTGCAGATTTCACTCTTAAAACTCTTTATATATTTATTTTCACAGCTGGTCGTTCAAGATATTTTGCCCATCGTGAGTTTTCTTTCACTCTGAAAGATGATATCTACATCCGATATCAATCATTTACTGATCAAAATGACATGGAGAAAGAAATTCAAAAAAGATGCCCTCATAAGATTGATATTGGTGCTGTCTTTTCTCTGAAGGTACACTAAGGAATTACTGCAAGCAATTTGTACTTGAACCAAATTATGAACAATTTGAGCCAAACTATTTTATTGTTAGTGATTATTTTTTGATAAACTTATTTATTTTTATATCTATTTTCAAGCCTAAAGATAACAAATTGTCAAAAGCAAGCAATTTCCGCGCAGAAGAAAGAGAACTGGTTTTTGATATTGATATGACGGATTACGATGAAGTCAGAACATGTTGTTCGTACGTTTACAAATTAAATATTTTTTGCATGATATATATATATATACCCGTTAGCTTAAAAATTTAAATAACTGCTCTATACGTCTTTCCTGCACTGATATGTTAAATCATCTGCCCTTAGTCTGAACAAAATGCTAAATTTTGGCACTTCTGGGTGCATTGTGCCAACTATTGGGTCAATTTGTAATTTTTATCTTCCAGGGGAGCAGCTATCTGCCAGAGATGTTGGCCATTTATGAAGATTGCGATGAGAATTGTTGATAGGGCATTAAAAGGTGTGAAATAGTTTTCTCTGAAAATTTAACCAAACCCCATCTTGTAGTAAAATGTGGTATGACCATCTCTCTAATATGACCATCTCTCTAATATGACCATCTCTCTAATATGACCATCTCTCTAATATGACCATTTCTCTAATATGACCATCACTCTAATATGACCATTTCTCTAATATGACCATCACTCTAATATGACTATCTCTCTAATATGACCATCTCTCTAATATGACCATCTCTCTAATATGACCATCTCTCTAATATGACCACCTCTTAAATATGACCATCACTCTAATATGACTATCTCTCTAATATGACCACCTCGCTAATATGACCATTTCTATAATATGACCATTTCTCTAATATGACCATCACTCTAACATGGCCATTTCTCTAATATGACCAGCTCTCTAATATGACCATCTGTCTAATATGACCATCTCCCTAATATGACCATCTTTCTTATATGACCATCTCTCTAATATGTCCATCTCTCTGATATGACCACCTCTCTAATATGACCATCCCTCTAATATGACCATCCCTCTAATATGACCATCCCTCTAATATGACCATCCCTCTAATATGACCATCCCTCTAATATGACCATCCCTCTAATATGACCATCACTCTAATATGACCATCACTCTAATATGACCATCCCTCTAATATGACCATCCCTCTAATATGACCATCTCTCTAATATGACCATCTCTCTAATTTGACCATCTCCCTAATATGGCCATCTCTCTAATTATGTGACCATCACTCTAATATGACATCTCTCTAATTCATCCACCAAATTAATGTTATTTTCGTTTCTTTTATTTAGAGGACTTTGGGTTTGAACATCGTCTTTGGGTATACAGTGGTCGCCGAGGCGTTCATTGTTGGGTTTGTGATGAAACTGCTCGGAAGTTATCCCAGGGTGCAAGGTCGGCCATTGCAGAGTATCTCAGTGTTATAAAGGTTTGTGACCATTCTTATTCAAAACATTTGGGATGGATTCTACATGCAGTACATCTTGACATCTCTCAACATTCACATTTCTTTTATTACCCTGGTGGCTGTATATAGTATACTCTACCTTGGTGATAAAAAGTTAGTCAAGGTCAAATATACTGGTATATGGTGTTCTCTACCTTGGTGATAAAAAATTAGTCAAGGTCAAATATACTGGTATATGGTATACTCAACCTTGGTGATAAAAAGTTTAAAGTCAACTGTACAGATGTATTTAATTCAAAAGTATTACCAACAGCCTTCGTTTGGCTTTTTTTCAACAAGGGAGGAGAGAATCAAGTGAAAAAGGTTCATTTTTCATCAAAGCTTCATCCTTCACTAAAGTAAGCATTGTTTTCAATATTCTTGACTTTCTGTAACAATAAAAATTAGCGAGGACACGTTTTTATTCCACGACTTCTTATCTGAGAGTTTGAGTTTTGGTTTAAGCTTTGAAGCAAACAGTTTGGCAAAAATTTCATGTCATAGTTTTTTTCCCATGGTTAAATGAATTACAATGGACTTATAGACAATCAGTTTATTTACTTTTTCCCTTGTTGTCTTAAATGTATTCTTTTTTACCACCTACTTTTTCTTGTGATTTCTCTTCTCAAAAAAACTCGGGTTTTTTTGCAATGAAAATTGAAAATTCTGATTTTTAGCCGAGCATTAAGAATATTGGAAAAGTATTTTCCGTCGCTGATGTTGAAAGACCAAGACATTTTATCAAATGAGGAATCCTGGAAGAACGTTTTAGCGTTGGTCCCTATGGAAACGACCCAAAATAAACTCGAGGAATCCTGGAAAAAACAGGATAGAACATCCACGCAGAGATGGGAAGAATTGGAAATTGAATTGGTAATGTATTTTTTAATATTTAACTATCAATACTGCAATACTTCTTTTACCCGCGAAGTTGTCTGGCGTTTGACAGAGTGAAATGAAATTTCGTTTCCTCCTAATTATATAGAAATTTGATATGTTTTAAGATAATTCTCATTAGATTCTAATTTAGAACATTCTATCATTCTAATTCAAATTAGAAGATTCCTTATCCTTTTTAGTTAGATCGTTATCCTACAGTAATTAAGAGAACTTTTATTATAAAGATTCTTATCCTAATTATAGTAAGATTCTAATGCTAATACGTAAGATTGAATCCAATTAATGCACGATTCTAATTGCAATTCATCAGGGTAGTGGGATGAAGAAATATCGTGAGGAAATCATGTTCCAATATTGCTACCCAAGACTTGATGTCAATGTTACGAAAGGACTTAATCATTTGCTCAAAAGTCCGTTTTGCATTCACCCTAAAACAGGTATGTATAGTGCACTGTTGTACATGCAGAATTCCTGCCGTTGATAAAGCTTGTGTTGTAAGTTTTAGCATAGAAACAAGTCGTTTTGCACTACAGTTGTGTCCATTATTCTTCACAACACAGTAACAGTTTCAATGAAATCCTTCCAATTACTGATATTTCGAAACTATACTATAACCTTAATTTTCTCCATATTTCACAGGACGGGTCTGCGTTCCTATTGATATCGACAAAGTTGATAGCTTTGATCCTTTTGAAGTACCCACAATAAGGTGATTATAATATATCCATTGAAGATATTCGCTATCAGTTCCGTGCAGTCATTGATCATGTCTGAAAGTATTACTTTTGTTGCGTATTCTCCTTGTTCTTTCTGTTCACACGATCCAGTTTTTGTCGGGTCCAACTCACTTCTGATGGATGTTTTATAGTCTGATGACTTACAATGTATGTGGGCAGCAAATCAGCTGAAACCAATACAGTACTATTTTATCAACAGCAGACTACATTCCTTTCGCGAGAAGTGCATTGGATGCGTTAAAATTGGGTTGTGTGAACGGACCTTTACTAAGCGTGATACCAGACTCTCTCTCTCTTTTTTCTAGCGAACTTTGTCAGGAAATTGACGACACCGGCAAAAACACGCCGATTAATGAAAGCCAACAATCTGAATCTCAGACATCCAAAGGTTAGATTTAAAAATGTTTTTATCCTCTGTTTTAGTAATCCTGTAAAGGAACACGCTTTCTAACTGGCTGCATGGTAATCAGTAACCAGGCATTGTTGTACATGTGTTACAAAGTACTAGTTAATTGATGCATGACAATTAAGGCACTGTTTAGCAACAACCAATCAGACATGGCCTTTCAATTGGTACGGGCTAGCTCTCTTGTTTTAACGTTTTTTCAACATCCGAAAGTTAAAACTATGTCTTTGAACTCTACCACTGAACAACGTCTTTTACTTGAGAATTTCTTCGATACAATTTAGGATACAAGAGCGCTTTACTGGAAAGCAGCATGAAAGTTTTCGAGAAATTCTTGCAAAAACTCGCCGTGGAAAACCAGAGACGGAACAGGGACAAGAGAAAGGAAAACGGTATAATTTCAAGCTCTCCTTCATACAAAGGCATGCCCTAGCTAGCTTAATCTTCATGTTCGCTTAATTTGATGTCTTATTTTCATGCGGTTTTTCGCTGTGGTTTTGCATGTTTGATTCATTCTACAAGGTTAATTACTGTGGCTATGATAGAGAACAAACACCTTTACCAGCGGAAGGTTGATGAAATATAGGAAAAAGCATGCTCCAAAAAACAATATTTTGCATGTACTCAAGTTACGGGTTACAGAAACTAAAAATTCCTGGCGATCTTTCCACTTTATTTCAAAATAAATTATATTTAATTCGACTTTGAAATGTTAATAAAAGTCAAAAAATCACCGCGAATTGTTGTATTGTTTTATATAATTAACTTATAATCTTGAGTTTACAAAGTGTCGTTATCCGTTTTCTTCCAATACAGAGAACAAACTGAGTTGATTTATTCCGCAAACTTTATCCTGTAACCATGCCAACTTGTCTATTGCGTGATCGACAGCTTGCATGATGAAAATAATTATTTGTGCAAATATTTTGAAAAAAGGTGGCGGTAATTACAAACCATCTATATACTATAATTGATTCTCGTTCTTTATTTTACTCTGTAGAGAAGACGACGGAATGGTGAATATTTATTTCACATGCAATAAGAACGTTCCAAGTGAGAAGATAAGTTCATATATCATGTTTGGTCTATTGTGAAATATTGAAGAAACTAGAAAGTGATTTTACATCCACTTTACTCATGAAAATTGAGGACATTCTCGAATATTTGATTGACATTGGTTAAGACGTTGAAATTGGAATGTGATAATAGGAATTTCTGGGATATATCATAAACTTGAATATTCTATTTTCAAAGGCTTAAAAATCTTTTATTCTGCGTTTTGGACAATGTCAAATGGGTGAACTTTAATGAAAATTATTAGTGATTTACTTCATAACAAAGCAGCCAATTTTGACTCAAAAATAGCGACCTTTTCAAGAGTCATTTTTGACCAAAACGTAAAAGATTTGCCTTAGGAATGTTAAGGCAAGACATTTCTTTTGGTCGTTTTCCCCGGCTGTTTTTTTAGACATTGAAAAATACAAACAAATTGGCCAAATATGGCCATTAGTTATAGCCATTTCCTAAAGCTGGCGAAAAGCGCTCAAGAGTGAAAGTGCAATAATGCTTTTAGCGGGTCTTCAAAGAAGAATTAAGATAATGGATCGATGGTATCTGCAAACCACGATGTATTGTCTCTCCCCGGATTCGACCATTTTAAAAGACTCAGCTCTTTCTTGTTCTATTAAAAAGATTAAATGAGGAAGTATATTGTTAGGACTTCAAAGGCATATATGAAGCGTGGGAGTTATTATATTCAAAACTGAATTAGTGTTTCAACTATAGATCTAAATACATGCCCATTTACACTATGCGATTTCTCGTATACGATTCTTTCTCTGGCGAAGGTGAACGTTTGAACACATGTACAAACATGACACTTTAAATCTCACCCTGAACAATATAAATGAACATTCTGGGCCCTTTTTTGAGAGCATAGGCCCTCTTTTGCATACGTCAAAATGATAATTGCATACAACTTATCGTGTGGTCTAAATAGGCCTTAATAAGTCATGCAAGCAGAACTCACGAAAATGATACAAAAAAAGACTTTTAAATGCTATAAAAATGCGAAGAGGTCACTAAATAGATTATATAGGGAACGTATTTTTAGAATGAACCGTTTATAATCGAGATTTCACAAGTGTTGCTACGTAGGTGTACTACAATCATATAAAGATAAAAAACGTTAATTGCATTTTACCAAAAAAATGGAAGCTATTATATTTGCATAACGCAGCACGATTCTTTCGTCGCATGTGAAAATATCAAACGCTGTAATTCGTGTTTGTTGAATTTGTCCATTTCAATTGAGTAAAGAGTTTCTGAATAAGGAATATACCTGGTGCCTAACGGTCTAGTCGTTCCATACCAGACACGGAACTTGCTATGATGCAAGATTGCCATTCTTTGCTTCGACGTCATCAAATTATAGGAAGAGCATGTTTCGAATTCTCAAAAGGCACGCAATTATTTTCATGACACAACACTTGTTGCGAATTGCCGCCCGTTAAATGACATCGTAGGCCACTTCAAACTAAACGCAACGATCAGCATTTAACCTTTAAGGTCTAATCGGCGGTGGCGCAAGCGACTTTGCTACTCAAAGCTGACACGAGCAGATATCGTGTAATCTTTTGAGAACATTCTGGCATCCAAAAATTTCATTTCCGGTGTTTTGAACCCACACATAGAAAAGCCAAGGTCATTCTTTTAAACCTCGGTGATATACGTCATTTACCTTCAGAATCAAGGCGGGTACGTTTTGTGTTTTTGGCAGCATTCAATATTGCTCAGTCGCCTGATATTTTCGGCGTCAAATGATTACATACAATAACTGAATAACGGCTTTATGCCAAACATGCAATGTCAAGCTCGTTGCATTATAAAACGACAAAGCTACGCTGTTGTGGTTTGTCGACATCATAACGAGGTTTTTGCACGGACAAGAAAACCACATTAAAAAAGCTCGTGCTCTGTCATATTTTGTTGCCTCCTAGGCATGTTTTGTGGATGAATATTGTTACAGAAAGACAACAGTGTTTACTTGCAATTTCTCTGAACGTTTAACGGGTCTTTAACCAGCTATATTATTCTGCACACGTCCAAATTCATATTTAACCTTAAGGGTCATGCAGTTTAAAGCTTAATGCCACTTGCAGAAGCTCTTTATCGGAAAAATGAACTTGATATATTGAGCTAATTTAATTTTGGCCGGATTTGGCCTCGGTGTTAATGGGAAAATAAGTTTATCGAAAACATCAAATATCATGGATGATTCATCTATAATTTTATATGATAGCGGGTCTCATATTGTTTTTCAAGCAGTTGTTTAGAGTAAGGCTTATAGAAATTCTTGAGTATTTTTCGTTGAAACTCGTTCTTATCAAGCATTGAATGGCTTCAAATGAATATTGAAAGCAACAGATTGTGACTTTTGACTTTTGAATGATAAATTCTGGGCTTGGCCGTGTTAGCTATTGTTTTGAAATGCAATTCCCAGTAGGAATAATAGAAAACTAGCTTGCCAAGAATAAGCAAAGAGTTCTTCTCGCTGACTTAGCTAGTGGGATTTCCTATCTTTTGCAATTTCGCCCAATTTTGCGGCGGAAGTGCGTTAAACGGTCTACCGTGAGCCCTTTGGCCACCAACAAAGAACCACTTGATAATTTCTATAGGAACGTATGATCACGCATAGCTAATAAGATGAAAAAAAGTTCACCCACTTGAAAATTATCTCAGGCTTTATTTATTGATGCCTGTTCGTCGCGTAAACATCGCTTCCCTTTCAAGATGGTTTTAAACGACACGATGGAACTTTGTCAGTTAGTATGAATCGAGGAATCGTGAAAATCACTTAGCCAGGATAATTGTTGTTATCGCGAGATAAGCAATGTTGTCAGGGGATATAATCAGTACAGGTGTACCCAGCGTCTATACGACAATCAATAACATAGATGACACAAGAAACAAGGTAAATATTTATCGTTTATTACATTCTTTGTGCCATTTGACTATACAGTAATATTTCACTATCATTTGACGAGTCTGCTGCCGTATTACGGTCGATTTCGAACGGAAATTTTATCGTTAGACAAAAATTACGACAGGACGAACAAGCATGTGTATGCATTATGGATTATTCATTGTGTGCAAAGTATAAATATTGCCACGAAGATTTGTCCCGGTAGACATCGATTCTTACGACTCTTAATCCTTTGTTATTAAATATAAACATTTATTTATTCGAGTTTATTAAATTCGGCTCATGTTATGAATAATTTGCCCAGAATAACGATGTTAAACTTAGCAACATTCAAACGTAATTATATATTCTTTCACCAAACCAAGACAGCTATATCAATGCTGTGCCCAGTATTGAAGAGCAAATATACGATAGAAACAAAGTTATTGCTTCTAGTGCTAGTTCAAAGCCTTCTGTTCCGAGATTAGCTCGCTCTTTGCTAAAAAAATGTAGGCTTGTCTCAAAAAAATATAGTGGTTTTGAGGGCATTTTGTAAACAAACTTTGCAAAGCCCTATCAGGCTATCTTCCCTTTCCTCTGTACCGTTGTGAAGGTTTATAATAATTAGGTCATTCATAGTAATTCCAAGTCTCGTGTCATCAAGTTATCACTGAATGTTTTAAAATGATAGCTTTCAACACTGAAGTAAACCAGCAGGGGAGACCGAAAAGATCTGTTTTGTTCTTTTTAGCCGTTAATTTTCCTAAAAAGGAAATACATTGCTTAGTTATACATGCAATTATACAACCATGTACCTCGGCCTATCTTTTTGGTTGTACCTCGATTATTTCGCCTCTCATTTCGTCTACGGTTGAGCAGAAAATGTTTATACCAGGAGAGATCATGTTATAGTCCTTGTTATCAATCACTCATCGTCTGTGTATGGATTTTGCAGACGTTTCTATAGCGAAATACAACTGTGTTCTCCCGATACGAGGCGCCGAGGTCCACATGCGAGACCTGAGTTACTCTACGTAAATGTTTGCGGGTAATGTTTGGCAAAAATATTTTCTACCTAGATTATGTCAAATTCAAATGATTTATGTAAATTACTGCACAATGATTTCGCGTCATGCTGTGCCTCCGATGTAGCCGTCAATTCGTTTGTTGACACTCCGTACTTGATCATTTCTGACCGTCTTCGTGAAGAATTTTCACGCTGCCAACAAAACTGCCAAATTGAATAAGTGTGTTCCTAAGTTCATCACCTTTTGTCGTTGGATATCAGTCTAAACCTCGTACGAGAAAAGCAGTTTCTTAGCGATCGTAGAATTCAAGGATTCGTAAATAGAACTATAGGAAAGGTAAGCGCTTTTCCACAACATTGGAGTCTATTTTGTTCCTTTTCGCTCCGTATATTCTAACCTGCTTATCGGGTCCTTAAAGCTCAGCTTGTAAAAGCTCACGTTAGAAGCGAACAGTTTGGTTATAAAAGCGAATCATTTCATAATTATTCGTTTTTTTGTTGTTAGTACGGGTCGTATTGTTATGATATAGCTGGACTATGCTATAGTATTTAAAATGTAAATATGATATCCGGTCATGATGAAAAGCTGGCGGGTTACGCTTCCCATTGCCATATGCGAGGAACGATTTAGGCAGAGATAGACAAAGCAGATTGTGTTGAAATCTTTGGCTTAAATGCCACTTCTGTTAAACCTTATGTCAAGGGTCAGTAATTATGTGAACTTAAATAGAAATTGGCGACAATTCGGCTGGCCGTTCAATGATATTTGCTCAACCGTGCATGCATTGATGAAATCTAGCTGTGACAAACTATGTTCACTGGCACCTTTCCTTCGTCTTCAATTGCACTAAAGCAATATAAGTAAACTCTATGTCTGTGATTATAGCTATACCGTACAGTTCTAGTCTAACTGAGCAAAATCTCAGGATATTATCAGGAAATATCAATTTATCCCAATCGAATTTAAAGGTCTCTATCCATATACAAAGCCTTTGGCGCTGTGTTTGTACTCAATCCTGGAGGAAACAAAGCGGTCGTTTTCAAAGCGCACAAAAACTCCATAAATGTATAATTTGGAATTATAGCACTTCGTGCAATGTTCAGGACCCCCTGAGTCCACCTTATTAAAGCCTAGCTTTGACTCTGCTTGTGTTAAGGCCAGCTGCATTGGCGCGGTTGTCTTTACAACACAATTTGCATGTTAGCTGTTTGGCCCAGTGTGGTAAGGATTGCAACAGTGAATACAATCCTCTGGCACTGCGAGGTCAAATCCCTCATAACCAATGATACATTCAAAATGAGTAAAATACTTTGTATCGCTTCTGGGTATTTTTGGTATAATTGAGTGTTTGGGTGACCTAAGAGCTATTATGGAGGTAATTATAACCATATATTTCTCCTTGTAATTTTGTACTTGTGAATTAATAATAGTGTGTTAGGGTATCAGGGCATATCCAATCTTGTGGGATTTTAATGCATAACGCCTAATATCTGTTCATTTCAGGTCTAATTTTGGCTTTTTGCCAGATTCTACTTCTGCATTGCGGCAAAAAATCTCGTGCTTTTTTCCCTGTACCCTGGCTGAGCTAGTTTATGAACTTTGTTTTTTTTGCATGTTCGTCTTTGTTACTTTCAATGTAAGAGAGATTTAGTTCCTCGTCTTAATATTCTCACACAGATATTTGCTTTATCGTCGAATTATTACTAATTGCTTATTCATTAATTTGCTATTCTTTGGCCACAGAATCCTACAAACTCAGTTAAAAGTAATAGTGCATGACTAGGTTATTCTGGTTAAGTATAATCTGTAGTCTGTACATCGTTTCTATTTATTTTTCGTGTTAATTTCGGTCCTAGTTTCTTACTCCAATGTTTGGCGCCAAAACTGTGTCTAGAGCGTTAAACTAAAGTCAAATATCACAGCTTACTGTTAAACTATATAATTTGTTGTTTATCGTAAATATACTAAATTGTGCCAAATATATAACGATGTTATCATTAACACTTCATACAATGTATATTCAAAACATTAAGATGAATAACTGCGAATGAATATGTAACGATTAGGCAATGAAAACGATAACTATTGTCTTTTCATACAAAGCAAAGGCAATATTGTTCAAGTATCACATTCAAATGAATTGAAGTGCTTTGTTTTCTGTTCGTATTCTTTCTCGTAGGCCACATTATCTACGTTTTCTTCTTAGACCGAGGACATATTTAAACAATCATCTAAAATGGGTCTAGCTAGCCCTGCTGGGAAATTATTTTACGTGTATTTTACGAAAATATTAATTAAATTTTCGTTTTGTATATACCCTGCACTAAACCAGCGGGCTCTCAATATTTATTAACACCTAGTTTAATACAATGCTCGGACTATTTTGGAGAGCATTGCGAGAAAAAAAACAGCAGACACCGACATAACAATATCAAATTGAGTGTTATTAGGAAATTACTCTAGAGCCGTTATCAGCAATAACATTTATTGAAGATTCTCACAATTGCATGTTTAATGAAATAATTGTTAAATCTTTTGTCCTGGTACACCTGAAGTAATTAGATTGCATGCATACCTGAATAAAAGTAATATAGCTATTACTGCTGAGAGCCATAGTGCGCTATATAAATATATATATACGTCCTCTGACAAGACCTGATCATTGGCTAACTTGCGATAATGGTTGTCGTCTTGGGTACCTGGCCTAGAGAGCCATGCATGAAATCACTGTCATCCTCTCTCCAGACGCTATCTATACTTAGTCTTAGAAATTTTCCTTCAGCTTAAGTACCTGGGGCTTCCTCATTGATAACGTTACTTTTCCTGATCAATTTAGCACTGGTCGTCTAAATGCTTTGAAAGAAATTTCGAATTTTCCCCTCCAGGCTTACGACACAGTGAGCTATATTAGTTGTATCATTGAGTGGCTTCCTTCCTTTCAGCCTACCAAAGACCGACCTTTGTATCCTTACATGACTTAACTATTGGCCCAATAAAAAGTTCACTTGATCAGATCTCGTGGCCATAAAAATATACTCTGTAAATAAAAGAACTTCTTATGTGCCAATCTTTGAAAAAAGGATGGTATATGTGTCATGAATAATTACTTTTCAGCATGTCATAGTTTTCAAACACGTCATTCAATAAACAAAGAGCTTTTTCGAATTTTATGCAAATTCATTTATCTCAAAGGATGTGCAGACCTCACCCAGCCAAAGATGACTAGATTATAACAGCTGTCTTGGCCATAAATATATATAATTTAGTCCGAACCAGCTCCAAGAAATTTAGTATATCTCAGAAAGGAAGACGATATGTTGTTTGTTGGTTTGCCGAAGAAAATTCTAGACATAATAAAGCTTTATTTATGGCCGTCGCCTTGGGTGAGCTGGGCTTTTTATTTCAAAATATTTATAATATAATATCTGATATTGGTTTTCACCTCTGAGGCTATACGTATATTTAGCTATGTAGATATCTCGTTATATTTTTCAGCCAGTTTTAATAATTTTTAGTCAGTTTTAACGGGGACTAGATTCTTTATATATCCTTTATGACTTCTTACATTGGCAATTGAGATAAACTCGTAAGGTTTGTTTGGAAAAAGAAAATTTAGTGTTAAGAGGAGACATGTTTTAGTTCGACGCATGTCTTTTCCACTTCAGAGTTAACGTTTTCACCAGCTTTTCACGAAAAATTTCACCCCAAACAAAAATCTTTCCTAGTTATTGTACAAGTCATTGGATAAAGGTGCACAGTTGCTAATAATTATAAACTTCTCCATGTTTGACATTTTTTCATTCACACAATTGAATAAAACGCCAAACTCCAGGAGGAAGTCGCTTGCGAAATTAAGAGCAAGCTCGTCGGTGAAGTGGAAAACAGGGCTTAATATAGAAACTTTCATCATAAACAGTGCAAAAGTCACGAGCTTATCAGCTACGAAAAACTGACCAAATACGACAATATATGCATGTTACCATAGATTCAGTTGCCACGATGGTCAGAAAGAATGTCGAACGAAGCCGTATGTTTAAAAGCGGGGGATGAATCATGAATTTCCTGCCCAACTTTGCCCGAGTGGGAAGTTCTACGCAATATTAATAATGATTCTAAACTTCGCTTGTTTGCCTTAGAGTAACCAAATTTAATGATGACTGCATGTCATGCAATACTTGTCGGCCTCTTTCTATTGTTAAGTCAAGGTTTATTGCGTGAAAATATTTATCAGATGAGCTTCATATATATATTTATTGTACAAACAACTGAAATTTTTTTATTCATTAGTGCACTCAATTTAATCTAATCGTATTGCGCTTGGTATACATAACTTCTCAATATCTCTGTTCCCATGCAACGCCACATCTTATTTCTACTGTGTCAGTGACGCAACTACAACGCCTCCTATTCTGAAGTTACTGTAAAGTTATTGAAATTAAGCCAATATCTGTGAAACACCCTGATAAAGTGCACTTTGGTCTTTGTGATTTCTTGAGTGCTATCGTCAAAGGGCTTATCGTAAATTGCTTATCAAAATTTGCAGCATTTCGATAGAATCTAGACGGTAAGTTTATTCAACAATTTAGACTGCTGTGTGTGGTTGAGGATTCGTCATGTAATGAAAACACATGTAACGAGAGCGCTCTAATTTGTGCTAATTAGTATATTTGTTACACACCAAATTATCACACTAATTGTGCCGAGAATGGTGCATGTACATTTATTTTTAATTAACGACGCCATCTCGATATTTTTCAATCAAACCATATCCACCGGCTAATGTATCTTTGCTATCAGAATTGTTTTGACAGCTCTATAAGGTGATTGGCTTTCATATTTTTGTAGATACACAATATTACATACCCCCAACTGTTGAAGCAATTGTTCGAAAATGAAAACGTCTATTTCTGTATTTTGAGCAAGACAAACATGTCATTACTCTATTTTGTTTAGTTTTTATTAACGCTGAGCGGACATGTTGTGCTTTTATTTTGATCTAAGAGATTCTCCCTTGGCATTACTGTTTCATTTCCTGCGGGGATTTACACCACTTACCTGAAATGGCTCATGCTAGCATCGTAATTAATGTTTTGAAATACTTCCACAAGAATCTCATGTTATGATTCAGCGTGTTCTGAAGACACACTGGACGTTTCTGCCCTTTACAATACGAAAGTCTTTCAATTTTAAAACAGGCATTATGAATGAAAGTCTTTTGAGGCTTATAGGCAAGGGAAACTACTAGTCTAAAACACGTCACCTGTTGAAATATTCACAAGAGTAACTGGCAGGTGGGATAGATGGGTAAATCCATAAAAACAGAAGCAGCATCGTTTTTGCATGCAGATGAATTTCACAATTAGTTACAACATACATCTATTGTTTTCTTTTGACGAATGACGTATGCAACGTCAATCATCTTGGAATATTTCATATGTGCTTGCTTGTTTGGTATTATTATTCCGTTGTCTGTATATCATATGGTAGAAACAAAGTTATAACCCAGATTCATTATGATAAATGGAAGTAAATTCAACATAAAATTAAATTATAGAGCAAGATGGTGTCTTTGACGAGAATGATCTTTCACTCTTTTGACATCTTTTTAATTGAGCATAATTGTCTTAGATAAATATTTGTTCTTGCAAGTAATCTGATATCGTAAGCTATTCATGTGGGTTGCGCTGAAACAAGCCAGGGAGATTAGCGAAAGATTAAATAAATATTCCTCCACATTTCATGGAGTATAACTGTTATAGAAGGAATTGTAAGTATTGAATGCCACTCGTGAATCAAATTACGCTATAGTGTTTTAGCGAAGTTCTCAAACAGCTTCGCATGACGGTAAACAGAGTGCAACGCTACATGTAGTCTGTTTCATGGAAACGCTACTCGTTCTGTCTTTGCGGATTAGTTGAAGGGAAGCTTTAGAAGCAGCGAAAATACGTTTATATCCAATGATCTGATCTTGGACTTCAGAAGAAGAGTGTCTAATTTTCCTTAATTCATTTTGCAAAAGACGAGGAATGCTCTGGTCGCAAAACAATGAGATTCGAGTCACTGAGTGGTCCAATGACACTTGCTGAGCCATTGAACGACCGTTTGCATTAATCCCTTGCAACTCCCAAGCTGAGTGGTAGTGATAGCTGCCAGGAATTTCCTCTCATCCGGCATCAATATCCTCCACTCTTGTTAAAAATCTTGCTTTTCAATCTATTAATTTACCTTTTAACTCAGCATTTTCTAACGGTCTTTTTACGTGGTAATTAATTGAAGGCAAGTTCTTAGGCTTAGGTCGATCTAATCCTTCCTTCTTTTGGTCTTTTAGGATCCGTTTGACGTGGAAAACGAGCGCCATCATGGATTCCCACGTAACACCAACACCGCTGCAAATGTCGTAGTTTTACCTTCGCACAACAAGTGGAACTGCTTTAGCATTCCCGATCGAAAAACCGTCGTAGGATCACGCGACACGATGAATACAGCGACGATCAATACCGTATTCAACGAAAGAGTCGCGGATTATCCTGCCCAAACAGGTAGGACAGCTACAAATGATTCCACGAGAAACATCAGCGGCTTTCGTAGGCTGACCTTGCGAGAGAAGCTCGCGAAACAGAGATCCGAGAAAGAAAACGAGTCAAAGAACGATGGTAATACCCGCGAACGAGCGCATTTAACGAAAGCAAGCTTGGTAGAAGCATCAACGTCATCGCCCAGGCAGTCGAAGAGCAACAGAAACGAGTCAGTCTACGGAAATTAAGAGCAAGGCGGAAGGATCACCTCGTTTGACAAAAGCAACAAGTTTTGGAGGTGCCTCGACCTGGTCGACTAGTAATCACAAACCGGTGTCGAGGAGTCAGTCTAATAATGATGCGATTACTGAAGAAAGAACTGTGTTTGGTTTTAAGGTATTGAAAGGAGGACTTCAGAGTTCACCATCGCAAAATACGAGGAATTCTGAATCTACACGACCTGGAAGGACAGCAAATAGCTACAGCGCAAATAACAGACTCAGAAGCAAAGGAAATACATTTTTTTATACGCCAAGGAATAATCGAGGCTCTGAGACAAATTCCGCGGTCAAAATCCAGCCAGAACGAAGAGTTAGCGTGGAAATTCAAGAAAATTTTGTAAGTAGTGATAAGAAAGTCAGGGAAACGATTCCAATGTTTATAGTGGAAGAACAGTCGAAGAAGAGGAGAAATTGAGTAAAAACTCTGACAGTAAACACACTAGCGAAGATGAAGTATTTTGTGTGAGTAAAGAAATCGAAGTAAAAAACGTCGAGGGGAAAACGGAAAAACTGCTTATTCGAGCCGAGTCTCTACGTGAAGGTAAATCGCGGCTCGAGGAATTTCGGGAGAAGCAAAAACGTGGAACGCTGACGAGGTCGTTGACCAATCCTGATTTTGAACAAGGCGAGAACATGGCGCCTGTAAAGGACAGGAATATCAGTGAAAGTTTAGAGCAAATTAGGAAGAGAATTCGTGAAAGAAGACGGAAGAAAGGGCAGTTAAAGAAATCGCAATCAATGCCGGAAACTGAGTCGCCTCCGAAGATGGAGGATGAGGAATCTTCGAATGATTCCAAGGAAATGAAACAGAACGAAGGTAGGACGAGTATAGAAATTGAAGATAGAGTAAATGCTAAGGAAGTTGAACTGAAAAAGGGTGGAAGAGAAGACTCAAATTTGAATGCATTAGAATACTTAGAAATTGAAGAAAACAGCACCGTGAGATCCAGCGAAACTCATGGGAATAAAATAGCGGGGGATACGAGATGTAAGGATGTGATAGAGAAGGATACAAAGTGTGAAGATGTGGTAGAAAAGGATACAAGGTGTGAAGATGTGGTAGAAAAGGATACAAGGTGTGAAGATGTGGTAGAAAAGGATACAAGGTGTGAAGATGTAGTAGAAAAGGATACAAGGTGTGAAGATGTGGTAGAAAAGGATACAAGGTGTGAAGATGTGATAGAGAAGGGACTCGGTATGAATGATGTATTAAAAGCGAATGATGAAGATGATTGTAAAAATAAAGAAAACAGAGAACTTAAGGTTGATATTGATATAAAAACGACAGAGAAGGAGGCTTCAGAAGGAAAGAAAATGGAACTGAAAGAAATACTATCGTTTAAGCAAGAAAGTGAACTACGGAAAGAACCAACGGATGTTAAAACTGAAATCTCAACAAGCCTGTCGAAGGCGGGAGAGCAAAGTATACCAGACGTTAAGAAACCCACAAAGAGAGACAGAAGGAGGCGAGAACGATATCAGCGTTCAAAAACCATGGACGCTATCATGTTTAACGAAATATCGCTTGACGCCCGACGGGAAATGGGTCACAAAGGAGAGGACACAGGTAACGAAACTGTAGCGATGCCTTCGGTGTCGGAAATCAAGAAGCGGTTCTTAGAAGCGGACACTGGAGGTTCTAAGGCGCCCGAACTTGGTTTGTTTTTCGCTGGAAAAACCTCGCAGAGCAAAACCCCAGGAAGCGGTTCAACGAAGGATGACTCCGGCAGAAGTAAAGTGAAATCAGAGGCTCGCTCCAGAAGATATCTCTCACGGAGTCAAACGCTCGCACCTGGAACGACATTTCAGCAAAACCTTGCGAAACAAGAGGATGATAAAACAAACCTATCGAAGAATGCCATTGAAAGCAAAACAAAAACAACCGAAGATAAGATACCGCTGTCCCGTAGTCGCACGCTGCCCGGGTATACTGCGGACGAATCAGAATTGAAAGAAAACGAGAATTCTTCGAAGAAAGAGATTTCGGAAACCGGGCGACGACCGCCTTTGCGCCGCCATACATTCTGCTCGGAAACCAGTTTTACTGTAAGTCGTCACAATCCAGTGAAATCTCCCGAATCTGTCGAGGCATTGCGAGAGAAGTTCTCCAAAGGTGGAGCACCCCCTGTCTTTGATTTAGCCACTTCGGGCAAGGGAAACACCACGTCTAATACTCGAAATGATCGTGAGGATTACCAGAAAATTCGTCGAAGAGTTGTTAGTGAAAGCAGCATTGAAGAAAAGTCCGTTGATGGGTTATCATCACATCGTCCTACGAGACAAAATTCGGAGAAAAATCAACAGGAAAGACAGAAATTTCTTGACAAGTTTCTCGCGAAAGATGATGAAGTCAAGAAATCCGCGGAACTCGAAGATGAAACAAGTAAAACAGATGTGGAAACGAAGACGGACGCCAGCGTCCAGACGTCAAAATATGGGAAAAAGGACAAGGAAGAGAAATTATCAGTTTTGAAAATCAGAAAATTGTTTCTTGGGCAGGCTTCGCACGAGAAGAAGACGAAACTTAGAGAGAGACGAGCCAAGACGATCGCTGGCGGGGAAAGTCGGGAGATTATGAAAGAGATTAATAAATTTGTTGTGAAACCTGATATTTATGTGAACAGCACAAGTCAAGAAGAGAACAGAGACGGAAATCATGAGAGAAGACGCCGCAGTAGTGACTTGAACCCCGACTCTTACCTGTCGTCAAAACCGTCATCACCGGAGGAAACTGGAAATGATGCTGTTTTTGACGAGGCGAAATCTTCCGAAGTTCAACCAGAAACTACTTCAAAAGAAACAAAGACACCTTTAAAACCAAAAAAATCCGCGTTGAAACCCAGGATACGAATGAGTGTCAGCGAATCGGACTTAACCGGAAAGTTTTCCTCAAACGAAGTAAACACAAATCAAGATGAAGATGAAGATGAAGAGATCGACTCGAAAACTCCAACAGACTCTAGTGTTTCTCCCGTTACCTCTCCGCGTCGGCGAAGCGGTAGTGAATCTGATATGAATACCGAAGACCAGTTTGGTAAGAAACAAAACTTGGATGACTATCTTACCAGCGCTATAAACACCCTGACTGAGAGTCCCAAATCCCAAAGATCAACACCACCACGAGGTTCGCCGGCAAAAGGGAAGTTTAAAGCCAGTAAAAGCTTTGATAAAGGCGACGCGATCGAACACTTGAATGTTGTGGAGACCAACCTGAGTTTGCATTCCTGGTCCACGTCGGATTTGGACAAGATCTTTCACAGTGGGGATAGTCCGAGCGCCAGTCAAATGGACTTAACCAGCACAGACTTTGATGAAATATCTGGCAGCACAACCAGGTTTGTTTACTTTATTTTTTTCTTTCGTCTTGCATTTTCGTAGTACTGAGGAGAATAACCGAATCAGCTTGCATTTAAATTTGAGGAAAAACGGAAACGAGTTACTCTTGTTCAAAATTTCATGCAGTGGCTGACAGTTTCAACAACTTTGTAATCTATTTGTTTGAAGTTTGCCTAATTATTTGTTGTTATTTCAAGGTTACAGTCATTGACTGAAGGCAGAACCAAAGTAAGGCCAAAGAGAACCAGCTCCAAATCATTGAATCCCATGAAATCTTTGATGGAAAGAACTGACGTGAGGACACACACGGAAGAACCCCAGGTATGTTAAGGGATCCGGAGGTATTGTGAGGTACCCAGAGGTGTATACATACACTATGAATCCAGGTACAATTTTCTGAACAACCATAATCAAATATATCGCTTTGAGACAAATACTTTTAATGAAGATTTAAGCTGTAATTTATTTGTCATGCTTTTGTTTACCAGACGGATGAAAACAAGCAAGCATCTGGGTTTGAGAAGGCAAAGAAACGAAGTAATCCCAGAAAGAAACGATCTCAGTTAGAGCCTTGTAAGTGTCAATAGATACAACAGAATTTTTCCATAATTTTTCATTTTTTGATCAATTTTTCTTCTCTGGACAGGGCGACGCCATACTTTGGATCCTGTGGCTTTGGCCGCACTTGCAGGTCGTGAAGATTTCTCCAGAGTATCTCTGAGAAAGACGAAAGGACCTGGAAAGGAGAAGGATGAATATGACGGAAGCTTGCCTGTGATGTTGATCCAAATCAAAGGTAAAATCTTCAGCGCAGCAGTCATTTCTGAATAACTGTCGAGCAACGCAGCTCACAGCTTACCTTTTCCCCTCATGGCTAAGATTTACATGGATAAGATATGGTGAACTCGTGTTCATTTTAACCAGGAATGTTTGATACGATGTTTAGGTCGTCGCCAGGTGCAGACTCGTCTCGTCGAGCCCAGTCTGTCTTCACTCAACACTGGAGATTGCTTTATTTTGGTTACGCCAAAAGAACTGTTTTGTTGGATCGGACAACACGCTAATACCATTGAGAAAGCGAAGGTAAAGACAAACTTCGGCCACTATCGTGGCCTGGGGTTAGCGAGAAGAGTCCTGGGCCGAGTTCACTGTATATTACCACTTCTCTACCTAACAAACGATGTTGACAATTCCCGCGAAAATTTGCCGAGCTTATAGTTAATAAGTGTACCGTATGGTAAATAAGGTGAAGTTGAATACAATACATGCATGAGTTTAAGTCGGGAAATGTAAAGCTTTTTACTGAATGGAAAGAAAGTTGAGGTTACAAGATAAATTCTAATTTTCGCCCAATATTTATTGTGATTTGTCGTATGTTCTTCAGGCTGTAGAGATCTCATCCAAGATCCAGAAACGAGGTGATATGAACTGTAAGACAGGAGATGTGTTGTATATTGACGAGGCCAAACAAGGAAACAGTCTCGCTTACCGGAAATTTTGTAAAATATTGGAAGGTGACACAGATTTTCCGATTGAAGGCGAGTACTGCGGTGCACCGTACGGAATCCCTATTTTATTGCCATTTAATTGTTATCTGGATGAAGCCACCGAGCGACTCAAATCCCATAGTTAAAGATTTAGAAATTCACTGAAAGTGATTAAAAATTTTTATTGAGTGCAAACTAGAAGCTGTTACCTCATTCAGAGACCGAGATCTCCAGAACTCAGTAAATCTCAGTAACAGGGTCGTCTTCGTTTTATATTTAGACGAAAAGTTGTGTACTCAAGACGAAATTTATGAACGAGAAGTGATCTCCACAAACAAAGTCTATAAACTTCAGGAAGGCGATCCACCTCATCTAATCCCTATCACAGAAATATGTGGTTATATGCCAAGAATTGCAATATTGAACACAAAGGAGGTAAAAACTGTCTGATTATATAAAACACATTGTGTCGTGTCCTACAATTATTGTATCGTGTCCTACATTTTTGTGTCGTGTCCTACAATTATCTAAATCCAAATGGTAGTTTGATGGTGTCTCAAGGTATTCTTCATCGGAATTGTTTTTCATTCAAAATATCTCTCTCAGGTATTCATATTTGATTTTGGATCGGAACTGTACGTGTGGACTGGCCAGCAATCGTTATCCAACAAAAGAAAAGTAGCATTTCATTTAGCGGAAATGCTTTACAAACAAAAGTTCGCTTATGAGGGTGACGTCAGCCCCATCGACCCAAGGCGACCCATGAAAGGAACCCAGTCCTCTCAGCAGATATATCACGACGCTGATGGCAAGGAACGAGGCAGACCCACCTGGACGTTGTTTGCAAGACTTCACGAGAAAGCAGAGACGTTACTGTTCCGAGAGAAGTTTTTTGATTGGCCAGATCCGACAAAGATTATCAAGATGAAAGGTCACGTGAGCAGTGGAGAGGTTCCAGAGGTATGCACGTCATCTTAGCACCAGTTGAAATAAGATTCAATTCAGTTCAATTCTGTCATCCATTTGTGTTTAAATGTCGATAAAACTGACTATGCAAAGTACTGTGGTAAATGAATCTCTTTAAACTTCCACTTTTGTTTAACAAACTTTCTTCCAAATTTTTTAGCGTCCTCCCGCAATCGAGCTGAAACCATGTGATCCCACTGAGATGCAAAAACCTGCAAGTGATTTGGAGCCTGCCATTTTAGAGTCGACAAACCTTGGTCGAGGTTTGGGAACTCCAAACGTTGAGGTGAACGGCGAGGTGAAAGAGGGAGACTTGGTAACGACTCTTGGGATGACAGTTTGGCTTGTCAGCCAAAATAAACATTTTGTTCTACCGAAAACAAGCGAAGGACATTTTCATTCAGGTTGGTTTAACACCTTGTAAACTGAACTGAACTGAACTAGGCTGGGCTGAGCTGAACTGAACTGAACTGAACTGAACTGAACTGAACTGAACTGAACTGAACTGAACTGAACTGAACTGAACTGAACTGAACTGAACTGAACTGAACTGAACTGGACTGAACTGAACTGAACTGAACTGAACTGAACTGAACTGAACTGAACTGAACTGAGCTGAGCTGAGCTGAGCTGAGCTGAGCTGAGCTGAGCTGAGCTGAGCTGAACTGAACTGAACTGGACTGGACTGGACTGGACTGGACTGGACTGAAATGAACTGAACTGAACTGAACTAAACAGAAGTTTATTGGAGTGAAGTGAACTGTATATTATATGCATATTATTCAAGATATGACTGATACAATTATCTAATATTCTAGGTGATGGTTACGTCATACGCTGGGTGTATTTTGTCGCGAAGAACCGGGTGGTTCGAGATAAACGTGGTCGTATACGTCCGCTGACTGGCAGACAACGCTGTGCATATTTCTTCTGGCAAGGTAACGAATGCAGTGTGAATGAGAAGGGAGCAGCCGCTATCATGGCTGTTGAGCTTGATCAAGAACACGGACCACAGGTAGGCTGGGACTAGTTTGTTGCCTAGAAATTGCGTCATGACGTCAGTTAGAACTGTAGCACATATTTCTATTACGAGAGGAACACACAATCTTAACACCGTCTTCATTTGCAGATACGCGTTGTAGAAGGCAAAGAACCTCCTCATTTCTTGAAGTTATTTGATGGAGCAATAGTCATCCATTCTGGAAAGTATGTTTCGTTTGGGCAATTTAGATTCTGCATAACGTTTTGTGTTGAAAGGTTGTGATAAATACCTAATCGTATACCATTTGCCTTCAGGAGAATCCGTGTGGGGGAGGAACAGGATGAATTTTCAGGTAAGGATACGGATGAGAGTTTAACTGTTCTCATTCAAACCTTCTCCTGTCAACCTCGCAAGGCCGCTGATATCTGTTCGTTCTTTTCTTTAAATGAAGATGACTCCACCATTCGAATGTACTGTGTTCGTAACGAAGATGTCTCTGAAGGATGTCTTGTTCAAGTTGAAAGAAGGTAAACAAGATTGGGGCGTTTTTACACTTGCAATTTCCGTTATGAATTTCGGTGCGATTTTCTTCTTTTAACTAAAGCATAAAATTAACTTTCGAAGGCAGATGTGCAAATCTGAAACCTATATATTACCTATATATATAACTTTGTGAAATATCCAGCACTATCGTATGTTATATTTTCGTGAAGTTTTACCACGAAATGTTTAACCCAATGTTTTGTTGCAGTGCCTCGTCTTTGCGATCAAGATCATCCTTCGTGGTCATTGATTCTGAACAGGGCAACATCTTCGTGTGGCATGGTTCTAAAGCCAACGAATATCACAGAACCTCTGCTACAAAAGCTGCTAATTTCATTAAAGAAAGGTACGAAGAATAAAGTGGATGTTAGGAGCGGATATCCCGTCATTTCTCTTGCATCCTAGTCATGTTTGAAAAGAGCATGTTTCGTTGTTCTTTTGGGGAATTTAGCACACAGCTTCAGTATCACTACACTCGGTAATTGTGGATCTTGTGAACTTTTCTAGACATCCTATAGAGATGAATTTGTCTGAGAACGCGTCCTTGACTATGATTGAAATCGAGGAGGGTCACGAGTCTGACTTGTTTTGGTCCACTATAGATGGAAAAAGAAGTGACTACATATCATTAGTAAGAGGTAAGAGAAGTTTGTTTTAAGGTTCTGGGAGTAAGACAGGATCATTAGGCAAGATACCAGTAATGCCACGGCAGAGATACTCATTTTAATTACGTCCTTTGTCTATCTTTCCTTCCAGATCCGTTAAACTACGATTTCTGTCCACGTTTGTTCCACATGAGTAGTGCCACAGGACCCTTTATATCCACAGAGATCCTTTGTCCCTCCAGATATCCCGGGAGAACCTGTCCGTTCCCAATCCTGCAAGATGACCTCTACTCTGCGTCCCAACCAGGTAAACAAGATGACAGTATTGCAATACTATTAATATTGTTGGTATAACTGGGGTAATATAATAATCTCACAAAGAACGAATCTTTTGTGCTATATTTTAGCAACGTTTTTCTATGATGTTGGAAATGAGGTTTATGTTTGGGAAGGCTGGATGCCGGCCGAAATCACGAAAGATAAAAGAGGATCTGCGAAAAGACGTTGGGATGAAGAAAGGAAACTCACCTTGCAGACAGCATTGTCTTATATTGAAAGTAAGTTGCACATTCAGCCCAAATTCTGGCCTAGTTTTTTAACTCAATTTTAGTAGACTTATTCTGGAAGAGGCACTCGGAACAAGCTTAAAATAAGTTGACAAATCCGCCAAGAAACATTGTTCTTTATTATTTCATTGTTTTTCACCGACTGCTCTGTTTTCCAGCGGAGATTTAGGGCTTTTAAACCTGGTGTTCAATGTTCATCATCGTAATTCATCATTCATTGGCGCGTTCATACCTTACTTTGTCTAGCAAAAAATCTTGATCTAGTGCTGACCTTGGGTCGAAAACCAGGCTTTAATTAAGTAGCGAAGCGGGACAGATTGATTGCATTTCTTATTATGTAGGTATCTTATAGCAAATTATTTTGTTTCTTCTAGAAGCCAATGGTAGAATAAAGAAAGGTTTCGTAGTTCAAGCTGGTCTGGAACCATCATCCTTCACAACTCATTTTCCATTTTGGAAAAGAAATCAAACGATCGCTGAAATACAAAAGAAAGAGAGAAAAAATTATTTCGAAAGAAAGTCCGTCGAAGAAGCTCTAGAGGCCTTTGAAAAGTGCGTTTCTTCTTACTGTTTTTTGTTGAACGAATTTTCTTTTAATTTGTATGTCTCCTTCATTCTAACATCCTTGAATATTTTTAAATTTTCAGGAAATATTATAGTTTACAAGAATTAACAAGTGACTGTCCTCCTGACGGAGTTGACCCATCAAAGCTTGAAACGTATTTGACTGATGAGGAATTTCAAGTATGATACATGTCTTATTCGTTTATTTGCTGTTTTGAATTATCACTCATTTTCTCATGTATGCCTTGTAGAAAATCTTCGAAATGTCACGTGAGTTGTTTAATAATCTACCCGGATGGAAACAGGATATATTGAAGAAGGCGTTGGGATTATTCTGAACCGCCGCTTGTGTATGCACTCTGTGTACCATTGTAAACATAGTTGTACCTACAAATACCTAGGTGTACACATTATTACCTGGATTGATCGATGTTCGATGTGCCTAGTTCATGGTTACTACTCCTAGACGTACCCATATGTACTCCAAGTACCCATAAAAGTCCCAAATGTCATAAAAGTCCCAAATAAAATATATTAAATAAACTTTATATAATTGATTTAAATAATAATCTTGAACATACTATATAAATATATGTTAAAGCGTGAATCTAAAAAATAACGGTTAATATAGAGATTGTGTACATAAAATTAAGGTTCTTACCATCATTTAATATCATTTTCTGGATATTTAATAATGTAAATGAATGTTAGTTTATGTTCTTAACCGTGAAATTTTAGATTTCAAGAGGAATATAACAAGAATTGTTTATTTTAGTTTCATTAGGATTTAGGTATTAACATTTTATAGAAAATTACCTAGAACCATAGTTTCTGTTAGAATGGAATGTGTATTTGAATGCACACCGTAGTGGTTTCAAATAATCTATAATAGCCTGTATTTATATGTATAATTTTGCGGGTGTAAATTATTTTAATATTTATGGTAAAAAAATACATAATTTAATTTAACAAATAGTGTGTGGTATTCACTAGTGGTATTCAATACTGGGAAAGGACTTCATAAGATTAAAAAACATGAAGTATCGCGTTGAACCGCATTGTGTTACAACGACGGGCTCGACCGAGGGTGTTTCGCTGGGGAATTTGCGAACGGAAGCCTATATTGCATTTTTGCCTTTAAAAAAAATAAATATTGAGCTTTTTGTGCATTTTGCGATGAAAACATAGCAAGGGAAACGCAAAGGTAAGATTAGATTATCTTTTTTGTTCTGTATTACACTCGAATTGCAAATTTTTTTATGAAATTTGAGCAACATATTGAGCATGTATGATCATCATGTGGCCTTCACTTTGTGATGTCAGGAAATTACATTTGTCAATTTGTAAACATGACATTGGCTTAACTTGCGTGAATAAATGCTATGATTTTGTAAATATTTCCGTCTCAAAACCTGAATGATTATCGAAATTGCAATGTCGAATAGGTCAGTACTTGATATGTACTTAGATTTCAGATTTGATCCTGCCGGAGATCGTCAGATCGTCAAATGATGGATCATAAAAATCATATTAATGGCGCATTATTAAATAAAGGATATTTTTTACACCCAGTGTTAATAGGGTGTCAAGGGGAAATATTGCTTATATACTATTTAGATGGGGTAAAAATCCTGTTACCATGACATGGTATAAATATAAACATGTCCTGGTTTGCAATAGTGGGTGATTATATAGCCAATTCAGGATTTCACCCACCAATGTGTTTGACACCTGTATTTTGTTCATTGTTTAAAGCCAGACTACTTTGCAGCAGAAACGTACTGCTGATACTACGGGATAGAAAGTATCTATCAAGTGTTTAACTGGAAAATTTTTATTGCACAACTGAGATATGAAGCTATTTATTTACTAGTATTTTTTGGAAATCTCAGGTGTGGAATTTGCAGGGTTAGGGTATATATCCATGCCATTCCTGAGTTGCTTGAAAGTTGGCCATGTGCCAAAATGGGTTAAGGTGATAATGTCTTATGCGAACAAATACTTTCTCTACATTATATTTCTTGAAATATGAGACACTATCTGCATATTCAACACAATATTGGTTTGCTTTGGATGTAAATGAGCATAAACTAGAAATGATGTCTGGAAAAATCTGAAACATGTAGCAGGTCATGCATTATTATAAAGAGAACCAATGCAGAGACCTGACTACTGGAATTTTATAAGGATTTTGCTTAAGTGTAAACCTGGGTAATTTTTCCTTAATTTTTTTGCAATGTGCTTAAAGTGATTCAAAATGAATGACGAAGATCGTATGAGAAATGAAATCCTGTCCATGCAGGAACGTGGGGACCAAATAACTGATGAGGTAAAGATGAATAATTAATACAACCCTTGTGGAAAGTATGGATCATCACCAGCAATTTTTTTGCTATAATAATTTTTAAATCTTAGGCCTGACGTTTCTATTGATTATATGTTAACTTTTATGTTTAGTCATTGGAAGCTACTCGCCGTATTTTGGGTACAGCAGAAGAGGTAATTTCATGATTTTTCAATATCATTACATACGCAGCGACAATGAATAGCAACATTCTTGTCAAATGTAACTCCAGACACAAGATGTCGGCATCCGCACACTTGTTATGCTTGATGAACAAGGGGAACAACTGGACAGAATCGAAGAAAATTTGGATGAAATAAATGTTGATATGAGAGAGGCAGAAAGAAATCTCACAAACCTAGAAAAATGTTGCGGATTATGCGTTTGTCCCGGACGAAGGTTGGATGTTTTTCACTTTCATTTATTAATAGATCTTTAACAGGTCTAATTTTGAACAAAAGTGTTGACCTACTATTCTGTCTAGGCAATCCATAATATAGTAAATATACCTACTTTAAGTATTTACTTCATCTCTTACTAATTTTAGAGCTGCAAGTTTTGAAAAATCTGATGCATACAAGAAGGCATATACTCCAAATACAAGAGATGTCGTCACAAAACAACCAGGTAATAATGAATTCAACATTGACCCCTGTTTAATTCCGATGTGCAATAGGGTAATCACTTGTATTTCATGAACAGTTTTATAAATGGAAATATTGTTTTGTTAAATGATTTGATGGTAATTCTCTTAAAGGTGGCTCAGGTGACAACCGACAGCAGAAAGGTGGCGGCTCAGGTGGATTTGTACAGAGGTTTGTGTTTGTATTCAGGCCCGGAGTTACGGGGAGGGGTTTAGGGGGGGTGTCACACCCCCCAGAAAGTTTATTCCTAGGTTTAGTCGGTAAAATTGCTATTTTAGTCGGCAGACAAACATACTGTTGACACTATAGACCGATCCAATATAAACTTGACAAAGTTTCATCCAGAGTGTAGTCGGTACAAGTCAGTCGATCAGTCGGTTTAGATTACCTTACACCCCCCCTGTAAAATATCCTGAGGACGGCCCTGTTTGTATTTTTTGTTTTTTAATTTATACCACATCCAACTCTTATTTAGTACTGTTGCCGGGCAGGAAGCGCCTTGGATAATAAATACTATATTAATCTAAATATTCAAATTTGCATGTTAGTTTATCACTTAGTCTGAAGATGTCTTCAGCTAAGATGAAACATCACTATGAAATGTATTTCGAAGAGGCTAATTTATATTTTCTCCACATTAATATAAGCCAAAATATGTTTTACCTTTGAGCTATTGTTGTGAGAGCAAAATTACCATGGATTGATGATACCGGCAGTACCACAATTTGCTTGTCTGCGATTTTTATTTTAATGCAATTTTTAGAGTCACAAATGATGCAAGAGAGGACGAGATGGATGAAAATTTGGGGTGAGTTGAAAGAAGACTTCGGAGACTTCAGGAAAGTTTAGAATTAAACTAATAATGTGGTGTATATCACAAACATTATTGACTATTGTACAAATCTCCTTCAGTTTTTCTGCCTTTACCCTGTACATTATGAGAATTACATGTGATGTCTTATTTTTTTAGGCAAGTCAGTGATATTGTTGGTAATCTAAAATCCATGGCAATTGATATGGGAAAAGAAATTGACACACAGAATCACCAAATTGATAGAATCAATGCAAAGGTGATATTCATATTCGTTTGTTGAAGTTTCTTGTACTGAAATATTCTTGTTATGTCTTGTCGCATTCTGAATGAAAGTTGATGGTGACTCACTGAGTGTTTCCTGTCTGTCATTTGTTTGATTGAAAATTTCATTAAAATATGTAAACCATGATACCTATTTGGCCAAACGGGTCAAAGAGCTGCTTGGACCACTGTTGCTTGTTAACTCCCATTTGATCAAGAGCTAGTAGCATTTATTCATCAATTTTTATTTTACTAGGCTGAATCAAACGATGTTCGTATCGGAACTGCAAACCAGAGAGCTCGACATATCTTACAGAATGCTTGAAGATTATACGGACGCACTTTCGAAAGTGTTACATGTAAAAGAAATTGATTGTATTTAAATTTCACAATTGGCCAACTACATAACGGTTAGTCACAATTTACTAATTAGTCTAATTAAAATGCTTGGTGTATTTTTGATATGTTTTATAAACATTTGACAATGATTGCTGGTCAATGAATTTTAGCTCTAAAAATGTTATGTACTCACTAAATTTCTGCTTGTAATACAGTGTAATATATTTATACTTATCATATATATACTCTTGCAACATTCGTAATGTAATCTTTCATTACTTTCATTATTTAAAACCAGAGTAGCAATAATCGCGATGGAGGTATACCTATAATCATTCTAAATAGTTCCACAATTTTATTCGTTCAACCATGGATTTCATAGACTCCACGGGAGGTTGTGGTGTACGTAGTTTTGAGTAGTTGTTTTTAGTAGATCAGTGCAATCAGCCAACCATTTATAAAATTCTAAATCCTTGTCATCAATTGACTGCTTGCATAACACACCAACTTTAGATTTCAGCAAGAAAAAGGGAATTTCAGAAAAGTGCATACCCTACCCTAAACTTAATAAAATTGCAGTTTAAAGTTTGGCTGCAAAATATTGTAAAGTGTGGAAAATATAGCCATGCAAATTTGGTAATTTTCTATAGTTTTTAACTTCAGCCAGAAGCTTGTAACTACATAAGTTACACACTTCTGAGCCAAAGTAAAAAAGTATACAAAAATTGCCTACTTTGCATGGCTATATTTTCCATACTATGTGACATAAAAGCAGCCAAACTTGGCAATAGATCTTTCTTATAATGACGTCAAAGGCTGAAAGTCTGAAGTTACACAAAATTTGATTGGCTCTACAAAACTATTGAGCCAATCAAACTTTGTGTAACATCAGACTTTCTGCATTTGACATCATTATGAAAAAGGTCTATTATACTAATTTTGGTATGGTCTAGCTTTTTAGATGTTGTGATTTATTTCCTTCTTTTTACGTAGATAATAAGTTAATCTATCGTGTGAAAGGTCAAATTCATCTTCACTGCTTTTTAAATCATGGGATATTACTCTTCTTTTAACTTTGTAATAATCAGGCACAGGGATACTGTTTATTTCAGGATTTGAAAGAGATCTTTTTATACTTTGTACTGCTGTTTGTTCTGGCAAGTGTACATGACGCTTGACAACTTTAGTTTGCATGGCGTCTGAAGTGGTCATGTGCGTCTGAGGTGTCAGGATATCAGGGGTATTGATATCAGGGGTATTGATATCAGGGGTATTGATATCAGGGGTATTGATTCTTGAAAAGTCTTGACCTGGTCCTTTATCTGATAGTAAGTAGTTCGTGTTGGTCTCCCCATGTGGTAATTCTGTGTGCTCGGTTTCAGATTCAATTTTTCTGGTATTTTGCATGATTTGTTCAGCAAGCCATCCATTCACCATATTTTCTGCCTCTATACTTATTAGAATACAATTATTTCTGCACTCTTCATCTCTAGGGAGAACTTCAATATTTAATGTTTGGTACAGCAAGTCAACTTGCTTTTTTAGATCATCTTCATGTATACATTTAACCCCTTCATGAGAACACATCTGTTGCAAAGATCGTATTGGTTCATCAGCATACACTATAACACACTTATACTGCTTTCCATGAAATGTAAATTCGTAAACAGGGAAGTTGTATCCACCTTTGGGAAAATCAGTAATTTTTTTCAAACTATTGTCTATTTCAAACAGTGGTTTTTTAGTGCCATTGTGGGGGAAAAGCAGGATCATTTTTTTAAAGTCTAAATGAGGAATACTATCTTGAGTGTCCTTACTGCAAAAACATCTGTGGAATATCGGTACAGCATTTCTGAGATAATTTAAATAGTAATACCAGGCAATAGTATATGCTGGATACAGCCCTTTTTCCTCTAGACTTCTCGCAAGATCAACCTTCGACTGTCCGTCCAATTTAAGTAAGTATGCTACCAATGGATAAACACCCACGCCTCCGAAGATAAACATGAAGTCTCCAGTTTGAAAGCCCTTCCTCCCAATCATGCAGAATATAAAATCGATTACAAAAACAACACCGACGGCCCTCAACGGCACTACACTGAAGCATGATTTAAACAACCTAAATACACTTCTTCTGTTACGCATCTGCAGTTGAAACAGTTGTTCAATAAACTCGCACAAACATCGGACTAAAGGCGCAAGCAGGATCCCCAACAATCCTAATCCAAGGCTTATAAAAACTGGATACGTTTCTTTTTCCTCTCTTCTGTAGCAGGTTTCTGTCGGTGTTTCGTTTTTTGCTATTTTATTGCGAAGATCGTTGTCAGCAAGAAATTTTACTTCCTTCTTCTCAATAAAGGCATAAGTAACCATCCATATTGCAATGAACACGTATACAACAAAAATCAATCCTCTAACTTTCCTGCCTCTCTTCAGTTCTCCAGATCTTTGACTATCTATTTGACTCCCCTGGCTTAACCATAAAGCACTTTCCGCGTCCATATCCATGTTTAAAAGTATACTGTAAGCCTTAGAAGGCTGTGGAACCTCCAACAGTATAGAAAATTCTAAAGACTTAGGGACTGGTCATAATTTAGCAGGGGGGGTGGGGAGGTGTAATTCAATATTTTAAGGAATGATATTTTGCAACCCTGTCTTGCCTTATCCACAAAAAATCATGCCCCCTCCCCTTGTTCGAGACGGTAAAAATGCCCCCCCCCCATCCGTCAACGTTTTGATAAACACTGCTTCAAAATGAGAACTACTGTAATCTGCACCGTCATTCAAAATAGTAATTACACCTTCAAAAATTTTTCTGACAACGTTTTATAAGTAATAATTAATTTTATACGTCCACTTATATATATTCCAAGGGTGGGTAGACTACAAGTTTTGTGTAGTTCGCTACAACTACTGCTATTTTAAAATAATGTAGTCACCTACAACTACTGCTATTGTCAAAAATATGTAGTTTGGTTCTTTTGACTACGTGTACAGCTATATCGCTAGAAAAATGTAGCGAAGTATTCGCTACTTCGCTACAACAAAATTCCTGGTATCCGTGTTTGTAATTTATATTGATTTCACATGTTTTAAACATATGAAATGTTAAGCATAATATGCTCATATATTCTGATACTATGGATTAATGGCGGATGAGCCAAAGAATTCTAGAACAAAATGTGGGTCCAAACGAGATTTGACATGGTATATTAAATGACTAGTTTTGTATTATAGTGTATGAACTATAGAGTATATAGTCGAGGGATATTAAAAAATCGAAAAGTGGCGAATAGCGATTGTTGTTGAAAAAGTAATCAACTACTTCGCTACTTTTAATATAGAAAATATAGTTCGCGACAACTTCAAACTACCAGTTTTAAAAAGTAGTCTATACAGTTACTCGCAAATTGTAGTTCGCTACAGTTGCAAACTCCAACAACTCCGATACTACCCACCCTTGACATATTCATATGTTAAAATTTGGTTTTAAACATAATATGTTAGTTATTTCTAGTGAAAGACCCTGCTATTTAAAATATAAATATTTTAACACAGTGACTTATATAACTTTTCATTTTAAATTCTATAACTAATTTTGTTTAATGTTCTAAGCAAAGCTTATGCAGTGCAACTCAAAGTCTAAGCATGTATAAAAGAAATAATTACAACCAGAAATAAGCAACCCCCCCCCCTTATAACTGTCTAACATTTTATGAACCCCCCTTTTTTCTGGCTAAAAAATATGTGACCCCCCCACTATTTCCACCTCCCCCCCCCCTGCTAAATTATGACCAGTCCCTTATTTCTAATTTTTCTTTTAAGTTTTATATTAACCGTTATTAACCCTGGTTTCCGGGATTTCCCCAGTTCGTTTTCCGGTGTTAACCACTGACCTATATAATAATTTCAATTAATTCCGCCCTGTTCCCCCCTGTTTAGGAATGACAATTATCATATCACGTGCAACGCGAATAACCAATCAGCGAGCTTCAATGTCGAGAGCGCGATGGTTCGAATGAATGTTGTGTAAAAACAGTTTGTGTTTGGATATTGGGAATGATTTGAAAGATTTAACTTGAAAAACCTGCAGAAGAAATGACGGAACTGTCTTCAGTAGACTACAAAGATGGTGTACGAGCTGTTGTTAGGCGAAGATTGAAAGAAATCGGCATTAAAGCTCCGAAATTGAAGTTACGAAGTGACTATAAAATTGACCATGTGAGTTGTTTGTTTTTTATTCTTGGCTTTGATATTGACTTTGTTTTCATTCAACGATATAGTAACCAGCATACATGTCTTAAAATATACACTGTGTCTGTGCTCTACGTTGTAAGTGGGTCTTCAGTAAACAGGCGTCATATTTCACACAATTTTCCTGTGTTTACTGTGACAATTTGTAAATCCCACCTTTATATTAACGTGTTAATCTGATTAGTTTCTGCGACATCCAAGCCAGGCTTGATTTCTATAAATAAGGCAAGCCTTTGCTGCGTTATATTGTGCTAAAGCTCTCAAGGTTTACCAATATGCAAGTGGACATATTTTTGAAAATATGTGTGCTATTTTTGAAATTAGAGGCTTTCAAAAGGACTGAGGGTTGTATGTTATGATTGCTATCAAATTGTAGCAGTTAAGCCTGTTACTCTGGCGGAAATTTAAATATTAATTCACAAGTTTTCGAACAAATCTTTTATAGTACAACCTCATTTTCATTGCTATATTTTCTTGTGAAAAACCATGAAGTTTAGAATAATTTTTCCAAAGATTTATAACCTTACATGGTTATGGTAATAGGATCCTGATTTTGTTTCTTGAACCTATAAATCATCTCAAAATTCCTTAATGAATTTTTCTCCTGATATTCCCGATCACTGCTTTGTCTCAGGGTTCATATGACAACCCAAATGCTGTTTTTGGGATTCCCCTGGACCGACTAACAACAAAGAATATTGGCTGTAATGATTATTGTCCTGTTCCCAGGTATGTGTTTTCATGTTTTCGTGGTTGAATTTCATTATGAATCACCTACAGTTTCATACATAAATGTGAATTAACCATAATTAAACTGATATTTCACTGGTATCATTATGAATTGTAACAATTTTTCACTTAGATTTGTGATTGAGGCCACAGAATGTTTGAAACATCGCCTTAGCAGTGAAGGCCTTGAAAGATGGTAATTCTATTAAAGGTGGCTCAGGTGATAATCGACAGCAGAAAGGTGGCAGCTCAGGTGGATTTGTACAGAGGTTTGTGTTTGTATGTTCTGCTTTTTAATTTATACCATATTTAACTCTTATTTAGTACTGTACATTGCAGAGCAGGAAGCACCCTGGATAATAAATATTACATTAATCTAAATATTCAAATTTGCATTAAATTTGCATTAATTTATCACTTAGTCTAAAGATGTCTTCAGCTAAGATGAAACATCGCTATGAAATGTATTTCTTGCTTGTCTGCAATTTTTATTTTAATGCAAATTTTAGAGTCACAAATGATGCAAGAGAGGACGAGATGGATGAAAATTTGGGGTGAGTTGAAAGAAGACTTCGGAGACTTCAGGAAAGTTTAGAATTAAACTAATAATGTGGTGTGTATCACAAACATTATTGACTATTGTACAAATCTTCTTCAGTTTTTCTGCCTCTACCCTGTACATTATGGGAATTACATGTGATGTTCTATTTTTTAGGCAAGTCAGTGATATTGTTGGTAATCTAAAATCCATGGCAATTGATATGGGAAAATAAATTGACACACAGAATCACCAAATTGATAGAATCAATGCAAAGGTGATATTCATATTCATTTGTTGAAGTTTCTTGTACTGAAATATTCTTGTTATGTCTTGTCTCATTCTGAATGAAAGTTGATGGTGACTCACTGAGTGTTTCCAGTCTGTCATTTGTTTGATTGAAAATTTCATTAAAATGTGTAAACCATGAAACCTATTTGGCCAAACGGGTCAAAGAGCTGCTTGGACCACTGTTGCTTGTTAACTCCCTTTTGAACAAGAGCTAATAGCATTTATTCATTAATTTCATTTTACCAGGCTGAATCAAACGATGTTCGTATCGGAACTGCAAACCAGAGAGCTCGACATATCTTACAGAATGCTTGAAGATTATACAGATGCACTTTCGAAAGTGTTACATGTAAAAGAAATTGATTGTATTTAAATTTCACAATTGGCCAACTATGTAACGGTTAGTCACAATTTACTAATTAGTCTAATTAAAATGCTTGGTGTATTTTTGATATGTTTTATAAACATTTGACAATGATTGCTGGTCAATGAATTTTAGCTTTAAAAATGTTATGTACTCACTAAATTTCTGCTTGTAATATAGTGTAATATATTTATACTTATATATATATATACTCTTGCAACATTTTTTAAGAGTGGTATAGTAAGTCTACTCGGACCAAGGTTTTTTAAACTTTTTCACAGCCACTAGTGTGTCTTTTAGTTGTTGGGTCGTGATGTAATCTTTCATTACTTTCATTATTTAAAACCAGAGTAGCAATAATCGCGGTGGAGGTATGCCTATAATCATTCTCAATAGTTCCACAAGTTTATTCGTTCAACCATGGATTTCATAGACTCCACAGGAGGTTGTGGTGTAGTTTTGAGTAGTTGTTTTTAGTAGATTAGTGCAATCAGCCAACCATTAATAAAATTCCAAATCCTTGTCATCAATGGAAAAATCTTCCATCACCGCAAAATGTTTGCTTGATCACGGTAAAACCTTCACAAGATCACCATGAAATCTTGGAATGATCGCCGTGACGTTTTGGCAAGATCATAAGGAAATCTTGGCAAAATCATGCTGGATTCTTGGTAGGATCACAGAGTAATCTTGGTAAGATCATGCTGGATTCTTGGCAAGATCACAGAGTAATCTTGGTAAGATCATACCAAGATGGCAAGATCTTAGCAAGATCATACCAAAATCTTAGCAAGATCACAGCAAGATCTTAGGAAGATCATACCAAGATCATACTGAGATCCTAGCAAGATCACACCAAGATCTTGGCAAAATCATACCAAGATCTTAGCAAGATGATACTAAGATCATATGTAGCAAGATCATACCAAGATCTTAGGGTAGTGTCGCAGCTCCTCACAAGAATGATTTTCATTGGCTAAACTTTACAATACATTTCTGTTTCAACCAATAGCATAGCTTTGTTCTTTAGAAAGCATAGAAAAGCATTATCCAATTGGGTGAAAGCTTCCGAGCTCTGCGAAATGTCCCAGATCATACCAAGATCACACCAAGATCTTACCAAGATTTTACCAAGATCTTAGCAAAATCAAGGGTTTAATGAACTTCGATGTTTGTTAAAACAATAGCTTGTTTGCATGAGAAGATTTTTGTTGTAATTACATATTTATTATAATACAATATTTAGACATTCATATCAAATTCTTGCCAAGTTCTTGGCAAAAGGATACAATAGTTCAGCCAAGAATTTCCAAGATCTTCACATCTTGCCAAGATCTTATAAATATCTTGCCAAGATCTTATAAGTATATTGCCAAGATCTTACTATGATCTTTCCAGATCTTCCACGATCTGGAGAAACTTGCGAACCTGGGATCGATAATCATTTTTACTGTAATCATTTTTACTGTAATCATTTTTACTGTAATCATTTTTACTGTAATAATTGTCAAATTCATCTTCACTTTCATCCGAAGAGTCACTTTCATCCAAAGAGTCACTTTCATCCAAAGAGTCATAGGGACTGCAGAATCTTGCTTTTCTTCGAAATCTGTAATGATTGGGCACAGTGTTACTGATTATTTCAGGCTTTGAAAGAGATCTTTCTCTGCTTTGTACTGGCAAGTGTACACGACGGTGACGACGCTTGACAACTTTAGTTTGCGATTCCTTGGAAGTGGTCATGTGTGTCTGATGTATCAAAGAGATCTCAGGGGTATTGATTCTTGAAAAGTCTTGACCTGGTCCTTTATCTGATGGTGAGTAGTTCTTGTTGGTTTCTCCATGCGGCACTGCTGTGTGCTCAGTTTTTGATTCAATTTTTCTGATATTTTGCATGATTTGTCCAGTAAGCCATCCATTCACCATATTTTCTTTCTCTATTTTTACAAGGATACAATCATTTCTGCATTCCTCATCTCTACTAAGAATTTCATTTTCCAATGCTTGGTACAGCAAGTCAACTTGCTCTTTAAGATCATCCTCATGTATACATTTAACCCCTTCATGAGAACACATCTGTTTCAAAGCTCTTATAGGTCCATCAGCATACCTTATAACACACTTATATTGCTTTCCATCAGATGTAAATTCATAAACAGGGAAGTTGTATCCACCTTTAGGAAGATCAGCGATTTTTTTCAAGCTATTGTCTATTTCACACAGTGGTTTTTTGATGCCATTGAGGGGAAAAAGGAGAAACATTTTTTTAAAGTCCAAATGAGGAATACTATCTTGAGTGTCCTCACTGCAAAAACATTTCATGAACATTGGTACAGCATTTCTGAGATAATCTAGATAGTAATACAAGGCAACAATGTATGCTGGATACAGCCTTTTTTTTTTAAGACTTCTCGCAAAATCAACCTTCGACTGTCCGTCCAATTTAAGTAAGTATGTTACTAATGGATAAACACCGATGCCTCCGAAGATATACATGAAGTCTCCAGTTTGAAAGCTCTTCCTCCCAATCATGCAGAATATTAAATCGATTACAAAAACAACACCGACGGCCCTCCACGGCACTACACTGAAGCATGATTTAAACAAGCTAAATACATTTCTTCTGTTACGCATCTCAAGGTGAAACAGTTCTTCAATAAACTCGCACAAACATCGGACTAAAGGCGCAAGCAGAATCCCCAACAATCCTAATCCAAGGGTTATAAAAACCGGATAAGTTTCTTTTTCCTCTCTTCTGTAGTAGGTTTCTGTCGGTGTTTCGTTTTTTGCCATTCTATTGCAAAGATCGTTGTCAGCAAGAAATTTTACTTCTTTCTTCTCAATAAAGGCATAACTAACCATCCATATTGCAATGAACACGTATACAACAAAAATCAATCCTCTAACTTTCCTGCCTCTCTTCAGTTCTCCAGATCTTTGACTATCTATTTGACTCCCCTGGTTTAGCAACGAAGCACTTTCCACGTCCATATCCTTGTTTAAAAGTATACTGTAAGCCAAGGCTGTTGAACCTCCAACAGTATAGAAAATTCGAAAGATTTATTTCTAATTTTTGCGGGACTTCCCTAGTTCGTTTTCCGGTGTTAACCACTGTTCTATATATAATAAATTACGTAATAATCAAATAATAATTCCGAATAATTCCCGTCGTGTTCCCCCCCTGTTTTGGAATGACAATTATCATATCACGTGCAACGCGACTGACCAATCAGCGAGCTTCAATGTCGAGAGCGCGATGGTTCGAATGAATGTTGTGTAAAAACAGTTTGTGTTTGGATATTGGGAATGATTTGAAAGATTTAACTTGAAAAACCTGCAGAAGAAATGACGGAATTTTCTTCAGTAGACTACAAAGATGCTGTACGAGCTGTTGTTAGGCGAAGATTGAAAGAAATCGGCATTAAAGCTCCGAAATTGAAGCTACGAAGTGACTATAAAATTGACCATGTGAGTTGTTTGTTTTTTATTCTTGGTTTTGATATTGACTTTGTTTTCATTCAACGATATAGTAACCGGCATACATGTCTTAAACTATAATACTGTATCTGTGCTCTACGTTGTAAGTGGGTCTTTTATAAACAGGCGTCATATTTCACACAAATTTCCTATGTTTACTGTGACGATTTATAAATCCCACCTTTATAATAACGTGTTAATCTGATTAGTTTCTGCGACATCCAAGCCAGGCTTGATTTCTATAAATAAGGCAAGCCTTCTCTGCGTTATATTGTGCTAAAGCTCTCAAGGTTTACCAATATGCAAGTGGACATATTTTTGAAAATACGGGTGCTATTTTTGAGACTAGAGGCTTTCAAAAGGACTGAGGGTTGTATGCTATCAAATTGTAGCAATAAAGCCTGTTACTCTGGCGGAAATTTAAATCTTAATTCTCAAGTTTTGAAACAAATCTTTTATAGTACAACCTCATTTTCATTGTTATATTTTCTTGTGAAAAACCATGAAATTTACAATAATTTTCTAAAGATTTATAACCTTACATGGTTATGGTAATATGATCCTGATTTTGTTTCTTGAACCCATAAATCATCTCAAAATTCCCTAATGAATTTTTCTCCTGATATTTCCGATCACTGCTTTGTCTCAGGGTTCATATGACAACCCAAATACTGTTTTTGGGATTCCCCTGGACCGACTAACAAGGAAGAATATTGGCTGTAACAATTATTGTCCTGTTCCCAGGTATGTGTTTTGATGTTTTCGTGGTTGAATTTCATTATGAATCATCTACAGTTTCATACATAAATGTGAATTAACTATAATTAAACTGACATTTAACTGGTATCATTATGAATTGTAACAATTTTTCACTTAGATTTCTGGTTGAGACCCCAGAATGTTTGGAAAATCATCTTAGTAGTGAAGGCCTTGAAAGATGGTAATTCTCTTAAAGGTGGCTCAGGCGACAACCGACAGCAGAAAGGTGGTGGCTCAGGTGGATTTGTACAGAGGTTTGTGTTTGTATTTTTTGTTTTTTAATTTATACCATATTCAACTCTTATTTAGTACTGTTGCCTGACAGGAAGCGCCCTGGATAATAAATACTATATTAATCTAAATATTCAAATTTGCATTAAATTTGCGTTAATTTATCTCTTAATCTGAAGATGCCTTCAGCTAAGATGAAACATCGCTATGGAATGTATTTCAAAGAGGCTAATTTATATTTTCTCCACATTAATATAAGCCAAAATATGTTTTTCCTTTGAGCTATTGTTGTGAGGACTGGTCATCATTTTTCGGAACGCTTCTATTGGTACGACTGTAAGCAACAAATGGCAGCAAATAAAGTTTTAGGCCAGCAGGCAATAAAAAAGAAGTGAACTCCAGGCAAAATCAAAGCGTTCACATAATAAAAAGATATGAAACCATTCTGTGAAAAAGGTTGGGCCTTGCAATTTCTTTGAAGCACAAAGCCTAAACTTCCCTAATAAGAGTTTCCACTTGTTTCGTCTTTAGTGGATTGTGATCTTTCACACCAGCTTTATAAATCCAATTTTATGCAAATCATGTTTTTGTTAAACAAGACAAAATAAAAAAGTGGAGGGAAAACTGTCAACATGAACACTGTGGCTTGTAACTCCCACTGT